GCACGTCTCTTCAACAAAACTAAAGCCCCTACTATGGATAAAGTGCGTGGTAATATTAATGGATTTTCATTCGCAACTTCTCCGTGTCCGTGCAGAGGACTGATTATAAGATAGTGCCCGTGGTACAGTTGGCCGCGCATGCTAAAAGTAGCACCTTGTACGGTCGGTTGTACGGCCGTACGGTCGTACGGTCGTACATCCAAATTTTTTCGGCTTGATGGGTTACTACTATTTTGTATAATTATGGGGCTACGCTCTGCGAGCTCCGCTATTAGCTTACGGTGTAAACTGTTGGTAAAAAAAATTAACAATTGATCATTGATAATAACTATATTTTTTAACCAGGGGCAGTCTCTGGTCCTCTGAACTCAGCGGTCATCTGGCCGCCTTCGCTTAACGTGCATTGATTCATTACGTGTTCTTTTAAAACAAACATTACATTTCCATTATATTTTGCAGATAAGATACAAACGTTAGGATATCACAATGCCCAAGGTGATTCAGATGTCCCACATGATTTTACGCCGGTTAAGTGTACAAGAGTGTGAACAATTTTTATTGATCTTCTTTGTTATCAACACTTTCCTAAGTCCCAACCACATTATGTCGAAGAATCTTTACAACGCAACTGCCTTTCCTCAGTTGGGACTACCGCTCAGAGTAATGTGAATAGATTCTCCATCAAAACTGAAAAGGTGCATTTCGAAAACTTTCTTCAGAGTGAAACTTTATTTGGGGTTAACCGTTCATATAAAACTCCGACTGAAAAGAAAAAAGCTTTTCGAGAATACTCACGCTAATGCTTTCATTTTTCTTGTGTATGTGTCTTCTCTCTGCGCATGCCTAAGGGTGCAGCCGATCAAATGCCTTCTCGTCGTCATAGCCTCTCTTTTCTCGCTTCAATTGCGGTTATGAGGATTCCGGGAGCGAAGTATGATTTTCACCAGCAAGAGTGGACATATTTTTAACTGTCTACTTAAAAGAAACGACTTCAGAAATAACTGAACTAGAAACATTGTTATATTAATATATTCTGCTTTCCATTCAAATCCCTCCCTCCACGTAAGCAAAACAATTAGTATGTCTAGTTTCACGGATTGTTAATTCGTTAATTTTTTTTCTGTCTCTTTGCATGATTCAGCCTCTTCAGGATCCATACCAACTCTAAATGACCAGTAAGTTTGCCTAATTTATACTAAAAAACGCTCCAAACCGCCATTTTCTAAAGAGTGACCCTCTTGTCAAGAGTGAAGTTTCTAATAGGCACCCTCTCCCCACCCCCCCACCCCCCCATATTATAAACGAAACTGCTAGTACTTACATTTTCTTGGGCCAAGTAGCGTTTCATTGTAAAACATATGGGTATTTGAAGGCCTCTAAAAGTCTTTGTTTTGAATATTGAAGGCCTTTCAGTAAGATTAATGCTCACTAAAAGGTATTTATTCAAGCTGGGTAACAGTCAAATGAAATGTTGCGAGCTGCCTTATGAGGCTTTGATAAGCACCCTCCCCCATCCCTCCCTGAATTTGACATGAAATTTTTTATTTGTTTCCCAGGAAACAAAACGATCTGGAAACTCAAATGACAGGTAAGTGAAATTGCCGTGGATATAGTGGAAGTGTTAAACTCATTCCTTTTTATTCAAACGACGGCATGTGAATTTGAAAATCAACTTTTTCAAATTTGAGCGGAGTTCTGTTCTTAAAAACACATAGGAAACAAAATTCGTCTTCTTTACTAACTATCACAATATGAGAATCTTGTAAAAATAAATTTGGTGACCAATTACCAGTAAGTTCAAAACATCACAACTAGATTTCTTAAAGAAGGCGCTCGCTCTTTTGACAATAATTAGACCCACCCGTCAACAATCTCGAACGATCTCCTAAAATTGCCGAAGGTGTGTCTACGATCTACTGACAATCTTTTAAAGAAAGAGAGATGTGTAGATGTAGGCTTAAAGATCCCTTACGTTTTTACCTTTACCTTCACAATATCAACAAGCGTTATGGTTTCAATCATCTTACTTTATTTCATTTCTTCTTTCTCTGTGCAGGTTTGGGAGGAGTCAGCCCGCCAGTAGCCAATATACCTTTCCCAAGACCAGGAAGAAAAAGGTAATGATTCCGTGGCGGATCGTGGAATTTTCGGGAGGAGAGGTCAAAAGTTACTAATTACTAATTAGTTACTAATTTAAGGGTTGAAAATGGAAGGGTTGATTTTAATTCAGCACAGCGTTGAACGCGCGATCCTTCTTCCAAGGATGAAAATTAATCCATCAGAGTAATGATGTAACTTGAGTTTTAAATAATGTAAAGCGTTAAGAAGTTCCCCACGAACAAAACTTTGACCAAACTCACAACTCTAAAAGATCGCCCACTTAGCTGCCGCGTTTTTGACCCAGACATGATGGGCGACCGCGAGTACTCGTGGAAAAGCTATTGCTGTGCTCAGAAGCTATATTCGGTGTTTCAGTTGTGTTCTAAACAAGCCATACTTTCGTAAACTAGATTTAGATTGTTCTTTAAACTTTTCTACTTCACGACCTTAAATTAATTTGTAGTGACAGTACTGTATTGTATGAAACTAATTGTACAACGTTTTCTTGGCTCCCAGGAGATCAATGGCTGCCTAAGGTTGAGAGATGTCCAAATTTCTTGGTAAGTTAAAATTTTCATTTTGGTATATTTTTTCTGATATTTTTGTTTCTTGAAACGATAACGTTTCTTTGTGATATCAAGTTCCACGGCCGAGTTTTGAAGATTCTAAATAGATCCGTTTCAATATTTACATCATGAAGACGTCGTTTAACTATTTTTAGCTGCAACACCTGCCGAGTATTGCTATAAATATTTATTTGAGAAACAAAACTGTACACCTCATCAACCTTTGAAGGAACAAACATATATGTTTTTATTAAGTCAAAATTATTTGCAATAATTCTGATCCACAAAATAACCTTTCTCTCGTAATTTTGTCTCTCCTTCTCTCTCAGGCTAAACTACGGACATGAAAAAGCTTGCAAAAACATAGTTAATGATAAATACCACACAAACGAAGACCGAAAGTGACGAGGAATGCAAGTTTCATGAAGATCTTTGAAACACGATAACACCCTTATTGATTCAGCGCCGCTTGAAAAGCCCGGCGAATGTGAATGAGTTAAAAAGTGTGTAAATAAAGCTAAATTTCAAGCGTATTCTTGCCATATTTGACTCATGGGTTTAAACTCTTGTTTGCGTCACGGAAATATGCATTTTGCAGCTTGAAATTTCAAAACAAGTAGACCTCGCAAGAATGATCTTCCTAACGTTTAACATACATCTTCTAAACGCTCCGGCAGTATTTCTTTGCAAATGAGTAAGGCTGAAAATTCGTTGTTATATCATGTTAATACTCGCTAGTTTGGTTTTTAATTTGGCTGGCTAATGTATTGATCTTGCAAGGAGAAGAGGCGGTTATTTACTTCGTGGATTATAAGGGGAAAAACATCCCTAAAAATAAGGGCAGCGCTAATTCGTGTAATGAGCTGGAAGCACAATATTTTCCTTCCTGACTCCTGCGTTAAACTCGAAACCTCCCGAGAAAACATAGCCCACTCATGACGTAAACGCAAATTATTGACATTTAAACCCGAATTGATCGATAAACACATCAATTACAGCATTTGTCCAATTAACTCTGCATAAAGCACACATTTCGTCACGATTAATTTTAATGAAATTTCACCTAAGCCTCGGTTTCAAGAAGTTGGTGGACCTCAAGATTTGAGATGTAGGAGGCAAACTTTTTCCCAGGGGTAACTATAGTCACAATGCTCTACACAGTTTTTAAAAGATCAACGTTTACTTAAGACGTTGGAAATTACCGAGAGGGCAATTTTGTCTGACGACGCCTCAACTTTGCTTAAGCAACTGGCCCTTCGTCTGAAGCAACTGGCCCTTCGTCTGAAGCAACTGGCTCAAGTAATTTTGTTCGCGAACAACAGGGCCACAAAAGTGTTTCCGAAAGGTTCTCTGCCTCTCCGTGGGGTCAAAATAACCTGAAATCTATAAACAGCATTCATAAATTTTAAAAAAATGTCTTCAGAGAGTCGTAAAACAAACCGCACTTTCTCGTTAAGGTAGAATGTATGCGCACACAGCACCTATCATTCTCAAATGTCAAATATCTTCATAAATTCACGACTAAGTACATCTCAATTCAAAGTGCTGTGGCGGAGAGATTCCGGGGTGTGAGCAGTAACAGATCATTTATAGAAATCGGCCCCATTAGATAACGAAATGTTAATTATCCCAAAGAGAAGTTAAAAAAGAGAACTGGAGCAAAAAAGCATTTTTAACGTGATAATTGCCAGTATTTTAAAATGTCAAAAGCAACTTGTCTCCTCCATCGCGTGGTAAGCTTTTGAAACACAATTTTCATTATCAACTAAGTTGATAAAACCAATTTATCATCTATGACTCCCACCGACGCAGCACTGCACAGTTTCCTTAGAAACCTTCCCCTTTATTACCTCATTGCTTGCTGGTTACATGTAGTTCTTACGTCTAAAAACATTTCATGATAATTATGAAATTTTGAGCGAATTAACCAACACAAAACGTTATAGCGAATTATTGAGTGACACTAAGTACAATCTTCTTCTAACCCAACAAAATTTCCCTTTTTTTCCAGGGTCAATTTGAACACAAAAGAGGTTACTTTCCATCAAAATTATTCTTCTGTTTAATGTTAAATAAATCTTTATCGTGGGCATAATTATCAAAATTCATAATTTTTCGTCAACTTATTTTTATAGAAGAACCCTTTAAGTTATTAAATAGAGACCTTTTGCTTTAAAAGTTCGTTCTACTTATACTTTTGAAATATAACTTGTAACGATCGATATATTTAAAAAAGAACTTAAAAAAGTAACTCAAACCTTTGCAATGAAATTCTCACAGCAAAATAATTTTTACATTTTTATTTCAAGCATGCTCGCTTTTTTATTTTCTTTCTGTTTTCTTTAGTTTGTCGTAATCAGGTATCAGAAGTTTTGATCATTACATGGAATTTTCGTTATTAACTAAACGAATGCTATATTATTGGACAGTTGGAAATGAGTCTTTTGCCTTCAAGAAATGTCTTGAGATTTCAATGTTCCTCGCTCGTAACAAGACAAAAAAAAATTCCTTTCTTTCATTACCAAGCTTAAAATTTACAATCTTTCTCATTATTTTCTAAAATAGGCTTTCTGATTTTTACAGCATGCGAGACGCATGTCACATACGAACCTTGTAAAGGTCTCAGCTCACCGTAGAGTCTCTGTGGGTTCGATTGGCACTCTCGCGACAAGACTTAAAACTATGTCTCTTTACCTGGGTTCGTTTGGCAAAGAGAGTTATTGTTCCACTTTATCTTCTTATTATCCGGTAGATAATTCCGAATGTTGGCCCGCTCTAATGTATAATCTTATCTCCAGTAAGGCCCATTTCCTTGAAACGAGCCAATCCAGGAAAAAACGCTTATACGTGTGTGATAAACACTGAGACAAATGGCTTTAAACATTATTTGTACCTCCTTTGCTGTGTGTTAAGCTTTGATAATTGTAACTTATAAGACCTTTTCCGTTTCTATGGTCTTAACATTACTCCCCCAGTTGTTGTTAAAATGTGTATATTGCCTTGAATATGTGTATTCGTTCCCCCTAGGAAATCATACAAAAAGATGCAATTTACGAATAGTCATACTAGACATTTCTTAACAATACATTTAAGCAGTGTCAAAAATAAGGAAAACGTGATATAGATATGCTTTATTGTAAATTTTCTTAACTATTCAATGAATTAAGAGTGGATGAAAATCGGCGTCATTTCTAAATATGGTGAACAAAATTTGTAGCCACAAAGTTGTTTTCTTTATTTTATTAATATCAGTATGAATAAAACCTTAACTAATGCAGTATATTGCAACAATGATTGCGCGACAGAAACAAAATTTGTGTTTTGGGTTCAATAGACTTTTGCGTGTTAGATACGGTTAATTACGGGACTTTGAGCGGTGACTACACAGATGATAGGTGACCGTATGCGCTAATAGGAAGTACTTATCATTAACATCTGTTTAGCTATCGCCACCTTTTCTATTCTCAAGTGAAAACGGATATTGTCGAAAAGGCATGAAGCAATACAAGCTGCCGAAACGCCGCCGACAAATTACAACCCAAACCACGTGATCACTGAGCCGTTCGCGTCTCTACGCATAAAAGCGCGGGAAAGAGAGCTGATTTCGCTTCACTGATTCAGTCAGGAATTAAAGAGACATTACTGAAAGGTAAGAACTTTGGAGATTCAAGTTATTGTTGTTGTAAATAAATATACTTTTTCCTTTAGAAGCAAGAAGAGAGAAAAACCTAGTTTACTTCCTTAATGCTTAAGAAGGTTGTTTAGCTAATATTAAAAGCCGTAATTTTTCTAGACTAAAAAACCTCAATATTTCTCAGCTAGAGAGCTAAAGAATTTTGCATTTCCTTTCGGATAATAACAGGTCGCGAGTATAAAACAAAGTTGAGTCCCAGAAAAGAAATCATCCCTGATTTTGCTATTTTGAAATTGGCTTGCGAACAATCACCGACATAATAGTTTAAAAGGAATAAATTTTATCGTCTAAAAACACAATAATAATACGGACAATTTCTAATCTTTCACACATTAAAATTTTAGATTTACAAGAAAAATTCACAGCCTATAAGTTTTACGTAGGAACTCTTACTTATTTGAATTGGTGTTTTGAAAGCTTTATTTCGGCTCCCTATGGATAAATGTTGTCGGACAATTGCAATTTCTCTACTTCCAGTCGCTCTGTGTATTCAAAGTCTGTTTTACCAGTCGAACCGGATATTAATTCCACTTTTTCAAATTCAAAACAATGCACTATCATTTAGAGTTATTCAGTTTCAAATTCTTAACCTCAACTTAGGTGACGATGATCGGGAATTCCAATTCGGATATCAATGTAAATCCAAGACGAGTCAAAATGGTGCGGCATTAGATACGGAAAACACTTTCCTTCAGTCTCTTGCATTACTGGCTCAAACAGGAAAAACATTGTATGAGAACAAAGTTTTTGTGGTAAAATAACGTTTTTGTTATTTGGTTAAGGGTTTCACAGTTTCCTCAAGAAGATAATTTGAGACTTAAAGTTAATGAAACGAAAGTTGACGAATTTAACACTTAGAGTCTAAAAGCAATTGTTTTTCGGAATCTTTTTCTACTTTTTCTTATAGTTAGATCGACCTTCTTGTTATGCTATAACTTTTTTTTCATGTTATCTTGACAATTAAAAAATAGACCCATAAGCATGCATCAATTTTTTAAAAATGTATTCATTTTTCTTATTTCTTTTGTAGGGTTCACGATATCCTAAATTTGAAACAATGGTTACCAAGGTGGTGTGTTACTCGTTGTTCTTTATAGCTACTGTAATTCTCATCAGTGCGCATGCCTCTGCGAAACCATTCAGCGACGAAGACACAGGTACTGAATATACTCCTAAGGAGCAGTAAGGCTCTTTGCATTGTGATTAGTTAAGGTAGTTCTGACGCTTGTAGGGCTCTAATGTCACTAAGGTGATCTGCTGATGACAGAATCTGACGAGAAGAATAACTTGAGCCGTAGATGCAGTTCAAAAATATAGAATTGATTGTCACTGGTTATCTGTAACTGAAATCCTTTTTCAAGGATTTCAGTTACAGGAAAAAGCCGCAAGTTAGACACATTTCAGTGGTTTCTTTGTTCCTTTAGAAGAAATCTAAATCTAATTTGCTCCTAAAATGATGCTCAGAATTTCAGTTCCTTCGAAAACTAATTTTTTCGAGAGGTTTTTCGGCGTTCCTTTAATCGCAATTAATCTGTTAAAATCAGCTCGTTACATGCAATCAAGATAACAATAAAAAGAAATTGTAACCACTCGGAAGGTGTTACAAATAACGGGACTTCAGGAAAGATATTATCGTTATTATTATAATCGGGGAGAGCACGTTGCAGCATTGGAACTACCAGGGACTTTTATTGTCCAAACTGGCAATTAGAATCATTAACAACTATTCACTGAAATAGAGGTGGCTAGATAATCAATAGCCTCTAATTGGCGCAAAAATAAGCACGGATATTTATCCGTGGACATTATCTGTTCCAAGAGTGAAGCTCGAGGAAAACTGTGTGCTTCGAGGAACAGATAATGTCCAAGGAGCATAAGGGCATGTTTTTGCGCAAAATAGGGGCTATTGTGTGAGAAAAAGTTTACGAAAAGCTTACTAGCTAATTTTTTTTTTTGAGCGTTCTCTGTTACGACTTTATGAACAAATAAATATTTTCCTTTTTCTGTAACAACAGCAAAACGCTCTCCCCTCTTAAATTAAATTCACACGAAGACTTATCACAGTGAACGTAAGGTTTGAAATTGGGGAATATCACTTGGGTGATATCCTCGGACATCCCCCGGGTTTATCTTGGGGTATATTCTGTCACGTTATGCGTTTAGACCAATTGCGCGCGAGCAAAAAACCCTGACGTAATGGACCATATTTACCGAGCCCTAAAGCGATGAAGTAAATATCCACTGCTAGCCACTGACACTCAGGTGAATAGTGATTTATGTTGATACCAAAACAGTGAGATAACAGCCCAAAAAGAGGATTTTAACTAATTTACCAACGCTGGAACAGAGTAATATTAAAAACTATGACTATTAACAAAATTTTCTTCTCTTACAAACAATCAAATAATGACTCATTTTTGTTTCAGAGGATATCGCTTATTACACAGATGACGCCATATTAACCGATAGTAAGTCCAATTAATTTCTTTATGCGTCCAAAGACAGAAAATTTCTTAATCTGTGTGCGCTGAATGAAATAGGTTGTTTAAAACTCTGTCCATTAAATTAATTCTCTACTGTGCAGGTCCACCTAAACTAAGAATGAACAGGCACGGCAAGCGAGAATACTCCACGTACGTCACAAACGACTTCAATTCAGCTGACAGTAAGTAAACAAACTTTCAAGATACCAGAATTCGACTATTTTGTATTGCACTCAGTGATTTTCGAGTCCTTGAGTCTTGCGATTTGTACAAAAACCGTGACGTTGTGTTCGAAAAAAAGAGGAAAAACGAAAAAAAAAAGAAAGAAAAACCAAGAATGATTTGATTGATAAAAATGTAATGGGAGATTATTTTTGGAAGAAAACGTGCTAAGCCCACGGGTTACTAATTTTAAAAGGAAGCAACAACAACCAAGATATCACAACCGACAACATACTTGCTTAAATCTAGGCTTCTCGTATTGACTCAGTTGTCTTTTTGGATCAAATGGAAAAAAGACGGGTCCCATTTTTATTTTAACTCCAATGTTCACCCTTTTCCGCGGTGCTAATCCTAATGCCCCTTATGTCTCAAAGACCCTAACACTTGGCTAACTTGTCACCAGCCCCCCTCCCCACCCCCGAACCAGAGGCAAAGGGTCTGGCCGTTGGAGAGGGACCAGTTTTTCTTCTCTCTTTTTGGTGCCAACCTTCAACTTCTCTTTTCCATCATCACCTTTATCCCGATTAGGTCCTCAAAGAAAGTTACGCATGAATCGCCACGGAAAATAAGAAAAAAAAAGCCAAAAGGTGAGCCAATAAGGAAACGTAATTTACAAAACCAATTTGTTTTCAAAGCCAGTCATGATAACCCTAACCCAAACCCTAGGAGTTTAACTCTTAGAGGCCAACACGTGCATAACTACCATTGTTTATGACTTGTTTCTGTCTCATCGAGTCATTTAGAGAGGATGGTACGCTAGTCCATAAGTCCTGACTGTTTTCAATACCCATTTATAGTCCAAGGTGACTGAGAGAATCTCTCTCACAGAAACAGCTTGGCCAGCCCAGCTCAGAGCAAAACACGACCCGGTCTAAGCTCTCACTTGGACCTCCAAGGCATCTCTCACCTGCTACCTGATCCTGACCAACAAAAATAGCTGCATTTACAATTCATTATTGACATTTGGTCGATTGTTCTATTCAGTGCGAAATCACCCTTTTCCCGTTTGATGTGACTATGAACTTCATGCTAAACCCATGATAGGCCCAGGTGCCTCTTCCTATTATGCAAATCCTTTGCACCAGTTCTATTCAATCTCCCCTCCCTCATACCTTACCCTCCCTGTCTCAGACTACCACCACCCCTCAAGGTTAACTCTGTCTTCCCCTTTTTTCCCTCCAGGACTGTAACATACGTACTTGGAGCAGACGGGGTGAGGGCATAAAACACATGACGGCGTCATACAAATTACATTTATTAGTCACGGTAACACTTAATAAAAAATGAGAGTAGGTTGAACTTAATGTTAAAACGTTACAGATAAGAATATTGTAAGTTATCAGAAAAATAAAGAATTGTCGTGAAACTAAGAGGATGAAATCTTACAGAAATCTCCACGCTACTATCGATATCATGATCAGTCTTAACATTTCTTTAAAAAAAATATCTGCATTGTAAATAGGCAAGATTGAGCGAAGCTGGTTGATTAACCTTTCCTAAAGATTTACTCATCTGCCTACCAGTCATTTCTTGCAATTAGAGCCCCGAAATTTTGGTGTTGAATCAGAAACTCTTTCTTGATTGATGTTTCCTTTCCTTTCCTTTCTACCAATCACTTTCCTGCTTAAAACGATAACTCGAAACAGGGTCTCAATGAGGTGATGACTTTTACGGCTAGCGGTTAAAATTTTGTCCAAGTTACGGCTAACAGTTACTATCTTTCCATTGTGGTCACCAGAAAAACTATTTACGGTTAATTTTTTTCTACGACTGACGGCTAATTTTTGATAGTTTTTACGCCTAACGGCTAAATCTCTCGGTCATTTTAGGGCTCATGATGAACCTCATTAAGACCATCTAGAAATTAGTTTTTGGTCAATGATCCCCAATGATATACCTTTCACACATCGTCGTTTTCAACATGATGGACCTTAGATTGAAACTTTCTTTTTCTAATCAAAATCTAAAAACATAAACATTTCACAGTTTTACAATTTTGGTCAATTGCCAACAGGAAAACGAGGTTCTTTGTTGTTTTATCTCCGTTCACGGCCGACCCATACGATGGTACGAGCCTCTTTAATCTCTTCCACTCTTCCTTGCATCTCCCGCTTTTCAGCGTCTAAAATCACCACTGCGTCGTCGCCCGTGGCGGGTGTTGCTAGGTAACGGGCGTCAGACTCGCAGCCAATTACGATTGGACGCTCGGTGTGGATCCAGTCCCTCGTTCCCGACGGTTTGCCTACTGTCGAAATGAACTTAATTATTTTTATGCCTCTGGGATCTACATGCAGCACAATTATCGTTGGTTGATCTTTTGACGTCACATACACGTCATAGCCAGCGTCTCGTGGCCTGAAGGCGAGGTGACTTAGCAGGATGTCGGATTCTATATCATTAAATAAGTAAATCTGCCCCGCTGGATCGATGTACTGCGTTAAAATCGCGTAAAAATTTAATGTTATGACAAAACTTCCATCAGGAGACACAAATGGTGTCCCAAAGTTAAATGAGTTTATCGCCTTGATTTGTCTTTCTCCTAGATCCATTACCATTTGCGCTTTAGAGTCACGTTCCTCGTTTGTGTAACACTGGACGTAAGCGTATTTGAAAGGTTGTGATAAAACTAAACCGATTGTTCCGTAGCACTGGTAATCACTAAGATTGTAAAACTTGGAATACTGCTTGGTAACCAGGTCCACTTCATGAATGCCTGGTTCCATTATGTGAGTGACGTAAGCATACTTGCTTTCCTCGTTTGTCAACTCGCAGTTCCCTGCTTCAAAGAAGTCATGCGCTGGCCTAGGAATGCCATCAATCATTTGCGCCTTGATTGATGAGTGAACAGTCACTTTACCAGCTTCGTGTATCACAGAAAGTGTTCCGATGTCGTCTTCGTCTTCAGTAAGTACATCAAGGGAACTGTTTCCCCAGCTTAGGATCCATACAGTGTCCAGAGATCTTAAAAATAGGAAAGGAAAAAAACGTTTCCACAATAAGAGGAATTTTCAATTCGGATGGTTTTGGTTTGGCTTTCCCTTGCTGTGTGATTGGTCGTGAAAAAGTCCCGCCACTTTCTCAACCAATCAGATTCAACAGACTAGCTCCAATTTCGACTTGCCAGCTCGCATTTTCCCGCGCTTCAGACGCGTTTACTTGTTATAATTTTTCATGACTACTTGTGATATTTTCTCTCTTTTGATTAGCTGTTATGATAACTTTGGTTTTGGTGTCATGACGCTCGCTCGATATAGCACGTTCTTAGGGAGATTTATCCCGGTTAAACAATTTGTTTTCCTGTCAGTTTACTAGTTTGTTTCATTTCCTTTAAAGCCACAAAAGAGAGAGACAAAGCTTTTTCGCCGTCTATTTGTTTGGCAAAGTGAGTCTCATCATTTAAAAAACGTAGAAAACGTTTAGAAAGGAGAGGAAATAACAACAAAATACAGCGCGAAAACAATAAAAGGTTTCTTTTCATTGATTTCCTTCTGGCTTTTCTTTTGTTGTATAAGTATCTGAGCGGTATATTTCGTTTTCGTTTAGAGGTACGTTTGAGTTCGCGTACACTGGAAGTGAAATCGCTGTCACTCTTGCTAGTGACGCTTATAAAAATCACAACATTTCTTTACCTGAAGTACTTCAATTTGTAAGGAAAGTCCTCGGTGGGCACTTCTTGAACGAATCTTTGCGCGGCAGTATTCAGCACAAGGATTCTACGCCCTAGGAAATCCGCTGCGTAGATGTATTGCGAATTTACACTCACTGCTCCACCCCAGTTACAGGGTCTCTCTCGGGTCCCGGTACAAATGGGCGATGATGTGCCATTTATGACGTGATCAGCGCTAATGTGAGTGACAGTGGAAGCTGTCTTGGGATCGATGACGTGAACACCATCGTTTGCGAAGACGTAAAACATGTGACTCCCAGGAATAGCTAAGAAAAAAGTGATTCGTAAGAACTCATCAGTTGGACAAGAAATGCATTCTCTTTCCGCTAAGTTTTCTATGTGAGTAAAAAGAAGAAAATATTTTGTTTTGCCAGGAGGCCGTTACTTATGGGCTCCTGGTTTTGCTTTAAATCCCTGTGTGGCGATCAGCTCGTCTTCAAGTCCGAGTGACTTCCAGATTTCTTTCTTGCTTATTCATTTACTTATTTATTCATTAGCGATATTTATGCAAGCTGGCCCAGTTCAGCTTCAAGCAGGTTTGACTGGGGGCCTGTTTATGATATATTTAGTAAAACAAAATGTATTTGGAAATACAGAATACAAAAGGAGCCCATAACACAAATTACAAGTCACACATAAGATATACAATATACGTTACAATATAGTGTATTATATCAATTACATAAATGAAGTTTGAGAAGTTTCTTAAAGTTAAGCAGTGAAGTTATGTTTCGCAGTTTACTAGTTAGTGTCGGAAAATGAGACTAAAGAATCTGCTATGTTCCGAAACTTCACGTTTTATTTTATAAAATCAACTTAATCTCCCGCTCTCTCTCACCGTTCTCTGTCCTTCGCTCTGGTCTCTCTCATTTTAAATATATAATATGATCCTATTGTTCAATCATCTGTCACTTATCGCAAAAAATCAACCGGAAATCAATTAACGCTGAATAGTCTCTCACATTAGAGTATTCCACGCCTTGGCACCTTTGTAGCGAAAGGAACGTCGATATTTCGATGTTTTAGCCGAGGGTTAATCGCTAAGGTCTCTATATCTTGTATTTTAGGCATGATATCTTTCTGTCTATCTGTCTATTTATCTGACTCTCTGTCTGTCTGTGTGACTCTCTGTCTGTCTGTGTGACTCTCTGTCTGTCTGTCTGCCGGACTCCCTGTCTGCCTGCCGGACTCTCTGTCTGTCTGCCTGACGCTCTGTCTCCTTACTAATCTTTGAAGTCTATTAGTAGCATACAAAGTGCATACAATGAGCAGTAATGTGAAGCGATGGAAAAAGACGCCAAGACGAAATGTACCAGATGATGCAAAACTGCCATAGAAGTTGCTGGTTCATGTTACGTTCCCGACCAATCAAAAATCTGTTCAAGCGATAGGTTTTATTTTGGAGACAAAATACAAGTAAGCGAAGGACTGCATACCATTAGGATACCCTTCAGCAGTAGTAGGCACTGAGAGAGTAAGCTATGAATCAAGCGCATAGACGCCAATTAGGGCTTGAAGCAGGTCCTTTTCGACTGGATTCCAGCGCGATAGAGTTTTAATGATAATTGAAAATGGAAGCACTTTCACGCTACTTGCAAAACTTACCCGGGGCTACTTTAATTGGCTCCTGGACACTGATCTCAACCTGCTTACGGTCCATTCCAAAGTCATTGGAGGCCTCGCATGAATATAAACCATTATCACTTTGTGTGAGCCCCTTTATAAAGAGCTCCCCATCTTTTTTAGTTAAAACACGATTGTTTGAGTTCAACTTTACATCGTTTTTTCGCCAAGTGATCGCAGGAACTGGATAACCGTGCACTCGGCATCGGAGAGTAAGATTTGAACCCGACATCGGTTTCTCGTCATTTTTTATTATAAAAACCTTCGGCGTGCTTCCTGCAAGAATAATGTAAGACTCCATCACAAATCATACTTTACGGTTCCTTCGACGAGTGGGTTGGCCGCGCCGCACTTCTTTAAGCGTCTTTTTAAGTTGCCGAGGCCGGTTAATCCATAATTTCGAACTCTTTCAGTACTATCATTTAAAAAAAATTCTTATAAATTTTTTCCGAAAAAAAAACAAACAAAGGCCTACCATACCGAAACTCCATGAAAATTCATATTTAGAGAGAAATCCATCCACATCTTTATCCGCAGTGTTCAACCATTGTGTCGAATGGCAAATTTGTAAGAGTTCCTTGATGTTATTGTACATAATGTAGTCGGTGACCAAACTTTTTAACTCATAACCACTGATGCTGTGATCGTTGTCTTTATCGTACCGGAAGAACAACTCGTCAATCAGGATGTTTATCGTCACCTTCCTGTGTATCTCTCTTTCAAAGGTTTCCAGTATGAGTCGTTTCATTTCGGATAATTTCTCCTCGGGGCAATCTAGGATAGAAAAATAATGAGGCACATCTGTGATCACCGGGCTTAATCAGAGTTTCCGGCTGTCACAGGCAATTAAACAGCATTAACTATTTGTCTTGGCTAATATAAAATCATATTGAAAAATACAAGCCCACCCTTCGTTTTAGCCTTTTTCTTCAAGCAAGCCTTTTCCCAGTCGATGCCTATCTTTTTGCCAGTCAAACAAGCGGATCTGTGCAGTTCGCAATGATTCACATACAGGATTCCATCCTTTCCACACACAGGTTTGTGCCTTTTTTTGCATCGTGACGCACAAACACACCGTTCAGTATTGTCTGATTGGACAAGACATTCTTGACCCGAAGGACAATTCCGTCGACAACCTGAAAAATTAGAATAAAGCTGCGTAAAGCTGCGACTGAATATTTTCAGGTTTAAAGAAAGATCAAAATAAAATCTGCGCCAGGAAAACCAGTCTTTTTCAAATTTAACTTAGTGATTTTGCGCAATATATCTCACAAACCTCCATTTCTCTTTAACATTTCCTCGGGAAAAGCTTTTAAACAAACGTCCATCAATTTTCTTTCTGTACCATCATTAAACTGTGCCACTCCATACAATAATCCTTAGTTTTGCACTATCTAAAAGCATTTTATGAGCTACAGGAGACTGTTCACTTTTAGAAAGCCAAAGAGAATTACTCGGGAACCGAAAAGGCAGAGAGTGATTTTCATGGCACAGTATCAAGGGATATTCTTGCTTCAAAGATGCATTTAGTAAATAAAGGTAGCAATAACTTACTTTGAGTCTTAGTCAGATTTGCTTTCTTTTTTTTGGCATCTCCATGGACCTGTTTGACAAAAAATGCGATTTTCATTTTTGTGACAGAGACAGTGAGCATGGTTAGTTTGCTAATACTTCATTGATGGTTAGTTACATTTAACATGAAAACCAACCCTTGAAAATATCTCAGAGCCCAAAGCTTCCACTACACAACATTTACTTCCGGCACTGCCGCCATTTTTCATCTGAAAGCCTTTTTACTTGTTTTCATTAATTGAGAGTCAGGTCCAAGCTTTCAGAGACAACAATTTCCGCGCCCGTGTAGCTGGACAATTGCGCTCGTGATCGAGACGATTAGCTGTATGTTGGCTGATCAAACAGACAGCTGTCAATCAAAGAACATAAAAAGGTTTTCTACCGGCTTTCAATTTTTCGATAAAACAAAATAAAAGCAACCAAATGATTAAGACATCACAAAAGGAGAGAAAGCTTTTTGAAAAAAGGCATCATTTTAAAAACTCAAACAAGTTAGAGGGCAAATTTAGCTGTGTTTTTTTTAGCAAATTTTAGCTGTGATGGCTGTGTTTTGAGGAAATTTTCAATTTACTTAAAACCAATTCTGGTCAGATAACTTCACCAGAAGATTCCAACCTCAACTGGTATCGTTTTTAATAAATGAATACCTTGGATGCTATTTAATTATTCATGCACCTGAGCGAAGGACTTAATTGTTTGATAGACAAGTTGTAAAAGTCATTTACTTTCTCTTTCAAATATATATTCATCCATCAGTCAGAGATGAGAAACATTCTATATTTTTTGAAGGGAAAGAAATCTTCTATAGAAGAAGAAAGGAAAACAGACGCAATCAGAGCTTTTATTCCCTTTCATATCGAATTGGCCAATGATGCATAATTTATGACATCCCGAAGGGTAAATCACTTCTATGCAAATTCAAACAAAATTTCGATTAAAAGTCAAGGCTTTTCGAAAGACTCATTTAATTACGAAAGAGGATGAACTAAAATATTTCCTTTAAGAGACAACTGTGGAAATTCTAGTTCTCTTTTAGGTTCCTAACGCATCAACTTTGCAACCGACTTATTCACCCTAAGGGTGCTTCCATACCTGACTGTTGTTCCTTCAAATAATTTACCGGAAAAAAAAACATAAATATTCGATTGGACAGTTTCCTTGAAAGAGTTAACACAACCTATAAGTTGATTTTGTTTTGTCACCAGAAGCTCTTTCGGAAAGAAAAGCTACATGCAGGTTAGAGGCGTATTTCAATAAAATTCTCGCTAGCCTGATGCAAGACTAATTACAGTGCCGAACTGTGACTGGCTGATTTTTTTGGAAACAAAACGAAGGCTTGTTAAGAAGTTTGCAATGAACTTCGTTTTCAGCTGTTACTAAAATATCTAGACACAGAATAAAACGATGCAACCGAAAGCAAATGTAAAACTGATTTCATAGAGTTAAGGTTTTTTCTAACACGATTTCAGCAGTCAAGAAAGTCAAATCCGCAGTCGCGCGGGCATTCGTAAAAATGCTTCGCAATCACTTCGAAAACTGTTTGCATTCTACAACACGGGGAAGAAGCTTACCGTGAGAAGAAGAAATACAACCGTGGTCATCAAGATTCTACAATTCATATCTGCCAGCCGTGCGGGGATACAGATACAAAACGGCAAGATGGATCTCTTTCTCTCCGCAACAGACGAATTTCGAACGCGTGCCCAGCGCAGCGAAGCGTATTCCTCGGGCACGCTGGAATGTGCCTGTTTACCCAATCCAGTAACGAGGAAGACTTCTTTTTGAAGCACGGGACTTGTGGTTGATTACCTTGTTTAGTGTTGAGTATAAATGGTTTTTCACTGCGTTGAGAAAGTAGATAAAGACATTACAACCAAGGCTCCCGCAGAGTTGAGAGCACAGTTTGCGCGTGACTAAAAAGTAAGCAAAATTGATCGTGAGATGAATACTTCAAAGCTATTTGCATAATACTTTGATGATTGAAAGAATAGTCAAGACAGACATTTCTCTAATAATGTCTGTAGACATAATAAAAGTAATAGAGTCGGCCTCTCGTACTAACCAGCGTGGGTTACAGAGGAAGTTCGATTTTTTTAGCGTTGAAATTAATTTTTGTAAAATTGAAAGTTTACTTATCGAAGGGTTTCCGCTAGTAGATTCAACGCAGGTGAAGATGTGATGGGAAATGATTTCATTTGACCTAAAAAAACGTATCTTCAATCAAGGAACAAGGTATCTGTGTTCGTCGAAACAGAACTAACCTGACAGAATGAATGAGGCATGCAACGATCACTCGTGTCACGTACCTAGTTTTAATGGTTATGAAAAAGCTGAGAGAAAAATTAAAAACTAGAGATCGATTGAAAACAAAATCATGCGCATCGCAATAAGGAGTTTTAAATCAACACTTCCGGCATCCGTCGCTCAGAGGTGATTAATGAGCCCAGAGCAACACGGCGTGTTCACTTTTTACGAGTAGACTATTTATGACCGCAATCAATCTTGTGCGTTCACTGACGTTTATCATTTGCTATCTCAAAATTAAACAGGTACAGAATGATATAAACGAGAACTATTAATAACTACCTACCAATTTCTTCAACTATCAAAGAGCTTCGAATGATTAAAAAACCCGCCAGCTAATACATAAAATTGATTTTACTGCCACGTATGGCATCGCAAAGATGCCCATTTAGTCAATTATTTGTGGTTTATTCACCATATTTTACATCTCTTCTTTTAATTAAAATGATAATCTTAAAAGTGACTCTTCCAAGATAAATTATGAAACACGAAAAACGTGATTGTCACGCGTGGGACACAAGAAACGTGATGGTCACGCGTGGGCCAAAGCTGAGGAGCCTGGCTCTCCTTGCTGAGCTCCGCAAGAGTTGGGTTTGTGCAGATCAAAAATAATCACAATGATATTTCCAGTGTTTCTTGTCTCCTTTCTCCTGATCGCTCAGAATAATGCTCTTACTGGTAGAGGAAGAGATAAAGACAGCCCATTTCGAATGAACAAGCTCAATATTGTTTTGCAGAAAGCTCAAAAGAAGATGTCCGTACAAAAGTTGGCTGACTTACGCCGTTTACTAGAGCTACAAGACAGGGCTGAAATAAAATGGAAGGATGTAAAAGCCTACGGAGGAGACGAAGACGGGGAAATGGAGGCCACGCTGAGAAGAAAGTTTTACCGAATACTGGAGCAGTTTGGCTTGGAGAAACATTTTGATGGGGTGGATGAGGGAAACGAAATTCGTGACAACAAAGCCAGCCGTGGCGTTTTCGGTGATAAACGGTTGAGTGAACTTTGGGAATCTACCAAGAAACACGGTGGGTAATGATATCGTTTATTTCGAGAGCAAAAAATCACATAAAGGAACTTTCAGTCACTACATTATTCACACTTCTAATGCAACACAGTTGTGGTACATTGAGACCGTAGAGTGAGCAGAAGTGTGTTTGCTAATCAAAAACTAATTAATCTCTAAGATGATGTTTTTAAAAATATTCAAAGTTAATTAAAATGCGCTTTTAATGCTAGGTTAACAAGACGGCTGGGTAATGGCGAAGTTTTTTGCTTGTTTATCTATAAAATGAGACACAAGCATTTATGTTGAAACATCGGCAGGAGTTGCGGTTTCAAATTAACTTTAATTTTACATTCAATTTCTTTTGTTGACTACAAAAATAATTTGTTATGAAGGGACTTCGAATCACGAGGTGCAGCCAATTAAAAGTGGGTGTAAAATGGAATAGAAGGAGTCCTGGCGGGCACAGAAGACATAATTGTAAAATATCCTTCCTCTGGACTGGGATGTTATTCCATTGCAGCATTTGGATAACTGAAGTATGCATTATTGACCAACTGGGGTCAAGATGGCTGGATATTAATCAAGTTTTTTTGTGTTTTTTTTTATGGACCATGACAAAGTTGCAGTCCATAAAAACCAGAAGAAAAAAAAGAACAAGGCATCTCATCCAGTCATCCAGCCATCTCAACCAAACAAGCTTGGTCAATAAAGGATGTATTATTGAGAGGGCTGTTTATGTTTTCTCTGTTATGACTATCTTCTGCAGCTTTTTGATTCTCCATTGCCAACAACATCAAAAAATTATAGACATTATATTTAGTCTGCTCCAGGCAGTTTTCTTCTTGTGCAGGATCAAAGCAGGCAATCCCAATCTGGCAAGAATTCGATTCTCCATTGCCAACAACATCCAAAAATTATGAACATTGTGTTAAGTCTGCTCCAGGCAGTTTTCTTCTTGTGCAGGATCAAAGCAGGCAGTCCTAATCTGGCAAGATGGGCCCATCTTGCCCGCTCGGGTAGCCAACTAGAACACAGGATGCACTTCATATTGCCCACAGGCACTGTCAGCAGTATAATAACACATACTAATGTTGTTAGTCCAGAAAAATAGTATCAATATATATACAAATGCACATCCATACCTGTGGACATCTGGGGCATGCTTATTTACGAATATACATCAGTAATAAGACTGAGTGGAGTCAAGTTTGGTCTGTAATTATTTGAGAGATGAAAAAAATTGCATACACTGTCCAAATTACAAGCCTAAACTAACATTATAACATAGCTAGTAAATTTTTCTAATCAAATTCAATTATGCAAGCGTACTTCATATTCCTATTGTGCATGCTCATGACATTAGCAAACAAATCCCTTGCGAAAAAAAATTTTCCATTGGGTTGAAAATGTTATAAAACAATTGGTTCATACATCAGCTGTGCGTTCATCAAGATATGAAGCACTTGGGAAGTTTGGAGACCACAAAAGAGGCTAGAGTTGCTCTCAGCTACACCTCAAGCAACTCTTACGCATCTTTCGTGCTCTCCAAACTTCCCGCGTGCTTCATATCTCAATGAACGCACACTGACGCATGAACCAATTGTTAACTGTCCTATTAGTGCTCAAGTCAGTCTAGTGATAGCCACTCACATTTGAGAATTTGTTTTAGTTTTTAGCAGGCAAGATATGCATTTAACCCCATACTATTCTATAACAAAGCATTGGTTCTAAAGGCAATCTATGATTTTTTGCTATTGTTTTCCATTATCTTAGAAGTTAATGCATGATGAAGTATGACAATGTGTGAAATCTTTCCATAAGCATCTTCAGTAGTCAGTTTGCCTGGTTTGAGAGAGTTATAAAAGACATTTAAAATTGTGAATATTGACAGTAGCATGGTGTGAGAGTCCCATCATAAAGGAGGGTGTCTTGCCTTTTTATAGTAAATCCTTTGCAAACTAGTCTATTTTTGAAGTCTTTTGCCTGAACTTGACACAATTACCCTTAAAAATCATGCACCACAGTCTTAAATGGCATGATTACCCATGACCTTGAGTGACCTTGATATGATTAGTGTATAATCTGTGGCTAGATTATATCCCAGGCAATGATTTAAAAAATTCACTATACACTTTTGGCCAATCAGAAAAGAGATAGTTAGTTGAATGTATAGTTATAGATGGGATTACACAGGTCATTGATTCACCCACTCCTGGAAGTGCTCTTCTAGGAAAATACACTCTACATCTCTGTGCAGCTTGGTTTCTAGCCTTACAAGTTCTTATAGTCATTGAATCCAGTGTGTTATTAAATTCTTTCTCCCAAGGTGTTTTTTTATTAATGCTATTTTTACATTTATCACTTTAGGCAAATTTAACTCTGAGGAACTTGGTGATCTTCAAACTGAATTTAGCCATCACAGAGACAAGCTAAAAGAATATAACCGCCTTCTCAAAATCTTGGTAGACCAGGATGAAATCTCAGAAAATTCAGTTTTCTCGAAAGCAAATTTCAAGGAAGAAGAACTTAAGAAATTACGAGATAAACTTCAAGATACCCATGCCTCCCTGAGCGATAGCTTTGCAAAACTGAAGGAGAAGGCAACAGGAGAGAATGAACATGGAGAATTCCGCGACCCTCGTGTGAGTGAGTTGTGGGAGAGAGCACAGAAAGCAAAATTTACTGAAGAGGAACTGGATTCCATTAAGGTAAGTTGTTGAGTTAGGGTAAAGGCCAAGTGGCCCATGAAGCAGTGGAGCTTGTCTTAGTTTCCATGCCATGAAGTCATTAGGGGTATTGCTATGCCCCTGGAGTGCCATAGACTATGGCAGGTTTTCCCTCTTTAAGTTTGCTGGTACCCATTTAAACAACCTGAAGAGAAGCACTGTTGGAACATTAAAATGTCTTGCCTAGGAACATACGGTAATGCAATGACCTGGCAACGTCTTTGAAAGGTTCCTAAGCTTGTGCTTAGTTTAATCCTTTGACCTACAAGAGTGACTAGCTTCTATTTTCTCCTTACAATGTCACTGCTGAATGACACATTAAGGTGATGAGAATAAACAAAGTGATCACCAACTAAAGAAGTTTTTGATTGTTAAACAGTGTTCCTTGTTCAACACCTCAGGAAATGTATAGAGAACAGTATGGAGAATATGCATTGTGATGAGCATTATGAGTTAATGTGTGTGTCGGTAGTTCTCTTCTGGAAGAAAGTTAAGTAAGAACAGGGGTCTTAGTTACTTTTTTCACAAGTGGCTGCCGATAGGGGAGACTAGTTGGCTGTGGGAAAATTTTGATAAAAGTTGTCTTTAACCCTTTAAACCCTAAGAGCAATTTTCTCTTATCAGTATCACCCCTAAAACAAACACTGAGGTCATGAGAATAAAGGAAATGATCACCAACTAAAGACACTCTTGACTGTTAAACAAACTCTCTTTGTCAGTACCATATGAAATGTATTGAGAACATTATAGAAAATGATGTTTGGGTGTAATGGGTTAAGTAAGAGACTGAGGCAGGTGAGAAGCTTTGTAGGACTTTAACTGGCAGTGGACTGGTAACCAGCATCATTGAACCTGTGGTTGCATAAATTGCATTTTTAGTCAACAGAAAAATTATCTGAGAGATGGATCTCAAACAATAAAATTAAGGGCTGAAAAATGTTGTTTTCATTTATTGCAGCAAGAGTTGTACCATTTTGATCACAAGATAATGAAACACAAACATTTCAGAAAAGAAGCTGATGAGTCTCGTCGTCTTGTTGATGATGGTCAGCACCATTTCAAAGAGAAGCACGAAAAACTGGCAAAGAAGGCAGAAGAACATGGAAAATGGGTAAGAGTTTTGATCTTAACAGTTGAAATATAAATTTATGCATTACCTTTCATTTAACAATCATTCAGAAAAACCATTACAGTGGTCCTATTAAAACGTCTTTTAATTAAAGTTGCCATTTGGTAAGCCAGCTTATCTCCCTGTGTCGCAGTCTGGCCTTGTTATTGTTTATACAGGTCCCTCAGCCTCAAGCTGAATTTAAATATTGTAAATGCATACAATACATGCATACATCAAAATCAAACATGATTGCCAGGGGAAAAAATTTTGTGTACTTAAGCATTATAGCCAACATTCATTTTTGGAGATATGTGTGTTATCTCAAGGCTTCGTGCTCAGGCAACAAAGGCACAAGAGGTAAAGTTTTTTAGAAGAAAACAGCGCGAGTGATACTTTTAGTGTTTAAATGATATTATCTCACTTTCAACCACAGATCATAAAATTTAAATCATAAAAACCATGCAACTTGCTTCTTGACCTGCACACAGGTCACCAAAATGGTGACTTTTGCTGCAGATGTAGTGGACAAAAGTTTTTCCCAGCTGCTATGCTGACCAAAACGGTTGCAGCTTGGAGCTCTTCATGAAATTTTTTTTGTGTTGAGACTAATCACCCTGGAAAGAGATAACTGTAAAAAAACCACAAAACCTCAAATGATACAGCTCTTAAAGTACAGTTTCCTCATGTGTTATTGTGACTTCCACAGGTAAAGAAAATGCACTCCACATTGATGGACAAATTGGCTGCAAAGAGCGAGTTGTAGTTACCTGTAGTTAGTCCCAATCTAGTCTGCTTGCTGTTATGTTATCACTAAAAGTTAACTCTTTACCTTCCATGGGTGACCAAGACAGAATTTCTCCTTACAATATCAATACAATATCAACCAGATAGGTGATGAGAGTAAAGAAAAATATCAATTTGGGGATAACAAGGTGGACCAATACTAAATTCTCTGAACCAACTTTATAATAATTGTATGGTTGACATTTAGGAGAATTACAAATTTGATCTGGGAGCTAAAGGGTTAGGGCAGGGCAGAATGCTGAAACCTAAATTATTTTAGCTAATAATTAAAATAGATGCAGGGGGTTAGTTTCGAAAGGAACTGTGGTGCTGGGTTGGTGGGGGATATAACAAAGAATTTTGTTTTATCAACTGATTTGGCAATGTAAATTGGCCACCAAAGAGAGTTTCTTAAGCTGACATCTTAAAATATCAGCTTAAGAGACTCTCTACAGAGGCCAATTTACATGTATCATTTATCAACTCAGTATGTTGATTATGTAAATTAAGTAGTTACCTTTCTGCAAAATTTGTATTTTTGTAAGAAAAAACTTTACAACAAGTAAACTGTTGTTATAGCAAAATAAATTGTACCCCAGAAAAGCTCTTTAGGCAATACCTCTCTTCAAAAGGTTATTCTGCATGCTTTTTTGTTAAATTTAGATTACCTCAGTGTGTAATCTGTTATCAAACATCATAACAAAAACTATGCTCCCATGTTTTTTTAAATTGCATGTAGAAGGAAGTGTTTCCCCATTCTAAAATCATAATGAACAAGTTGTGTAGAATAGAGATTTGGTTTTGAAAGCTCATTGAGTTGGAGGATATAAAAGTGTTGAGGAAACTTTTTTTGTACTCATTTTATGGCTATGTCTATGGTTTTGATTGAAATTATAGTGTTTTTTTTATGTTACCATCTCAAAAGGACTGTGCTAACTGAACACTTAAATGCACTAGAACAAACTCTGTTGTAACTATTTTTCTTTTATTTTCAATCATCACACTTCTTGAAATATCTTCCACCGCATGTACATGCCATTTATTTCACAACCATTGGTATGCATTCAACTATACCTCGATGGTTGTCAGTGAAACCAGTCATGTGACTGTTAAAAGCTATGTATGAAAGTTTAATGATAGTAGGCTTTTGCAGAATATGATAACATGCTTGATAACAAATCTGCCATACAGGATGACATATTGCTTGCTGGAACTAGTTAATTCAGCAGTTAGTCATTAAGGTGATTCCTCAGTATTGCATTGAGCATTCAGTACTGCACATAAAAATCATGAAATCAGGCCAATAAGTGCATTTTATTCCAAGGAAATAGTACCCTTTTTCAATCAGTGGACCAGGTAAAGAGGTACATGTAGAGTGGTCTAATTAGCCCTTGAACAAGCAGGGAGACCTATACTTTTTATTGCATAATTTTGGAGTACAAATTATCTACTTTAACTTGGAGAAATTAAATAAAAAATGAATCAAAGGGAAAAAAAGAGATAGGTAAAGGCTTTCTCAAGGCCTGTTACTCAACGATGCAAATTATAACCTTGAAAGCAATGACTTGAGGAATGTTTTGGGTCTTTCTCACTTAAAATTGTATCATTGTTTCACAAATTATATATCAAATTGTTCCATGCCCTCAAAACTTTCTACCTATCAAGTTTTTTCCAAGTGTTATTTTCAAATACCTTGCTTCTAGCCACCTCAAAAAGTATTGTAAGCCAATGCAAGGAGGCACACAACTAATGTCAGTACAGGTATAAATGGGGTAAAAAGATATTGATAGGGAACATTTAAGAAAGTTTTAAAAAATATTCTATAGTTTTTTCATCTGAGGAATCACCTTAAGACAAATTTTTAATATGTAACAATGTAATTTGACATCCAGAATGAGAGAATGTGGTAGGCGGTAGGGAAACTACATTTTTATGAATGCTTATCTTATTTAACGTTTTTATATTTATGGCCCAGTTGGCAACAGTTGTTTTTGCCATTTTGTTCAGTAGTGAAATTCAGTATATTAAATACCAGTAAAAAATAGCTACTGTACATGTCATGCAAGTATTTGTTGCAAAAGCTTTTTGACTTCTTTGTACTAGTAAAATAGCAAATTCTAGAGTACACTGTATTCTTACCACTGTTGTTGTGCTAAAAAGTTCCCTTTCTTTCACTGAAAACTAAACTTAGAATTCCTTGCTAAAACTAGAATCAATGTTAGTGTCTGACTAATGGTACACCTACCCCTCCCCTAACCCAACATTTACCTTAACTTGTTATCAGTTGACTGTTTTTGGGCTAGGGGAAGGGTAGGTGCCCAGTTACTGAGATACTGAAATTAGAAAATATGTACGAGTTGTTCATCTAATCTAATCTAAGAATTTTAATAATTTGGTAATGGTTAAAATGTTTTCCATAATACCAGACTTTCTTTGTTTTCAATTCTAGTAAACACTGATAAAAGATCTCCTGTTTTAGTCACTTTAGAAGACTACCCACTAAATTTCAAGCATGTTATTTCTAATGCTCCTTTAAATTTTCACCAAAAACACATTTCCTGTAATACATTTACATATCATCAATTTGCATGTCAAAATACAGCCTGTAAAAATATCCATTCTCCAATTTTGGCAAACCCCTTGTGTAAAAGACTGACATAAAAATCGTTAAGATCTATATAATTTTAATTCCCATAAAAATATTCTGAATTTGAACTTTGACACCTCTGACTGTGACCCTGATAGTTAAATCTCTTTAGAAATAAATGATGTTTCCTTTTCATCAGAGATACATGTACAAAAGGACTTCATCTCAATCCCTTTGGATCAATGTTATTCCTTTCAACAACGTGCAGTGAAAATTAGATTTAATTTTTAATTTTGACAAGTGACAGTGGATTGTTATACTAACAGACACCTACATGTGAGCATCATAGATTAAAACCACCAAGCACAAGTTGGGATCTTGACTTACAGGATTCCTCCAAAGACACTGTGCCTTGGCAACAATGAAAGCAACACATCATGCAACCTTAACGTCATGCTATCTTAGAATATGCAATTTACAAGTAATTGAAAGGTGAAATAAAGAATGTAGCCAAAAAAGAAACCCCTCGGGCATCTCATAAGAAAAGTATAAATGATGCTTCACAAGAAGAGGTTTTAATCTATTTTGCTTTCTTGATGTTATAAACAAAAATACCACTAAGAACAAAGTACACAGATGTTACAAGGAAGAGGATAATGTAACCAAGTCCTATATCACATCTCAGCTTCTCAAACATGTCCAAAATGATACCACCTGTGGGTGTGGCAATGGCTTGTGGCAGGACAAGGGCCTGGGAGAAAAAAATGCATGTTAATGCTCACAAAGGTAACACGAAAAGTGTTAAAAAATCGAACACCGGTTCATATCATTCATTAACAACAATGACATCCGAATCATCCTCTAAAATTGTTTTTCTTAATCTTCACATCTCAAGATCCAACACAAACTACACCAACATATATTTAAATTTTGAAACTGAATGTCTAATCACATCCACATTTGTGGCATATTCACATCCTTTCCAAAAAGGTAGAGAAAATTGCAATACTGCTGTTTATTATGAGAAGTGAGACTAGAGAAACCAGAGCAAAGGCAGGAAGGATAACACTGACAACCAACAATTGCCACTCAAAATGATGTTTGGTCAGAGTATTAACTCTTTCACCCCTGAGAGTGACCAGCATCTACTTTCTCCTCACAATATCACCCCTGAATCCCACATTAGGGTCACAAGAATAAAGGGAATGATCACCACCTTAGGAATCTCTTGATTTTTAAACACATTCTCCCTGTCAGTACCTTATGAAACATAAGGAGAACAGTATGGAGAATATACATACTGATGTTAGGGTGTATAGGGTTAAACCAAGGCAAACTGCAAAGAGGAGATGAATGCTTCACCGCAGTATATTCCCTTGAATCTCTGGTCATTCAGTTGTGTTAATGACCCCTGTTCATATGTTACCAAAGAAACCCCAGATGTCAAATCAACTCATGTTGAGTACATCTTATTGCAGATGAAACACAGGGACTGTTCCTCTCCAGTCTGAATGGATTTTCACTCAGCACTTGTGACTTATAAGTGAGAGGCTACGTTAGTAAAAACATGCTTTTAATTCAAAAACTTAAGTGAGCCCAACTTGTTTAGTTTAGCTTTATAGCACTCTACCTGATGCCAAACAGCCAGATCCTTGGCTTTTTCTCTGTCATTAGGAAGAACATCCATCACAAGTGCAAAATCCACTGCACAATAAGCTCCAAAGCCAACCCCTGAGAGAAAACAACAAAGGGATGTTAAATTATACTGTTATTGTTAATGTGTTTGAACAAATAAAAATGTCTTGGCTGTGCTGAACTGTAGTGCCATACCAAAAGAACACTTAGATATGGCATGATATCTGATCAACTGCTCAAAAGTTCAGGAACTCAACAAGTTGACATTCAGATGGCATCAAGTTTACATGACCTTTGCGAAAATGAGGATTTTGGAGAATAATGAGTAAAATGTCTTCATTTAAATCAAGTGACTCATTTCGCTGCAATACAATGACCAAGGGCCCCTTTCTCAAAAGTCCCAGCAACTTAACGGACCCGTAACTATTCCTAATCTTCATTCCTGATGGGCATTTCAAAGGTTATGAAAACAACACACAAAACAAGCAGCTAAAGAAACAAAATGAACTGGTGTTGAATTGTTTAGATTTTGATTTTAAAATAAAGTTTCAGGATTATTGAGTTACTAGGACTTAACAGGCCTGAAACCATATTTCACAATCAAACAATGAAGACTAGAGAAGTAGGTTGTGGCACCCTAACCAATCTATTTTGCTTTTTTAGGTGTTAATTTTATTGTGTAATTCTCATAACTTTCAATCTGAAATTCCCATCTTGAATGAAAACAGAACAGTCTTTCCGCCCCCTTAAATTACGAGGAACTTTGAGAAACTGGCCTCAGGAGTGTTACTTTTCGACCTAGATGAGAAACTAATCCATCACAGGCTACCCCAACCTACCCTACCCTCCCCTTCCCACTTGAAATTTATCAGGCTCGTGAGTGCTCTAAACACTGAGCTACCACCTCACCCATTGAAACTTTGAGTACACGTAAATGTTGAACTTACCAAATGTTAACGCTACTGGCATTGAAGCGTAAAAAGCATATTTCCCCTGCAATCCAGCCAGTATCACAGCACACACACTCATTAATATTGCTGCAACAGAAAGGGTACATTTGTTATGGCAACTAGCAATTTTAATTTCAGTTTGGAAGACTGGGATACAATTATATCTATTGTAAGTGTATCTTAACACTTATAAGCCTAATAGTGTGTTTTTCAAGCTTGTATAGTCATTGACAGTCAATGTCAATCTCTTCCATCCCTTCCAACCTTGTTCTATTCCTGTATGGTGCTTGTTGCAAATTATTATTTCAAGGTTCTCCTCTACCACAGGCAACACTAGATATGAATGATGTAAACAAAATGACCTCAAGATGGTGTGGCATAGCTTACTTAATGTTCTGGAATAACTAGTATGTACCTGATCCAATAACAAGAGGTTTTCTTCTACCAAGCCTGTCTGATAGGAAACCTCCTATAACAGAACTAACGAATAATTTGTGGTTAGAATTTTTTTTTAGTTTTGCAAGGGTGTCAGAGTTTTCATGGATTACATGTAGGTAACCCTATCAAAAGCAACATTGATCATTCATAAACAGCAGGTCATGTCACTCCTCTTTTTAACCTTAGCCATCAGCCTAACTACCAGGTCCTCAACGTTTTCCAAATCACATGCACTGTTCTGACACACTCCCTTTTAAATACAGAGGGAATAAAATGGCCTCACACAAACTGATCACATAAAATTCTACTTACAACAGTGCAGCAGAAAACAGCATTGGAAGAAGCAGCATTGCTACACTCCTCTCAGGAGACCAGCAGTTTGGTAAAGTCACCATGTCTCCCAGCCAAAACTCAAGAAAACTATCCATCAAAAAAATGACAAAAACAATTCACCAACATGCCTATGGTTCATGACTAACCAATTTGATGCAAAAAAATCTAAGAAAATCATGCATGCCCTCTAACATTTCAACTGACCAAAATCTAATTTGCTTTACATATACTTGTTGATAAGTTGAAGGAACTGGGTGTTAAATCCACATAACACCCTACACCTAATATGTAGGTCTATTCTTGTAGTTTAATTGTTTGCACTTTTACATATTGACAGTGAAAGGCGAAGTTACAAGTGAGTCCCTTCCACTGTAATATCTGAAGGATTTTGAGCAATGCAGTGGAACACTGTTGTATAGGAGATTCCCCACCAAAGTTCTGGGGTCACCAGGGATGTAGCTAAAGTTTTTAACAGGCAGGAATCTTGCAATGATAGACGGGTATTTGGGCCGAAGGCCCACTCTAGCATGCCTTTGGCACACTATACCTAGATTTGAAGGTGTAAACAAATGAAATAAATAAATAACAATCTTCTGACAACATTCAAAAACATTTTGGAGAAAGAAGTAGTGCGTCACAGCCAGAAAAATCGCATTCACAGCCGGGTAATTTTCCCGGCTTCCAGCTATTATCTACATCCCTGGGTCACTACATTGCTTTTTAAGGAAACACACTTTACACGTAACTCTGCCTCTCTCCATCTGGTGACATAATAAGAGTTCTGTTGCATCATAAGTTTAATATAATTAACTAGCTTCTCATCAAGATGATGAATATTGTTTCATAAAGGTGCAACCAGGCCTTACCCAGTGACTGTGGCAACACCTTGCTGCATAAGGAATCTGGTGAGGAAAACCCATCTGAAATCTCGCTCTACAAGACAATACAATAAAAACATATAGCTCCATAAATTCTTGGAAAAGAACTTTATAATGTATTGAAGCTGTAAAGCTGAAATTACTTCTTCCTTCCCTCTAGGAGTGGAGGTGTTAAAGCCCAAAAGACAAGTCACCGCATTGGTGAATCAAGTATCATCTCCCCAGATGCCTCTTTCCCAAAATGGCAGAAAATACAATTATCCTTTTGCCTCCATGTTAGTTAGCCCCTAGCTACTACCTATTTCAAGCAATAGATTCTATTGAAATCTTCTAAGAACAGAGCTTCAACACACAGTTACCCAGCTCAGAGGAAAACTATCTCCTCATAAATCGCAGATGTTAACTTAACACTTTGACCCTTAAGAATGTCTAGCATCAAACTTCCCATTACAATATCATCCCTGGATCACAAATTATGGTCACAAATCACCAACTAAAGAAGCTCTTGATTGTTAATAAGTTCTCCTTGTCGCTACATTAGGAAATGCAAAGAGAACAGTATGGAGAATGTAAATACTAATATTAGGGTGTAAAAGGTTAACAAACCCAGTCTGATGAAATTGTGCTTGGAGCTCAAGATATTACTGAGCATAAAACATAAACTAATCATCGGGCAGAGGAATGACAGTCAAATAAACTCAGACCATAAGTAAGTTCCAAGGAAAAGGGAAAGATTTCATGTTTGGAACTCACCTTTTAATGGTTCCCAGTAGGCATGAAATACAGCCTTCAGACCTGGTAAGAGATATGAGCATTTGATTCATGACTGTGTCAAGTATTTCATTGTTCCACCCAGCCTACCTTTAATTAGTTAATAACAATTTTCTCAGGTGACCACAACTTTACATTCTCTTTCTGCCTTTAACCTAGCATTTGGCATGTCACAGGGCTCTATGCTGGGCTGTACCCCTTATGTACCCCATAACCCATTGTGCACGACCCTCATAACAGGATTTTTCTATTATTGATTATGTTTTTCAAAAGAAATCATGCAGGGCACAGCTTATACAATAACAATCTATCCTTAACACAATGCAACTGGTCGATTCACATGAAAAATTGTCAAATGTAAACAATGTGAATCACAGGGGTCACAACTCACCTATGGGCTTGTGGGTCACTTTATTAGGGGGCTCTGGACAGGAGAACACAGTGAGCACTACACACAAAAAGTACAGGATGGACACCAAGGAATACGTGCCAACCACTCCAATTTTCTAAAACAAGACAGAGATACATAATTATACTAATACAGCCAATGGAAAAAGCTAATAATAATATAATTACCAACTGAAAAGTTTTAATCAAAACAACCATTATCATCAAAAGCATATGCTTCTCTTCTGTTCATTCATATTATGCGCGTCAATCACTGAATGAGAATCTGTGTGTAAACCCTGTTCAAACAACTCAATGTGGTATTCGTTCTCTTTGTTAAACTGATACCACACTCTGGAATTCATTACCAATTAATGTTAAACAAATCACTCCCTTTTTTAAATTTCATCAAAATATAAAGAATTCTACGATTGAGGGTTATAATAGAACTATTAACTCTTAAATAGTTTGTGTAAATAAATTTTAATTGTTAGTAGTTTGTATCAAAAGTAATACTTTTTTATTGAAATTGTTATTAACACTGTATTCCTTTTGTTAGAATTATTTGCTTTGGGACCCACTTGATTAGTTCTTAGAACTATTTGGGTGTCCCAAACTCCACACAATTAACAAAGAATTTAAATACTATTTTCTTCCTGTCCCTTTTCATTTCATAGATATCCTTAGTAGCAATCAATGAACATAATTTCCAAGGAAGAGCATTGTTCAATGTTATTCAACTTCCCAGCCAACAGAAGGTTGCACTGAGTTTAGTTTTCTTCCAAATGTTATAGACAGTTATTGAAAAAATAGTCAAATTTTATTTTGTATTTACATTATCCAGCAAACAGGTAATGAGAATGCTCAATTTTAACAGGTAGAGGTTTTTATCTTGGTCTACCACCAAATCCTAGGTACTGTAACTAATTTACAAGGAAGTGCATAGCAGCATATGAGGAGAGAATTACCAATCAGATCTTTAGAGTTACAGGGCTGAATCAATGATTTATAACAATTTCTTGGTTTGTTTAAAAAAATTATTCAGTTTCATTGAATATCACAGACAGTACAGTTACATACTCACCGGAAAGAAAAAGCCTATGAGAGCTCCTGTTACATTTCCAACTAGTGTCATGGCTCCCATAACACCAGAACTGAAGCCTGTTATTAGTGAGGTTAACAGTTTTCAAAGTTAAATCGCATTTTTTTAAATACTCAAAAAATATTATAATTATATTCATTGTTATTGAAAAAGACAAATATGGTAAAAAAATTATGATGTCATGTTAATGAAAAACTTTGATCAAACTTTAACCCTTTACACCCTAAGAGTGATAAGCATCTTAATTCTTTTGACAGCATCACCTCTGAATCAAACATTCGGGTAACAAGAATACAGGAAATGATCACCAGCTGAAGAAGCTCTTGTTTGTGAAACAATCTCACTTTGGGAAATTTATTGAGAACACAGTATGGAGAATGTGCATACTGATATTAGGGTGTAAAGGGTTATAAAGATTTACCAATAGTTTCTTAGATTTAAACTCAACAAATTTAAACTGGCCAAACTGGTTTTACTGCAAATCCACCTCATTTTACTAAAATTTCAAAACAAAAAAAAATTGGTATAAAGGTTCATTGATATTTTAAACTGCTTCTGTCAATGCTCTTATTTAACACTCCGGCCTACACAAGAAATTAACAACAGTTGTTTAAAATATTGCAATAGGTATCCAAACACTTTAAATAGATATTCAGTAGTCATTATCATCTAGCTGTATACATTATGTTTAATTTCCAAATGAATGTGACTCATTGTTACTTTTATTTAAAGAAAATCAATTTTTACTTTTTAAATATTTTCCTATTTTCTTTGAAGTATACTTCAGTTTGTTGATAAAGCAAAATTTAAATAGTGTGTAGTTAAAGAAAATCTCCACTAACATCCCAAGAGGGTAACCTTGGATGTTCAAAGGGGACAGAAAGTTCATAAATACAGACAAAATCACCCTTTCAGGTGAGACAAATTCCCAACTGACAAGAAACCTTTTACCAAGCAAAGCCCTGAGAAGGAAATTAAAAAGGAATTTTTCAGGGGGAAAGGGGGAGGATATAAAATGAAAGCATGTAACTATTTTCTGGGGCTACACAATGTAATTTAGGCAAAAATCTGCACATTACAAAGTCCAGGATTTTCATGGTCAGTTCACACATTCAATTATTCCTTTCAGCTTAAGGTGCTATTAATTGCAAGTGTCTTACCTCTTTGGAATGGTGGGGTCAAATCAGCAATCAGTCCATTATATGGTACACTCATTATGGAATAGCATGCCATTACACACAGATAGAATGCAATGTAAAGACCTGTAGGGCCAATCAATTGGAAGATTGGTTTAATACACCTTGGTAGATGTTTATAAGGAGTTATAAGGATGTTAGTCAGCTGTGCCTCACAGTTTCATTTCAGTTTTAAACATTTTTTACATAATTTCTAAATTAGGTAAGAGTGTCAACTATAGAAAAGAGTGTTAATCCTTTCGCTCCCGAAATAAATTATCATCTAACTTCTCCCTACAATATTCATACATTTTTCAACAAAATACTCAACATTGTCAGGTAGAGGTTGTTATATTGATCTGACACTGAATTCTCTTAACCCTTTGGCTCCCATGAATGACCAAGACAGAATTTCTCCTTACATTTTCAATATAACTTCAAGCAGAAGGGTAATGAGAATAAAGAGAAATATAAATTAGGGGATTAATAGTTGATCCAGTACCAAATTCTCCAAATTTAATCATAGGAACTGTAAGGCAGACAGTAAGGGGAACTACTCATTAGATCTTGGGAGTGAAAAGGTTAACTGATTTGCAAGGAAATGTGATTCAGATAGAGGGGGAGAATTAACTATTGGATCTTAGGAGTTAAAGGGTTAATTTAATAAACAAACCTATATTTCCTCTTGAGTCTTCTTTCTGCATTAGCATACTCAGCAAGAAGCTTGTGTCCGAATTAGCAGTAGAATTGTCCTCTGACTGCTCTAAGATGGTCAGGTTATAGTACGGCAGACATCGCCGCAGCTTTAAATCCATAGAACACTAAATGGAAAGAAGATATACACTGTACTGTTAACTGACTTACTCCATGGATGCAAGATCTACCACAAAATTGCATGTAGAATGACTACTTACTGTAACATTTGAAATGTCACTGCAAATAGAATGAAAAGAAAACACCATTAATAGGATTGTTGAAAACCAACTTCAACTAAAACTTGAGGACATGCTGGTGACACATGTTATTTCTCAGACATTGAGTCTTAATGAGAAAAAACAGAACCTGAAGTCTTTTCTTCCAATAAGGACTGACCTAGGCCAGCAAAGAACTTTTAATTTTTTTCCAGCTGGTTTGCTTCTTGCCACTTTGATGCAAATAGAATGGGAAAAAATTCTGGACTATTATCTGTATTATAAAAAGCTGGACTAGTTTTGATATTTTATAGGCCAATCAGACTTGAGGAATTAAGATTCTGTCCCAAAAGATGCTTCAAGAAAAAAAATTACCAACCAAACAACAGACTGACTGACTGACTTACAGACAGACAAAAAAGATGATTGAATGACTGACTGACTGACAGACAGACAGACAGACAGACTGACTGACTGACTGAATGACTGACTACCTGCCTAACTGATTGTCAGACAGGTCAACAGACTGACAGCCTGTTGACTGTATGAACAGCTGATAGAGAGTGACAGCCTACCTACTTGCTGACTACCTGACTGACTGATTGTCAGACAGATGGTGACAAGCAGATGCTCACAAGCAGATGCTCACAAGCAGGCAGACAGACAAGCATAATATATTATGGACAGTTTATCTAAAACACAAGCTGTAGCAAAGAAGGAGGCTATAGTGATCACAAACTAGCTCACTAACCCCACAAAGACACTCACCAAATGAAAGGTCATTTAAGAGAAGAGCAATTACCCATGAACAATGGATGGAAAATTTTTGTCTCACCTTTCAATATCAGGAGCACTAAATGCCATTCCAAAAAGCGATATACTGCAAAAGAAAGGCAAAAAACTTTCAAGCAAGTTTGTATACCAGTAATGACAACCAAGCTGATGAGAATAAAAATTTAAGACCAAATAAAGGTACAAAGTAACTATCATACCAAAGTAACACAGTTCCACCAAGCATCAGAGGGCGTCGTTTTCCATACTGTGACACAAGACGATCACTAGGGAACAATAAAATGAAATGTATGGAAAGCTGATCTCAAGTTGATTTTCCAGACCAAGGTGATGAAATAAAGATAAATTTTCTACTGTCAAATGCTGACCACATTGAAACAGGTCAGACAAGAATCTATAAATATGGTACAAAACAAAAATATTTAAATTTGATTTATTATAAAAGAAATAACAGAACACATCCTGGATGGCTCTAAGTGTTACTCTTACCTTTTCATTCCAACCAGAGGGCTCAAGAAAAATGTAACCACTGCAGAAAAATGAATTCATCAAAAAATTATAATTCCTGTGGAAAATAGACTACAATGTGGGATCAACAAGAAAACTTATTATTACTTTACTGACAATTGAAACTGATGAACTCACCTGCTCCAGCAGCAACCATGCCTCCAAGCACTTGACCCTTCTGCCCTGAGCCAACTAATGCATAAACTTGAGATGGCACAACTGGATAAAAACAACAAAAAGGTTAAGTCTGTACTCAAGCCTATTGGCCTACCAAGCCAGAGCTTATCTTGGCTTCCCTTTAACATGAAGTGACTTATGGAATGGAGTGGAGTGAGACATTACAAGACTGAAGTGTTTTGTCCAAGAACAGAACACATTGACCTGGCCTGGCCTCTGAACATGGAGTGCAGTGTGTCTCTGACTGATAAAAGCAATATTAATGCAATAACTATTATTTGAAAAAAAGCAAACTAACAATGAAGCCTTCTTTAGAAACTTTGAACAACATTACATAATCTGAGCCGAGCAGTTTAAAAGTAATTTTAAAATACATGATAATAAAAGACCTAGGATTATAGCATAGATGAACCTTTCTTTCAGGAACCAATCTCACATACACTTAAATTGTAAAGCTGAGCCTGTAACTATAACTTGTGGCCAACAACATTCTGTTGCAAATAACAAATACCACAGATATTTTAAAAATTCAAACAAAAGCACACTGCTATTTATTTTAAAGAAATCTCTTGGGGAAAACAACTTTGCAAACTAAAAAAATGCTAAGAACTGAGGTTTTGGCACAAGGTGTGCCACCTCTGTGTAAGGGAAAAAGTTTAATTACACTCAGTGAAACAGGGAACCCATTCAGGCCAAATGAGGACAAGCAGCAGTCATCTAAAAGATCACCTCTATGTTGTAACCAAACATTAGTAACCAAAAGAAATTTGTACAGAAATTTTGCTGAACCTGTGTTCTTTCTCACATAATACCACCCTTACAACTGGCTGGTTGAATCAAGTACTTACCCTCAACTGACAGAATAAGATACATGACATTCATGCCAAACCAAGAGATGTTCAAAAGGAACACCCTCGACTTTGAGAGTGCAGGAATTTGGTGGGATGCATCCAATCTGAATAAAAATCAATTGATCCATTAAAAACTGAAGTGACCAAAGGAGCACAAAGGATTTTTTATACAAGTCCTAGTCGTTTTGAAATTCACTGAAGGAACAGACATCAGTGGGATCCACCAAACCAAACTAACACCCAGTCCCACACACCAAATTCTAAAAAACAAAATAGCAAATTCCAAATACCAATTAACAACAAATACTAAATTCTAATTAACCCTTTAACTCCCAGAAGTGACCAACATGTAACTTCTCCCTATGATATTCATATATATTCTAGCATTCAGTTAATGAGAATACTCAAAATTATCAGGTAAAAGTTTTTATCTTGATCTTATACCAAATTCTCATAACTAATTTACAAGGAATCATATGGCAGCAAGTGGAGAGAAGTAATAATCAGATCTTAGGAGTTAAAGGATTAACCCTTTAACTCCCATAAGTGACCAAGACAGAATTTCTCCTTACAATATCAAAACAATATCAAGCAGACAAGTTATGAGAATAAAGAAAAATATCAGTTTGGGGATTATAAGATGATCCAATACTAAATCCTCCAAACTAACATCACAAGAACTGTATGGGAGATAGTAAGGAGAATTACTAGTGAGATCTTGGGAGTTAAAGGGTTGACAAGTAGATTCCATTTTGCCATGGGTGTGTTTAGTAAAAGATCACAGATGACATCAAAATGTGGTTTGAATATACAAAACAATGACACACCATAGCAATACTTGCAACTCTGCCCTTCATGGTAAAGAGAATCAAATTTCATTTTCTTTTTATCTGTTAAGTTGATAGCCATAATTAGAACAGAACTCACTGCTTGTCATCATGGCGGTGTTGTTGTTCAGATTTTTCCTTGTCCTCAAATCCCTGAAGTCCTGTCCCAGATTCTGTAAAAAATATACCATAACATATCCCTAAATCAGCATTATAATTAAATACAGAAGAATTATTTAAAGCCTAACAGCTATTAGCGACAAACAACAAGCACTTCTCCAGAGGTTGTAATCAGTCATCAAGGACTAGGGAATTCTCTCACTTCTATGTATGCAGAATTCTTTGGTTTTTTTAGAATTAACCAGTCTGATTCCATTTTGACAATCTTACTACTAACAATAAGTTTTATTTATTAACAGCTTCTATGTCTTTTCATCAGACAAAGGTCATGGCTATGCATTGAGATCTTGACTTTTTTAAAAAAATTTGTTGTTTATTTTGTCTCATAGTGGGACAAAGAGAAACCAGAGTCTTCCATGAGAAATTGAAACTGCGCTTGAAAGCTCCACAGATTGCAAATATTCTGCACACTTCTAGGATCTCTGAACAATGTTAAAAGGGCTGACTGAGTAAATAGATTAATCAAGGAGGTTTTTCTTTCTTGGTCCAACCTCAATGACAAAATGAGTAACATCTTTCTGTATTTGAAAAAAAGGTCACGATTGGCAATTGCACTACATCCATCCCCACATTTGTGGGAGGTACATGTATTTCTCCCTAAGTACACTCCAATTCCCAGTTACTAGGTTTACACTTTGCTCAATTTAAAATTTTATTGTGTAAACATAAAATTGCTAAGATTTGCCACATAAACAAAGTGCAAAAGTCACCTCTGTCCAACAAATGAAGAAAATCTAAATTCTTTGATCTAAACTGCACAACACAAAGCCTGTAATTGCTTTAATGTCTAACACTGAAACAAATTTTAGTTTTTTATAAGTAGAAATTGTTTCAACTGAGTTTTAATTAATTTCTTTTCTTTTATCGAACTGGGGCAATTTACCATGATTCTCAGCCAAAGAGGATAAAATTCGAACTTGACATAAGTCTGGAAGCCTGGAAGCCTGAAATCCATTTCAAACTTCAATATTTGTTATCATATTAATTCATCATAACCTGGTGACAGAGATCCAGTAAAATTATTTACACGCTAGAGAGTATCCTTACCTAAGTCTAACAGTGGATCGCTTTCCCATATAAAATTGATTTATTACTTGTATAATGGCATCGTTACATGACGATTCTCGAGTTACACTTGGAAGCACATATCACTCAAGAGACCCAATAGTTTGCTAAATGCAGCGACATTTTTAGAAATCTGTCGTACTTCTTTATTGATTCTAAAGAAACAAATCTATGTCACTAAAAATAACACCCTTTCTGCGTACTACGTTAATCTCTCCATGATAGACTAAAGTACTAATCAATGGCACAAAATGAGCAATATGAAATTATATAAAACCACAAAAAATATATTGTTAAATCACCTTTATCTGAGGGTGCTTCCTCCATTTTAACATCATTTTCTGGGCTAAAATGGTAAAGAAATCAAACGTCATGACAACTTCACCATTCGTAAAACAATTTTTTCGCGATCAAAAACCATAAATATTGAAGAAAATCGTGTCTAATTTGAGTATATCCTCACCGACCTTGTCTCCATCCTGGTCAAAGAAATAGATCAGGACATCCTTCTATAACACTAACACCCATGAAGATGAATTTTCGGGCATTTTTCACGCCTTCGACGAGAAAGTTTATGTGTCCTCCGCTCGCTAAATCAGATCATCGCCATGTTGACCAACTGACATCACGAACTCGATCCCAGTCCCTTAAAATTATAGGATAATTTTAATTTAATAAATTTTAATCTAATTTCAGTTGATGGTACTTTTGAGTTGATATAGTAAATTGGCCACCGTAAGGAGTTAAAAAGCTGACGTTTCGAGCGTTAGCCCTTCGTCAGAGAATGGCGAAGAGCTAACGCTCGAAACGTCAGCTTTTTAAATCTTTACGGTGGCCAATCAGTTAATAATACTTAAATTACCCTGTTATACTCTCCCACCGACGCAGCTGGCCCACAATAGTCAAGAAAAAAAGAAATGACCTCGCGGCAAAAGAAATAGCCTCGCGGCAAAAAGAAGAAAACTCACGGCCAAACAAAAAACCTCTCAGCCCCCACGCTCTCTTTTATGCCGTTAGGACATTGTTATTTCCTTTGCCGTGAGGTTATTTCTTTAGCCGTGAGTCTTATACTTTTGCAGTGAGGTTATTCTTTTGTGCTGTGAGGACATTGTTATTTCTTTTGCCGTGAGGTTATTCTTTTATGCAGTGAGTCTTTTACTTTTGCAGTGAGGTTATTTCTTTAGCCGTGAGTCTTTTACTTTTGCAGTGAGGTTATTCTTTTATGCTGTGAGGACATTGTTATTTCTTTTGCCGTGAGGTTATTCTTTAATGCAGTGAGTCTTTTTCTTTTGCCGCGAGTCTTTTACTTTTGCCGTGAGGTTTTTTCTTTAGCCTTGAGTCTTTTACTTTTGCAGTGAGTCTTTTACTTTTGCAGTGAGTCTTTTACTTTTGCAGTGAGTCTTTTACTTGTGCAGTGAGTCTTTTACTTTTGCAGTGAGTCTTTTTCTTTTGCAGTGAGTCTTTTACTTTTGCCGTGAGGTTTTTTCTTTAGCCGTGAGCCTTTTACTTTTGCAGTGAGGTTATTCTTTTGTGCTGTGAGGACATTGTTATTTCTTTTGCCGTGAGGTTATTCTTTTATGCCGTGAGGTTTTTTCTTTTGCCGCGAGTCTCTTACTTTTGCCGTGAGGTTTTTTCTTTTACCGTGAGTCGTTTCTTTTTTCTGTGAGGTTTTTTCTTTTGCCGTGAGGTTATTTCTTTAGCCGTCAGTCCTTTACTTTTCCCGTGAGGCTATCCTTTTTACCGTGAGGTTTTTTCTTTTACAGTGAGTCGTTTCTTTTTGCCGTGAGGTTTTTTCTTTTGCCGTGAGTCTTTTTCTCATTGCAGTGAGGTTTTTTTCTTTTGTTGTGAGGTTTTTTCTTTGGCCGCGAGTCTCTTCCTTTTTACTGTGAGGTTCTTCCTTTTGCCGTGAATCTTTTTTTCTTTTGCCGCCAGGCCGTTATTTCTTTTGCCGTGACAGCTGTGGGCCACTGTACTTTAGAAACTTAACTCCTTTTTTCATTTACCTTAAAATTAAAGGCAAGCAATAAATCGATAGGAAATAGGCCTTATTACCGTAAAAAATATCTCCCGATAAATAGGGTATAATGATTTTGAATGGATTTCTAACTTATGCGGCTTTATTTTCCATTATATGACTGTGGACTACATAAATCGCGCACGTGCACTACAACATTCACATCTAAAACAATCTTACCCCGGACCTCGCCTCTTCTCTCGTGTGTGCTAAATGGTATTAAACTAGTAATAATCAAAGATCAGTAAAGTGCGTTCGATCTTTAGTAAAAGGCTTTTTTTATTGTACTGATTGCGCAGAAAATAATCAGTGTCTTCAGTTCAAGGCGGCCAAGAAAACATTTGCACAGCCAGCCAGCCAGCCAGTCCAAAATGGCGCCCAAAGCCTGAAATCGCATGGCATCACGATCGATCCCCTTAGGACTGGTCCATAAAAACCCTCGAGAATGATTTCCGTAAAAACGACACGATTAGTATGCGCTCTCCTTCGTCGAACGCAATGATGTTTTGAAAATTAGAGACACATCCCGCACGAAAATGCTCGTCCCTGTGTTGGAATTTCTATCACAAAGATGCGTCCTTGAAAACCTCTCAGTAGGAGGGGATGTTTCCTAATCCAAATTTGGAATAGGAAAACTGAAGTCGAACGACGAAATAAAAAACGCGGACGAACAAAATGTCACACAAGGAAGAATAACATAGCATAGACAATTATATCAGTATCATTGCCGGTCTCCACTTTTCGATCTTAAAGTATCTCCTTCCCATCAACAGTGTTCAAGAGATCATTTGCAAGCGCTCACGGTGTTAAAGTTAGTCCTATACAAGAAAAGAAGAGAGGATGTGGGGTGTTTTTATTCAAATGAATAAAGGAGGTAAATTTCTAAAGAAACTGTGGTGAAGCGTCGGTGGGAAAGTATAGCAGGTAATTTAGTGTTAACAACTGAGTTGAAAACGTAAATTGGCCACCGTAAAGAGTAAAAAAAGCTGACGTTTCAAGCGCTAGCCCTTCGTCAGAGTGATTGGAAAAGAGAGATTGCGAAAAGATAGTACCAGTCTTTTCACAACTCCCACTTATTTCATTCAAACGTGACAAAAACATAGGCAACATTTTCGTCGGAAGTTCATTTCAAACCAATTACCAATCTGGAACTTTCAAATGTGCTCGCTCACGATGCAAAACTTGTCCTTTCATTCATAACGTAGAGAAAATATCGGGACTCAAGAGATCCATTAAGATCACTCAGTGATCACTTTACACTTTACGTGTACCTCCGCCAACGTCATTTACTGCATAACTTGCACTTATTGCAATAAGTTATACATTGGTGAAACAGGTGGACGACTAGGTGACCAATTCCGAGAACACCTTCGCGACGTGGAAAGAAATGACGAGAACGTATCCAAACCAGTCGCTAGACACTTTAATCTCCAAAATCATTCTAAACAACATATGGCAGCTGCGGCCTTTCCTTACATCTAGGCGGTTCGCAAAGTCGCAAAACACTAGAACAAAATTTTGTCTTTCAAATCGGCACTCTTAATTCCCACGGTATCAACGAGCGTTTTTCATTCAACTGATTTATTCTTGTTTCCTCGCCACAATTCTCCCACCAATAGCGTAGCTCCACTTGCTGCATAAAAATCCACAATTCCTCCAATCGCTCTGACGAAGGGCTAACGCTCGAAACGTCAGCTTTTTTACTCTTTCCGGTGGCCAAGTTTCGTTTTCAACTCAGTTGTTAACACTGAACTACCTGTTTTTATTCAAACCGAATAAAGTGATGTAGTGGAAATGTTTAACTGTTTCTCGATTAAAGAAGCATTTTTTTGCCTCCTTTGATGGTTTATTGGTGAATAGTAATTGTCAATCAGAGTCTGCTGTATGCATACTACCAGCCTATAATTTGATCGCTGCTTGTGACCAATCCAAGAAACAGGGCCGATGTCATGGAATAGTGAATTCATTTCTTTGCTTCGTCAAATATGCGGATAACGAACTTGGAACGTTTCGACTTGGCTTGCAAGAAGTTAGAAGCTGGAGCATCTTATGTAGGAAGATTTACCGTGTCAATAAAGTAGTATAAAAGACGATAACGGATCAGGTTGAATTATTTTTACTATTTCCATACAAAAACAACTAAAAAATGTTACTAGGCCTTCTAAGCCCTCTTTCAACGAGGTAATTATCCAGTTTCTAGCATCTAACAGTTAATTTGCACATTGTATGAATGTGTTGCTTAAATGAAACATTTACACTGTGACCAAACTATTATTAAAATCAGTTTTCCCTAGAATTGCCATAAATCAGCATTCAAGGTGGCGTTCGTTCAATCAGTGAACGCAATTAACTTTAAAACACTATAAATCCTAAATGTCTGCCGAGAAGAAACGCTTTTCAATCATTAAAATTTGAATTTGCGTCCTTCTAGCGATTTCGATCCATTTAGCGACGTTTACAAAAACACCACTGTTGTACACGAAGATGTCACACGTTCCTGAGAGTTCTTTCGATCACTGCGGTTTGTGTGTGAGCGATCTCCAAGCTTCATGCGAAAAAGTGTTCAGAGGAACGTTCATGAAATTATTTTCACACCCACGAGTCAGAGGTTGCACCTTCCCCTCCTTGTAATTTATACGTTTTCTTTTTACTCTTATCTACACGAGCGTATGCCGGTTCTTCTTGAGGCTGTCCACCCCCGTCAGGGTAAGCCGGCGGTTCAACTGGAGGTAAAACTTGAACACCCCCGCCTCTCTCGACACCCGACCGATGATCGATTTCCCTATAGCCACTCATGTCTTCCATCTCCAACTCGTTTCGTGTGTTGTTCGGTTCTCTTCGCCGCCGAGCATCGTCATCGGCTTCATAACCATCTTCGGAAAATCTTGGGGGTGCACTTCTTTGTTCGGGGTCATATTGAGGTTCGGGGATGGACGTTTCGTCGGATCGTATTGGTCGTGGTTCGTTCCTTCCGACAGCAGACGGCGCTCCTCTCTGCGGTCCCCGTGGCATTGTTACCTCGTCGTAAGGCCGCGGGGTAGTTGGAACATGACCGTATTCATCTCCAATTTCTTTAGTAAATTCCCAGCCTTCTTTTTTGAGAGAGCTTCGAAGAGCTGGTAAGTTCCAAAGAGTTATTAAAACCTGTGGTGCAACAATGAAAACGGCATTTCAACACATGACACAGACGCAAAATGAAATGTTTAAGTTATGTAGAACTAATAAGCGATTTAAAAAAATCAGACGACGCCTGCTTTAAAACGTGCACGAGTCCAAATCTTGCTTTTTCTCATGCAATTATGATTCATTTTCACACAAAACGTTTTGCACTGAACTTCATTTCAAAGTCGACGGTTTTAAGATCTCGAAAACTGGGATGTCAGTCCATCAAAGGTTATTTCCCCATCCCCCCTAAATATTTTGTCATCTATCCCTGTCAATTCTTTAGAACCCATTTTCAGTCTTCGGTGGAGAGGGGTGTAGTGGTTGGCATGTACCTTCTTTTTACAGTATTAATGCATCACGTACCAAACGGGCAATGAGACTAGACAAAGTTGTCGTAATTTTACAACCAAATCATTATAAAGACTTGGCTGTTACCCAGCCCCCCAATCAATGTGTGAGAACCTCCTCGCTGGCCTCTCCCGCCAGCTCAGCCGGTAAGAGAATCATTTTTTCTACATCAACTTCAAGGAAATGTCTGTAAACTGTTGGGAGAACTAGAGTCAAATCGTGAGAATTGAAGAGTTAATTGCATGTTCTGTCGTACCTGATTTGCTGTTTTTACAATCCTCGGAGAGTAATGATCTCGCGACTTGGCGATCGCAATAATCTTCTGAAACCCTCCAACTTTATGAACATGTCTAAGATAAAGGGAAAAGAAAACAAAGAGACAATTAGAAAAAAAGAGAAAGACGAGGATTATCGGTCAAAGATGAAGCTGGTCATACTTGGAGAACAGTAGAACCAATGACCTTTACACTTATCTGAATGAATACAGTGATTTTTACTGGCTTACTTAGAAGCTTTCTAGACTGAATATCTAGTTAATGCCAAGAACAGTAAGGAAGTGCATTGTATCGTGGATAAACCTGGTATTAATAGCATTACCTTCCATTTACTAGACTCTTATTCACGAGTTGATGAATCGCGCACAGTATAGCACCAATTGTATTCTCTTCAGCTTTGACATTTAAAGAGGTGCGATGATCAGGAAGGCGATGAACCAGATCTTTAATTCCGTATTTAGCTGTGAACGAGAAGAGAAATAAAAGCATGAACAAAAACAGTCCCAACTGCAAAATCGAAAATACTCCGCTGCGTCTGGCATTAACTAACAGAGGTTTCCCAAACGGTTACTTCCGAATATGTCCCCATGTCCTTGTTAACCTCGGTGATCACTTGCAATTAGTGCTTTCTCTAATAAAACGGCGCTAAACTCTAAAAAATGAGAAAAGGTCAAGATACACACCTAAAACATCCTTGTTCCTCGGGTCGATTGCTAGATTTCTCATCGCTGTTGAAACAGCTCTCACCACAGGATCATGATTTATTCGTAGGAGTTCCACTAGAATGGGAAGACCCTTCTCTTTCCGTACTGCTGATCGGACAATCATAGCCCACTGAAAAATTAATTTGTAGGAAACAAAAACTACATTAAATTACTAATCTCCCTTTCTCTTCGTTCGCAAAAAATCCCAAAAGAAATTCTAAGTCACCCTTTATTCAGCAGATGAAGAAAACCACTTTTATCTCTTAGACCTCTAAGAGCGACTAACATCTGATTTCACCACATAACATCAATCCTGAATTTCACATTAGGGTCATGAGAATAACGGAAATTATCATCAACTAAAGAAACTCTTGATTATTAAACACATTCTCCTTACCAGCACATAAGGAAATGTATAAAGAACAGTATGGAGAATATGCATATTACTGTTATGGTGTGAAGGGTAAAAGTAACGATGGAAAGTCTGTTTCTCGTTCCCCGGAGCTTCTCTTAGTTTCCGTCGCATAGAGAGATTTGGATTATTACCGCAACCCTCTTGATGGGACGATTGTTCATCACTGGTGACCACTTAGGATTCAAAAGCTTTCCCTGGCACTCATTTATAATCCTGACTGGAAAGATGCAGAGTGAGGGTAAAATGGTGTCTTGCCCATGAGTACAAACGATGATTATGCCAAAGCTCGCAACGGGATATCCCAATCAAATTACGGTGCATTAAATATAAGTGAGTGGCCCACCGTTCAGAGTGGAAGGAGAGTGTTTTACCCAAGCACACACAACACAGTGATTCCACCGCATCTTCACCCTTAACTTATCACTACATTTACACTTGCAAGACATACCCTCCAGCCACATGCTGTAAGATTGTGAATAGCTCCAGCAGACGCTTCTAGTGTCTCAGGATTGGCCGCCTCCGCCATAATTAACAGGTACGACTTGACTATTTCTGGTTGCCATAGTAACTCCACACCCTCCACGGGATCTCTCCTTATCTGTGGCTCTTCAGGTTCTTTGAGCGCTCCTTTCTTTTTCTTCTTTGATCCCGTCCCGCATCCCGCCATACAACCCGGGTCATGTTTGCTTGATTCCTTGCCAGGTTGGATGGGTATTGGGGCGTCCTTGTATCTTTCTCTGTCCACCTCATTTTCCAGTCGGTAGGACAAGTTGCGCAGAATACAGACGGAATTTTCAACAGACTGTTAGACAAAAATTACACAAATTATACTGACACGCTCTAAAACGGGGCTACGTCTCGGTGCGAAAACAGACACAACCTATTCTCAGTACCATATAAATTCGATTAAGAGCCCACCTTCTAGTTAGGAAACGTTAAAACCCACCACCCCACGAAAAAAGAAAAAAAACCGAAGTGTACAAGAGGAGTATTAAAATATCTAATTCACTGTCTATGGTACATCTTCACGCTTTGTTATTATTTATCGTTGTGTGGCAAAAAAGAGTCATTACTCGCTAAAAATGGTGAATATTTAATAAGCGCTTAGCCTCGAATAGATAGCCGCTTCGAATGAGCGCCCACTCTCAAGGCCCAAAAATTTATGACGCACCCAACGCACTAAATCGTATAAAAACGGTAGCTGATGATTTCTCGTTCTCTCATAAGAAATCGTGAAGGTAACGCACCAAGCCGGTATAGAGAAAGTGGATGTTGATCGTTACCGTACCTTATTATCAATATCATTTTTGCCAAGTGGTGCCCTGATGATCCAGACAAAGGAATCCACGAGTCCATCACAGTCCCTCATCACGCGCCGCGCCTCAGGTCCAGCCGAAGACACGTTCCTCAGCACACCGCTGGCGTTACGGAACACTGTGGACCATTTTATGGACGGAAGTGGCATCGAATTGTTGGCGGCAGCTCTGCTCCAGCCAGAGTAAGGGATGATGATGATGGTAACCATAACAATGAGACAGATTTCTAAGATTCGAAGTTTCAGATCCTGTCAGGAATAAAGAAACAATAAAATTGTGTACAGATTCAGTTATTTTCACACTTACTCATTTCATGACAAAATTTGTGAATAAATTGACCTGCAGTTAGCAGAAGCGGTTCAATCAACGGCCTGGGTTCAACTTAATTCATTATTAAATATGTGAAGAAGCTACAGAAACTAAATAATACATAGATTTAGCCAAGCCTAAAAGCAGAACTCGAATTTTTTTTTCCCGCACGTCTCAAGGGCACAACGCCTTACCCCGGCCAGGACTAGAACCCGGGTCGTCCAACTCGGAGCCCAGTGCTCTGACCACTGGACTACTGGACAAAGCCGTGGCTTTGGCGCGCCCGCGGTACAGTTGACCACGCATGTTAAAAGTAGCACCTTGTACGGTCGTACGGTCGTAAGTCCAAATTTTTTCAGCTTGATGGGTTAATACTATTTAGTATAATTATGGGGCTACGCTCTGCGAGCTCCGCTACTTTAAATAAGGGAAATTCAGTAACGAACAACTGTACAACGGAAGAGCGGTAGAAGACAAACGGTTAGATCAATTTGATTTAATTTAATAGTCTTTGAGTTTTAAAATAAATATTTTCAACAGCGAGATTGGAATCTCCATTTCCATCTCTCACCATTATCTCATCAAGCCGTCCACGCTGTTTTCGGCGTTCAGAGCATTTTTATGTTCTCAGAACACGACTCGACTTTGCGAATGCAAACAGAAACAAGTCGCATTATCCTTGTGAACAAACTAACGAAATTCCAGAACTAAACCGTATTTAAAAGTAGAGTTGAAGATTTTCAGACATTCTGGCATTCAATGTCAAGTCTTAGGCAAGCTTAACCTTCTCAATAACAGACTATATTCAAGGAAAAGGTAAAGTTCTCACCTCGCAGGACGACAGATTCCACAAAACACCCAAAACTACTTCCTTAACCTGGGAACGAAAAAAAAGGAAGCGACATGAAAAACCATTAATTTACTTGACTGGAATATATCACTGCTGCCAGAAACTGATAGATAAGACACGATCGAGCTGTATCACCCAAAATATTTCATATGTATAGCTGACAGATACGAAGCTAAAAATGAAATCACAGTCTGCGCAGTTAACTATTGCAATTTGAGATTAAACCTCACAAAGCAAGTGGCCCTTTTACTACCGAGGATTACCAAACCCTCTGTTCAATAAAGCGACAGGTTGTAAGATAATACAGGATTAAAAGTTTAATCAAACTTCACCTTGATCTCTCTTAAAATAAAGCGTAAATCAGGGATTACGTTTTGAGGGGTTTTACCTTATCACGAGACGAAACTGAAGGAAAACTGAATATAAGCAATAAAACTGTCTGCAATGCTACAAAACTAATCAAAAACTGTTGTCGTGCTTTGAGCAACGCGGCCCTGCAGGAGTATAGATACTCAACTCAGAGAGGATGTAAGTGTGTTGCAGATTTGGCAACTGCACCCTTTTCCTTGCCATTTACACTCTTGAGCGAGTAAATTGTCTTGCCCATGAACTCAGAACAATGACCTGGTCTGGCCCGGACTGGGACCCAGGCCTCTCGATCCCGGAGTAAAGCGCGCTCAACACCAGGCCACCTCGTCATAACTGTACTTTAGATTTCGTTTATTTCTCTTTTTCTTACCTCGTCTCTTCTTGTTCTTTTCAACAGTCGTATCAAAGCCTCAATGCCATAACATTCGGCAATTGCCAACTGTTTGAGAAGAAAAGCGAGTTGATTTACATATCTCGGAAACGAATCCTAATGCACCCATCAATGGTTAGCCCTAGGATTTGGGAATGGGGGAGGGGCGATCCCAAGGTTAATTTAACATTTTCAGGTGTCCAAAAGTCAATTATTCCACCCTTGAGTATCCACTATGTGTCAAAATTCCATCCTTGGTGACCAAAGATGCTGTTTCACGCGATCTTCCATGATGCCGACAAAGTAACATTCCCGACTCCAAGGCAGTGCGTCAATGTCAAAATCCTTACCCGAGGGGAACCCTCTCAGCCATTTTTCTGTGGGTAACCTGCCCCCCTTTCCCCCAATCCTGGGGCAATTATTTATAGATACATCACTTATATAACAATCCAAAAAAGAATTTCTCTTATGAGCAACTGAACACCTCACATGACTGTTCACGCTCCGGTTAAAGCTGGAAAACAAACGAGTGATATTTTCCAGGTGATGTCTATTTACGTTTGATAAGATGAAAGTCTAAAACTTGAATTCAATTCAACATAGGAACGTGCTATTGTCACAGAAGAAGACTGAACTTAACCTTCCTGTTGATAAATTCGTAAGAGAGAACGACTAAAGATCAACATAAAAAGCAGTCAACGTTGTCGACAGCAAGTTGTTTGCAAACGTCATGAACCGCGATAACGAAACTATTTTAGATTAACAAACAATCTAACTGCTTCAAAGCGATATTGCCAAGTACAGATGAAGTCCGCAGACAAAAAACCGAGCATATTGAGGCGTCAAACGAAAAATATTATTTTTCGAACACAGTTTACCTTATTCTCGTCCCTCGCCTTGCTGTACGACAAATTCCTCAAACACGCCGCAGCTGAGCGGTGCACCTCGTCTGAGTCGTGATCAAGTAAACGAACCAATATTGGAATTCCGCCGAGCTCTCTGTGGTTAAGATAACAGTTAACGTTCACAATAATACAGTTTCTGTTCATTCAAATTAAAAATTAGGAACCCATTTCACATCTAAAAACACCAAATAAGTAACTTTGAGTTAAGGTAATTTCTTAGCAAACCACTTTTGAGAGCAGCAACAAATGTTACTGTGTGGAGAGAGCGAAGTTGGATCGATTTTCACGAAGAACGAGATGACAGGGAGGGATCAAAATAAAAACATACCAAGAAAAAAGGAAAGGAGGAAATAACAGTAACAAAATAGGGAGAGAGAAAGAGAGATTTATTCCATGTTGTAACATCCGTACCGCTTCGTGCTTCGCTTTCGCACAAAACATTAAGTTGTTCAAGAGAGATTTATTCCACAAAGCATCAAACTTAAAACTTCTGCCGACCATGCGCTCGTGAGGGAAGCTGCCATTAATGTAGTCTGAGTATACACTCTCCTATACGACAGATAAAAAAGGGAATGTTTGTCCAGCTTACCGAACTTTTATCTTGACCTGTTCATCGCTGTACGAGAGATGCTGCAGATAATTAGCAGCATTCACGATAAGCGTGACATCATCTGTCTGTAGGTATTCAATCAAATCCTGTAGATCAGGTTCGTGTGCATAGGTCTTTCTCTCTGAAAATGATGGAAAACATTTGCGTTAAATCTGTACATAGAGAAGTCACCTCCGTAACGAAAACACAGCCTTGTTTATTAGAGAAAGTATTTTTTCAACCTGATAATTGAGGCTGAAATAGCAAAATCTTATGATAAAGAAGTACCGAAGTCGTTCTAACAGACCCCTAAGAACCCTCTCACTCCTACACAAAAAATTAAACTGATAGTGTGGTCAGTAGTTCTTGCAAGGAAGCGTTGTAGTTCAGATCATATCTAAATTTAACTGTTGTTTCCCGCTGGTCGAGAAACGAAAAAAGCGGAAAACGTTCTCACACACATCTATGAGTCTGGGTGCTTATGTGCATGAAGTCTAGTCACATCTTGTTGGGTGGTTCGGCTTCTCTATTGTGGGAGAAAAAGGCATCGTGGGTTTCTAATAAAGATATCTAAGCTTTTTAGCACAGTTAACAGGGCAGCAGTCCAGAAGAAAACCACTAATTCAAATTCAGCCTGCAGAGTTCTAATAAACTTGTCTTCCCCCTTTCTAGAACAATTTGCGCGCCCACCATTTCTCTCTCACCTGCATACAGATCCCTCTCGGTTTTACCATCGTCTTCATAATCCGCTAGCCAGCGGTTGCAAGGAAAGATCCAACACTCGTCGTGAATTATAATCACCACTTCCTCCAAATACCATCCAGTGCCCAGACCGCGCCCATCGTGGCCGATCCGGATCTTCTCCAGCTGCACGATGAGAAAGAGAACGAGAAGCAAAAGGCATGAGAAAACTTGTCACCAGGACCTCCTTCAATTGTGTGTCGAAAGTGAACTAGGACTTTATTGTTAAATTCCTCATACACCGTGATTGGTTGGAAAAAAATCGCTACAGCTCAACCAATCAGAGACAAACAGAAGATTCTGCTATAAAACGAGTGGGTGCGTTTGACTTCAAAGTTATGTTTTCATTCATACTTCCTATGAAAGGATTGACAATTAGCCAGAATTTGAAAATGAGGACTTGTAGAAGTACATATTTGCCTTTAGCAACGTGACCATTTTCGTCTTTGCATAAAAAAGGCTCAAGCTTCGAAGGGGCTGCAGACAAGTTTTGCAATTCTCACATTTTTCATAAATTCCTGAATCGTGTCCGACTTTGTGAAACCTGCAGACTTCCCATCAAAAACAACGAGAAACTGCAAGTTGATGCACCACAAGAAACATATTCAAACTTACATTGCCCACGTCTACAGTTTGCAAGTTGATCTTGGTGTTCATTCCACGTTGGAACTTATCTTTAGTGTCGCAAATTTGTTTCAGTTCAATGACCCCGGTGTCTCCTTTATCACCAAACACCTGCAGGTAGATATTTGAGTCTGTGCCAGCGTTCTTCAAATTCCCTGTCTTTATTCTCACTTGGTAGTCAGAAACTGCGGATGAAATAGAAAATGGGAATCAACACAGTGTTCAATCAAATGTTAAATGTAATATAAGATTACGTTGCTTTTCGCTCCCAAATCTCAGTGACTGGTCCAAAAAACACGCAACATCTCCTTCACCAAACAGAAGCAAAACTTGAATTTGCTTGTTTTCACTCCGTTTCTCATTGGCTCTTTGCAGTTTTTTTTCCTCAGTCAGGACGGCAACGCCAGTGAAGACTTCAATTAAAAAATGAATTTCTGCCGTTAATTAGAATTTCAAAATGGCTGAATGTGTTCACCGTCTCATACGGCGCCACACCTCAACTTCAGCATAACGTATAAAAGAAGCGTTGAGTTCCAAATGAAAATTAAAACAATTTGCCGTCGCGGTTTCGGTTTGCAGACGACGCAATTTGTGGTGATTTCACGTTGTTGTTTTGCATGGGACGGCTAAGAAATGTACAAAATTTTCAAACGCACGTGCTGAGCTATTGTTCTGTTAATTAAATCTATTGTTTTTCCATGTCCTCGTTGCCGTCGCCGTCGTGGTTTGCTTAAGGTCCCTACTCAGTCGAAGGGCACCCTAAACCTTTTACACCCCAACATCAGTAAATATATATTCTCCACACTTTTCTTAACACTTTTCCTGTGATATTAATGAGGAGATTTTGTCAAACAATCAAAAGTTTCTTCAGAAAAGCGATCGTTTCCTTATTCTCCTAACTAATTGATTGAGAGATGATGCTGTGGGAGAAATTCGATGACAGTCACTCTTAGGTGTTAAAGGGTTAAGTAAAGTATGTGGTGAATTTTTAGACAAATCTGTGTGGAAGAGAATGGATACAATTCGCATGATGTTATTGGCATTAAACCGCATTCGGACATGCAAGTTTTCAGCGACAATGCTCTTGTCGCAGAAAAACTATGCGCTGTAAGCTTAAGAAATAAGAACCTCTTAAAAACAGTTTTTAAGGAAAAAGTTGCTGGACTAGACTTTCTCTAGTTGGTCTGCTCCGTGAAAACTTAATGAACTGAGCCCCGCTCCAACTTTCATATTCTATTACCGAGTTATGACCACGACTCATATTCTACTTTGCAGCCGTCGTTTTCTCAAGGTAGGAAAGCGTGCCACGTGACGTGAAGGCTGACGAGAAAACACAACATCTTACCTGGCTGTTTAGGATAAAGCTCTTTGTCTGCATATCCCACGCTCTGCTCCTCTGCTACCCAGGCATGGCAAGGGAAGATCAAGTGCTCCCCCCTGACAGCACTGTTTAGAATCACCTCCTCCACGTACCAGTCTGATAAGGGACCACGGCCATCATGGCCAACACGAAGTTTCTCGATCTAAACAGTGAGTTGTACTCGCGGTTGGTAAGTAAACTTCAAACACTAATAACTATTACATATTCAATTTTCCGTTGTTTCAAGCACAGCTAAATTGCCACTACTAATTCCAGTCAGTCGTAAAAAACACCAGCAGAGTAGTGGAGCTATCATTATTTATTGCCTAAAGGGGGTAGAGGGGGAGGGAGGGCAGACCATTTTGGGGTGGATCACATGGTTTTCATGAGGAACGGAACGGAGGAGGAGCAGTCGTCGCCAACAGAGCAATAAATAATGACCGGTTCCTTCAACACTTTCCGATCTAACCATGTTGTTTACGTAAATAGTGCTGTTTTTGTTTTTCGGGGTTTTTTTTACAATGTTTTTATGTTTTTTATTTCGTAGCATATACCTTGCCAACATCACCAGCTTCCAAAGTGAAATAATCAGTCTGTCCTCGTTCAAACAGGTTATCCATCGTTCCTGATTTCTTTAGCTCTACATGTCCCGTGTCTCCTTTATCACCATACACCTGCACCCAGACACTCGCATCTGTACCTGCACTCTTCTCGTCGCCTGTCTTGATAGCCAAGTGGTAGAGGCCTTGAATGAAAATAAGTAAAATAACGTTAGACGCCTAGTGGTGCCTTGGAGGACCGTTGTTCATCTCGTTTTCGTGGCAAAAAGAACAAAGGAATATTATATTGCTAATCCTAAAAGACTGGACAATTCCGTATGTTGAAGTTCTTTTGCTACTCGTTGGTAGACGTAGACACTCAGAGAATAAAATGCTACGCCCGTAAACACGACAACCGCACAAGACTTGCCTGAGTTCAGAAAAATTACAATTTTTTTTTCTTAGTCATGAAGAGAGGAAGGTTTTTTATTGGCCGACAAGCTGAAATTTACTATCTTCCTAACTCTAACTCACTCTACAGTGTATCTCTGTATAGGACGCATTTGAAGTAACTGATCCTAGAATTGCGTAAGATGCTTGTCATATAGGAACATAATGGATGGTTTGGCTCGCCAGAAAGTTCTCTTTCACTCAGTTGGAAAAGAATCAAACCGCGAAATCCGAAGCTCTGACGTCTGATTCCTTACTTTTGACTCAGCTTTTACCTATGTCCCATGTTGCTGACAAATGTTTAGAACATTTCATAATCAAATTAGTCATACTTACAAGGCCTCGATGCAAAATCTCTGACAATTTTTCCATCTCCTTGACTTGGAGCTAACCAACAGTGCGAAGGGAACACGGTGTGGTCCCCACGTGATGGCACATCAACTGTAACCTCTTCCAAGTACCAACCAGCAGTGGGCATTTGGCTGTCGTGGCTCACGCTGATTTTTTCAATCTACAACAGAGAGAGAATGCACGTTAAGACAACGGCAAGATAAAAAAAATTTCCAAGTTAGGTATTCACAAGGCGCATCCAAGGAGATTCATCTCAGGATTAACAGCAAATAAATCTATCCAGCGGCAGAAGAGGGAAATATGAAATAAGAGGTAATTTTTCCTTACAATTTCAATACAATGACAAACACACAGGAGACGAGAATAAAGAAAAAAATCAAAGAAGGGATTAAAAAAACACACCTAACACCCAACTCTCAGAACTAACACAATAAAAAATGTATGGCAGACAGTACTGAGAGCCATGAATGCCCGCTACCACTTGACTCTTGTATTAAAAGGACCCCTCTCTTCCCCTTTTGGGAGTGAGACTCTGTGACAGCAATGTGCAAAACACTAGGAGAAGGACTAAGGTACAAAAAGCAGACAGATAGGTGTTGCAATTCAGCACATTGCACACAACTGACAGAGGAATGTCATGGAAAAATTTAAGAGAAAACATTCCGAACAAATCTTACTTTTCCAATGTCGATTGTCTCGACGGTGAATTTGTAGGTTCTTCCCTTCTCAAAGCGTATTTTGGAGTTCCCAGCTTGGCGCAGCTGTATCTGTTCTGTCATGCCTTTGTCGCCAAACAGTTGGATAAATACATTTCCTTCTGTTCCATCTCCAAGAACCTCACCCATTTTAAGACAAAGCTGGTACGCGACGACTGCAACAAAACACAACAAAACTTTATGGTTTGGGTACTTTTCAGCCAAAAAGAACCCGCAATTCTTGCAAATACTTCTTGCGCGTTGTGGTCGGTCGAATACTTCAAGCCCCCTACTCAGCCAATCAAACGCAAACTCTAAACTTATCATGACTGGCCCACGTGCGTGTTCCCGCGCTTGGCTTAGGTTGCCTGTAATTTGAGAAAAAGGCGCGATCTAAGAACCAATTAGATCCAAAACTTAAGTTTTGTCCGTTGACACACATTGTCCAAAAATTTGAAGACTTTAAAATATAATCACCGATCAACTGCGCTTTCACCCATTTTTCTACTTTCCACTGAAGAGATCCAAAAAAGTGTTTTCAACTCAAAACAACGCAACGTTACTGCACAAACGGCCGAAAAGTAGAGGATAAAATCCAATTCTTGTCGTTTGCCGTTCGCTTAACTGTGGCTCTCTATCTCTCTGCTGTCGCCACTTTTTACAACACTAGAACACGAAGGCGCCCTAAAAAAGCAAAGGTGCCACGGGCACCTCTGGATGATTTGTCAATAACGTTGTGGCATACAGAACTCCAAAACAGCTTGAGCTGCAGCCGATCCTAAGCAAGTGAAGAGCAGGCGGATTTCTCAAAAGCTCTCATAAGTTTCTTCCTTTCCATCACAATGGAAGAATTTGTTGAGATTTGTATCTTCTTTTGCCAATAGAAACCGTCTTCACTAATGGCGGTAAATTTGAAATTCGAAATGATTCGCTACGCCATCGCGTAATATTACCGCGGCCTAATTTGCATTTAAGCTAAAACCAAGGGGCGGAGCGCGCCTCCGTGTTTAAGATCATATGGCAGAGGAAAATCCTACTCCGTGAACCAAAGAAGCCACACTCAGTACGTTTTGATTATCATTTACTCACTTTTCCTGCTATCCATTGAGTCCGGTGGGACAGACACCATCTCTGTTCTCTTTTCTTCAAAATGATACTCATCTGGAGGAGGCAACATTTCTTCCTCGTAACGATATTCATTCATGGGGGGAGGGGCGGAGTAAGGCACAGGGGCTCCCCCCTGTTTACGCATCTCTTCTACAGTCAGCTCCTCATGTGTAATGCGCTGTTTTTGTTCCCGCGGCCCGGTGGGTGGGGCTCCTTGCACGGGCGGTGTTGTCATCTCTCTGGTAACCATTCTTTCTTCGATAATTTTTCTCTGGGGAGGTAGAGGGGCCGTATCCTTTCTAGGAGTAGTGTACCTGAAATAAAAATGACAAACAAAAAATCAGCGACAAAGAGTACATAGTAGACACTGTTTTAATTCAGTACATTGAAAAAGGCCCGAAAAAGACAAGCCTTCGACAGCATTTGCACTGGTTCTACCAACTAAGGCGCATTTCTATCCAGAGGGGTAAAATCAGACCAAAGGCCAAAATGAAACAAGGTAAATATTACCCAGAATGAATAATAACACAAGCGCGTACAAAAGCGAACGATTAAGTCGCCATTTGATGGCGAGAATTTCTAGCACAATCACTGAGCGAGGTATAGAGCAAACCCAACGCAATCTCAGTTTACTTCCAACATTCAGTGAAACACTGCACTGACCTTCGAATCCAAAAATTAAGAATGGGCTGGTTACGCTAGAGTCTTTCTCTCACCTGTACTCCTCTTCAATCACTGTCCTTTTTGTGGGGGTGGTGGAGTAACGCACCTCCTCCATGACTGTTTTCTGTGGGGGTGGTACTGTAGTGTATCTGAGTTCATCCGTGATAACCTTCTTTGTAGGTGAACCGTACCGTGGGTCGTCCATGAGCGGTTTCTTGGCCACAGGGGGAGGTAGTTTGTAATTCTCACTTGTTGTGGTTCTTTCAATGGTTGTAGTGATGGTTGTCTTGCTGGGCGAGGCTGTGCCAGATGGAATAGAAACTCCTACAGAGGTAAGAGAATTGAACATTTGATCAAGACGTCTGATCGGCCGAGTGACGGTGGTTCTGAGAAGGAATATTCTTGTCAGTAATGACTGACATTTCGACAACCCAAGAGGAAGTCATCTTTATAGTCGAGTAAAGCGTTATAAGACTAAGTTATTCAGTGCATGACACAAGTACAATCGGAAAAAAAAGATTCCCAGTGCCCCCTATATGGCCGAACCTACGACCTTCTAATTAATCCTTCGGATGCTTTATCACTGAGCTATAGGAGACTCGTGGCAGGCTTGGCTGTTTAACTACGTCCATGGTGACAAACTTCCTATATAATGCTAGGTGAGGAACCTAAATATGTGATGCGTTTGCGCAATATAAAGTAGTAAAGTAATAAAGTAAGGTGTTGTTTGTCAGTCAAATCTAACATGCGTGACGCATGGATCCTCACAAGTAAACTCGAACCCATGTCTTTCAAATAACGGTCGAACGAGAAAACCATCTGAGCTATGAAGTCACTTGCTGGATGTGAAGAAGGATGGGAATTTTAATGGTTCTTGCATGCCCGTGAAGAAAGGTTGGCGACAAATTTACATGATATTCCCAATATTTTGATCGCTGGCTGATGAGTTACATTTTAGAATTAAAAAAAAATTCCATGCAATAAAATCACGCCTTCCGTAAAGCGTAGTTTTGTTAATATTGTTAAAGACCACTCCCTCACTCGCTAATCCGCGCGTGAGTCAAAGAAAACGGCAAAGAAAATAAGCCAGCGTCTAGTGAACTCTGAAAAGGGAGGCACGCAATGTACCTACGGTGAAACAACTACAAAACTGAGACCGATGGAAATGTTACACGACCTGGAACTAAATCTCTCTCTATTTTGCCATCATCTTCGTTCTTAGCGAGCCATCGATGACATGGGAAGATGAAATGCTCAGTATGGGCTGGGACATCCACGGCAACCTCTTCCAGAAACCAGCCAGGAGCAGTGCCATTGTTGTCATGTCCTATACGCAGCTTTTGAACCTGTTATAAACACAAACAACATAAAATACATCAGTACTGGACGCGCTATTTCCTTTCAGCTCCTCATAAAATAAGGGGTCTCTATTTGCTAATGTCTTCTGTGACGTTTATGAGCTGATTTTTGCTTGTTTTAAAGATCTTCTTCAATTGGCCTTCCCAGATTCAGATTAAAATGGCATAAACAGCAAGGGAAATAAACAACGTTGGGGAGAATTAAGAAAAACCATCCACGATTTAAAAGGAGGCGAGCGTGGCCTAGTGGTTAGGGCGCTGCACTTGTAGGCCGGAGGTCCCGGGTTCAAGTCCTCTTCCCTGCCACTGGATGGATTTGTCTTCGGTGGCCCCGAATTCAACTCCTGCACGCTTTTTAAATAGCCAACTGGTCTGCCTCCTACCAGTTGGGGTTTTTAAACGATATTTGTTTCCTTATTTACCAACAAAATACACTGACACTTAAATAAAGTTATTATTATTATTATTATTATTATTATTATTATACGATTGGATATGTTTTGGATACAACATCACATTCTCAGAACAAGCCAACAAATATGAGAAGAGGTTTATCCTTTTACTCCGAAAATCTTAACAATATTCTCGACTCTTGTATACATTTCTTTTTATTCCAATTCAAAGAAATTGGATGTTCAATCACCCAATAAACCCGTGCTTTAAAATTGCCTGTCTTCTCCTAACCTGTCTGCTTGAAAGTGTATTGAGACTATAAGGAGAAATCACTTATTGATCGCTTAAAGGAGTTAAAGCATGAAGGACTAAATATGAACTGCACCTTTCCCACATCCACAGTCTCCACTATGAACTTGTCTACTCGTCCTTTCTCAAATCGTTTTTCTGCTTTTCCTCCTTGGCGCAGCTGAATCTTCTCTGTTTCCCCTTCATCACCGATTAGTTGGAAATACACGTTGGCGTCCGTACCAGCCATCGCCATCTCCCCTGTTTTTACTGCTAAGTGATACGACGTATCTATAGAAAGATCATCACAGATTGAGGGAACTGATGCATAAGCTACGGCCTTCATCTCGATTTCTTATATCCCATTCACACCAAAGCTTAAACATGTATTAAAGTTGTTTTGTCAAACACAGTTTATTTTTTTTTTTTACGTAGAAACAACTTGGGCTTATATCTTTGGACTTAAAATGTAGCACATTGAAAATGCAAGTTAGCAAGTACTTGAATCCTATGGAAAATTAAGTTTTTCAGTTCTCTGTTTATGATTTTTATTCAGCAGAAACCAGTTTAACAAAACGTATTTTGCTGATGTGAATAGATGTGGATTTTATGTTATAACATCCTGCTCCTAGATTTACCAGAACGTTCGCAAAACGATCCCTTGAACTGCGACATGGAAATTGCCCACAAGAAATGCCCATTCACAAGAGTTTAATCAGAGGACATTTTTCCCACATGAACAACAGTTACTGCATCTTCTGATCGTGCTGACAACCTCTCAAGGATTGCTCCTCTGCTCATAAAAGGATGTTTGTCTTAGCACAACTTACTCGGCCGTGGAGGTCTGGGCTGACCCGGAAGTATATCTTTTTCTAACTTCCTGTCTCCTTTCCCCTCTGACAGCCAGCAGTAACAAGGGAAGAGGGCCCGGTCAGCTTCTGCAGGCGCTACTTCCACCTCCTCCACAAATATACCCTTCCCTTCTCCTTTGCTGTCATGACCAATACGCAGCTTCTCGATCTGAAAGATGATAGAATTATATGTAACTCCCAAAAGTGATTCAATGCAACTACTCCTTATGATGTTCATAGATTTTCCAGTAAACATGTAATGAGAACACTTAAACTCATCAGGTGGAAATTTTTATCCTGATCTAACACCAAATTCTCGTAACTCATTTACAAGAAAATGCGTGGCTTCAAGAGGGGAGAATTGACAATAAAATTTAAGGAGTGGAAGGGTTAGGCTCCCAGGTTTTTTTACGAATCAGGGCGCTCGAAGTATAGCAGTTATTTCATAAATGTCAATATGAGAATTATTTTTTAGAAATTTTAGCAGTTTGTGAAGATTATAGCGAGAAGAGATAATTTCTTACGTTCCCAAGGCCCTTGAGGAAAAATCTTAATTTCCCCAGGATTTTTCCAGGTTTATCTGGAACCCTGAATTCAATGACACAGTTTACACAATCGGCAGACTAGCCTTTATGACTGACATCCCCAACACGTCACTAAAACAACCCACCTTTCCAATATTTACGGTCTCCACAGTAAACTTATACATTCTGCCTTTTTCGAATTTGTTGAGAGATGAACCAACAGGCCGCAGCATTATCTTGCTTGTTTCTCCCTTCTCGCCAAACAATTGGACATAAAGGTTGGTGTCAGGGCTAAGAACGTCACCAAGTTTGACTGACATTGTATACGACGTGTCTAAAAATTCAGTTACCCAAAATATGAGCACACATTGAATAACATCATGAAATACATGTATGGCAACCTTAAAAACTTCCACAAGTGATAACAAAGTAACTTCTCCCTACAACATCCATACACTTATCAGGTTGAATTTGTAGTCTTGATGGAACACCAAATTCTCATAGCTAATGTACAAGGAAATGTGTGGTAGCCAGAGAGGAGAATTTACAATCAGATCTTAGGAGTTAAAGGGTTAAGAAAACTGTCTACAAAGGAAATAAATATACCATAAAAAAGGCCTGAACTAATATTTCTAAAGGTAGTTTTAGCTTCAAACAATGAATTTTAGCTTGGTTGAGACATTTTAGTAGAGCAAGGGGTGGGGGGGATGGGGGAGGAAGTGTGGGCACTGCGCCTCTTCCTGCAATTCTTTTCTGTCAAAAATAATGAGTCAGATTAACTGCCTGTCTCAAAAAATTACACTTACAACTACAAATGCCCATGTGGGGACAAAATAAATCTTAAAATGCCATTAAACTTGAAATTTTTTTGCATAAGAGCCGTGCAAAACCAACAAAAGTCAGGCGAAAACGTTTCAATTGTCTCACTTACTAGGCAGAGGAGTAACTGCAAACATCTCCCTCTCAATTTTCCCATCATCAACATCCTGAGCCAACCAGCAGCGACAAGGAAACTTCACTCTATCCTGTCGGGCAGGAACCTCTACTTCAACCTCCTCCACAAAGAATCCTGACCCATATCCAGTGTGATCATGGCTTAGCTTAATTCTGTCAACCTGCCAGTTTAATCAGAAACATAGTGTCAGCTTTCCTACCAGCAACTTTTTTGCTCACTGCGCTGGCTAGAACAAATTTTTGGTGACTACTTTGTCATGCTGAGGTTGCCTCCCAGTGTTTTATCAGGCTTCCCTGACAGTTTTCCACTAATCATTTAAACTAATGTGTGAAGAGAGAGACACTATTAGAGTTAAGTTTCCAGCCTTAGCACAATCATCTGGCAAGATCTCACATCCTCACCTCTAGCACCCAAACCCTGAGGAAACATGGGAGACTCATTACCTTTCCAATATCAACAGTATCCACTGTAAACTTGTATGTCCTTCCTTTCTCAAACTTGTTTCTTGTATCTCCTGCCTGTCGCAGCTGGATCTTCGCTGTATTCCCACGCTCACCAAACAACTGGATGTAAACATTGCCATCTGTCCCTGATCCCTTGACATCACCCACTTTGATACTAAGGTTATAAGTGGCTAACAAAAAGCAAAGGAATTTTTAATTGGTGAACAAGCATCAATTGTTAGTGATCAAGAGGTTGCAATAGCCTGTTACACATACTTCTGCCAAAGAGTGTTTGTGACTATAGAAGAGGCTAATTAAAACTTGTAATTGAAAGTTAATAAATGGCAGCAAGATGACTTATATGGATTTATAAGCAGACGTAGACGGCTGAATACCAGTTTGTAATTCCATGTGTATTGATACACATTTATTGATTACCTTGAGAGTGAATGGAAGTGGCTGCAATTCTTTGTGAACCTTACTATAACTTCATTTATAGCTGCAGGCAGACCAGCTCAAGTAATTTGCAAGGAGAGAACTTCATTCAATCTGTATTTTATTGACCCCAGGTCTGTACACATTTTTTGTAGCAAAAATAAAACATATTTTACAAATCATTTCTTTCCATGATTTAGACTCAAAGTTACTGGTAAAATGGCATGGCCCAAGAAAAATAACAAATTTGTCTCAAAGTTGAAGGGGGCTCTTTGGTTGATATTCATCTTTCTTCTCATCAGCTTTCTGCTTGAAAATTATGTTGATACTGAAAAGATAAATGCCCTTCTGTCGCTTCTGGATGCAGATAGGTTAGTTGGTAAATTCAGCTACCTCATTAAGACCTCAACCATCAATTAAGAACTTCTTTGCAGCATCAAATCAAAAGAATTATTATTTTTTTCAATTTCTTCTGTCATCTTAAGACTCCATCCTCTTTCAAGAACTTGAAAATGTATTTGCAAATTTCCATTAGCTACTTCAAGAACTCGACACTCTATACTAGCCCTAATAACTGTGTATTGGAATATTTGCTGATCCTTTATGGTAATCTTGACAATTGACTCTTTCTAATTCATCAACCCTGTATGCATCAACAGAAAGATAAATAGCTGAAGTTTAAATACACATTGCTCTAAACAAAGAACTTCATTTTGCACCTGCTAACCTACCCCTATAATCCAATTAGCAAAAAAATCCATTAACGCTTATGGCACATTTTCAAGCATATACTGTAACTAAAAAACACAGCAAATTTAAACAGTGCCAAAAATAACTTCATGCAGTTACTATTAATATAAAATACTATCAAAAAAACAGTTTCTTCCTATAGAAGAAATATTCTGTTTCATGCTAGTTTAGAATATTCCAAATGCATGCTGAGAAAACAAAAATCACACATACATAAAAGGAAAAGAAAATTAAATTCAGAAATAAGTTTGAAGACAGCGGTGAATTCCATGAATTAATTTTCGCAAAAGTATACTGTGACACAGAAAACCAAACCAAACATGAGAGTGTAAAACCACATCTAGTTCATAACTGAATGTAAACTACTTCACAGAGTGAAAAACATTCTCAAAATTGTGAATTTTTCAAAAGAGAAGCTACATCACAGAAAAAAACAATGATACAAATCAATCAGCATGCTCAAAATTACTGTCACACATTGGTGACAATTTTCACTGTTAAGTAAAAACCTAACTCACATCAGTCTTGACTTCACCTTTTTAAAAACAAAGGAATTGATACAGAAATACCTTTTGGTTTATCATCAGGCGAAATCAAAGGAAAAAACCTCATAAAGAGAGACTGGGCATTCCACAAATCCATCTTAGTTTAAATTCAAATTCCAACACAAATTTCTACTGCAATCAATTATTCAAAAAAAGCCACAGGCAATATCAAAAAATAAACACCTTTAATTCAAAAAACACACCTGCTCTAAAAAAACACAATAGAGGCAATAGAGGTCAATGATATCCAACCTCTCAGGCACTTAATTCATCATCTTATCTAACACACTATCTACAAGAAGCCTTAGGTTTTTATGCTAATGTTCCCAATTGCCTTTTAACTTAATTAAAAACCCTATCTGAGGAGAGAGAAATGGATAGTTGTTTTGAAACACATGACAGACACAGTGAAAGATGAATTAATTATTTTGCTCTCTTAGAATTATGAATATATTAGCATCTTGTCAGCGGCAAAAAAGTCTTGAATAGTGTTCATTTCCGCTGCACAATTATTTTGCTACAGAATTCAGTAATGCTGTAGAACTGAATCTTGGCACACAAAAGAAAAAATACTGTGTGCCTATTTCAGACCCACATTGGGCTACATTTATGTGAGCTTGTCAACAATCAGTACACCTATGAGTAATGGACTTTGAAATTTAACTTCAGAACATTTTCTGCAAGTTTGAAAAACATATACATATACTTTCTTAGGAAAAAATTAACTTAAAATGCTTCAATTATATCTATAAAAATCCATCTTTGTACAATATTCTCCTTTTCCAAATGGAAACAATAAGAAGACATTTTGATAGAACAATTCAAGAGTAGAATCACACAGTACACTTGGGAGATACCTTATCCCTTATCCCTTATCCTGACTAGCATCTAATTTCTCCCTAAAATATCACCCTGAATCACACATTAAGGTCATGAGAATAAAGGAAATTATCAGCAATGAAAGAAGCTTTTGATCAGTAAACAATTTCTCCTTGTCAGTACCTTAGGAAATGTATAAAGAACAGTATGGAGAATATGCATACTGATGTAAGGGTGTAAAGGGTTAAAGTCCCTAACATCAGTATCCACTTTCTCCGTACTCTACTTTATAAATTACCCTTGGTATTCACAAAGAGAATTTGTTTAACAATCAAAGCTTCAAATGTTGGAAATCCATATTCTCATGATCTTACTGAATTATTCAGCAGTATTTCTGAAGTTAGATGCTAATCATTCTCAGGGTTTAAAGAGTTAAATACACTAATAAAAGTGATTTCATATACATACTGCTTTGTCTTCCTGAGGCACTTGATGATCGTGGCATGGTTGTTGATGAGGATGGAGTCCCTCGGGGGGTTGAAGATGTGCTGCGAGGTAATGATTGACTTGTCATGCCATAAGCTTTAGGTCCCACTGAACTGGACTGAGATGAATGTCGTGAACCTTGAGGAAAACAAGATTTTACTACTATTTGGTTTCACTGACAACACTGCACATGTATGTACTATGAGAATATGGAACTCAAAAAGATTAATGATTTACGAGCTGAACAAATTGCACTTAAGCAACTGACTATTAAATATGGTTGGCCATCTTATTGTTCGGCTTAATAAGTTTGGTTATTGAGTGTTTTTTGAAAGTTAGATAAAGGGAACTTCGAATTCTCAACAATAATTTTTTGTGGGCTTGGTAGCTGGTCTCAGAGAGACACCTCACCCAGGCTACCCCCTCCCAGATAACAACTGACTGATTTTCTAATCAAAGCAATGTCTGAAAGAATGCTCTTAGTCCCCCCTAATTACAGCATCATAAAAAAGCAGCTGTTACATTACACAACAGATGGAAGAAGCTATTACGATCTGTTAAACTCCTTGGCTTGGTTAATCAAAGAGTGGATAACACTATCCACTGGATAATCTCTCCCCAGTGAATAGCGCAGTATGTTTTGTTAACACTTGTACACAAATAATAAGTTATTCATTGGACAGCCACCACAGTTATCTGCCCTTCAAACAACTGCACCCTAATGAAAACATCATTTCACTTAAGAACTGGGCAGTCAGGTTTTGCGGGTGATTGTCTGTCTCACACTGCAGCACACTGTAGTACGTAACACCTAGTGTGTGTTTCAAGTGACAATCACATTAAATATGACACATTTGCATCAAGATTAGTCTTAATTGTCTTACAATTTCTTACCTGTTGGTGTCTGGTAACCATCCGACACACTTCCTGGGTTACTAGGCGTAGGTGTCCCTCTTCCTTCCCCTGAAGCATAGCCACTCTGGCTTCCTGGACTATAGGGTGTCCGATAGTCCTCCACAGAAGAGTGAGATCCAGGGCCCCGCCTGCCTGATCGGTACTCATCCCCAGGCACATACTGTTTTGTTATTGTTCTAGGCGCGTTTCCATTGACAGCTCTGTTGTCAAATGTGTATCGCTCTACAGTGGTTTGTGTGCTGCCTGGATCATATGTATCTTCAACTACTTTTCCATCCAGTGTTCGTACCGTACGCATTTCTGTCCTGGTGACAACCTTTTTCACTGTTTGTCCTGGGGTAAGGTCTGAAAAAGCAGAAGACATATTAGTGCTTTTAAGAGATGTCATTGATGTTTTTGTATACTGTAAATTAGTAGAAATCTGCTCATGTTCTATCATAAATGGTGCAATCTAGTAAGCTACACTTTGCCCTTATCAGTTATCATGAAGTAGAAATCTCAAGCTCACTGTCTTATTGTTGACTAATAAAATAAATGAGACCTCATGAAAATTTATGATTGAAATAAGGAATTACTGAAATATCACACACAATACATTTACACCCTCAACCCTTCAACTCCCAAGAACTCATAAGTAATGCTCTTTACTTCCTGCCATATAATTCTTATAATGTTAGTTCTGAGAATTTTGTACTGGATCAACTTATTATCCCCTGACTGATATTTGTCTTTACTCTCATCACTTGTCTGTTTGATATTGTAAGGAGAAATTCTATCTTGATCACTCATGGGAGTTAAAGGGTTAAGGTATATTTTTTTCCAATTGCAAAATTATAAATATAAGTAATTACCAGCCTCCATGAGATCTTTTTCCCAGTCCTTGTTCATGAGAGCATTAGAATGTGGTCCTGATACTGTGGCAGAGTTTCCATGATCCATGCTTTTGTCATAGAGAGGGTTTTGGTCATCCCTGTGCCAAAATAAGCATTGAAAAGAGGTCTACATTTTTAATTATTAAAAACTGATTGTACTAACACCAGTCACTGATTAGCATAGGGTTTACAACACCACATGATACTACAAATCATTTATTTATCTTCTATGTGATGGCAATCCTACAAAATCAGCTGGGGTAAGCAGCATGTAAAAGAACACAGAATTATGTTCACCTTTTTATAAACTACTAATCAGAAGTGTCAGTTCATTTGCTTGTATTTCACATCTACAACAATGATACTGTGCTTTTGTTGGAATGTCAAAAAAACAAATTGCCAAAATATTGTCACCCACTGAGAAGAAAATCTACGAAACCTGAGGAGAATTCCATTAAACACTGTGAACTGACTTCACTCATTGGAAGTAAATTAGACAAAGGCTTGTCCCATATTAAATATCTTAGTTTGGTCTCACTTTTGATGAAAACGTTTCACCAATGGAAAATTTAGTCCATATGGTTTTTACCACTTCATTTTAAAGTGAATTACACAATTTCTCATCAACACAAAAATACCTACTTTACAGACAAACATTCAATATTTTTCACCCATTAACAATTAAGGGTTTAAGTTTAAGGGCAGGAAAAGACACAAATAATGTGAAAGGAAAATCTATCAAATACATGTGACTTGCCACATGGAAGTCATGCAACTCCATAACAAAACGTACATAACACTGTCTAACCTTTCTGGTTAGCAGCAATAATTTTTCACCCATCAACTTCCCTATCAAGGCTTTACAATTAAAATCATGTTCTATAATAAATCCCTGGCTATGAAATAAATGTTTCCTTTAAGTACTAGCAGAGCTTGCAGAGCATAGCCCCATAATTATACAAAATAGTAGTAACCCATCAAGCTGAAAAAATTTGGATGTACGACCATACGACTGCACAAGGTGCTACTTTTAACGTGCATGTTTAACTGTACCACAAGCACGCCAATGCCACAGCTTTTTCCAGTAGTCCAGTGGTCAGTGCACTGGGCTCTGAGTCAGACGACCCGGCTTCTAGTCCTGGCCAGGGCAAGGTGTTGTGCCCTTAAGATGTAAATAAAATGCAAGCTCCCCTTTAAGGCTTGGCTAAATCTATATATTACTCAGTAAATGTACATCAAAATTTTTTTATTACACAGACAAACTGTCGTACCTTGAGTCAGAAAGACCTCTTTCCTGGAGAACTTTCCTGCAAATAGAAAAAGCCAAATCAAACCAAATGTATCTAAAAAAGTACTTTATACTTTAAAAGATAACACATTTTTAAACTTCATACACAATTACAGCATAATACTAAACAAAATTTCCAACAAACTCAGAAATACAACAGATTCATGACATTTTATTCAAAATAATAGCTGATAAACGTATTTGAAAATAGGGGATGCTTCATTCTATTTAACACCCTTGATGAAATGTAACTAAACTAAAACATCAACAAAAAAATGTTCAAAGCCTATAATTGCATTATATACTTTCTATAAGGCATTCTACAAACCTTAAAATATCAAATGCCATTTGACATTACTTGAAAATTAACAGATCTCAATTTTTTGTAGAATAAACTTTGTTTTACATCACAAAAGTTAAAAGTAGTGGTAAACCATGACAGGATAGAACAAAGTTAAGAGGGAAAAAAACAAATGAATTTAAAATAAACATTTCACCGAAAGTTTGGAAGCTGTTCAATTCATGTGCTAAGCCAAAATGTCCTTTAACTCTGTGTTAAATTTTTTTTACAAATATTAATCTTGTGAATTAAACACACTCTCTTTTTTTTACTGTGATGTTAATCATGGCACTCTTGTTGAATAAACCACAAAACCTCAATTAGGCCACATAAAACTAGTTACCATGGACTTTTCCCTTTTTCCATAGAATTCCAGACAAAAAGATTATAAAAAATTTACAATGCCATGTGGATGATTAGCATTTTTGCTGGAAAACATGGTGATAATTTGTTCAAGGTAAAACCAGAGTGTCAACAGAGTGTTCACTCAGACCTATACACTGTACATCCATGTACTGGTGGAAATTACTAGGAATGAAATCGTGACAAAGGAATATATTTTGGAGAAGATTGATGGCAGCTACTTGATGTAAGTTTATTCATAAATTAATGATGACTTCCAGCTCCAGGCTGTATAACCTGGGATTGTGCAGGTAAGCAAATTCATAGCCCATCTTACAAGTCATAAATGACCTCTATTACAGAACTGAATTTTTCTCACACAACTATAAAGTATAAGATAAGAAAAACAAATCCTAGTGACTACATGAACCCCAACAAAAAATACAATAAGGTTGCTCAGACCTTTCAGGGATTTGAATTATCAAAAAAAAAAGCCATGATGGAAAACAGAAAGCTAACTTTTAAATAATCAAAAGGCCAAGGTGCTTGTGTGTTAACTGCACTTGTTACAAATAGCTTGGACACATTGCTGTGATTTTGTTTAATTTCACCTCAAGATGCTAAAAAATAGTTGCATATTCTGTAAGGAATAAAGTTACAAGCTAAAGAAACAACTGCCATCGTAAATGGTCTCATATTTTCCCACTAATGAATTTAACAGGTAAAATAAACAATCCTAATTGCTAATTCATTCCATTAGCATGTCCTGTAGTTTTCTATACCTTTTTGCTTCATTTACCTCATTCTGATGTGATCCGGTATAAATATCATGTGTTGTTAACGCATGCAAAGTATAAGGTAAATGCAAGGCACAATTTCACATTTAAATTGATGATTTAAAATTTTTCATGCATACAAAAAACAATGAGCATGTGATCTTGTTTTTTTGGGTTTTTTTTGACATACAGTACCACATCTTTGATCTGTTTTCTTAATGATTAACCTTTGTTAAGGATTAGTCAAAGTCCCCTTTGTTCTTATTTCAGACAATGTTCCAATTAGTCTGTAACAAAGAAAGCCCAAATGAAATAATTCAGCCTAATTTGCCCTCAAACTAATTTTATGTTCTAGCTAGCTACTGCTCAGGGCAATATATCAATCCATGCGTGCATTTACATGTCCAATACAGATAATTATTACTAACAAGACCTTGCAAAAATCTCCTACACATAAAGTATCATTTTAAGATAATTTTTAGGTGATAAAATACTTTGCAGACATTAACAATGCTGAGAAAACTATGGTTGGTAATTAGTATAAATTTCGTAGTTAAATCATAATTATTCTCTCAGTTAGTTGCATATTTAAATGAGATAACTACTTGGATAAGTTTTACAAAAAGATGCTAATTGAACTTTCACATAAAAAAAAATCAAATTGTACCAACGCATTACAAAAAAGTTCCTTAAAACTACTGTGTGACATACTCTATATACAGCATGGTAGCATACTTGTGAGAACATCAAAAAGCTTTTAACAAGATGACATCTTTCAACAAAAGAGTAAAACTTCTACAGATAGCTAAGAAAATAACATTGTAAAAATCAGACATAGGACCACAAGGAAACAGTATATGAACCATGAAAAAGGTTTGGGAAAACTGTTTTGATTGTGAACAGCTTTGAGTTACAACTTACAACTATAGAGGTGAGGTTTCTCTAAATATTATCAAAAGCTTTGTACCTTTACTGTGTTGAAGAACGAGGGATTTCAGCAACTGATCAAACATTCTGCAAACTGTTTTTTTTCTACTAGCTTATCAATATCTTAATAATTAATGAATTATACCCAAGGAGAAATCTTATACCTCTCACAGAGACACAGTTTGGCCTTGCACCCAAACTTTTTTCATGAAAATTAATCTTTTAAACAATTATAAGCCGGGGAAGGGAAAAAAACCAGCCTTTCAATTCTCAGCATGTAACAATATTTTTGTAGTCCTTGTATATAAATGTCATTTCAATGCATTAAATGTCAAAGGACTGGGAGATGTAAAATGCATTTTTAAAATGTATCTGTAGAATTGTGTCAATTATGTTACATGAACATACACTGTATAATAACAACTTGTTAAATGACAATAGCTTACCTGCCAGAATCTTTGCTTTACATACAGAATTATTAGAACTATTGTTTTTGTACTGGATTGTATGAAATTAAGAGATGAGTTTTTCTTTCCCTCAATTTACATAAAACTAATATATAATTTATTATCCACTGTGGTATCAGCTGTTGTATTGGATTTATACATGAATTATCAGGCACATTGTACTTAAATCTTACAAATTTGTCACATTCATGAGAGTTTCATAAATTCAAAGGTGAAATACTTCTATTAGAATGAGAAAGACAGTGAAATACTTCCAGTTTACATCAAGATATCATGATATTATAAACAATTACACACTCTTTATAACAATATTGTCAACAATATAGGAAGTAATTTATCCCTTTCACCGTCTAGATCTCAATATCAATTCTCCTCTCTGTTGTCAATAGATTAGGTATAATTGTAGCTTTGAGAATTTGGTGTTAAATCTATCAATATCTTCCTGTCAATATTCTACTAAATTCTGCTCTAGTTGCAAGTTATTTCTATGTGTATTGTTCATGGCAAGAAAACAACAAAGATGGTCACAAATTAAACAACAAATCAACCCATTTGATGCACTGTGGCTTCCCCTATACTGTCAAATCTCCACTAATAGACACCTTTTTCAATTCCCCTTTTGCCAAGTGACAAAATCTTGTGACATGGACAAAGCAGACATGTCACTGGGGATCTACAGTGACCTGTTACAAGTGCAGTATAATGGAACAATTTATCCTGCAAAAGCCACATTGATCCTCAATAACAGATGATAGACGTGGTACATGCCCTCAAAAAGTGAAGGGGGGAAGGTAACAAGGAATGTTAAGGAAAATATTTGGGCAGAAGCCAGGGAGGCAGAGCAAGGATAGTAATTTACCAGCTGCAGGATAAATTCTGGTGATGTGGACAAGGTAGACATTTAACTGGGGCTCTAAAGTACCTGTGAAAGGAGTGTAAATCACAAATAAACTTGGAGGGATACCAGTGAAGAATGTTATTGTCTACGGATCCATTGTGAATGTCCATACATTGCAGAAAGGACAAAAGAAACAGCAAAAGCTGTATGGAGCAGAAAGTCCATTTTATAATGTCAGGACATTCGAAGCCAATATTACTTCCGCAGAGAAAATCTTAGCAGAATTAACTGTAAGGCAAAGAACTGGAGAAGATTCCTTGGCAGAAAACTGGCTGTAAAGCTGAGAGTCCTGGAGTTCCAGGTTCAATAGAATCCAGTGAACAGTGCAAGCCATGATGAGTTCATAGCGAAATACCAGTAAATTCAGTTGCTTGTTGACCTCAATGTTCAGCTTTTTACCCAATTACTAGCCTATGGATGGTTGCTTTTCAATTTAAGGGAAAAATTTCATAAGGAACTTTACAAGCTGTTACACAAAGATGCCATTGAAGGTGAGTATAATCTAACACCTTGGGCAAACCTTGTTGTGGTAGTGCAAAATGCAAATGATGGATTGAAATCATTTGTGAAAGATTTCTAATTCCTGAAATTGAAGGAGTGCTAAATGAAATGCATGAAGGAAAGGGAAACCCCAGCATTTAAACTACCTGAGAAGAGTCCTGTGGTATTAATGAATTTGTTACAAACAGAGGTTCTCTCAGATATCACTCCTTTGCCAAAGAGTGATCACCATTGATTCAGCAAGTATTGCAACATTACAGTGCATTGTCTACTCAATGGCATGTGTTCCATCAGAAATGTTTCTTGGAAGGAAATTCTGCTCCAATTGCCAGATTTGTGTACAGCCATAATGATTATATTTGATGGGGGAAGGAAGGGAACACAAAAAAGACAATAAGGTAGAGGAGTATGCAGACAGCATATGCAATTCCTGTGAGGGTAAAATACTGGAAGGTAAGCAGAGCTCTCCCAAAACAAACAAGAGAACTCCTCTCAGGAAAAGTCAATCCTATGATGCAGTTGACAATATAATGGTTGTTGTAGTGCACTTATTGAGGTATATGATGGAGTCATGCTGGAGAAACACAGCTAAAGTGAAGCCTAGCCAAGAAAGAGCTTATCCAGTGCACAGCTCCAACAAGAGAGTTGTCCCAGGAGGACAACAGTGGATATGTGGCACTAAGCCATGCGGACATTATCACAGGACAATGGTAAAGGCAAGGAACCTTAGCAGAGGGGCAGAATTGATATAGCATACCCTCTAACAAGTTTACAAATCTACTTTAGAGCATGTCAGTCTACCTCACGCAAGTAAACAGGGGATGTGGTTGCAGCTATGTTACATTAAATGTGTCAAGTTGTGTTCCACTCCATGTCTACCTTTGCTGTAATCTGCACTAACAATTTGATTGAGTTAATTTGGAGTTATATCACTAAAGCACCATCAAATAAAAGATATCAACTGGGGGATATCATTTGATTTTACACCAGATTCTTAAAGTTAAGAATATAAGAAAGGTATAGTGTGGAAAATTAAATGTTTCGATCTTAGGAGTACAAATTATTGACAGCAAAGGTACACTCGTTTAAAGACACAAATATCACAGTGCAGATCCTTTTCAATATTCTTCAAACAAGAGAAAAGGATACCCACTTAAAAAAAATATATATAGACGATAATTTACAATTAATAAAAGTGCCAAAACAATATTGAAATTACATGAATGACATTACATTCAATTTAGGTCCAGAATACATGATAACTTTAATATCAGTGTTGCAACTCTGATGATAACCTCTGTTCAGATTGTAAAACCTTACAGTCCTTTCCAAGACTATCCTCCTCGCAAAATTACACTATACAATTGACAGGTACTTTTGGGTTTAAACCCTATTCTGTAGCACTAGGTAAAAAGCTAGAAAGAAAAAACTGAATATTTTATTACAAATTCAACCATGTACAAGTACAAATAAACAGAGAACATATACTCAATTTTGGTTCCTCCAACTCACAAGCATGAATCAACAAGAGCTGATCCACTTAGCTGACTCTCATTATCTGACAGATCCTGTTCATCACCAATACTTCCTGGCCCCTGATTTCCACGCCAAACAAAGGAATCATCGGTGGAACTGTTGACAAAAGCAACTTATCATCATCCCAAATAATCACACCAGTTCCTTCTACATTTTATCTCTCATGCACAAGTTAGTATTATCACATGGCAACTCAAGCCCTTTCTAAATCCTCATCATATGTTAAAATGTATCCAAGCATAAAAACCTTCAAAGAGAGTATCAGCTGATTTATTCAAAAAATTTTCCTTAAAGAAAAAAAAACTTTATTTGTGTGAAAAAATTTGATCATGAAAAAGATATTTTGTTTCAAGAGCTTCTTCATTGTCATTCTTTAGACAAAGCCACTGGACAGAATTGTGACTGGCATTCACCTTTCACCTATGCCCCTTAGCTGAAAACACTAGATTGTAGCATTTACATCACTTTAACAAGTAATTCATCTGTTCTGCAGTAGAACACAGATGACATCAATTGTGGCAACATGGAATCCCTTTACTTTATATAAAAAAGAAGCAAGGTATTCTAGCTCATAAGGAAAAACACACCAACTACAAGGTAATTAAACATAAATCGCAAAAAAAAAAAAACCTGAAACCAAATACACTTTTTTTTACCTAAGTTGAGTTTCTTTCCTACATGTTTAAGGAAATTTCTTGGGAATCCTCCACAATAAGGGGATATTTCAGGGAAGTTCTCATTATAACTAAAAAATTTGCATGATTAAAAGCACCTCGATACTTAAATATCAGAGGAATTGCCATGTTTATTGAGGTCAAATTATTATAAATGGAAAATTTGAGTCTGATAAAAAGTTTAGTTCACTTTATTTCCTATAACTTTACTTATGCGTCGTGGTCTGAAAAAATGTTCGCAGCAAAGAAAGAATGTTGTCACTTATTAAAATGGAGCAGATAATGGAGTCTAAACCTGCCTTATCCATCAAAATTTAAGGTCTTCGGTTTAGGACTATGACCTTAAATTCATTGAAACTTGCAAAAGGAAGATAAATACATTTTAATTGTTTCCTAACCTTTGTATTTTAAACTGAGGCTTGTATCTGTCAAAAGATAATCTAATTAGTCACAAACATTTTCAATGCTGCTTTTAGAAAATGAAACAAGGCAACCTATCAGTCCAAAAGGAATCATAACAGTTGCTCTTGTACATCCTGTGCAGTAACTTCAAACAATTTCTTGGCTAAATACAAATTACATCTGGAAATTCACATTCTAGAAAACTGTCAACAGTTTGACACCTCAGCCAAAAATATTTCACACTTTGGAACATTCCATGTAATTTAATGGCAACACCGCAAAGATCTCTATTACTTGACGTCAAGAACCAGAAAAGGAATTAAAAAATGAATTTGGCGACGAATATTTTCTAGAAACCACAACAATGAATTGTAAACTGGAAAACGTCCTTCAGTTTTGACGAAACAACAAAGAATTTGACGATGAACTAGGACATAGTTTACTCCTAAGAACAATAGCACTTGTACAAATCAAACAGTACCTGCACGGAAAATTATCCAAACACATTTATCTTAGAATATCGATTTCGGCCACAGGAGTCATTAAGAAATATCAGTACCACTGTTTTTGAATAAAAAAAAGCCTTTCCACGTTTCTTTAAACCCTAATGGGCTCAAAAGCTTAAGTTCTTTAAGAGTTCAAATCAATCAGCGATCATTATACCCGTTACGATCTCTTAGATCTCCCTTCCTCACGCAGTTTAATGGAAAGTGAATGTTGCCAGCAGGACGAGATCCAAGAGATATTATTCGTAAAACACAGATAAGGAAATTTTAAGAATGATCCAACTTCGACACTTCAAACAATTTGGTTATCAATGTTTCTGTTTAAAGACCTCAGAATACCTGGAATTACGTACATAAGATACTGTAGTTTTAGAAAAATTCCTACATTATAGGTTTAAAGCTGTAAAATCTTTCAATATAAAAGCAAACCTCTATGAATCATGCTCTAAAAATCACCAATCTTTACCATTTAAGGGAATATTTGAAATATAAAAACAAATTGAATGGTGAAAGCTCTACTAAACCAGTTGTCACCATTGACTGCCCTCGCTTGACATGGGTTTTAACGAGTGAAATGTGATGTCCTCCGTCCGATCTCAAGGGGATTTTAGCTGGGGTTTACCGGCAAAGTAGATTCGAATTTCAAAATCTTAAGTAAGCATTCGAGACAACTCACAATAGCCTTACACCAACGTACAACAGCAAACCCATGGCTTAGCAATAATTTCAAGCTGAGAAGGTTCTTATATAAATTCAAATTACTAGCAGGTAAGTTTCCGTGCTCAAAGCAAATGTTCAATATTACCTCCCCATCGAGCTCACACTTGCTGTTTCGGAGCCATATTTACACTGCAATAGAAAAACAAGTGACGTTAAATCCCATTAAAAGTTTACTGTCGTCGAATAGCTTCTATCGAAAGACGAAAATGTTCGATAGGAAAGCTGGTATTCGATCAAAACTTTATGGAGATCAAAGTTTACCTTTTCCAATTGGTGAGCCACGTTTCTGCGCTCTTGTTCCAATTCTCGAGAAAGCATTTCAAAGTGAGCTTCCTGTCACGAGGGAAAAGTAAATCATGAGAGTGTTTACAAGCTCAATCGCTAAATATGTTCAACGAAAATGGTCGATCGAGAAAGTTACTCTTAAGTAATGCGACCTCAAATTCTACACAAAGACAGCAACTGCACACGTAAATCCACAGACAACCACTACCAAAGATTGATGATGATTCATATATCGCCTAACTCATTCAAAATTACGAAAATCAAGCTCACCTGCTGTCGGACGGAACGAAGAAGTTTCGCAGCAGAATCATCGTTGTATTCGCGTCCTCTAAACGACATGATCACAGACTGCAAGTTCACTTCGACCAGGTTAGACAAATGGACAAAGCGAATTTTACGATTTGAAGATACTTCTTTCGGTTTGACAACTTCTCAAACAGAAACAAAAAAGTAGAGGTGAAACTGCTCACAAACTCAAAAAGATTTCATGTCCTTCACACTATATTGCGACGCGGTGACAAACATTGGGCCTTACTGACCCTCCCAGGGGTTTACCGGTTTTCAAAAACTTGTCAGTCAAATTCTGCCGTTGCCATGGCAATGCTTCCCGCGTCGACCACGAACCGGAAGAAGACTTAGTTCGCATCAAAACAAAGAATTCCTCTTCTTCCGAAATAAATTTATCTTAAATCTTAAATTCCGCCGAAAGGGATTTTTTCCGAGAAGACTATAAAAAGATGTCGAAGATTTCATTTTTGTTCGAATAGCTTAAAACTTCACAACCTCACGGCATTGACGGAGTTTCTGGCGATATTACGTTCAGAGTAAAGAACAGATAAGTCATTTCCTTTAGCTTTTTGAACCATAAGAAATAAGATTTATTGGCCATTCATCAATTGTCAGAGTAATCTTAGATAAAGTACCATACCTGATAAACAAAAGAATATTGACAAAAAAAATCACACCATAAAGTATTAAAGATCAACTGACAAATGAGTCAACTGAGATAGGAGGTTCTTGCTTCGAAATTCACGCAGGCAATCGTGGTTTCTTGTACTCAGAAGTGCGGCCGGTTTCGAAAACTCTTCATGTTGGCCTTTCAAGAGAATCTAGCTCCAAGCGCTTTTGTAAAACTGCAACCAGGCATAACTCTCGATTTAACTTTTTTAAATGAAAAGGATGAACTGTTATCATTTACCCGTTCACAGAAAATTAGTGATAACTCAAATGAAATGCTGAAAGATCTTTCAAATTAACTTAAGGCTATTCGTGGGCGACAAAAGAACTCATTTGCTGTTATCACCGTTTTAAATCTTACTTTCTATTAAATGCTAAAAGGTCAAATGTTTCATTAGGGTGAGGTCTGTAACGCCAATAATTTTCACGGCATGGTTTCGATTTGCTTATGTTTTTCTAAGCCCAAAAATGATTTAATTTCCCCAAATTGCTACCTAAACACAAGGAACTGAAAAAACCATGAAAGAAGTACCAAAACTTAGAATTCATTATCGCTGCTTTGGATAAGGATCTTGGTAAATTTTCGATCGAATTTCTAACTTGAGCAATAAAGTTTAAAGACGACTGTTCACAAGATTGCGAGAAATATCAACAACAATCGGCTTAACTGCAAGCCGACAGGTTTATTCTAAATTGCAAAGTACTCTGAAGGAGCTATTTCGAGAATTCAAAAGGAAATTGTACGCTATATTGGCTTTCCACACTACCAGGGATATGTGACGCTCAAGAGCAACGAATATTTACATACATAGTAGGTAAATCAAAAGCAATAACGAACAAAGACGGAAAAATAGAGAGAGAATATTTTAAAACGAAATGACAGCTCAGTTAGAGATAGATTTTAAACGATGTACCTCCAACGGCAAAAACTTGACCCATCGAAGAATTACCATGGATCGAGGGCCATTTTTAAATAGGATAACCTTAAACCAGACCTCTCTGATTTAGCTTCAAGTGTGAAGATTAATTACCGCTTTTCAGAATACTCATATCATTAACTTAAGTTTACGGTTCTTGTTCGAATGAAACTAAATGGCATACCGATTGCATGTGTTAAATATTTTCCTTGATATAACGTACAAATACCACTTCATAACAAAGAATTTCATTGTTTGACTATGAGTTTCTCAAAAGGTATTTGCATTCTAAGGTCTTTGATCCAGAGAAGAGAAAACCGACTTGTTTACCAAAAACAGAAAGTTAGATTTCAATATAGGGCAGCGTTCTCCACTGTTTGCATGTTCGAATGTTCGTTTGGTACTCTGTCCACGAGCTCTAGGTGCTATGCACATTATCAACTGCTCCAAGAGTAATTTTTCAGCAGTTTGAAGGCAGAAATGTAAACAAACGAAAGAGAAAACAACTCACCTTATAAATCTGTGTGCTTTTCTGAATTAAATTGGCGTGATTTCCTTCACGATCGCCTCGAATCTTGTCGCTTGTCACCCTGAAGAATCACGCAATATAAATCGCGCACCAAAATAGATACCACTTAATTTAGCGCAGAAACAGATGCGGCAAATTCTTCGATGGAAAAATGTTAAGATTGGCGCCAAATGCTGAAACGCAAGCTCCGAGGATTACGATGTCTACAAACTACTCGCGCCGAACGGACATCAAGATATGAATTGACTACCTACGCAAGGTACTCAAGATATGCAAATTAGTAGAAAATCATATGCAAAAGCCGCCGACAAAATAAATCCTTTTAATTTATGGTTATCAGTAAAGCCCCAACAATACATGGCTTAGCCAATGGGCGGAGATGTTTTTGTATAATTTTAGATATTGTCTGGGTTTTGAATACGGTCTTCCATCAGCGCTGCAATATCTCCGGCTCAGCTTGGATGTCACTCGTGGAAAAGAGTAATACAAGAAGCCACTCGTTAAGACGATCATAGTAGTAATATTTTGGCATAAATATTTTGTGACGTGACCGGAAGGAAATTCTCTCTCAAAAAGATGGAAGTAAATGTTCAGAAATGCTGAGAGGGCTGAAAAAATTACGACAAGAGTGGGACTAAGGCCTTTGCCCCGCAGAATCGGTAAGAAAATTAAACTGATAGACAAATAGAAGATAAACGAATCTAAGTGGTCTATAAACTAAACCTTCAATAAAAGAAAAATATAGTCCGTGCCGAACCGTGATTTATCTTTTTTATGTTTTTTTTAAAGAAACTCGAAGATGGTGAACAAGACTTGAGCTACGAAAGAAACGAGTGTACACAGCTACACGATTAAACAGGCGAAAAGGGACAGAGACCGTCACCTAGAGCTGTCCACTTCTATCTTCCTGTACTCTTCTGAGGAATCTATCAATTAATTTATGCTAGTAGAAACAAGACTAGATGGCATCAGAAACAAACGTGATCTGTCGCAGAACACACCAGCCAGGAAAGGGAAGAAGAGTGTGGTGCAGATAGCGAAGTGCCCGACTACTGCTGTTACTTTACACCTTAACATCAGTATGTAAATTCTCCAGATTGTTCTTTATACATTTACTAAGGCGCTGAGCAGGAGAATTGAATTGTTCAACAATCAAGAGTTTCATCTTTTTTTTTTTTTCTGGTGACCTGAATTTTCGATTCAGGGGTGAAGAGAATTAGATACTAGTCATCTTTAAGAATCAAAGGTTAACGATGCAAGATGCTGTTGCGGGCTGATGGCAGAATGGACTCAGTAGGAATGTACTTTGCTTGTTTTGAAAAGCATCGATGAGTATTTTTAAATATTTAAATGTTTTAAATATTTAAAAATACTTAAAAGTACCTCGGTAAAAATCATCTGGCGGCGGGGTGTTGATTGAAAAAAAACAACCCTAAGGCTCTATTAAACAAACGGATTTATTGAACTGATATCTGGTTCGATTGACTCTGTTTAGAATTAAGGAAGTAACAAGGAAAGGGAATGTCAATATTGCTCAACGTAAAAAAAAATGATAAGTGTTCAGATTCGATAATTATTTTACAAGGATTTGGCAAGACATTATTTTAAAAAAAGAGTCCAACAAAAAATTAATTCAAACATTCGTATTTTGAAATTTAACTCTCTTTATCGACTGAGTTATTCCTCTCAAGGCAAACTCCATCCAAGGAATTTTTCACCGAAAGACTTCCTTGCGAGGCTCGCCTATGTTGTGAGGGAGCTGGACCCGAGGAGGGTCGTACTGGGGGACTAACCCTATCAGACGTCACCCCAATTGCGACGGTAGCACCATCAAGCCATGCACCCGACACTTTATGTCTGAGGTCAGCGGCTGTATCACTTGACAAACTGAGTATGCTAGAATCTGATTGGGTGGCACGGATTCCCACTGAGTCCTGGGATGAGGTAGCAATTAACAAGGATCTCCTCGGAGATGGTACTTTTGGTTGGAGGCTAGTTGGTGGAGATGGACTCATTCCAGAGCCACATGGGATGTTTTGTGCCGAGGTGGAACCTCTGGATAATTTCTCCATAGAGGAGACGGCTCTTGATACGCCTGAGGAGGAAAAAGATAAACAAAAAGGAAAATAGTAATTCGGTATTTAATAGGATACTGTGTTATGAAATTTTACAGCCTTACTCAACTTACCTTCACTTAAGTGTCCAGTAGAACCTTGCCGTGAACCTAAATTGTCAGATGATGAAACGCTTTGAACCATAAAGTCCACAGTGTCTATCACTGTTCTGGAAACCTTGCCGGTGGGAAGCCTCCCTTTACTGAGCCTTTGCATTCCAAGGCTTCCTTCGCTGTCACGCCTGAACTCTTTGCACGATCCAAGACACAAGGGACGAGAATGAGCGAGGTCTTTAGCTGGCTCGCCCGTCGTGTCCAACATTTTCTGAACAATATCATCAACAGTGTCGTGGATAGACCGTGACACGCTCATTTTCCTTGACAAGGGGAAACCTTCGAAATTGATCATTGCTGTTTTTTTCGTACTGAATTGTTCAAGTTGCTTCTCCTCCGTTGCGGCATGGGTCATTTCAATAAGTTGCCCTTTCGTGTCTCCTTCCTCCGAAAAGCATTTCTCTCCGGTCGTTATGAAAACACTCTGAAATTCCCTCTCCTCTTTGCCTCCGCCTTTCATAACCACATCCTCTTTCTCATTGTACTTCAATACTGCCTTTTCTATAGAAGATTTTGTTGAGACTTTCGTCGAAATCGATTTTGGGCTCTTACGTTTGTCCGTGGAAACAGTAACGGTCCCTTTTTCTCCTGTTGCATCTGTGAACCTTCTCATGGTTGTCATGTCTACGCCAGAGGCCGGCCTTGGGTCCTCCTCAGCTCCTTCCGGAGTCAATCTCTTGTCCTGGATTAGTCTCTCTAAGCTACGAACACCTTTCTTGGAGCCCATGGTGATCTCAATATTCTTAGTTTTCATCGATTCTTCACCAATCACCTGCACAATGTCTGATCTAAGTGCGATGTTCTCAACAGGGGATGAAACCCGATTAGGATCATTTTTTTCCATCAGTTTTTCAGGAGACCGTACCAAATCTTTTGACAATTTTCTACCAGTGGGTTCCGTTTTCACTGTATCCTGCTCTGACTCCGGACCCTTTGCAGATTGGCTTGCAGGTGTTTTAACTATTGTCATAGAGGTCTTAGACAATGCTAACTCTGTATCATCAGGGGCTTTCAGCGAAGACGATGCACTTCCGGCTACTCTTCCAGTCGATCCAGAGGATAGAGTGGCCTCATCCGAAGACTGGGTAGCTAATCCTTGAGAACCACGTTTATTTGATGTAATTCTCTCAGAAGAATTTTGAGAAGATTGCCTGATTTTCTCCTTGGAAATACGTGACAGCACCTTTGTATTTTCAGTGGAAACACCTGGTGACTGCGTAACATCTTCCTTCGACGAACTCAAAGGCATCGTTGCATTTTCAAATGACCTACTTGATAGCTTTCTATCCTTCCCTTTGCAACCTCGTTTAGAAACGATGTTCTCGGTAGAGCCATGCGGCAACAATGATGCTTTCTCAAGAGATCCACGAGGCGACTTTGTTGTTGCTTCTGTGGAGACACCTCGGGATGATAATACATTCTCTGCAGAAGAATGTTGTGATCGTGTGATGTTTCCTTTGGAACTACATTGGGACAATGTGGCGTTTCTGGTAGAAGCACTTGTGGACAACGTGGTGTTTCTCTTTGATGTTGCAAAGGACGAAACTACACTTTCTTTTGAAACAGTCGGTGAAGATATAACTTTCTGGCTTGAAGCACTTGTGGAGGAAGCTTTCGTTTGTTTTGACTCTCCTTGGGTCAAGGCTGCTATCTCGATCGACCTCCGGGAAGACGTAAGTCCTTTTTGCAAAGAGGCAGTAGATGGAGTTGTCGTTTTCTCTGTGGAGGCATGAAGTTTAGAACTTTTTGGAGACGTTTTGATTTGAGTTTTAGATGATGTTCCCTTTGAAAGTATAGCTTTCTCTACAGAAGCACGGGGGGACATTGTGGCTTTCGAAGGTGAGCTGCGAGCAGATTGGACAATCTTTGCATCTGTTGTGCGCTGTGAATTAGACGCGTTTCTCACCGACGGTTTAGGCGAAGATAAAGTCAGACTTTCTCCTGAACTTCGTCGAGATTCTTCCTTTTTAGACAGGGAACTTCGAGATGACACCGGTAATGACAACTTTTCAGCTGAGGCACGAGACGAATGTAAGGCTTTTCCAGTGTTAGACATCGATTCCCCTTTTAAAGACTCCTTCGAAGCCCTGAGAGAAGTCTGGGAGGGAAGATTGAGCTTTTGTATCGACGTTTCCTCATGATGAGACGACGGGCCTTTAAGAGAGCTTGCACTGGACGAGGGCTTGCAGATTTTGGAGGCAGACTTACTTATATCTGGCAGACGAGAAGATAATGAAACTGAACGACGTCTTTTCGTTTCTTTACCCGAATAGACTTGTTCAGCGGCTACAAAGGAGTTTTTGGGAGATAAAGATGGCAGGCTTGTTACCGAACAAGTTGTCGTCTTTTGTTTCCATAAAACTTCGTAAGCCTCTACTCGGGCGGCAATCAAGGAACACTCAGAAGGGTTTAAATGAGGAAGGACAACATATGACTCGGAGGGAGAGATCTCGCAGCTGGCTGACTCTTCTCGTTTCTTTAAAATATCATACAAAGAGCCTTTTATGTCTAGGGAAGTACCTTGGTCGTTTAGGTTTGAGTCGGACACTGAACGCTCTGTCCTCGAGAGCGCTATATCTTCGGAGCAAAACTCTGGTCCTGGATCGGAAAGGCGTCGTCGAACAAGACTATTACTGGATGATTTTGTTTCGGCCATGTAACTACCTGAAGAAAAGGCTAGTTCTTTCTCGAGTTCTTCAATTGCCTGTGAGACAACAGAACTGGGACGATCCTCTCTGAAAGGAGTTGGAGGCCTATCTGTAGAGCTCAAGTAGCCAGTGTCACGGGGAATGTCGCTGCTGTCGCGGTGAATATGCAAAACTGAAGTTTCGTTGAACTGAACAGAACTTCTACGACGAGACTGAGGCCTGTCATCTGGAATGGGTTGGCTGAGAAATAATGAATTACAGGCAATCCTTGACTTTGCGATTTCAATGGCATTCTGCACAATTTTTGACGCTCTCGACATTAGGATATCTCTCTGATCATTGTATTCCTTGTCAGCCGAGCGATCCAAGGTAGGCTTCTCGTATTCTTCTGAATCGTCATCTATTTGGACAAAGCACCACTCTGCCCCAAGATTTCTCAAAGCACCGTTTATAAGCTGCTCTACATAGGTTGTAACCTTCCAAAACAAGGTTCCAAGATGAGGATTACGTTCTGCTGAAGGTTCTTGGTGTTCTCCTGCCAGGCGGGTAATTGATCTTTCTGCAGATACAACTGCATTTAACGCCAGGTCTTTGGCAACTTTACAAATCTCCAAGTCTAGATAACTTGCCGAAGAGTCACCTTGTATTGAATCAAGTAGATTTTCAGCCGAGAGCACTGCATGAGTTGCTAAGTAGCCTGTAGCTTCCTCTAACTCCTGGCCACCAATGAATCCTCGATCAAAGAGTTCACCCAAAGAAGCACGGATGGAAACTGTAGATACTTTTGCTGCTGCGTTCAGCAAGCCCGAGTCATCGTCGGCAATGTTTTGCAATGAAGCCTCGTCTTCGTGCAATTTAGAGAAAGATTTTGCAGCCGACTCAATTGCACTGCATCCAAGATCTCGAGACGCCACGGTTAATCCTTCCCTCTCGAGTTTTTGCAGAAGGTTGCCTGAGGAATCCATGAGAGTTTTGGAAATGTCAAGCGCAGTTTGTTTTATGTTTTCTTCCATTTGATCAGCGATGTTGTTGAGTCGCTGTATTGATGCTTTTGCCGATTTCAGAGCCTCCCGTGCAAGACTTCGTGCTGCAATGCACAAGTCTTGTTCGTTTCCTTGTAAAGTTTCCAACGAGGCACTCTTCGCAAAAATGGAATATTCCAGAGAACTCTCTGAGGCTTGTTGTAAACTCAATATAACTTCTTCCTCTGGTTCAATCGCGACTCCGTGAAACCTTTCCAACGATGCCTTCACAGAGTCAATTACATCACTCACCAGCTCGTGACTTGTTGATATCAGATTCCACTCGTTCTTTTCCATTATCCGCTCGAGAGATCGTGTGGCTGAATCAACAGTGGCCTCTGCAATGTCTCTTGCGACTTCATCCAACTCTGAAGGGAGTTTATGCGTCTTTCCTTCTATCCTTGCATCAGAAACGATTTCCGCACGGTAGAACAGTTCAAAAGATTCTTTTGCGGATTCCAATGCCGTGTGAGCCAAAGTTTGTGCTGCCGCTACCAAATCACTTTCGCGTGACAGGAAGTCTTTCTGCAAAGAACGCGCAGCGGAAACAACAGCAGCACTTGCGATATCTTTACAAGCCTGTTCGTCATGGTCCATTTCCTCAACGTTTATGCCAAGTTTTTCTAATGATATCTTCGCTGCATGCACAGCATCCGTTGAAAGTTTCTTGGCCGTCAAATCTTCCAGATCGCATTGTCCAGAGAATGTGTCAGAGGTACTAGCCATGGCCTGAGCGATGCCTTTTGCGGATTTCACGAGACACTTAAAAATCGTAACATAATGATCCTCGTCTTCATCATCTGTTTCAACTTCTATGCCATATAACTTCTGAACTACAGATCTAGCCGCTGCGACAGCGTCAGAGGCTAGAGAGCGTGCTGATATCAAATCGCAATCGTCCTTACTTAAGACATTTTCCAATGATCTGCTGGCCGATATGATAGCAGCCATTGTGAGCTCTTTGGCGCACTTATCCAAGGTCGTCGAAAACTGAAACTGGTCTTCATCGACGATGGCTTCAAGCTCCACCCTGTGTAAGCGTTCTATGGACGCTTTTGCGGAATTCACGGCTTCAATAGCCAGAGATCGCGCCATGATCACTTCCGGAGCGTCTTGCATCTTTCGCGTAGCCGATATGATAGAACCTGCCACTATGGCCTCAGCGCATTCATCCAGATCATGAGAGATTTGCTGCGCAACCTTCTCACGTGCCCTGTCGATAGCAGTCACAACTATCTCTTTGGCAGTTTTGCGTGACGAGATCACGTCTTCTCTGGCCCTGTTAATGGCAATGTTTACAATCTTTTGAACATGTCGCCATCGTTCCGCTTCATCAACGGCGAGGGAGACATTCTCTATCACTTGTAGTATATACTTCCTCACTTTGGATCTTAAATCGTCTGACTGGTTATTGGCTGATTTTTTCTGTGCAAAGTTCATGACTTCCTGAACGTAATTGGAAGTTTTTCTACAAGTTTGCAGCATCTCATGGCGATCTAATGCCTCTGAAGCGTTTGAAATTATATCAAACACGATGTGGTGAACTTTCTCTCGCAAAGCGAACTCAGCTTTTAACCGCGTCCAAAGTTTCTCCAACTTGTGCAATTCTTCTCTCTCTCGATCCATATTTTTCTCTGAAAGCTAACAATTATATGAAATAAGTCACAATTTACCGAGTTACGCCCCAGAATCACGCTCATATCTCTACTACAATTTCGTGAAAACAATCAGTAAGGATGGCATGCTAGGAAATCTTCCCTTTGGTGGAGATTGTAATGCTCATATAAACCGGAAGTTATTGATACCAGATGTTTGCTTGGAACTAGGTAGGATGTTTAAAAAAACCATCATGGCGTCCGCTGATGATCACATGGATGTAACATGTCTGTTTTCAGCTGTTTGCTAAATCCTTGTTAATCTTATACATTTCGCTTTGAAGTCCATTTGAAATATCACATGGAATTAGAAAGTTAACTTGTTTTACGTCATTGTGTGAATAGTCTGTTTCGAGTTCAGTTTATTGGAAGGAAGGAAAACCGAAGTAGAAGTGGTCGAAAGAGGAAAGGCATGGAGGCAGACACACACTGAAGGTAACGAAGAAGCAGAATGGGGCAGAACAAAGTAAGAAGCGGAGCAAGGAAAGAAACAAATGGAAGCGGAAGGAAGACAAAAGGGAAAGTGAGAGGGCATTGGGAAGTCAGAAGAGGTTGCGAAGTTCTGCATTGTTACAGATGTCACTTTTTGTATGAGCTTGTGCAGAATTCTACTTAATGAGAGCTTGGTTTTGTTCTCGATCGTTTTGTGAGATAATTAGATCTCTACCTCTTCTAAACGGAAAAGTTGGCGTCAATAAACAATTCATGATCGTCTAGTTATGGAATGGTAATGTATAACAATTCTCATTTAAAGATGATTTTCTCTCGTGGATGATCACACAATGCCAGGCACTCGGGTGTACCTCCATACACCTTTTTACCATAAAACACATCTATACTGAACAAAATCTTACCTTTCTTAGCTGATCGTCTTCTCGTGTCTTCTTCCCCGCAAAAACGACACCACTTCAAAACAGAACGATAAAGAGAGTGAGAGACGGGTAGGACAAAGATATAGAGAATTTCGAAGGGGAATCGCTCATTTGGGTATTTATTTGCCATTTCTTTAGGTTTTCGCCCTGCGTCGTCCGAAGAAGAAAGCGACAATAGAGTGAGACATAAACATCACAAATGACGTATACTCCTTTTTCCGCCTGGGTTTAAAATGCAAGGCTATCAAACATATCAGGGATAAAAAAAAACCCAGGTCACCCTTGGACAACACATTTCCAAGGAATGGATCAAGGCCTTAAGGTCAAAGGAAAGGACAACTCTGAGAAAGATTGTTCCTTTCTTCTTTCGAAAAATCACTAAGGAAAAACCAAGAAGGGAGATAAGGGGGGGGGTCAATTTTGTAAATAACTATATCATTTATTTCATATGTTCTTCATTTATTCATCTTGAGAGTGTTTGTTAGGGGGCAGGAGAATTATTGCATCGTTTGCCCCGATCATTTTTCTCCTTCTTCTTTACTGTATTACCTGTAAACTACATTGTCTTTGATTCCAAATTCTTCTTCAAGGGATGACTTTAAATCCCACACGCTTGACAACCGAGACCTCCGACGTTTTTCTCGACCCCGACCGCTAGCTTTGGTCTGATGCGAAACTCTACGTCCCTAAGGAGCACACCAGCGAAAAGTTACCACTTATGCGTCTGCTTCCTTCCACGCGAAAATTCCAAGGATGGGGGTACTTAGCCTAAACGGGTATATGTCATCGAACCGGGAGTAGTCATCCGAATCTTGAGCCTAAATTAGGACTGGGGCAAACTAAGAGAGAGGGGGTGCCTATGGTGCCTGTGACCCCATCCCTTAGTGGGAGAGGATCACAAGTTTTTAATCAGAAATTTACCAACCTTACAATTCATGTTGTCAAAACGCAAAAATATAAATAATCTGCATTAGCATGCATTAATACTTTCCAGTACTACATATTCATTAATTTAAGGTCCCTCTCCCAGCATGAATACGCAAGTTTAAACAGCGATAAAGGTTCCCTGAGGTCAATATGCCACAAGTTGTTATCCAACACAGGGTAGAAAAATAAACGGATAATTCTAACCGAAGCCAAGGTTGATGACTTCAAAGTATACTACATCCCGGAATTTCCTTACAATGTCCCCCTCCTACCCTAAACAAACACAAATTGGGATGATAAAACACCCTGTGTGGTGTTTTGATCTCATGGGTTCCCTCTATCAACAAATGTAGCAAGATGTATGGGAAAAGGGTGAGTTTTCTCACCCAACAAAGTCGTTCTTTACCGTGGTACAGTTTTTGCATTGTAATCACGGTAAGAAATTGTTTTCGATCACTCTACTATGACAACAACTATGTTCTCAATTGAGACAAAAAGCTCGCCATTACTGATAAAATGATCAGTTGATCTTTCCCCATAGAGAGATATAATTTGGCATGCAATTCGCAAATACTCAGAGCACTTTCGATATTGCCATAAGCGTTCCTCTTTTCCAGACAACCAATAGTCACTTCTGACCTGCTTTTCATGCCTCTCTCGCATCCAAGCATGTTTCTGCTTCCATATTTTTAAGTCTTTCAACTTATTCTCTCTCATTTTCTCAAGGAAAAGCTCCGCGTTGTGATGTTGCTTTACAAGAGTATTGCGCCTCTTTTGCAAGCACTGATCATGTTGTTCTGAAAGGGAGAAAACATAAACATATAACGGAATTATTCTATAACACCGAACGTATTTATCTTCGGTAAATTCTTTTCTATTCAGCCTCCGTGACATCGATTTATATATTTACTCTTCGTTAGAAAAATGCTTGAGTGGCATTTAACGATTTCCGAAGAAAAAAGAACCAACCACGATTCTATTAACACACTCAACGCTTTCGATATTGCTCAGGGATCCTAGCGTATGCTGGGTGCTTGTCACATATGTACTCACCTTGTAGCTGGCCTAACCCACGACAAAGTTTTCAGCAACCCAATGGCAAAGTATTGGAGCACAGAATCCGAAGGTCTGGGGTTTGATTCTTTATGAGACCCAAATTTTTTTGGTTCTTTTGTAAAGCGAATAACATCTTTCAACATTCGACGCCCGTACTCAAAATTTAATGATTTATCTTGTCCAATATCCACACAGAACTAGGATTATTACAATTGGGTTAGGAATATTTGCAAACGACGTTTTTAATCCAAAATGTCTGTTTCATCGCAATTTTTGATTGAGTGTCGAAGTAGTCCGAGATTGTATTATGTTACTTCACTTGGCTCTGTGATTGGTCAAGAAAACTCGTGCCACTCTCTCAACCAATCAGATTCAAAACTAAAACCAATAACAACCTGGTCGCCCGCGTTTTCCCGCGCTTTAGGCAATTTGGTTGGTTTTACTTTGAGTTCTCGTATCAAACGTATTTTCCTTTCTTTTGATCGGCCGTTGTCATTGGCTTTGCTTTTACGACACGAAAAGCGCTCCATATTTAAAGCAAAGGATTGGTTTACCTCGGCTTTTACGACGCTGTTTCTCCACAATCGAAGTCCTTCTTGCTACATTTCTCTCAAACTCTAGTCTTTCATCTTCTACCTGTTTGCGTTTTTCTTCCTGTCGAACCAACAACATTGCGCAACGACGCTTCCAATTCTCCCTCATCTAAAAAGAAAAGCAGTGGAAACATTACAATAAGATTTTGTCTGAGTCTGTACAGGAAAAAGAAATGAAGTAGTTACCTTCTTAGCGCGCTAATGTGTCGTGCTTTTCGCACATGTTAGAGTTAACATTGCATTGAAGTTTGCTCAACGAGTGGTACACGCCAGCTTCTATCCATCTACAAATCTGAATTTTTTTCGTAATGGTTGTCAAATCAGGATTTTACTTATTTCTTGCAATCCTAAGGTTTTGCAAACCTACGCCCTGAAACTGACTCACAATGAAAACCTTGAGACAACTTCCCAATCCTCGTTTTCCCGCGCTCGACCCTCGAGTTGTCATTGGTTCATCGAGTTGCATTCTATCCTTTACTGAGACCGATTTGCTTTTAGTTTCAAAACGTCGCATGCTGAGTTAGTTCAAGAATGCTGAGATACTAAAGAAGTCAGAAGAAAATATGTCTACCTTTTGTTCTTTTTCTTCCACCATAGACTGTTTTTTCTGTTGCACCAATGATTCTCTTTTTCTGTCTTCATAATTTCGTTTCACGAGGAGGCGAATTTTAGTTTTCTTAACCTGCAAAAATAAATCGATAAAAAAAATTAAATTAGCCGGTGGGCAGGGAGGGGGCCAGACAGGCAAATAGCTCAAGGTCATGTCGTGGGGAACTTGCTGCGCTTCAACTCCACTCCAGTAAATTATAAAAACGTAGCTACTGAGCGGGAGGGCCGGTCGGGAAAATATCTGGATCGAGGTGATAATGTGTGGCACTCGCTGCCCTACACTTCCACTTCAGTAAGTAATATACACTTACTGTATGGTCCCAAGGGAAACAGTTAGTTTTGTTTTCTTGAGAGTTCTGATGTTTCCCTCGACTTTGTCTTGAGAAACATCAGGACTCGAGGACATGCTGTTGTATTCGGAGCACGGGCAACAACTGCGCAATTGTATCCCGGTCGGGATACATTTGAATTCGATCAGGGGCACGTAACCAAGAATCAACCAATCACAGTGCTCATTTGAATGAGTGAAAGTCTAGGTATAACACTATAAACTTATCGACTGAGCGGAAGGACTGGACGAGGAAACATTTGAGTCGAGGTCGTGACGCACAGTGAGCTCTACATGTCAAAACACGTAGAGCTCGCTGCGCTCGGTCCATACGTATTACATGTCAAGGTAATAAGGCGTACGCAAGGCTGTGAGCAGCAGGACTGTACAGCTTCTAACAGCTTCCCCCTCCCTCCCTCCCTCCCTCCCCCTCCCTTCCTCCATTCCTCCATTCCTCCCTTCCCCCTCCCTCCTCAAATAAATCCATGAAGTGATGAATAAATCACTGTAAATATATGAAAATCATACATGTGAACTGCGGACAAAGAAACGTTCCTTCGTTTTCAAGTTCACATATATGATTTTCATATATTAACATTCAAAGTTATTTATGTCTAACACGCCTTGGTTTCCGTTTCATTCTTTTGCAGTTCTCTATCAGCGAGATGCTTCTCTCTTTCACTTGCATCCCTGTCCTTTTTTCGCCTCACGGCTTCTTTGTACTCTTCCCTCCTCTTCCGATCTTTCGCATGTAGTTTTAGGTACTTTTCCCTGTCTGTTTCACGCTTTTTGACAGCGCGTTCTTTCAGATCTCTTGCCCTCTGTTCCCGCAACCGCACGATGCTGTACAGCTCTTTGTCCCGAAGAAGACGTTCCCTAGCTTGCTTCTCTTTCCAGAGCTGAAGCTCAAGCCGACGCTGTCTTCGGCGTTCCTGATGCATTCGATCTAACTTAAGCTTTCTAATCCACTGGCGAAACATGTTGAATTCAAGAAGGGTACATTTTATAAAGCCGCTGTTTGTGATGAAACCTTCAGGACAAACCAAGAAAAGATTCAAAGTAAGCAAACAATGATTAACAATTATTAAATTTCCAGCTCCGAACATTAAGTTTCTAGTGTTTCGATTGGTTTGCTCATTTCCAGTTGTCAGCTCATATCTCAATTCACCTCATACGGGAATGCATTGCACCAACTGTTGCGGAGCTGAAAAGGCTCCTAATATCCAAACGTTCAGGATTTAAGCAAACAATTATTTCATACGCGCTCGCTGGATACGAAACTGGTTATAGCCAACTCGGTACTATGCACTTCGTTGGCTAGTACCATCTCATATTCAACAAGCGCTTAAGGAATAATTGTTAATTATTCATAGTTGGAGGTTAATACTGGTCACTGATAATAAGGTTTTTAAATAATTAAGTATATAACACATACGGAAACAAGAAAATCAGTTTATTTCTCCCTATATATCGAAAATGGTTAGAAATTAAACTCCTGACGCGCAATTTGACTCTTCAGCTGCTCGGGGGTGAATACAACTGGCTAATCGCTTCAAAACTAGCCAATCAGCGCGCGCAAAAAACCACTATTCGCTTATGTAGTCTATACTGATCAGTGCTGAATGATCAAGATTTCAATCGAGTGGTATAAAAAAGAACTAAAAGTCAATCAGAAGAAAATGGAAAATATTACAAGAAGTCAATGAAAACTTTAAGTTGAAACGAGTGAACTTTGAAAATCTCGTGTGAGCAAATCATACTTGGCTCTAGTTTCCAAGCCTATTGCAGGCTTTCAGCAAGTCAGAAGGATGGTAAATCCGTGCAAAATAGTCAGTGCGATGGTGGCGGCAGAGTAAAAACCGAAGGAGGTTTGCATCGGGTTGGTTCATTGCCTGACCTAATCACGCACCCAGATATTACCGTGTAACTGTTACTGAAATGTACAATCGCTTGGCCATGAAAAGTCTGGGTACAAGACTATACGCGAGCAGACCCAAACCCCTTCGTTTTTTCACTCCTCCGCTTCTGTCGTACTGTTTCCTTCCACGCTTCGTTTCACTCACTAAAAGTAAAGAGCAGGCTATAGTTTTTGGTCTGAGTGGTAGAGAGAGTAGTGCACGTTTTCTTGACCGATAACAGGGCGTAGTAAAGCGAAACCAAAGCATTCTGGGATTATGAACGGTATTCAATTGAAAATTGCAGCTCACCTTTGTCGACAAGTCTGCGCTTCATGGCTGGACTCTGAAAGTAATCCTTCAAATGAGGGTCGTGTAGTACATTGTACTGTGGCGGTGAACTATAAGGATCTGTCAGATCAAAATCAGCATCGGCTGGTGTCTCTCGCAGCTGAAATAATAAAGTATATACTTGAACTCCATCAAACTAAAATTTTTACCCGTGAAATGAACAGACACATATTTATTGCGTCATTTGAATATTTATCAACTCTTTTATTTTTTGATCTCTTGTAATTTTTTGAGGTACGAAAATAAAGTCTTAGTTTTGACAGCTTCTACCATATTCATCATTGTAAGAAATAGCGATGCAACAAAAAGGCTAAGTTCCTTTTTTCCTCTCAAGTAAATACATTGGGTTCGGTTGCGATCATTATTATCATTGTTATATTCAGTTATGAGCACTATTTCTTTTATTATTGCAATTAATATTAATATGTCCATTTTTGAAATCACCGATGATCCTTGCAATCTAATTGGCTCTCATTGGTGCGATTTTTTCATGAATCGCACTATTTTTTGCTCGAAATTGCATTTTTTCCCCAATCAATGAGACAGCCTTACAGTGTTTTTAATGTCTACCATAAAGCGAACTTTCCTCTACCAAAAATTCGCCCCGGAAAAAACAGAAACAAAGAAAATTGATTCTTTTTGCCACACAGAACTTGCTTTGACGCTTTCTTAACTTTACACTTAGCTAACGCCACATTTTGATTTGAGTTATCTTACAGCCTCCATGTCTAGTCCTGGGAACAGTGATGTCCAAGTCCGTTAGTTCCATATAAATTAGTACTCTCTTGAAATCAAACATGTTTAAACGCTGTTTTATTAAACGCGGTTGAAAAGCTTTTATTCATAAAAGCTGCCGTTTCACTCATTGGCATTCACAAACTAGTACTACCCGAAACTTATAGAAAATTCAGTTTTCAGTTCTTTGTTTCTGATTTTTATTTAGTTAAACCCGGTTTAACTTAATATGTTTTGTTCGCGAGATTGGGGTATAATGAAGACACGATATGAAAGACTCACCTTGTGAGACAGTTTAGTTGTGCAAAATTTTATCGATCGTTCAGAACCAGGAATCAATGGAAATTTTCTGCTTAAGCTCATCAGATCCTCTCGCATGACACACTTTGGTTTGAATTCCAGCACATTAGAGCTGTCCTCGCTTGCAGCAGAAAACACGTACTCTAGAGCATCCATGATTTGAGAATTCTAAATTTTGGTTTCTCCTTTTGTTAAATTCTTCACCAAAACAGCTTTCTCACCCGAAATTACAGTCAGTGATAGAACATCCATGGGATGTCTTTTCAGACTCAACTTTGCGAAAACACTGTACGTCATAGTAAGAAAATTAATGACGAAAGGAGATATCCGCGCGCGGAGACATAAAGCGTTCGAAGATATTTCCAAATTCGATTTGATTCTAAAAGTTAAAATTCTAGGATTCCCATTTGTTATGAATCTGACTTCCGAAATTCGGCCTTCTTCTGACCTTATCAAAATTTGACTGCATGTCCACGGGGTCAAAGTTTTGCGAAAAAAATTACATCGCGTGTGGCCAAAGTGTACTCTACCACAGTCTACCATACATCACACACACAATAAAACAGTTTATTGCAAATGCGCGGGAACATACAATGGACACAAGAGGTCGAAAGATTCTAGAGTCGAGACCCTTTTTTTACCCGGGCTGGAAATCTTTTTCAATCGACTCGTGAATTTCGCTTTCTGCGATAGTGCCATTTTTGAAGTAGCGAACAAAGTATACTATTAAGATCCTATTGACTAGTCGCATTTCTACTTGACAGCGGAATATCATCCCTCTTAAAACTATCGTCCAGCAAAATTTGAATGCGGGAAAAAAATAAACACTCTACAAATTTTATTACGGTTCTTGTCCGCGAAATAAATAGAAATATCCGGTATCACAGCAGAAACACTAAGCGTCAGTTATTTACACGAGGTATAACCCAAACCACTGTTTTACGCAGTCAGTTGGCCTCTGGCCCCAAGTCTCTTTAAAACAAGCCTGCGTGCTGCAGGACATGCGTTTCTCCGCCAGCAGGAAGATCTGAGACGCGTGAGGGTCTCGGGAAGAGGTGTGGTGGAGGTCTAACGCTAAAAATGAGGTTATCAGTGCCAGACCCGTTCAGAGCTCTAGCCGGAGGCTGTAACAAATATTACAAAAAGTATGTTGTGTAACGTGAGCCCAGTTAGGTAAGTCTCTAAATCAAGAAGACTTCAGTCGGTGAAGGTTATCTTTGAAAAGTGAAGAAGGCGTGTGCGTCTTTTTCTCCATCAGCGTGGTCTACCGCCTGTAATGAAATGAAAAACATAAACACGCGCAGAAAAGTCTCTTGTCACGCAAGTATGAAACTCTCACTCGAGTGGTACTCTGGGAGGAAACTAAGCAAGCTAGAGCTCCTCGCGATACGAGGAATTGGCGTGAGAGGGGATGGGAGACAGTGAATACTATTTGTATCTTGAAATGGAAGATGACTTTCTAATCAAGTGATAAAATTGCACCTGTCTGTCTGCCAAGAGTCTGGCGTAGGTCTGTCTATCTAACTGCTTTGTGTTTTTCGCGCATATGTCTGTTAGTCTGCGTAGAGTTTGACCCATGTATGTGTTTGGTAGCTTTTCTAGACTCTGACCTATGCGATTCTTTCTGTCTGCATGGAGTTTGTTATATGTCTCTCTGTCTATGTGTCCGTCCACCTTGCACAGATCGAGTGTCTGTCTGTCTGTCCGTTTACCCAAGGTCTGTTGAATGTTGTTCTTCCTTAAGTATGTATGTCTAACTGACTGCATAACTCTGTCTGTGCTTCGGTCTATGTATAGTCTGCTGTACGTCTGGCTTCCGATCTGTCTGTCCGTCAGTCCACACATCGTCTGAGGTTTATCTGTCTGGCTGTCGGTCTGCCTGTGCGTCGGTCTGCCTTGAGTCTGCAGTCTTTTATCTTTTTGTCTTCCTGCTATTTTGTCAACATACCTTGCATCCAGCACTCACAGCCATTGAAGTTATCTTTTTCATGTATTCCTGCATTTGTTCCGGTTTAAGATCCAACATGAACCTACAAGCACACGGAAGGTACACAGCATTACTTCTAATACATTGAAGTCACTCATAACTATAAAACTTTTGATGTAACATACTTACTTGGTTGTTTCAGCGATAATAACAGCTTCGTCAGAAAAAATCTCTTTCACCTCTGGTGTCAGTAAGTGTACCATACTGAAAGTAAAAATACACACACTAACTTATCAGAGTATGCGTAACCATACAAGATGGCGCACTTGTTACTTACAAGAGCCACGTCGCAGTTTCAGAACGTTGAAATGATATTTTGGCTAGAGTTTCAAATCTGTTAATAACAATCCACTTCAATCTTCTCCAATCCTGAAATTCTACATTCTTCCTTGGTTCATTTTCGTCTATCCTACGTTTATCTCTCACACACGGGGCCAATATTTAAAAGTATTTTACAAGTTTAAAATATTTTTTATGGCGTGAAAATTAGCCCATAATATTGAAACGTGACTCTTAGTTAATCCCGTGATCACATACCTGTTTGAAAAATAAATGACGTCAAATAGCTTATTGTATTTGCTTTTCTTAGAGAGATCCGGAACACAATTCAGCGGCAGAAAAGTGACTTTGACATCAGGACACTCCATGTACCCTGTAAAATGGGAAGAAATATAAGTTACAGAGTTTTATAGGAGAGCAGGACTGGTGCAGAATATAGCCCTTGCCTCTCAACGCTTTTGCTTTGGTTCGATTTGCGAACCTGGCTCACATGGAGGTTGAGTCTGTTATCTGTTTTGCATTCCTGCTCAGTCGAAGTTTTTTCTCTGAATCCTTCAGTTTTCCTTCCCTCCATCACAAAATACAATCATTCCGAGTTCCTAGTCAACTGGACTACTGTTCCCGACTGAGTCAGGAGCAGTGATCCCTTGCCTTTTGCGCTCGTCACCAGTAGCTTAGCAGGGTTTTTGCGAAACGCCCGGGGAGTATTCTAACTCGAAACAACCAAAACAAAAAGAACAGGAGGTCTGTAATAGGAAGTCCTGTAATTCACCTTGCGTCGCATGTACAGTTTCTTTTGGCGTATCTCCGTCTTTCGTATTTCCCATTTGATCCGATTCAATCTCATCTTCCCTAATTTCCTGTAAAGTAGCCATCTCTTTCTTTCTTTCCTTTTCATCCTCAATTTTTGGCGGGATATATTTTTCTCCTGTTAATATTTCATGCATGAGAGCCGTGATGTTGTATTCAGAGACGTTTGTTGCTGTCTGATACAAAAACAAAACAGTTAGAAAACATAGCATGCCGAGTTTCCCAAAGTATGGGTCTTTTCGGGTCATCACATAGGTCAAAATTTGGGAAAATTTGCCTCTAATTTTTTCATACTCAACGCTTTCCAGATTGCTATTCGTTGCAGGATCCAGAAAGCTTGTCGCATATGATGCAGTTCATGTCTGAAGTCACCATCAAGTTCTCTAATCTCAGTGGTAGGGCGACAGGATACGAAATCCGAAGGTCTGACTGGCTATTAGCCACGTTTATGAAGATGGCAATGCAACAATGACGGTGCATTAAATCATATCGAGCAAACCAAGGTGCGGTAAGATCAAGTAACTTTAATCTGAGTGCCTAAAGTAATCTGGTATTATACTAGTTTTAATCTACTTCGCTCTGTGATTAGTTAGGAAAACTCGCACCACCCACTAACCAATCAGATGCAAACTAAAGCCAATCGCGACTTGGTCACCCACGTTTTCCCACGCTTTAGGCAGTGACCTTGTTTTGCGAAATCTGTCTTAGACCGTTGTAATTACTTCAGGTTTGGTTTTACGACACTCAGTTGAAACGTTTTCTATCGATACGTAACCATTCAACTTCATCGCCTGACCGTTACAAGCCGAAGGGTCACACTCTACAATTGATATTGTGGAACACAGACGTTTTTGACACGCGGTAAATGAATCAAAGTACGAGGAAACTTCAACTAACGCGTTTAAAAATCAAACATTCATCTACATAGATTTTAGCGTCTTCAACTAAACTGACCGAGAAAAGAATTCTCAACCTTCGGCTGTTTACCGGGTCTCAAAAATGTCTGCGCGACAACCCCGAAAGGTCCTGTGGGTAGATTTCAGGTCCCGATTCCATGACCTCAGGATTTCATGAAAATCTGAGAAAACGTCTCTGTAAAGCCATGTAAAATGGGCACATAAATGTAAGCTACCCAAGAAGTTCACTTACTCTAACATACTGTCCATTCGACGTTTGAAAAAGAAATTCCTCTTCACTTTCAGTACCAAAAGCTAAATATGGACTGTTGATTATATCTCCCCAGTAGCCTCTGCGAGCAACTCTCTCTCCATCCTGACACATGAAGAAAGAAAGTAGCATTTTATATATAATAAGCTGAATTATACACAAATGAATAAAGGGGGTAGTTTCTAAAGAAATTGTGGTGCTGCGTCGGTGGGAGAGTATAACAAGTAATTTAGTGTTAACAACTGAGTTGAAAACGTAAATTGACACCGTAAAGAGTTTAAAGGCTGGCGTTTCGAGCGTTAGCCCTTCGTCAGAGCGATTAGAGGAATTGTGGGTTGTGTGTGGGTTTTTTTTGGCGCATAAAATGGAACTATGTTATTGGTGGGAATATAGTGATGAGAAAACAAGAATAAATTAGTTGAATTAAAAGTGCTTTTTTAAATTACCATGAATTATACACACATTTTCATTGGTTATTATTCATGACTATTGGAGGTAAGACGCTTGGATGACGTCACTATTAACAACACTTACCATTTTATCATATAAAGAAAACCGACTCTATGTTGCTGTGGGTCTGTTTAACAAATGGTTTCATGACAGAAGACGTCAAAATATATGGCTCGTGTTCCACTTTTTTAAATACCTTTTTAATGATGATACCAGAAGCCAAAGTCCTGTTGGTAACTTCATAAGTGGAGTCACTTCGTAACTCAAACGCTACACCCTGTTCCCGCCAACTCTTGTACTCACGACTATTGATGATTGATGCCTAAAAGCGATATAAAAGAAGCAATATATTTAGATGACTCGCTTACTTGACAAATTATGAATTCCCCTTTCCCTTTCCCGAGGAGTAAACTTGTTTTTACTTTGAGTTCCAATTGGGCCAGGTAAATTTTAAAATTTTTTCTGGTGAGTGATTATCTTGTTTATGGTTCCATTAAAAGTTCCATACCACGTGTACCAATGAGAACTCAGAGAAGAAACAAGCAAGTTGTCTGAAACGCGGGAAAATGCAATTGACTTAGCTGCGATCGGTTTTAAGTTTTGAATCTGATTGGTTGCGAGAATGGCGCAAGTTGTCTGGACCAATTACGAGAAAAACAAAGTCAAGGCAATTTTGCTTGACGCAGAAAATGCCTCAAAAGTTAGCGACATCAGTTTTAGCCTCAAAGGCACTTCTGAAAATTCGACACATCCAGGTATTAAGCCAATGGCACCAATGAATCGCACAGTCGAGCCAAACACACTTTCCTCTCATGGAAAGAGGAATTGTGCAGTGAAAGTAGTAACCACTAAATTGTCCCAGCCAGCAATGTCACTCAATTTACCTTTTTGGACAATTTCATACTGTAGTCCCAGTCATAAACATTCTCCCCAGAGTCATAGCGAACAGCAAGGTACTGCCTCAACCTCTCATCCCTACACAAAAACATCATTAAATAACATCAGATCATCATAAAATGCTGTGAGAGAAAGTACTATTGAAATTATCCAGAGGATGGCAAAACTTTTGTTTTCAGTGAGTTATGACTGTCATTTCTGTTGAATGATAAGATAAGATCTGTTTTCAGTTTTATATTTCAATGAGACACAACCTTTGATGACTCAACAGAAAAATGTCTTAGAGATCTTAAACCTTCCAACTTCAGGGTCCTATACTCAACCACTACATTAACGACAGAGAGTTTTTTGGCAAAGTAGGTAATTTTCTAGGTTCACATTTGCCAAGCACATGACATATTGAAATATTCTCAAATATTTCCAAAGGACAATTTTCTCTTCCTTCTCCTATCCTTTGATAAATCCTTTTGTATTCATGCATAACACACGTAATTTTTCCAACATGAGCCAATCACATCCTCTTCTTCGAAAAAATGATTTTCCTTTTTTTACTGCTAGGATACGCAATTTCAAAAACATTTTAAGAAAACAGGATAAGAAAGATGGTTTAGGTCATCAAATATGGAGAGCTGTTATTCTTTTTGTCATAAGCCTAGCAAAGAGAAAAGGGAGCAAAAGCAATTGAAAATTTATCAGCAATTATGCAAAAGCAGATGCTGTGCAGGTTTTTTTCATTCAATATTTCACCCTAAATCAAAGAGTAAAAATGTAAAAGAAATTGCAGCCAAAACCCTACCAGTGTCTGCAGATGTCAAATATTTTGGGATCTGAATTTCTCCAGAATTTAAATATGCTCTCCAGCTGATCTCTTTCTTTAAACTAATAAACATAATCAGAAATAGTTTTAATACGAATGTTTTACATTACAACCACATATATTTTTACTAGTTAGTGACTTAAGAGTGATTTTTTAACTTAGGTAACCATTCTGCATTTAATAAAGTAGAAAATCTTGCAGCAGATAAATTAACAGTAAAATATTAACACCAATAAATTTCCCAAGCCCAAAATATAAAAAATTCCTCTCAGTAGAGTCTGGAAAATTATTTCTCTCTGAAAGTGCAAGTAACTCTCATCAAATCTATCCAAATAAAGAGCACACAATCCTCTGCAAACAAACGACAAAGGAACAAAAAATTCCTCACTGTTAAATGTAAGGAGAACAAAAAATGCAAAGGAGCTTTGAGCACCATACAGATGCATCTCACCAAAAATCTGCCATAAACCCAGCAAATTTGATTGTGGTTTGTCTCAGTTACTCTGAGTCATATCAGGTGTGGACTGTGCTCATAATGTTGGTCATAGGCTGAAATTTTTCTCTTCTGGCCACCAGCAATAGTAAGTTGGCTGCCATGAAACACCAAAACAGAGGTATTGTGGGAAGTTTAGTGGCATACGAGAGAGCCACATTTAACAGGAGAAAAGTACCACTTTTTGGGTCTACAGTATTGTCATACAGCGACTCAAATGATCACAGTCTTAAGATAGAATAAAATTATTTTGATAGCAACCTTCAGCTGTGAAAAGTTGAACACTGGAAGGTGAGCTTCAAGGTAATCAGAATCCGTGACCATCCTGGAAGAAAAGAAATACGGTAAAACCCAACAGCTTACAACTCTAACACAATGTCATTGTATGATTTTGTTGTTACTCTTCTTTTAATTATATTATGCAAATATTTTAAGGTTTTTTCTATTTCTTCTTTTCAGTTAATTTCAAGGGAATTTAAATCATTATTATGATCCAACAAAGCAAAGTATAGTAACCTGATAAATTCAGATGACTTTTGCTGCAAGTACTCACTGGCTTGTGGTCTCACAAGACTGTTCCCAAACAGCTCAAGAAACAACTCTGTCTTTTCTAAAATAAAAGGAAATTGTTACAGTCTTTAAAAGGATATAAATATTTCTACCAATAAGTTGAATAGAAGGTAAAAAAAACTGCATTTCAGTGCCTCAATATATACCATCCCACAGAGTAAGTTATCACTTTGCAACTACAGAAGTTCCAAAAACTGTACATGAAAAAACACTCTTTTACTAAATGTACCTTTCTGATCAACCTTGAAGAGAACTTAATGGTACCTGGTTGAAAATTGAGGGGCTCAAAAGATTTGTTCTGATCTCAGCATCTATGAAGTCTTCTTGAAGAACTCATGAAGTGTCAATGTTGAAAATCTCTTTTTATTTCATTTTCAAACTTTGAATTATGAGTAACAGTATTGAATGTAAAACAATAGGTAACAGGTCACAGATTTTTGTCTATTCAGACACAACTTTAATCAATAACCATCAGAAAAACAAACGAAAATGAGAACAGGCAAGTCTAACATGACAGAAGAATTCAATCCCCAGCTCAGTCTCCTCTATTTCACATTTTTCCACATCAGTCAACTTTTAAGTTATCACAACAGCCAAGGGCTCAGAACAGGCTACTGTATATTGTAACAAAATTGTGATCCACAGCTCACCTTGCAAGCCAAGTCTTTCTTTTGGTTCCAGTGCAATGGACAAAAGCAAAAGATGTCTTGCATAAATCTCAAGATTATTCTCAACAACACAGATCTGTTGAGTAAAACAATTGGTATAGAAAGAGGTTAGGATGTTGAACTTCAAAGGATTTTCATGCTTGAAATGCAAGCACAAAAGTTAAGTTGTGGATGAAATTACAAGCAGATAATGAAATATCTCTCTGTGATCAAAACATGGAAGAAATCATTTATCAAACTCACACAAAGTTCTCTCCTCTCATGTCTGTAGGTATGTGCAATGGTCTTTAGAATGTGTCGACAATCACCTGCTCCTATCAGAAGGATATTACATTTTCCTGGCAAAAAAAAAATCAAAACTTTGGAGAAATTAATAACTAAGGTGACCTTGTGTGTTAACCGCTTCTGGCAGGGTTAAGCCCTTTAACCCCTTGGGGTGACTGACATCTTATTTCTCCTCACATTATCATCCTTAAATCAAACATAAAGGTCCAGAGAATTAAGGAAACAATCACCAATTTAGGAAGCTCCTGATTGTTAGAAAAATTCTCCTTGCCAGTACCATAAAGATGTCGAGAGATCAGTGCAGAGAATGTGAACACTAATGTTAAGGTTAAGAAAAAGAAACAACAACAATAACAATGAATAATGAGAATTTAAAATGCATCGTTGAAATCATTTTAAAATAAAGTGCTGAATAACAACGACAGATTCCAAACAACTAGTTCCATCATGCCTCCTGAACGTAGACTGCTACTTACCTCGTTTGTTGGCACCATGTGACTCTGAGATGTTCAAATTTTTAATCTTGGAAGCTAAAGCTGTGGGATAGAAAAATATAAATAGAATTAACTACGGACAGAAACTGTCACCATTTTTTCCCCTTGACAACCCTGAAAACAGAACCAAGTTGACAAAGAATAACCTTTCTTTCTTTCCGAGTTTGACCGCTCAAGATCATGTATCAAGCTGACCTGGTGTAGTAAACAAAATTCTGTTGGTCCTCATTATCAAGTTTTTTAAAGTTAATTCTCCAATCGTATTTGTAAGAAATAAACAGGAACCAGGCAGAAGAGATAACCTTATTCGTATGATTATCAGCTGGAGCATAACTTACACTGATATCTGTCCTGCAGATCAAGAGCTGGGCTAAATCCCCACCACGTAATTGCACCAAATCCGTCAGCCATGGAAGCGTCAAATTAAAGAAGCACTTTATACACTTTCAAAATCTGCAAGACAGTCCGCCATTTTTCGTTTGTCCGATAAGGGATTGGGTTCCGTGTTATTACTCCAGTCCACTCCCGTAATCACGCTTGCACCGGTTTCCAAGATGGCTGCCGTGGCGAAGAACATCAGTCCTCGATATTTACGACAATTTGCCGTGGTAAGAGGTTAAGCCGATAGTAAAGTTACTTTGGCAAGACAATATTATGTTGTAATTTATTCTCCTGTGGTTTTCATCGTTTGTAAACGCAATGTACTTTTATTTTTACATGCCGCACATAGAGTATATTAGTAGAATTCATATTAGGCTACCGTCAGTAGTGATGAATACCAAGTTACTTCTATCTAATTACGTTTTGTTATTTTTCAGCGGATTCCAACAGCAATGTGGAGGTTGACATCCAGCAGCTCAGCATCTGATGACGGCGATTCCGTCAACACGGCCAGTTCTAGTTCACCAACAGGTGTGAAAATTCTTTAACACAAGAAAGTAACTTGGTTTACTAATTTCTTTCGTCCAGTCTAGCTGTGGCTGGTATAGTAGCCAGGTGATTGACTGTTCGTCTGCCAGTCTGTTTTTCTGTCTGTTTATCTGACCACCCTAGTGGGACTGACTGAATCACTCTCTGACTGTCCCTCTTACCAATTGTCTATTAACTAGCTTACCAGCTGACAGACTGTATGAGTGACTGGCTCACAGATGGACTTATTAGTTAATGAATTAACTGATTTGATTGATTGACCAACTGAATGACTGAGCAATTAACTCATTAATTTACTGACCGACTGACTGATGAAGCTATCGAATCCTAGATTGATTAACTAACTGACTGAGAGATTTATTTATTGATTGACTGACTGACTGACTGAGCAATGAACTCATTGATTAGTGGACTTACTGACTGACTGAGAGACCAACTCATTTACTTTTTACTAACTGACTTGCAGACTGACTGATTGATTGCCTCTCAGACTGACTGTTAGACTGTGTGACTGCCTGATCCAGTGAAAGACTGCTTGACTTCCTGACAAACTAACTGACTGACTGACTTTCTGACAGACCAACTGAGTGAATGGCTGACTTACTAACTGACTGAAAGACAGAAAGCTAATTTATTGATTGATTGCTCAAATAATTAACACACTCACCAGCCGACTGACTGGCTGACTGACATACCTATTGGCTGAATGACTGATTTTATGATTTAACCAGACTTTCATATTTTTTAGTCTATTGTTTTAGGGAATAATTTCTATATAACAATCCTTTTGTTGGCAGAAAACAAAGAAGAGGTCAGTGACATAAGCACATACAAAGTGAAGGACTACTATTCATACAATGAATACTCTTTCTATGATTTGGAGAATGTCATTGATGCTACTGGAAAGAGGCAAATCCAGCCAAATCCTACAGAGAAGTACGCTCACACTGACCCTTGGACGACATAGGACATGGTTACAGTTGGTGAAACTCTTGAAAATACTGTTGTTTCTTCTTAATCTTTCTCAAAAGCATGCTTACAAAATGATGTTCTTAGTTGCTTTTCCATGGCACAAATACTTCAAATGTTGAGATGTAGCTCATTTAAGGGGATCATAATTACTTGTTGGATAAATTTAAAACATTCACCAACATGGCATTTTTGAAAGTGACTTTATGAAAGCTATAATTATGTCCTTGTTAATGAAACTCATGTTTGTCTTTTCAGGAGACAAAATGAATTCTCTGACTGAGTGAATGCTAACTTTAGTTTTGTGGTAGTCACTAGTAGTAGTCTTTTTTTTTTCTAATATATTGGGATAACTACAATAAAACTCATCATTTGTACAAAAAAATATTCCCAACAGATCATAATTGTTTTCAGGATTTGTAGTGCTGGTGTACTTCTTAGTAAAAATTTGCAATAAATGAATCTGAGGAGGTGTGTGATTGTGGAGTTGTTGTTATCCCCTACCTTGAAAAAGAGAATGTGTCTGATATAGTATTTTCCATTAATATAAGTACTTATGAAGCTGAAATTGAGTGCCTCATCAAATATTCTTTACAGAGTGTAAACAGGCAAATCAATTGTGGAAACATTTATTTAATTCATACTTCAGTTTCTCTTTGATAACAATGGTTAACTTTGCAATCATGTGCTCAATGAAACTGTAACATTAAAACTGAGAAATCTCTGGCAGATTTACTCTTCAAATAAAGGAGATGCAGTGTAACATATATCTGATTTTCAGCTATATTTGTTTCATAAAACTTGCATGGGTAGTGACATCCTCACAATTCAAATCATTATTTAGCTAATGAAAGCCTTTGCAAAACGCCACAAAGTTGTTTTGAATTTTCATTAATATGTCAGTAAATCCTTAAACCGTACAAAATTAGTTATAAACTTTTGAAATTCCAATGACACCACTGATCGGCCGAAAAATACTTCAAGATCAACTTTTAAATTTTGTTTGTAAATTCAAACATGTATCACTAAAGTGTGATTTAAAAGTTGTGAGATACCATTAAGCCCATAAATTTTTAACTGAATTTTGCCATCACATTAATGATGCTTCATTAGAAATGAGCTCAACAAAACTTTTATAACCGGAACTCGCCAAATTCGTTATCTAAATAAATTTCTGCATCAACAAATTTGGTTTCAAAACGCAGTGAATCACTCAAAAAATCACACACAGATTCAAATTTGACGTCAAGATGCCTCGCATCAGTTCACTTGCTTGCCATGTCCATGAGTATTTGTGCGGCTGCGTGGAGCCCTCGGCACTGGAATTCAGGTTCCCATAGATTCGGTGTAAGCGCAACTACAGGTGGAGCTAGGTACTGGTTACCAACAGTTCCTGTGTAACTGAATACGACAAGTGTCACGTTGGATTTTTTAATTAACCGATATCAGTTTATACTAAAAACGTGGATAGCGTTGAAGGTGCACTCTTACTGGCTTATCCTTTGCTTTTCACCTCCGTAAACTCGCGCGGGATTTGCGCTCATAAATATTGTAATCGTAACTGAACGGTTATTCTGAGGGTAATTTTTACAGCAATGAAACCCAGTAACCACAAGGGCTAGTTTCGAAAACAGCGAAAAAAAAGATGAAAAACGGAGTGACTTACCTCGTGTGTAAATAAAACAACAAAACAAAATTATTTTATGGAATCTTATGGTCACAGAATTGTTCTTTTGGAGCAAGAAGGATTCCTCCTCATGGTTCTTTGCGCTTATTTTGGGGAAGGGAAGGGGGCTGTAGACCCTTATATTAGCTAAGTTTATGCGAAAAAAAGCAAGAAAAGAAAACTGTCCAATGAAAAAGCAACTTGACCTCGTGCAGGTCAATGACGCGTGTATATTGTAATAGTTAGTTGATGTGTTGCTCGTGTAATCTTCTAATGATCACCTTCCGGGCCAATCTGTGAGAGTGCCAGCGTTACAAGTCATCTCTGTCCAGTAGTCTGATACATTTGAGCCTGTGAAAATCAAAAGGGAAAGCTCATTCATCGGTTCGACTCTTATTACACCGAAGAAACGAAAATAAGCTCTGATAGTTGCCCACAATTGAATGTCAAAGCTCACAGTTTGCCTTTCGGAAACATATAAAGTCTGCCAACAAATGAAGGCTTTTGTATATAGGACAGATAACTTATGCTGCATAATGCTAGGCATAATGTTACAGTTAGAGCATCAAGCATAATGCTGACATAACGACTAAATTTCTTTAAAATGATCTCCTTGCTGTTACAGTTCAACGAGAGATAAACTTTATAACCTGCATTGTGTCAACAGTTAGCCTGCTTTTCTAGCTTGTTCGTCAGGAATTTGATCATATTTTGTGTTCTGAACCTCGGTAAGCCTTAAAATCTTAGTTAGTTAAATATGAGGTAGAATCATATACCCTAGATGACATGCTTCTGATTGAGCATAACGAAAACTTTTGCTTGAGCATGATTTTCGGCACGATGCCATGTTTTCAGAGACGACGCTCAATAGCATAATGCTCCAATTTTCAAGCATAATTTATCTGACCCTAATTATATATATATACGCGCCAAATGGAATCTATTGTTTCCATATTTTAATTTTAGTCGGGGTATACTCCGTCGAGTTACGAGTTCCAACCGATACCAATCGCGCTTTAGCGCGGAGATATTTGATGCATTAAAATGCATTAGTTCTGCTGGCAGCGCATGGGAGCAATACTGAGTACTACTAGTTTGGAACTATGATAGCCGGTTCGTTTGAAATTCAGTTTAACAGGGTATTGAAATTTTTAGACTTACCTAAAGATGTAGGCACGTGAATTTGAGTGGCGTGAGGTGGACACGTGCAAAAACTAGCGCACGGAGGGACCGTACCCGGAGTGGACGCCATTGTAGTTGTTAAGATGGGAACTTGCCATGGCTCTGGCAGACTACAACATAAAGGCATTTTCGTCAACATTTGGCCAAAAAACACAGTCTTCGTTTATTTTTTCGACACCACTTTGAAAGTTCCTTCCATGTGGATAAGGCTCTAAAAGGGGGTTACGTACGTCGGTCAGAATAGAATCAAGATTTGTACCTGATTAGTTGATAAACTCACCTTGACCTGTTCCACAAGTGCTTACTCTTGACTTCGTCTTTTCTTTGTGTTTTTCTTTTCCCCCGCATTCTCCTTCGTGTATTAGCAAACCATGTATTGACCTAGTTGAATGTGCAAGAGTACCGTAACAGATCTAGCAAATGAATTTGATACCGGAAAGTCTTGTTTAAAATTACGCTACAGAAAACTATGAAATGTTTTCTTGTCAATTATCTGAACCATTTCAGAACGTCCTCAAAATTCCCACGCATATTATCCTGAATAATGTAACCCCTGAAGTTCTCAATACTCATAATTTGTGCCAAGAGTTTTTTAGTTGTTGTTTTTTTTTCTTATTCAGGAGTTATCTTTTTCAAGTTAGATACCTGTAAGATCGTAAGGCCTGTGTCATCTGCCAGTGCAGCTTTAGTTTCCCGCGTCGGATACGGACGAGGGTTTTCATCTAGCCAAGCACGAAGCTTAGCAGTGGCTTCCCTGGGTAAAGTCGCTTTTTTCCTTCCGTTCGGGCAGATGTTTTTCGGTGGGAGAAACCTGAGATGGCAAAAGTTTTGAGAGACAGAGGAAATATTTGATGTAATTTACGTTTGCAAACGTAAGTTTGCCAGTGTAATACGTTATCCTTTCAGATAAGATTTTTCTATCCTTTTGCCACGATCGTTTCGTGGGGAAGAATTCATATAAATTCATACAAAACTTTCTGCGACAGAGAATTTTGGAAACACTCTATAAGACAAATTAATTTTTACGTATAACTTATGTCCCCGCAAAAGGTCGAGACCGACCAAAGAGAAATCTAAAGAATAATTCGCGCAAAGGCAGCAAGGATTTTTGTTTGATAACGGTTGAACGGTTAAATTTCTGATAAATTTGCTGAGGAAATACATGACATTGAAAGAAATTTGAAGACTTTGTCGTGATGTAGTTTTTTGATTTTGATAGAAATAAAGAAAGCGTTGCGAAGCTAAGCATCGATTTTCCCAGATTGAGGCTTTTGATAGAGCAAGAAAAATTCAGATTTTAATTGATTCAAACTACACAGCTCTCGTTCTCTGAAATCTGGTTTTCTTTTCAGTAAAAGCACGAGAGAATGCAGATAGTTCAGCCTCGAAAGATTCCCAATTAGGATGTCGGTTCGTGTATCTTTTTAGTGAGTTTAATGTACTTAAACCCGAAGACCCGAAAGAACACAACCAAATTTTGAAAACCCTACATTACTGTACTCAGTCAATCCCAGTCAATCAGAAACTCAGCCACTGATATCTTAAAAATGAATAAAAGGAAGTTTTTGCTTTTTTTCCCTGCACACTGGCTTAAGTCAACTTATTTCAGAACCATTCAAAGGCGATTTCGCAAGTAAAAGGACGCCAAAATGTCTACTCTTCAGACATTATTTAACTTTTTCGCCAATGGTTGTCACCATTTAAAAGCTTACTGAAACTGTCGACATCTACCTGATTGCAAGCAAAATTGATCAAAGCTATTACAAAATTGATCAAAGCTATTACAACTCTCAAAACCAGAAGATTGCGGCGAAGCGGAGTTATTTCATCGATTTTCTGTTGTTAACTCACCTCTCTCGGATTCTGAAACGAGCTAACGGGGTGAGCGCTTTGTTTCGCTTTTCACCCTCCTGGTAGTAATGTCCCTGGTCCCAATAATGCAGAGCTTTCTTCTGGGTTTCATCACTGAATTCGTTTTCCTACATAAAAATTATAAAATAACATAAAATCATTCAATCGCGTACTAAGTAAAGAAATTCTCATCTTACTGATGAGAATTTCAAGCTGCACAGGAACAGGTGACGTACTTTTATCAGCTGAAACATTTCATCTATATCTTTCCTTTGCCAAGCCTGGTCAATCTTTTTAAATATGATTTTCTCGCTCTGTTTGACTTTACCAGGAAATGAGTCCAACCACGTTTGTAACCCGGAGGTTGATTGAGAAGCTGTGTTCTTTGAGCTGTCAGTTTTCAACACTCTCGTAAATGGTAGACAAGGCAAGGTCGGCCACTGTGTTGCAACCGTTGACCCCTCCAACAAGCCTCCTCCATTCTTCAGCAAAATTTTTTTCTTTGTTCTTCTACTCTTGCCTTTTCTCAGTGCTAAAACGTAAGCCATTCTTCCTTAGCAACAGATTTGATATTGGAAACGTATTTCCCTTGTTTCTGTTGAGTCAGAAAGGTCGCTTGTTTAGGAAAGTTACGATTTCTGCTTTGAAACAAACACAGTCGTATCAATTTCTTGTGGTAATGAATCTCGCGCGAGAAAATTAACAGTTCCTGAAATATTTGGAAAAAGTTAGATTATCATTCCTGCTTAAAATGCAGATTAAGTAGCTGAACAAAAACAAGCCGGTTTGCAAATATTCAACACTGCCGCAAAACACGTGCACTACAGCTTCCACGCTGTCAATCAATGTCAAAAACAAAGAAATGATGGAATCGATGAGTTTTAGGAATGCTATCTATCGTTTTCTTCTGTGTGTCACTTTTGTCTTTTGCGCTCGTTACATTTTACAAACAAAGGTGGGAAGAAAAAATCAGCTTGTTATAATTCCGATTGATCAACTTCAATGTTCATCAAGTAGGTAGGGGATCATTTAACTTTACCCAAGAGACAAACTTTCAAGGATACTTTAAAAAAAAAACAGTTCTTTTCCTAAGAAATGAAAATAAAAATTCTCAATAAACCGTATTATCAACAAGAGCGATATCTTAAATTTTCCTTCCAGTTTTCTGCCTATTCACCTTCCGACCTACGTGCATCTTTTTACACGTGCAACAGGAAAAATGTGAGGAATCACTAATTACATTACGCTAATTTCAAAAACAAAATGAATTAACAAAGAGGCGGAGAAAAGAGGGATGCGTTTGATTTGGTAGGCTTGAGGTAAATGTTGTATCCACCGAAAGGTTGAAAGTTCTACTAGTTCTCTGTTTAAAAAAAAGAAACGACAAAAAATTAACATATTTGACTTTCTAACAGCCGATACCATTTAAATCGAGCGGCTTCTTGAGACGTAGAAAGAAGTGACAGAACAAAACATTTAGAGAGCAAATTTAAAAGAAAGACAAATAGTATGATTTATGGGTAGTCTCTTTCCTGAAATAGTCCATGAAAAACTCTAGATCTCTCTCTGAATTTCCCCCTCTTAATTATAGTCAATCAATTATTTGTCTCATTTATTTGGTAAGCGAGGTTCATTAGATTGAGTTTATTGATATGGACGTATCTTAATTGTATACATTGCTAAAACTTGATATAGGATACAATAAAGTTGTTGTTGTTGAGGAAGTAATAAAGACAGTCCCGTAAAGGATAATTATAGACTACAAGCCCCATTTCTCAGCGCAAATTTTACCTTAAATCAGGAGCTCAATGGGCTCCTGCTTAAATCCCATTTCCTGACCTTTTCTCCTTCGCCTCACTTTACTACTGTTTTTCCTTGTTTGAGGTTCCAGGTTTTCTGACCCATTTTCCTATCTTTTTTATGAACTTGAGAAAACCCGAGTTTCTGTCTGACCTCCTAGCAAAAAAAAGATCCCTTAGCTTTTCAAACGAAGCAAAATCTCTTCTTCTGCCACCCATTTCGGATTTATGCCCTCGCGAACCGGCGGCTTGTCACCACCCCACTCCCTTACTCTGGAAAGGCCAGGCATCCCTTGCATGCTCAGTAGCCGCGCTTCCACTTCCGTTATGGCGGGCTGTGTGCTCTGATTAAGGTAAACTACAGAGAAAAAGAATTTCAGTCCTGGAAATTGAAATGTTCGGTCAACAAAACCAGCAGAATAAGCCTGTTGGCATATTTGGAGCTACGTCTCAGCTTGGTCAGAATACGGGAGGGTTCAGTTTTGGTGCAACCGCAGGAAGTACTGCCGCTTCGAGTTCAACTTCTTCGTCTGGCGGGTTCGCCTTTGCTGCACCATCACAACAATCAGGTGAAATTTGCGGCGATTCTTCTGGAATGGTGCTACTTTTTTGTAACATAAGAAAAATTTCGTTCTTATTTCTTTGGTAGTGGAGTTAGTGAAATCTACCGGAATAAATATTCGAATACTTTATATTAAGTAAAGGCTCATCCATAATTATTATGCCACGCCTTCGCACTTCGAGAACGATGAACACTTTTATATTTGCTATGGCAAGGAGGTTTAATGGCTAGATTTTTATCGATACGATATCCTTTATTTTTGTTACGGCACGCGTGATAATTATAGTAATAATAATGATAATGATAATGTAGATACTTTTAATTAATTTAAATTTATTTTAATTAGTTTACATTTATAGCTAATGTATTTTATTTAATTTACTATCATGTTATTATATTGTAAATTGCTGGTATAATAAGACGTGTAATTAGGTTTTTGAATTTTAAATTTTAAATTTCTTGGATTGTAAAAATGTGTAATTCAGCCCTCGGGCTGCAAATGCATTTGAGATTAAACTATCTATCTATCTATCTATAAACTCAAAGTGTTCTCACGTTGAGTGGAAATTTTGCTGAAATTTTATTCTTCAAAAGGTGACTTTTTGGGTTTTGCAGAAATATGTGTGAGGTTCGAAACAATTGAAATTATTACTGAGAACCAACTTTTTGTGATTTTCTGTTTAAGGAGCTGGATAATTGAGACGAAAAGGAAAAAAATTTAAGTTTTTAAACTTAACGAGTTGTACATACAATGATCCTACAATGATATTCTTATTGACTGATTTACGTCTGTTTGGATAGGAAAAATTTGGCTCTTAGAGGAAGTATGGATAATATTAGGGCAGCAATCCTGAATTCTTTCCCTGTCCAGCCCATCCACTCAGTCACTTAAAACCTTTTAAAATGCCCGTTTCCTTGTGTCTTTCTCTGTCTAGGATTTCAGTTTGGTTCAACTACCACACCATCAGCCACAAAACCTGGCGCCACAGGAGGCCTTACTTTTGGTGAGACACCTAGGACCACAGGAGGTTTCACACTGGGTGCAACACCTACATCTCAGCCAGTGGGATTCAGTTTTGGCACAAAATCAAGTAGCAGTTTTCAGTTTGGTACGCCAACAGCAACTGCAGCAACAACACAACAACCTGGGGGGTTTGCATTCAATTCTTCTTCAACAACTGGAATTTCCTTTGGTACACCTGCCACATCTTCTGGTCAGGCAGCTAGTAGTGGGTTTAGGTTGGGTGGAGCAGGTAAGCTTTTTTCTTGGAAAGTAGGGGTATAACAACTATTATATAATACGCTCAGTTATGCACGCATTCTGATTGGTTCTCACTTATGATCTATTGGAGGACAGACATATAGATGATGTCATCATTAAAACTTTTTTTAATTCTTTATTATATAAAACAACTAGATTCCAAGTTGCCATGCGTCTGTTCAGTAATAGATCACAGAGGATGTCAAAATGTGGTAAGAACATCAGTGACACACTCAGCTGCGCCTCATGTGCCACTTTTTTGTTCTTACCACACTTTGACGTCATCTGTGATCTATTACTGAACAGATGCATGGCAACTTGGAATCTATCTGTTAAGTGGAATAAGTTGAACAAGATTTAGTAATTAATCACTGACAAGAAAACTGCTAAATTTCTAAAGCAAGAGAAGGGGCACATCACTGATCTGCAAGAAAGAAACAAATCACAATATATTACAACAGCCAAATTTCAGTAAAAAACTGTTTTGTTATGTATTTCCCAAGCTTGCCTTGAGTATGGCTTGAAGTCCTGGCGCTCTTTCACAGAAGGATTTCCAACTGCACTTCAAGAATTATATCAATTGATATAATAACATTTTGTTGAGTACTTGTGAAAAATTTGTTCTAGCAGGAATTCTGTTAAACCTAGTCATTAAAATCATTCTCTTTTCATAACTGGCCTTTCTACTTTTCCACTTCTTTTAAGTTTTATAGTGCAAAATGTGTTAAGTTGTAGTTTCCTGAAGTATTTCCCAACTCAGTGTAAATATGTTATCACGGTTTAAAATGGATATTGATTTTGTCCTTTCATTTCAGGATCAGGCTTTTCATTCAGCAACCCTGCACCAGCAACCACATCTGCAACAGGAGGCCTCTCCCTGGGTTCTACATCCACTGCTGCTTCCTCTCAATTGACTGGGGGCCCTACCTTTGGAAAACCAGCTGCTACAAGCACAGGGTTCAGCTTTGGTCAGTCCTCGGGCTTGACATTTGGCACTCCAAACACTCAACAAAGTGGACTGATAACAGGTGGTGGAGCACCAGTAGGGCTTACACAGGGGACAAACAAAACTACAGCACCCACAACAGCGACTCCGACTGTGGGTATTTCACTTGGAGTTAATGTGTCTTCTGCTCAGTCAGGACTGTCTTTTGGGGCAGTCACTGCAACAGCATCTACTAGTTACCCTAGCACTCTACCTACGCTTGGGGCTACTGCCCCAGCAACTACCACTGGTGGATTTTCTCTTGGAAACAACCTCAAATTAGGTGGCACTGCAGCTGCCCCAGTTAGTACTGGGTTGTCTTTCAATCTACCATCTTCAACAAGTACTTCAGCAACACCAAGTTCAGGGTCATCATTTGGATTAACTACAACCACAGCACCTAGCACAGCCAGCAGTTCAGTCTCCACAGTTCCCACTCTGAGTACAAAGCTTTCAGGAATAGGCACAACTGCTGTTACGACTGCTTCAGGGTTACCTGCATCTGGACCATCAGGATTAAAATTTAGCACTCTACAAACAACATCATTATCAACTGCGACAACAACAGGTCAGTTTTGTGACAATGCATTAATTGATTAATTGTGTTTGGGTTCACTCTAGAGATGTGACATTTAAAGTCGTACTTCTAAATGCAAAACTGGAAGTAGATTTATTTTGCTATAGAACAACATAATTGTCCATTTAAGTAACATTTTTCACTCACACACTCTGATTTCTGATATAATTTTTTATGGATATATTTTTAGTGGCTTCAGCACCTGGAACCATAGCTAGCACAGCAAGGTGAATATTTTTTTGTTTCCTCAAATATTCCAAAGTGATCTGTTTTTTATATTAAATATGTGTTTTTTATATTAAATATGTGGAACAATCTTTGAACCCTTTTAGCTTCCAGAATTGATTAACATATAACTTCTCCCTATAATATCCATACATTATCCAGCAAACAGGTAATGAGAATGCTCAAATTTTTCACTAGATAGAAGTTGTTATCTTGATCTAACACCAAATCCTTGTAACTGATTTACAGAGAAATGTTTTGCAGGTGGAGGGAAGAATAACAATCGTATCTTGGGAGTTAAAGGGTTAAAAACAAAGTCCAGATGTATATTTCTCCAGAGATAAAATTCTAGACAATCAAGGTTCATACAGGTTGTGGAAAACCTGGAAAGTCATGGAAATCCATAGGATAATTTTCCAGGACTGACAAATCACAGATTTTACACAAAACTCATGGAAAGTAAAGAAAATTGACTGAGTGTGATATTTTTGGAAACAACAACAAAAACAAGCTTTCATTACATGATAGTTTTCAGGTCATTTTGGAACCTGGTAACTTTTCAGTGGTGTTTGGAAGTAATAAGCTTATCTGTCTTCATTGCAGTTTTTATATTTTCATCTACAAAAAAGTTCTTCATGCTTTACAATCCTCTCTTCCCCTTCCTTGTTTCCTCAATTCTTTCTCATTGATCCCAGATCCTTGATTCTCAATTCTCAATTCTTGTTAGTTTTAAGGAGACTGTGCTATATAAGCAGTACTAGTGTAGTTTGATCATCCAGGTGAGTGTAGTCCTGAGAAGGACTGTTGTTGGTAGTGGTGACTGACATTTCTACAACCTGTGTGGAAGTCATCATCAGAGTCAAGTGAAAGATTGTTGTCGGTTGAATGTACTTAGTCTGGTTTGTGTACATTGATTGGTCAGTTTTGCTGTGATGTTATTGGCTGTAAGACTCAAGTGGTATAGGTCTGTCGTGATTGGTTGGTTTGGATCTGTTAGTGAAGTTAGGTTGTTCTGTTTGGTTTGTTTGTAATGTTAATGTTGTGGATGAGTTGTTTGTATGGTGCTGGTAGTGGTTGACACCTGTTGAGGGGAGTCTTTTCCAAGTTAGTAAACCAGCTTTCCAGGGTCAGTCGTTGAAAGTAGTTGGTGCTGTAGGTTAGGCATTGCGCAGAGTCCCAGTCAATAGTGTGGTTTGTAAGTCAGTGATGTTCAGCAATGTGATTGTTGACATCACCTTTCCTCGTCACTTGTGTGTGTTCAGTCAGTCTAGTCTTCAGTCTTCAGTCTTCAGTCTTCAGTCAGTCAGAACCGAACAGAACAACCTAACTTCACTAACAGATCCAAACTGACCAATCACGACTGACCAACACCACTTGAGTCTTACAGCCAATAACATCATGGCAAAACCGACCAATCAGTGTACACAAACTGGACTAAGTACATTTGACTGACAACAACCTTTCACTTGACTCTGATGATGACTTCCGCTCAGGTTGTCGAAACGTCAGTCACCACTACCAACAACAGTCCATCTCAGGACTACACTCACCCAGACAATCAAACTACCCAATTACATGTTACCACTGGGTTCAAACCTTTTACTGTAAAAGCAGTACTGTTAGCTTCACAGCAGCTGCACAATTTTTCTGTGAAATAGCTATGAGAGAAAGATTGCAACAAAAAATTAAATGAACTCTATCCAACCCTTAGATCACTTTATTTAGTTTTACTTTTTAACTAGATGTCAGGAAATATGATTATTTTTCTCAATAGCTCCTCTGCACCTGGAGCTGGAGCTCCTAGCAATGTACCACAATTGACTTATAAACAGCTTGAAGAACTCATTAACAAGGTAAATACTGGACTCAACCTTGGTAGATTACTATGTTTCAATTATGTTGCATTTCATTTCTTTGCAATCAGATCCCTTTACAGAGATTGTAGAATTTTATAGAATTTTCTCTGCTTCCAAAAAGCAGTATTGTAGCCCAACTGGAAGAAGATGGTGATAAGAACTTGAAAGGCTTCTATTTGAATCATTTAAGCCTTTAACTCCCAAGATCTCATTAGTAATTCTCCTTACTGTCTGCCATACAATTCATATGATTCTAATTTGGAGAATTTGGTATTGGATCAACCAATAATCCCCTGATTGATATTTTTCTTTATTCTCATTACTTGTCTGCTTGATATTGTACTGATAGTGTAAGGAGAAATTCTGTCTGGGTCACTAGTGGGACTTAAAGGGTTAAAAGGCTGAAATTTTTTCCAAGCTTCACTTTCAACAATTTTTTAAATTTTAGTTTTCCTATAAGGATCAGTTTGCCTTTTATCTCCATCTGCAGGACAAAAGATAATTATTTCACTGTAACATCAACAGGTATCCTTTGGTTAAAATTTTTTTGTATAGAAAGGAAAGCTTTCAGGTTTCATTCTCAAGCTTCTAAAACAAAGAGTTATTTCATTTGTTCTATTTTGTTCTGGTTGTTTGTCAATAGTTCCTAGTGAAATAGTTGTTTTTATATTAATGAGGGTGGTTTAGATTACTGTTTGCCCACTAATTTAAACCAGATATCTCAATTGTGTTTTCATATAATTTATATATATATATTGAAATTTTTTTTAGTGGGCTTTGGAACTAGCAGACTATGAAAAAACATTTTTGGATCAGGCAGCACAAGTGAATTCATGGGATAGGCTTCTTATGGAAAATGGAGAAAAGGTGAAAATGATACACATACACTGTAGTAGTTTATCTCAGTAAACTATTAGACAAGAGATGCGATTACTACAGCATTGCTTTAAATGGGTCTCTCTACAGGACTCTAAATTCCGAGAACTCTATGTAACAGACTGTGAAAGAGATGTTTCAGTTAGCATAATGGTAAAGTCTGCCATTAGCCATTTACACCCTAACATCAATATGCAAGTTCTCCCTACTGTTCTTTATACATTTCCTATGGAGCTTGCAAGGAGATCTTGTCTAACAATCAAGAGCTTTTTGAGTTTCCGAACATTTCCTTTATTTTCATGAACTTAATGTTTGATTTAGGGGTGATACTATTGGGAAAAATTAGATACTTTTAACAGGTTAAGCCTTGGGTTGTCATCATGGTGTTTCTCAGATGAGATAGTTAATTCTTGTAGTGTCTGACTGTTAGTCCATTTAACAAGCTGTCAAGAGGGCATCCCATGAAGAGGAATTAGCAAAGATGTCACAAGCTATTGGTTTGTTATGTTAGTGCGGTAGTTGTCTGTCTGGTGAACCATAACCATAACAATTGTGTATTCAAATGTTATGTGTCTGACATTTTAGATCACTGAGCTTAATGCTGGTGTGGAGAATGTTAAAGCAGAACAAAAAAGGTAAACATTGGCAAAAGAATGTAAGTTGCAAGGTGATCTCCTTTTCAAGCAGTAACTAGTAAAATTTACAGCATGTAGCACTGGTGATCTCTTTTTACAGCCTAAAATTGCTTGGAATTCTTAAAAATTGAACAAGTAAAAGGATTGATCGACCAGTTTGAATATTTCTTTTACCTGTTGTGCTTAAATAAGTGAGAACACTTGTTACTAGTATGCTGTCTGTAAGGCTGAGGTATTGCAGACTTTAAGGAAGTGAGTATGTAGTTTTCACACATTAATTGGACAACCAGCAGAAAGTGTCCTCTTACTGATGAAAGTTACATTCTGAAAGGATTGTAAGATGAAAACTTTTTGAAACTCATGGATATTATAGCTTTGCTTCAAAGATCCAATTTCACTTTACAACTCATTAAAATCTCAAGGGTTTGATGGAGAATAAGTTGGAAGAGGCAGTGGTTCTAAACAAGCCTTAGAGGGATTCAGTCAGTAGTCAATGCAAAGTATCTGGTTATTAACCTGTAATATCCAAAATGTGATTGTTGATAAGTATCTACAGCATTATTCAGCCAGTAGGTAACAAGTAAACACAAATTCTGGAAATAATCACCAGAATATTAAATGTATTGTTAGACTTGATCAAGAGTTGGACTTTATTATGGCCCAACAACAAGAACTGGAGGAAATGTTGAAGCCATTGGAAGATGCTGTAAGTTCAAGCAACTCAGGCAGCAGGCAACTCCAGCAGGCTGATAAGGAGAGGGACTTCACGTAAGTTGAACACAGTTTATAACTTACAGTGTTTTTATGAACAGATAGGGTGGAGTTCATGAAATGTACTGGAATGAAACCTGGCAGTTCTTCAAGTTGTGGTTTGGAAAAAAAATTGGAGTACTGAATTTGAGGCTTTAGTCAGTAGCTTGGTAACTTACCTTCAGCAGCCACTGAAGGATTGGCATGAACTTATGACAACATTACCTGTAACATGATCTGTGCAAATTCTTTTCAATCAGGTACAAATTGGCTAAAGATGTTGATGGACAGTTAAAGCAAATGGTGCAAGATCTCAAATCAATCATTGAACATCTTAATACTGCAAATACTCAGCAACAGGACTCAGATGACCCTGTAAGTGATTACTGATTGGCATTGTCGAAATGTTGAAAGAAACGATAGTTTAACAAAAATAAAAAATGGCGCTTCGTCTCTACACTCCCTCTTCTATTGTGGTTTTGACTCTTTGTTTGTGTTTAGATTGCACAGATTGCCAAGATTTTGAATGCACACATGAATTCACTACAGTGGATAGATCAAAATTCAGGTGAGCCACAAAGAGATTGGGAACCATCCTTCTTAGCAGTTAATGCTAAGGGGAGGGTGGGTGGGGGCAGTCTAAATTCTTGAATTCAAAGGCTACAATCAACCATCAGTCTCACTGCTTGGTAAATACATTTTAGTTTTTTTTTTCTTTTGTGAAGGATTATCATAATGATAATTTACCTAGAACAAAGAAGAAGACTAGTTTAGATCTTGCTGACCTGTATTCTTTTTTTTTTTTTTTTTTTTTTGTGAGGGACTGAGTTTTGTTTTCTATGACTGATTTACTGTTTGACTGATTGATAAACTTAATCACTACACTGATGGTTAATCAACTGACTGACAAACCAATTTTTATGTAACTCATCAATTAATGGTATTTTCCCAGAGTTTTTCTTCCTCAAGTGCCAAAAGTCATTTTGAAGTGTTGGGTCAAAGTTATGAATTACCCATAACAAGCTTCTTTTTCCTGTAGGAATCCTTCAGAGAAAGGTTGAAGAGATTTCTCGCCTCAGTGAAACAAGGAGAAAAGAACAGGAAAGAAACTTTAGATTGGTAAGTTTTTGGCCAAGGGGTATTCTTTTTCTGAAGAGTACAGATTTAGACAACTTTTTTTTGTTGCACATCCCCAATAAAAGAGATCTAGTCTAATTCTAGAGAGCACAGTTTGTCTCAATGGCACCTCTGGGACAGTGCCCCTACTATCAAGGGCAGGTTTAGAGTTTGTATGTTTAGAGTTTTGTTATGAACAGAGCATTGTGTAAGAATAAATTCTACATTTGACTCTTCAAAAATGATTCTAAAACAACCCTCTTGTAAAGGAATGTCAATGTCTGTGGATTTCATGGTTGCAAGCCTGTGTTTCCTTGACAAATGGATCATCATATTGGTTTTCTATCTCTCTTGCAGGCATTTGATTGATAATTTCATAACTTCTCAACTCTTCCAATACAAGTTGTACAACACATCAGCTATTGTAATGTATGGTGTTTAACTTTACACTGCTGTCGGCATAATGGGTCATTTTAGGTATGAGATGGAAAAATGAGCTGGGAACCTGTGAGAAGAAAATTGATGAGTGTCTTGTCTTGTAGCTTTGCCTTGTAGTTTCACAGTTTTCCTGTCTCTCTGTATATTTTGAAGATTCCTACCATCCTTACCATAAGCTAGGCAAGCATAATAGTAGAACTGTCATATGGTGTTAGTATCCTAACAAGTCAGTAGATTACAAGGCTTCAACTATTCTTTTTTAATAGATTAAACAGTCAACTTTTGTTGCCAGTCAACTCATTGTTGCCTTTGAATTCATTGTGACCTTTATAATTAACAGGGGCTGATTCTTACTTCCTGCCCTCCCTGTGGCTCTTGTGTTGCAAGAGTTTCCCTCGCACAATGTTAGGCTTTGGCAATTGGAAATTTGAATGTGACAATGTCGGGACCTCCCTTGCCTAGACAAATGGACCTCATAAGCAATCTTTAGTTTAAGTGGGGTAACCAACCTCATTCCTAGGACTTTTCTCATCTTCTTCCAATTTTTAAGCCAAAAGCTCCAGGAATGAAGTTGACCATCACTGAAAGATGTTCCCTCTTGGTTAACTGTGATGTGTAAGATGGTAGTGGATAGACCACAATTGCTTCTAAATCCTGGCCTTGTTCCCTTTTAGCGTTTTTGATTCCCATCCTTGTGAGCCAGATCTCATTTTCTCGGGAACAAAAATAGCTTAAGTCCAGTTCCCATTTTCCCAAGCTTGTGTGGCTAGCGGTTTCTTGGACGCTCGATGAAAAATGAAGTCGGTGGAGCTCCAAAAACGAGGAGCGGAGGTGTGGCTGTGACACCCCTCTCGTTTTCTCCCATATCTCTACCGGAGTTGCGCTTTCGCCGCTCGTTTTCACAGTTGCGCTTGCTTGACGCTTTAAACCCATCAATTACGCAAGCAAAATTTTGCCCATTCCATTTTTCTTTGAAAAACATACACTATACTTAGAAAAGTAGGAAAGAATTCTAACTACAGTTGTTGAAATCTTGTATTGTACTGCCGCTATTTTTACCCACTCCTCCCCTTAGTGGTTTCCCGCAGGTTATCCCGTATCCCGAACGTTGGGCTATATGCGGCAAAAGTCTGGGTCAGAGTCACAATTTGTTAGCGGAGAAATAGTTGAATATGGAGGAGGACGCCAATCAACCTAAAAAAGGCATTTTGAGGAACAAGTCTGAAGATAAACACCAGTATGTATCGCTTTCAATAACAATTAACCTGTTGATATTTTTGTTACCGAAGGTATTTTTGTCTCCAAGTGATCTATGGCGCGTCAGTAGAATTCCTGACTTACAGCACGCGCGTCCTAAACCTTTACATTTAATTTAATACTAATGCTGTAGTTAACTTTACTACTTTTTCTTTTTCGGTGTTGTAAGGTAACAGTCATCTCCTTGAATGGAGTTTTGATAGGTTTAGATTTACTTGTACTGTTCACACTTTGCTCGAGACTGAAATGAACACAAAATTTGGAATGAACACAGCTGTGCAATGAAGAATATTCCTGTCAACCTGTAATTTAGGCGTGCGATCACAATATTGAACTCAAACATCTTTTCTTCTGCTCTTCTGTAAATCTTCTGAGAAATTTTTTTTCCCTCACAATATTGCATATTCCTTGTCGAATTCGATGCAAACTGCTGATTATCCTTGAACGAAATAGCATAGTTCGTGGTTCGCTTCTTTCGCTCGACTTACATGGGAATTCTGGTGTACTCATTTTGCGACGTTGGTTGATAATCGTGAACTAAGGTTTTACTCATTGCTTTGATTATGAAAAAAAAAACTTAGATCTCGCCAGTAATTTTCGCTCGCATCCACCTGAAAGTGGAAAAAAAAAGGTACAAATTTTTATTATTTGTAACAGGAGTCCCTGCATGCATTTAGGGAGCAGATGTGCAGAAATAAGCTCGAAAAGGTTTTTGAAATTTTAATTTATCACCCTGTTTGTGGTATAGGTGTTCCATCGACCCTAATTTTTTATTGCTTGGTGATTTGTTAAATCTACCTTGAAAAGGTGTAGATTAATGAATCTCATCTGAAATTTTCGGTATTTCTAGTGAAGCACTTTTGATATCTTAAGTTAAAATTTTGAATTTTATTTTTTCGGTTTGGATCAGAAATCAAACAGAGAAGACAGAGCTGAGGGTGAAATACCTATTTTATACGGGCGCAGTGTTAAGATACAACAGAGCTTATAAAATTAGTTTGTATTGTTTGACTTAAGCCTGCCTCTACTTAATTCTTTCTTGTTTGCATGGAAATCTTGAATATGTAAATTGTAAATATACTCTCAAGTGGTGTCTGCAATGCATACTAAATTCGTAAGAGATAATTTTTTTCCTCTATCTTAGTCAGGGAATAAATTTTTAATTTCTCTGATACTGGTGAAGCTAATATGTGGCTTCAAGACACGTAAACATATTAATTGTTTTGTTTTAGGTGTGACTTTATATACATCTTTTTTCCAATGAAGTGTTTTGATGGAAGTGAATTTATGTTAGAGATTTTCATTTTCTGATTAACATTTGATTACAATCTTTCACTATTTTTCAAATATTTTTGTATATGAAGTTACCATAAACAGTTCTGGGAAATTTTTCTCTACTGAGTTCTTACTAAAAAAAAATTTACTACCCACAGGATAGTAATTTAAATTTTAATCTTGGAATATGGAATTTTGAAATATTGTTTTCGTGATAATTTCATCACAACTTGATTGGTGTGCTGAAGATCCTTTCTAATTTTCTTAGAAGTTCCATCACATTCTGTTCCCGTGAAATAGTGCCGCTTCCTGTAATTAATGCTAATAGTTAAAACAATGTTTTCCTGTGAGCAACACCTGTTATGTTCACAACTACATCCTGGGTGGCAAAATTTTTAGATTGGGAATTTTAAAAGAGGGTTATGGATTCCTCTGTGCAAAATTAAATTTATGAAAATGAGTAGTAAATACAGAGCGGATGTTATCCAAAGTTAATCCCTATTTATGCAAGAATTTAGTGATCATAATCTTGGATCACATTATGGAAAAGTGTACAATATGTTCTGTGTAGTTCAAATATTGTCAATCATGTTTCATGTGATGTCTTTGAATAGTAGATCTATTTGAAAAAGTGTGAGTAAAGGAAAATTGAATTATAGTTTGTATGTTTTTAAAGGTCAGCAGGTTCAAATTCAAATTAAGTTCTGCTTATGAAAATTGTGGTGTCTTGACTGGGCCAACTTCAATATATTTTGGTTGGAAAATATGGTGTTTTTTGAAGATTGATCTTTACCTTCTGTTTTAGTGATTAGATTAGATGGGAATGTTGGAAACAGAAACTAAGATAAATCTTGGATTTCAACTATTTAATCAATGAGAGGAAGTAGAGATTCTTAAATAAAGAATTATTTCTCACTCTTCCATTTATTTCTTTCTAACCCTAAACTTTTTACCATTTATGTGAACAAGGACACTGATGTAATCTGTAGTAAACAAACTGAAAGTATATATTTGGATAATATGCAATTAATGACTGAACAGGAGTACAAGGTCTGAGGGTCATGACAAGAACTAAATAATATTTTTCCTTCTCCTTGACCAAACTCAGTCAGTAAGTATTTTAAGTGTTGAAAATTTTGTTGTAACCTCAATAGGACACAGTTGACAGGTGCATGTGGTACAACCACAAAATAGATTTTACATAAAAATTTACTTTTTCTTTTTTAGTCAGAACAAGAAACTCAAATTTCATTTTCTAATTTTGGTTTTCTTTTAGTGTTGGCAATAAAGCAGGGCCAAATGGCTTTTTCTGGATTGGCTTTTGTCAACCTGTTCATCCTTACATGTGTCTACCCTCACCAAAGTTTTTTCTATGGGATTGTGTATGGGGGGGAGAAGGGGAAGGGGAGGGAGGAGGGAGGAGAAGAGGGAAGAAGGGGGAGAAGAGGGAAGGAGGGGGGCGAAGAGGGAAGGAGGGGGTTGGTTGTGTTTTTGTGATAAAACCTCTCAAACAGGTTTCATAGCATAGAGGGCACATGGCACATAGCACATAGCCAGTCTGTCTCAGTAGAATTACAGCAGTTAAAATGTAGAGAATTAAATTTGAACAATTTCAAATGCTCTTAATTTCAGCTCTGGTATTCATTGGGATGAAATGAATATTTTGATGACACATCATCCCCCAGATAAAGACTATGGCCATATGAAGATCAATGAACCTCCGACGCCATACAGTAAATGGAAAGATCCAGGTGATGATGAAGGTGAAGGGACAGCAGATCCCTTTTCTGACGATGAAGCTGATCCACAAAAGTTAGATCCAGAAAACTTACATGACAGGTAAGTGATGCAGTTAAGGGTTTTAACCCCCAGAAGTGATGAACTTGTAACTTTCCCTTGCAATTCCGATATGTTATCTTGTCAACAAGTCAGGAGAGTAAAAAAACTCATTGTATCAGTAAGAGGGCATTTTGCTGTTATAACTCTTAAGTCCCCTGTCTGATTTACAAGGAACTGTTTGGCAGTCAGTAGGGAGAAATTCAAATTGGATCTTGCGACTCAAAGGCAGGGTTCTCAATAGATTTTTAAGTAGGAGGTGATCACTGATAAAGTAGGAGGCCTCATTACCATGTTCATCGATCGAGTCCAGAACCGTAAGCAAGTTTCCCAGTTTTGTTTGGATCACAGTCATGCAAGAAACGGAAGAGAAATTCGGAAACAACTCAAGCAAACTTGCAGAACAAAACAAAGAAAAGAAAAGTGACTTAAACACAAAGTAAGCGGCTATAAATCCCAAAGTAAGCAGCGATCAATCACCAGGTGCCACCTTCCATTGAGAACCCTGAAAGGGTTAAGGGTTTTGACCCATGGTTAACAGATGGTGTTGTAGTGTGATTATCCTCTCATGTGTGTGTGATTGCAAAGTCCTGAAAAGGACTCTTAGGGAGAAAATTAACTGAATTTTCCGCAGTGTGACTAGCACTCCAAAATGTTACAGTCTTGATTGCCATTGCTGATAGACAAAAAATCTTGATGACAAAATGTGTTGTGGTGATAATCTTGCACCCTATAATCAGCAGTCATATAGCAAGCTGCAATTTTTTTTTCTTTAATTTCTTGTTTATGGTCTTAAGATAAATTGGGATAAACATTTGCATGAGAAATTGAGCTTGGAATGAACTGCCTGAGCTAACCACAGATTGGGTAGCTCAGGTTGTAGAGTGTTGGACTGTGTGTGAGAGGTTGACAGTTCAAACCCTTGACCGCAACATTCAGGGTCTTGAAATAACTGAGAAGAACCGGCTGTCTTTGCTATGACATCCGCAAATGCTCGGAAATCCTAGTCTTCTTAGATAAGGATGATAAACCATAGGCCCTGTCTCCTGCATCTTCTCTGTGCTGGTTAGCAAGGGACATAAAGAACCAACACACTTCTTGCAAAGAGTAGAGAAGGTAGCTCCCATTGTTGTGGTCTGGCCTTCTTTCCAAAATGGGGGCACCTACAAAATCTCCTTCTAAAAATTGTAAAATGCTTATTATCAGTCAGGCCAAGTGTTGTAAATTTCAGTAGGGCATGATTATGGATAATACCTCATATCGGTGCTACATCATCATCTGCCCTGGTGAGTAGTAAAAATTAGGCTGTTGTTCCAAGAAAGTCTGTTTTTAGTTGAGACTGTAAATGTGGAAGAGTGTTTAGAGTTTGACAGTGTTGTAACATATACTTCATTGACCAGGATCAAAGATGCTCCAAAGAGAGGCTCCTGGGATGAAAATGCAGACAATGATGATGATGATGATGATGATGATATTGACGAGGATTTATCAGAAAGTCAGAAAGGTGAGAAACATACTCAGTTTGATTGTCATATCTCTCAGTTACTATAAATATGCCCTGTGAACAGTTAATTTAGCATGTTGTGTTCTACTGCACTGACGGCATGCTAAAATCTGACTCCGGTTTTGTTGGCTTAGTTTCCTGTTTCAACCTCAGTAAGTGAATGGAATTTTAAATCTTTCATTTTCTTTACAATTTGTGTGTGAGTTTGCTGAAGACTGATTTATGATTTCAAACTACCCCACTTTGTTTTGAGCATGTGTCGGGTATTTAAGGCTGCTGCATGGGACTATAAATCATTTCTTAAGTCTTTCAGTCATTTAGTAGACTTGTCCTAATTATTTGCTAACCTCATCTTTTTGCTTGGAATTGTGAGTTATGGCCTCTTGTTTTTTCCCATATGATATATCACCTGGGCTCTGAGGCCTTAAGTTGAATACATTCTCAGGCTTCTATGTGCAGGCTATGAATTGTAAGGGCAAATATTTGGGCTGTAACTTAAGTGTAGACCTCAAACTTGGTTTGTAAGAGGTACATGATAAGTAATAATTTGTTTGTTTCCCTTATCTCTAGAACATAAAAAAGCATTTAAAGACAAGAGGAGGGTACACTACAATGAATATTCTAAAGTTAAACTTGCAAGGAAACTTATAGAGCAAGAGTTAAAAGATTTAGAAGATGACAATGATGGTTCATTAGACACAGCAAAGGAAGGATCAAGTTCAACAGATGCTTGTGCAGCTGATACTCAGGTGGTCTATTGAGCTTTTAACCATTTAGTCCTTAATCAACCTTTTACACCCCATGTTCAGTATCCACATTCTCCATACCCTTCTCAATACATTTGCTTTAGTACTGAGAAGGAGAATTTGTTGAACAATCAAAGTTTTTTAGCTTGGTGATCATTTCCTTCACTCTCATGTTTTTAATGAATGGTTCAGCAGTATTACTGTAAGGAGAAATTAGATACTGGTCACTCTTAGGGTTTAAAGGGTTAAGAGTGAGCAGCCACTAAGTTCTTGCATTATCACCACTGAATCAAACATTAATCCTTTCACTCACAAGATCTCTTTTATTAGTAATTCTTTTTACTGTCTGTCATACAATTCCTATTTTGTTTGCTTATTTCCTGCTTGCCTTTGGAGTAAGCAGTAAAGTTGACATAGGTTTTTGGAGATTCATGAGATATTAAGTCACCAGAATTTACTCAGTCTCCATGGCAGCTCATTTGACATCTTGAAAAGGGTAACATTCTGGGCCCAGTTGTTCTGGAATTTAAACCTTAATCAATCTAGGTTTCTATATTGAAAATTTTCTTCAATTTTTAGAGTATGTGGTTCTTTTTTTTCAATTATTTAAATCATTTTTATTAACTCTAATTGTAAGTCAATTTGAAAAACCCGCAATGATATGTTGATCAGAGCATGAACTTCAGTGGATTATTCTATCCTTTTTATTAGTTTTGGAATGTTAAAACAATGATTTTTTCTTTTCTTGTTTTTTGGAATGTTAATTTTCTCTTTTTCTTGTTTTTCAATCTCCTTGACCTGTTTTTACTTTTCCTTTTTTCCAGATGGATGAGACATAGGACCATATTGATTGTTGCTCAAGTCTAAATGACATAGTCTTGTAATATTGTACAACTAGCAAGAAAATGTTGACAGATTGTAACTGTAAACTGTACAGATAGGAAACAGCAGCAAGAATAAGATTATATGAAAAAAAATATTTGATTGTAGGTATATCATAGCTTAATTTACAGAACAACAGAAGATTCCATGTTTACGAGTGTCTTGGCAGAAATAAAGAACAATAAGGAAAAACTTGAGGCAAGAATAATTTGTAAGTGTTTGATGCACATTCTACCTTTGGTACAAAGTTATAAATTATTGCCCATATAGTAAAGATATTTTTAGTGGCCTGCACAGGAGGTGCGCTCTTTAACTGGTGTTAGAGGTAAACTTATCCTTGCTTGAGCCAGAAGTCACATCACTTATACAGAAGTCATAGATATGGCTGTTTTTCTCTGTTTAACCTTTTAACTCTCAAGATCTGATTTAGAATTCTCCCATTTAGCTGCGACCTATTTCCTTGTGACTTAGTTACAAGAATTAGGCGTTAGATCAAGATAACTGCTTCTATCCCATAGTATTCTCATCACATAGCTGTGTACTGGATAATGTATAGATATTGTATAGGGAGAAGTTACATGTTAATCACTACTTCTGGGCATTTAAGGGTTAACATTTTACATGCATTCTCACCAGGCAACAGCTTTGTTAGCTGATTATTCTTAAGATTTACAAAGGGAAATATTTTAATCCTAATTTATTGTGATTCCCTCAAATACAAAACTTAGTTAAATTTTCAGATTAACAGTGCAAAGTTCTGTTAATCCTTTTGTTCCTAAGATCTCAATGTTTCTTTTTGTGACAAACATCACACACTCCTTTAAAAGTCAGTCTTTAGAATTTAATGTACTAACAGGAAATTTTATTGTGCACAAAAATTAGAGTTTTTTTCAGAATTATAGATTATAAATGAACTTTTTTTACTTTAGATTTAGAGTGGTTCATTTAACACTTCAACTCTAGCTTTGATTATCATTTTCTTATCTTTTTATGGAAAATGTATTTCTCAAGGTGCTTCTTTGCACCTTTGGGAGTGTGAATAACTGAAATGATAAACACAAGCTAACAAAGTCACTTCAAACAGTGGAATAGTCCTAAGTTTTTTTTATTTTTGTGACCACCTCCATTTTCTCAGATAAATTCCCCAATTTTTTTTTTAAATGCACTTTGTGCTGTGAGGCTGAATGACAGTGATGGTATTAAATAGGCAGTATATTTACTCCATAAACACCTGGCTCCAGTTGTTGGATAACGTTATCCAATGGATAAATTCCCTTCTCCCTCAAAAAAAAATAACAGGTGAACAAAAGAAAATTAAGTTACTACGTAATTGATGCAAGATCTTTGTGCAAGTTGCAGTATAAAGCTGTGAGACTTCCAGATTGACTACAAAAATAGCACTTAAACCTTCTTTGCACTGAACATCAAATTCAATGTCCACATAGATTAGATGTTAAACAGGATAATTCATTATGGCTCAGTTTTCCGAGACACATGTGTAAATTGGGTCTTCCTCAAATTGATCAGTTTACATGACCTTTATCCTCAAGTTGACAAAAGTAAACTTAGAGATAACAAATCTCCTCTCCAAAATTTCACTGCCCTCCCTCATAGTGTGATAATTTGTTATTATAAAAGTACAATGCCACAAAATAAATATCTAGTCCTCCAGTAGCTATAGAATTTGCAAGATATGACCATGAAACAGCTCAATATTGCCTCTATGGACTAAAACCACCTAGTGGAATTATCCATTATAATTTCTTTGCTTACAAGAATTGATTCACTGCCCTCCCTCATGGTGTAATAATTTGTTATTACAAAAGTACAATGCCACAAAATAAATATGAAGTCCTCCAGTAGCTAGAGAATTTGTAAGATATGACCGTGAAATAGCTCAATATTGCTACTACCAACTAAAACCTCTTAGTGGAATTATTCATCATAATTTCTTTGCTTACAAGAATTGATTCTAAATTGTTATATGATAATCTTAATCAGACACACGATTCTCACTCATGATCAATTGGAGGACAGACGCATAGATGATGTCACCATCAACAGCATTTTACTGTTTTATCATTTTGCTGTACGTCTGTATAGTAATAGATTGCAGAAAACATCAAAATACACTAAGAACATTATATTCTCCATACTGTTCTCTATACATTTCCTAAGGTGCTGACAAGGATAGTTAGCTTAATGATTAAAGTTCTCCCCTAACCCTCCCCTGTGCTATGCATATAATTTAAAAGTTCAGGTTGTCATTTTTTCAGTTTTGCTGCAAATTGATATTAAATACTTTATTGTTGGTAATGGGCGAGAATTTAGACTCAATACCTGCCAAATCTCAAAAGAAAGTGTTCCAATTGATAACTTTTAAAAGTTAACCTCAACACATTAAATTTGATTCATCGTTTGTCAGTCTAATGACATGCAAACTGATGAGAATCTTATCACACATTGCATACTGCTCAATTAAATTACACCTTTCTTTTTTCCAACATCAATAAAAGCTTCAACACAGCGATCAATCTCCTCTGTGCTGTGCGCAGCAGAGATCTGAACCCGAATCCTTGCTTGACCTAGGTATAATAAAAATGTGGAACAAAAATGTTATTTATAACCAATAAAAGTTAAAACCAGCTTGACCAAAGTCATTTTTTGTGTTGTTTTAAATACATGAAGTGAGCCCATGAGGACAAGCAAGTAAGGAGACAGTTCCTGTGGAGTTTTGACCCAAGAAAATCCTTCTTCTGCCTCTTGTTTTAACTTTTTATTTTGCCCCCATCCTGGACCATGATTCAGAACAGGCTAAGATCAAATTGTTTTGGTCCTTCAGGCAAAGGAAAATCATGGAAAGGAAATAATTATTGGACACCATCCACACCCCACTCAGTTCTCAGTCCACTGAATAAGTGGCGGTCCACTCCAGCTTCCATATACTGTGCAGGCTAACTCAAATGATAATATTAATAATTTGGTTCAAACTTTGCACTTAATGGTAGCTTAAAGCAAACTATTTAATAAATTAAAAATAAAAAACATTTGATAGATGATTATTAATTCAGGTGAGATTACAACACTAATTTTGTCAGGAACGACAGTCCTATTGGACAGTGAGGTAGAGAATTTTGCAACATTCAACTTCAGGCTGCCTTACCTTTGGGAACAACAGGAAATGTAAAACCTATCACATAGATACCACGATCTATAAAAATAAAAAAACAAACAGTAGGTTTAATCCAGGTTATTCATTTTATCAATATTTTAATTTACCAATAATTAACACCTGCAACAGATGGAACATTAGGTTAGGCCATCTGTGGAGACAAAAAATACACACCTAACATTTCATCAGCAAACTCTACAGCCAGCCGTGCATCTCCCAACATGACAGGAGTTATTGGATGACCATCCCCCTATGACAGATAGATAAAACATCATGAGAAGGAGAAAACTAGTTATTACATTTTGTCTATATTTACTGGTAATGACCGTCTGTCTGCTTAACAGCATATGATTCTGTGGAGAATTTTGACAATGATCATTCCTGAAAATAAAGGGGCTTAATTATAACCACAAATTACACTCTGGAAACTTATTAACCCAAAAAATTCTCCTTGTCAGCACCTTGGGAAGTGTACAAAGAACAGTATGGAGAATATGCAAACTGATCTTAGGGTGTAAACAGCTGGCCTGGAAATGCGCAAATTTGTAAACAAAGAGAGTCTGTTTTTACTCTGAACTACCCAGATTAGAAGTCAAAATCTCTCCAGCCAAATATGTATCTAAAGGAAATCAAAGTTAATGTACTAGAATCAAGCACATACCAACTGATGAAGAGCATACTTACAATTATGTGAAACCCCGCTGCTGTCATTTTCTTTCGGAATAACTTAGTGTTTTCAGACACTTTTTTGATCAAGTCAGATCCATTCATTAACAGATCAAACACCTGGAAACAGTATTTATTTACTACTCAGTGATATATCATAATTTACTTTAAAATGTCAATAGGAATTGTGTTGGTCTGTCATACAGTAGCCCTTGGTGTTTCAACAATATAAAACTTCCACTTAATTTACACCACAACTTTTAATAATATAATTATACACAATTTCGAAAATTTACAAACACAAAAATATTATGAGACTTACAGCAATGAAACATGGTATCACTGATAACACTTATACCACTAAAAGACAGGGAGGGACTGCACCACATGCTAATGAGTTCTTAAGGAAAACAAATTCAATCACAGAAAAAGAAAAAAAGGGGGGGGGGTGAAAGCTCACCTTACTGGCCCCACCCACAACTGGAGGGGGCAGAGTGTTGGAGAACAGATAAGGACGGGACTTCTGACGAAGCAAATCAATTAGTTGTTTTGGTCCTGTTGTATAGCCACCTTAAAATTAAATAGAATGTAAATAATAATTTTTTATTTAAATACCCTTCATCTGGACATGTAAAAGTAAGCAAATCTTGTGCACTGAGTCCTGATGATGCACTTATCCTGTAAAGGGTGGATTGTGCTATTCAACAGATAAACCATTATCCAACATACAAGTATGCACTGCATGGATAGAGATTTATCCAATGGATATACGGTTATTCACTCTATCAACATCTGGGGCCTGGAGCAGGGTAAAATGCAACTGACTATGGTGTGAATGATTTTTCATCTGATTAATTGGTGGGAATTTCCTTGACTAGTCAAAGAAGATGAGTGAAGAACTCAATGCAATCTTGGATAAATCTCAACAGGCAATCAAAAACAGCTCTAAACATCTTGCATGGTTGCATGATCCCTCTCACTCATTTCCATGACTGATATCACTGGCCTGTTTGCCTTAATATGGAAGTCATATATAGCAACAGGATTCCCAATGTGCTTTGAAGAAACCATCTTCCAAAGCTTAAAAGGCACAAGCAACAAATGAAGAAGAAATGCAAAATAGGGCATTTGGGGGAAAACAAATTAAGCAGTCTTTAATCCCAAAGTAGGCAGCCAGGTACTACATTCAACTGAGAATGAAAACTCAAAATACACACCTGCTCCTCCACCCAAAGCTTTCCCAAGAGTTGAGTTAATGATATCCACACGGCCCATACAGTTTAGATATTCCTCTGTTCCCCTAGAAAATTAAGATCCAGCAACATAAAAATTACAATGAGAAGTGAACTAGAACTTATTATCTATGGATGAATCAGGACAAATATTCAGAAAATGCAAAAGCAAAGAGTAGTAAATCAATCTGAAGACAACATAAGCAGTTCTCAAGAGAAGAAATGATCCCTACAGGTGAGCTACAATTTAACCCTTTGCACCCTAACATCAGTATGCAAATTCTCCATACTGTTCTCTATACATTTCCTGAGCTGCTGACAAGGAGAATTAGCTTAACAATCCAGAGCTTCTGTAGTTGTTGATCATTTCCATCATTCTCATGACCCTAATGTGTGATTCAGGGGAGATACTGTAAGGAGAACTTAGATGCTAGTCACTCTTAGGGGTTAAAGGGTTAAGAAATTGCTGAAAAACCCAATTTTTTTCCAAATTAATTAAACTTTAAGGTTAAATAATATTGAAAGTAACACTTTTACCTCCCTGTGTCTCCAAGGAATCCTGTAGCATGACACTCATCAATGAATGTAAGTGCACCATACTTTTCTGCTAAGTCACACAGTTCACTATTAAAAGAAAACCCAATGTAATTTTTGTAAGTGAACATTGAATGATGCCTGTGGATAATTTTGAAGATGGCCCAGTGTAAATCGAATTTTCAATTTTTGCAGAACTTGGAGTATGAATGTTTTGTTTCAACAAGAAAAATTACTGCAAGAGGTCCAAAAATAATATATAAGTATATAAAAAACAGATTGAAGAGATTTCATGTCTAGTTAGTTCTAACAATATATGGTCATGAAGAATAGCTCACATTTGGTTGCAGTTATTTTAAATTTAGTTTCAAAGACATCTCTATACAGGAGTCAAAATTAAATGTAAGTGCACCATACTTTTCTGCTAAGTCACACAGTTCACTATTAAAAGAAAACCCAATGTAATTTTTGTAAGTGAACATTGAATGATGCCTGTGGATAATTTTGAAGATGGCCCAGTGTAAATCGAATTTTCAATTTTTGCAGAACTTGGAGTATGAATGTTTTGTTTCAACAAGAAAAATTACTGCAAGAGGTCCAAAAATAATATATAAGTATATAAAAAACAGATTGAAGAGATTTCATGTCTAGTTAGTTCTAACAATATATGGTCATGAAGAATAGCTCACATTTGGTTGCAGTTATTTTAAATTTAGTTTCAAAGACATCTCTATACAGGAGTCAAAATTAATCATCCAATCAAAGTAAATTTATATTCATTGACCATACATACTTAAGAGGTGCAACTTTTCCATCCATACTGAAAACACCATCAGTAACTATTAACTTCATACGTGCTCCCTCTGCCTCATTCAGCTTTTCTTCAAGGTCTGACAAGGAATTTACAAATCATTAGTACTATATGAGTAATAGTGTTACAGGAATTAATTAATAAATACAAATACCTGATAGACATGAAATTTAAGTACCTGCTAGGATAAGAAATTATAAAATATAGAAATATAAGAAGAAGAACAACAAAAGTAAATGTATGGAATTGTATTTTCTTGCAGTGAATAAAATTTACAAAAACTTTTACAAGCAAAATTTACAAATAATCTAAATAATAACAGAATTAATACAACTAGGAATACCTTATAAAAAACAAAACCACGCATAAAAACATATTTTTATTCAATTCCATAATCAGACAAATCACACCAAATCTCACCTTTCATGTCTTTATTTTTGTATCTGAATTTCTTGGCCTTGGATAGTCGTATTCCATCAATGATAGATGCATGATTCAATTCATCACTTAATATTGCATCATCTGGAGTCATAAGAGCCTCAAATAAGCCAGCATTTGCATCAAAACAACAAGCATATAGAATTGTATCTTCCCGTTCATGGAATCTTGATATCTTTTCCTCAAGTTCTTTATGAAGATCCTGTACCCAAAACCAAAGTTGGTCTTTATATAAGAATTATGGTATTAAATTTAATAATGCAATGAGGGTCAAACCCATCATCACAGTTTTAAAAAAAGCTCACAACCAATTGAAAACACTAATGGGGATTTATAAGCAGTCAAAACCTTGAGTGAGAGGGGTACAGATATGGTGAAAGTCTCAGACTTCCTGCACCCTCATATTCCATTTCCTAAACCTTTGACTCCTCTCTTAAGTCTTTAATTTCCAGTGATACACTGCAGATTAATAAATTTTTGCTTTCATGCATTTTCCTTCTCCTTCCACTTTCATAGATACTCTTTCTTCTACCATTCCCTCTCACCTCTCATGACCCTCTCACCCCTGACCCCTCCCACACCCTATCACTCCTCTGACCCAGCCTCCCTATGGTTGAAATCGAATTATAGGTTTCTCTCAATATTCTAAAAGTAAACATTAAATAACAGACCTCCCCATATTAACACCCTGTGAAATAACCTCAAGAGTTTATGAGATTTGTTCTATGGAGCCTCAATGTTACAGCAGACCCAGCCATTCTGTTCTTGTTGAATTTCAAAACATCTACTGTAGATTAATATACTAAGGGATTTTTGTGATCATAACATTTCAATCTTTCAGGGTGGCTTTTGACTCTGTCACTTACAATTCAGTCAATTTGAAGTTCAATTGTTTCCATATTTAAAACATATCAATATTAAGACTTCTTGCTTCAAGTTCCTTTATCAAATTGACATAACAATTAAATTACTTATCAAAACTATAACAAAATTCTTGAACGTGATTGGTTATCACCAGCCTGATTTGAGCACTAACAGGACAGTGTACATGTCACTCTTGTAATTGAACGGTGTAATAGGACAGTTAAAGAGACAGTTAACACATCATGCCTGTGTAAGTGGACAGAACATGTCATGTGCACAAGCTGTTTTCTCTCATTTCCTCCAGTTAACTGTTTTTTTTGTTAATTTTGTGAAAAAGTTTAACCAATGTCTAGTTTCTTTCTCAAATTTTGTCATAGTTTGATTAATTAGTAACAGGACTTTATGTCATCCAATTCTGTCTGTAATTATATTTATTTTAAACAAATCAGACTCCTGCGATGCAGTCATCTGATCTTGTAAATCACTTGTATGATTACAGACCAAACTGGACTCCACTCAGTCCTATTACCATTATAAATACTGCATTTATATGTTTAGTTAATCATTTGTTCACCTGTGTACCACATATAAACCTGACTGAACTGAGTCCATTGCCATACTTGTCTAAGGCATCTTTAGCTGCTTGTATAACTTCTGGATGAGACTAGAAAAAGGAGGTATAAATAAAAATTAAATTGTGCAAGATTCTGTAGCCACAAGAAATTTATGCATAAACAGTACAAAACAATGTTCCTCTCTATAAAATCTAGTCAATTTTTCTCTTACCAGGGTTCATCCCTTTATTTCACTTACACAAAAAAAATAAGTTTATCCTGGATATTTGTGAACTGATAGGAGTACTGAAAAAGTCCCTCCTACTTTTTTCATCAAAATCAATGTTTGGACTTCAGGGGAGCATTGCATTATATCCAACAGATTGGAGACTACCTATTTTGGTGACAGTAACATTGGATCATCCTGAACACTAAAAGTAAGAGGGGAAGGCAATCCCTGGGTATAAAAAGTTTTGTTACAGTAACAGAATCAAGTTGGACTTGCAAAAACAAAGCTTTTTAACCCCAGAACTTTATATGTCACCAAGTTCATATGGACAGTTCAACAATTAATTCCAAGAGACATCCAGAACCCTGTTTTTTCATCAACAATCTGTGCAAATCTTAGGTACAACTCACTGACAGTCCCAGATAGTTATTTGCACAAAAGTTGAGCAGCTTTTCAGTTTGTCCATGTACTGCAATTTCTGGGGCTTGTTTGGTTGTTATGACCCTTTCGTCTTTCCATGTGCCTGCTTGGTGGATGTCACTGAGCTGCGAGTCTAAGATTCCACGAAGAGCAAGCTGTGCTGCACTTGAATATTGGACAGAAATTTGTACTCTTGAGCAGCCTGTGCTGTGAAATGCTTTAATACCTAGAAATTGGGTGGCAAAAACACACTCATTTTATTATACACTTCTTTATCACAATGGTGTCAAAAGACAAGAAGGAACAGAGAAGGCCTGTGGTGACCCATAAGGCAATTTTTCATTAGACAAGGTATGATTTTTGTGTTTTCCTCAGTCTTTTAATCAACCTACAGGGCACTTATCTGATGTTCATGATAAGACAAGGGGCACTCCAAACAATAGCCAGATATAATAATTTTTTGCAATACAGTATTGAGATATAAACAACAACATAAACCATGTATTAATGTACTTGGTGAAGCCAAGGGTTTTAACAAGAGCACAGACAAATTGAAACAATCATGATATGAATATGTATAGCTGCACAAGAGTAATAAACCACCAACAATACTTCATATGCACCTTAGGGGGAGGGGGGGGGGAGGGAGAATGCATATTCAAAATGTTTGGTTAAGATTTCATACTTTGTTGTACACACAGTTCTTGGATAAAGAAAACAATGATGAAAAACAAGAGATTGCCTTAAGGAATCCAGGGCTCGCACAGTAAAAATCCTAAGCTTCAGCTAACAAGGCTGATAAGGGAATGCTTAGGGGATAAGGGAATGCTTAGCATTTTTAAAAAAATTATGGGGCTTAAGTCTCCCCCCAGCCCCTCTGCATGGTCACTAGGGTCAGATTACAATAGTACGGGGGTTACATGTATATGGAAATATTTCCAAATTTGGGCAATAGGAGGGGTTCATGATTGAAGAGCAAGGCTATTTATGGGATCTATGGTATAACTTTCACATTCCACTTGCAGAGTTGTTTGAAAAGTGTATTAAACTAAGTTGAGCACCAATAGGAACACAGCTAATTAGAGCTTAGACCACAACTTATTTTTGTTTTATTTAAGGCCTATGAGGGGAGTACCCATAAAGAATTCTTATGGCATGCAACCACTCCGGGCGAGTAACGTTTGTTTACGCGCCTCCGCTAACACCCCCCTCACACCCCCAAGAGCTTGGTTTCTCAAAAATAAGATTTTGTGAAAAGAAAACAACACAGTAATAAATTACGTATATCCTACAGAAGGGTCACACGACCAGATGCCCTCATCATCAACAGTGAAGGTACCAGAGTAAAAACTACCAGGTTCTAAATTTGAATTTCTCAATCGATAATTTGGGGAGATGCTGATTACTAACCTGAAGGGAAGATCGATCGAAGCGATATCCTTATTGCTGCCATTATTTACAAGTATATTCGAAACTTAACTTTAAGTAATTAATCAAATAATGATCCCTATACCCGCGAAAATTATCGTGAGTGAATCGCAACACTGAAAGCCTCGTTTTGGTGCCTAAGTAAGCCAGCGGTTCATCACATAAAACTATGATTTCCATAAATAAGCGACACGTCTGTTAATCAGTGTAAAGCGGAATTTCGTCTTTTACAATCTCTAATCTGCCGTTTTTACCGCTATGAGACGAGCCCATGGTAAAATAATTATTTCTCTATAACAATATGTCTCAAATATATCTTGATGTTCACTTTCTGGCTTACTGAAAAGTTATTTTTCATTTTTTATCTGTCTCTTGGTTTCATGTAGTTCCTTCAGATTATCACGGAAATATGGCGCAGAGAACTGATCATGAAATGCTGGAAGAAGAGAACGATAAAATGGTCGATCATCTCTCAAGCAAAGTTCAAGCGCTGAAATCGGTACTGTGTGATTATCTCTTTACATCAATGCGATTGGTACATTGGAGAAGTAATGACTGTATTGTAAGGTCCAGCTTAATAACTATTTATATATCTTGTTAAAACGATTAAATTTGGAACCCCGATGTAAAGAGTTTTTAATTCTTTGGTTGCAATATTGAGAAAAGTAATATTCATTCATTTATTTAATTATTTATGTATCCAGTTATTTATCCTTAACTTTTTACTTCCATGCTATTAGTTTAACCCTTCAACCCATCTAATTTCTCCTTACAACATCATCCCCACATCAAATATGAAGGTCATGAGAATAAAGGAAATGATCATCAATTTAAGAAGCTTGTGATTGTTTAACAAATTCTCCCTGTTAGCACCTTAGGACATGTATAGAGAATGGTTTTAAGATTATGCATACTGATGTTAGGGTTTTGAGGAGTTAATTTAACTTCTGCATCCTGGTAATCTTGAGTTTTGTAAGGGAGGTAGTACAACTGGTCCCCATCTTATCTTTGATCTTAATATCTTTTTCTTGTAGCTTACAATAGACATTGGAAATGAAGTGAAATATCAGAATAAAATGCTGAAAGAAATGGTTAGTTTTGTAGTCCTTTTGCCTTTTTTGATTACTGTAAACACTGAGGGATAAGCTGCAATTGCAGATAAGCCACAATCCTCTTTTTTTTTGTTGCAAATATTACAAGAATAATGGTGTGGCTTATAGGCTGGTGTTATCAGTATTTGTGTTTAATTATGACTACAGCTTTCACATGCAGCTTTTTACTGGAAATCTGTGTTTGGCAGAAAAGTTTTTTTTAATCAGTAACCAAAGGTCCTTGGTTTACAAACTTTTCCTGTGATCCTTAAACATCCTTCATAGGTTACTATACTTAAGTGTTCTCCCTTATTTTTAGCATGACAGGTAAAAGAAATTTTCAAACTGGCTGGGCAATCTATTTACCCCTTGGATTTTAGGTGGTCATGAGAGAGACTATGGGCTTTGCTGACCATATTCTCTCTTATGACTGGTTAACTACCACTTACCACCTGATAAGGAGAACTCTGTGCTTATAAATTATGGAAAGGGCAGTCTAATTCTTAGATAAAATACAGCTATGAGTAGTCCTGATGTTTTAGAAATGTTAAAAAAAGATTTTAAAAGATTTCCCATTTCTTGGTTTTGCTTTTAAGGATACAGATTTTGACTCTGGAGGCTCACTATTATCATCAACCATGAACAGGTTAACAGCACTGACAAAAAAAGGTCACCACAGAGTCATGCTCTATCTGATTGTATTTTGCCTTCTTGTTTTCTTTGTAACCTGGTATATTATCAAAAGAAGATGAATGCCAATGAATATGTATATTAGAGTTCAAATTGTAAATAAAATGTCTATTCTTATACATGGAGTGTGGGTACTTTTTTCAGAGTACTTTGAACTGGTGTTTCTGTTGAACTGTTTTGTTTAAGCCTTTCACTCCCAAGATCTCATTAGTAATTCTCCTTACTGTCTGCAATACAATTCTTCTAAGGTTAGTTCGCAGAATTTTGCATTGGAGGAACTAACTATCCCCAAATTGCCATTTTTCTTTATTCTCATCACTTGTCTGCTTGATATTGTGTAGATATTTTAAGGAAAAAATTATGCCATGGTCAGTCATGGTTGTTAAAGGGTTAAGGTCTTGTCTAAAACATTCAGTCCCAAGAGAGCCCTTCAGTTCTTGTTCTTGGGCATTGCTGGCTTAGGGACAAGAATTTAATGAGCAGTATGACAGTGGACCTTTTTTTTCACCAGTTTATGATATCTGTGTTGAAAAGCATGGCATCAACCACCCAGGTAAACATTTTTTCATAATCATAATCTGATCAAAAAAAGGAATTGTTATGGAAATCGTTGTATCTATTCATTTATTTGTTTGTTTATTTATTTGCATTATGTATACCATTGAGGTACATAAAACATTACAGTACTAATTACTAAATGTATCACTTAAAACAAAAAGGGATGAAGATGGAATAAAGAAAACTAGGTAAATGAATTGAAGCAAAAGATAGCTAAGAAAGAAAAGGAAAAAACATAGAGATACAAAACAAAGATGATGACAAAAAGAAAGTCATTAGTGAAATTTTTGTGAGATCATTGTATTTATTTGCTAGAGCTATTTCTGAAATGAAGGTAATTGATGAGATTTATGATTTTTCCTTACCTTTTCTCTACATGGCAGCTCTCAGAAAATTTCTTGTTCATATAATTTATTCACATGAGAGACTTATTAGTGAAATTTCCAATGTTTTGATGATTGTATTAATTGCCTCTGTAAGAAAAAACTTATAAAATGAATTGGGCATAGTTATTTGCACGTCCTAATCGTGTTCCCAACAATCTTCAGTCCTGTTCCATTCCAGCATTTCCCATTGCTCATTTGGCGGGAAGAGCGTGAGCGAAAAAGCGCGCGAACGAGCAAGATGGCCGCGTAATGTCAACTTTTGTTACTACGTAAATTTTGTGCAGTTCAGTTCCCTCTTTTCTCCAGAAATCTCCTAAGAGTGGAAAGAAAACTGAACTTATACATTGGATTTTCTTCCCTCTGATGTAGTTTGATAAGCATGATGGCGTTCTTTTCACGTAGAAGACCAGATACCACCCAGAAATTAGGTCAACATGCGAATGAAACATCGACATGGTGAGGTGTCGATTGGCTTTATTTCTTTTCAGCTCAAGCTTTCTAATCTTTATTCTACTCTTGATTTTACATACAACATTTAAAACTAGCCCTAACTATTTCTCATCCCCAAGTTGATATGACAGTAAGTTATAGAAGTTTTCAAAATCTTCATGTGTTGTGTACAAAATAATATGACAGTGAGCTATAGCAGTTTTCAAAATCTTGATGTGTTGTATAGTACGTTATTATACAAACCCAATTCTTACCAGGCTTATAGTTCCCGCTGTTTAATCTGTCTTTTCTTAATTGATGTTATATTCTTAAAAATATCTCGGAAAAGAAAAGGGAGATACATTTCGGAAGTCAGTTTGCCGCGTTTCGTGCTCTGATAGTGGAGACAGTGATGGAGTAGATAGTAAGACTGATAGTCCAAAAAAGGCAAGAAAAGCAGATAAGAGAGAAGAAAAGAATAATAAAGAGGCTGAAAAAGAAAGAAGAAAAAAACAATCACATGAAAAGGTTCCTATAAAGCACTTTGTTCTTATAGTTACTGAGCTTTGGTGTCAAGTCTCATATCAAAAACAGTTCACTGTAGTGTCAATGTTATTCAACTCCTCATTTGCTGAATTACTCTTATTTCTGATTTTTTCCATCCATTATAGTTGCTTTTCACTCTGTTCCATATGGTTAAATAAAATCAATCTGTACAAATTTATGAAGAGTTAAATTGGATTTTACAAACATGAGTTATTTTTTAACTTATTAACCCTTTACATCCTAACATCAGTATGCTTATTCTCCGTACTGTTCTTAATACAATTACTAAGGGTCTGTAAAGGAGAATTTGTTTAACAGTCAAGAGTTCTTTGGTTGTTGATCATTTCCCTAATTCTCATGACCTTAATGTTTGATTTAGGGCTGATATTGTGAGGAGAAATTAGTTGCCAGTCACCCTTAGGGGTTAAAGGGTTAAGCAATGTTTCATAAAAGCCTGATTGGCTTTTGAATTTTTTTGATAGATGACAAGTGCACATCATATGAAAAAGCATTCCTCTTCTAAAGTTAGCCCAAGTTCAAGTGAGCACAAGCACTCAAGATCCAAACATGTCTGTAGTTCCAAAACAGAGGTTAGCAAAAACTCAGTCAGCGTCACATGCACTATTTAATCAATGGCTGTTACATGCATATGAAGTTTTGATGACTATATTTCTCCACTTACTTTTTATCTTAAAATTATGCATTTTTCTGAAAACCTTAGCATTCCAAGAGTAGGAAAGAGCAGTTAAATGACCCTAACATTGCCATTATTTCGAAGAACAGAATTACGGTAAGTAAATGCTTTGGAATGGTAGTAAAAGGAAACTGTTCCCTAATCACAAACACATATATTTCTGAGTATTTTCAAGCTTCACCAATAAATAGAATAGACAAAAAGTTAATCAGTTGTTTAATACCGATGATATTTGGAGAGAGTCATATAGTTTTGTATCAAGCATTTCAGTTTTGTAAAACCAGCAGAGGACTAATCACTAATATGGTGCTTGTACAAAAATAAGATTGCTGTCAAATGCATATGGCAATTTTGAGCTGATAGCTTACTGTATGTTGTACAATCAGGATCTATGTACAATAAGATTTTTTTCAAAGTCAAGTTAAACAGGGTCTTGTAATACTGGGGGAGTTATAAACACTTCAGGCTAATAATATGTTTAAAATACTGGATTTTCTTTCCTTGCATCAAAAGTCTGCCAAAATGATGTATATGGCCAATTTATTGCAATAACAGTGTTCAAAATTATGCTGAACAAGATACCTTGCTTGTAAAATTGCTGCTGATCCTGGATGATTTTTAATTACTTTGACCATTATAATTCAATTGATCATGATAATTATTTCATTCAAGACCTCATTTCTCTTTGCCTGGATAAGGAATCTCATAATTTTTTTTAGTATCTAAATGTAAAGTTAGAGACAACAACATCTGAATCCATCAGGTTCTTGTGTGTGAAAGTTTACTTTATAAGTAATTTCATTTATAAATGACCATGTTTCATGTAAATTGTAGAGACAACTGGGTATATACAACAAGGCCAAAAGATCAAACACAATTTTGAGAGGTGAGAAAATAACAATTGTAATATTGGTTTACAGCCTGTAAATACAACTGCTTTGCATCACCCCTGGATCAATGGGAGTGTTTCTATTAGCATAAATCTCTCCTAATTTGTTTGTACCTTATTTGGTTTGGCAGAGAATCTCAAGCAAAAAATATGTAAAAAGGTAAGTGGTAAAGCAAACATTTACATAATAATAATAATTACCATTGAGTTGAAAATAAACTATTTATTTTCTCAATGCTGACAGCTTTCTAAGGTGACTTATGTCCAAGAAAGCTCTCTGGAAAGTGTGTGTAGTTGCAAGTTACATGTTAACAGTTGAAAAGTTTAGAGTGTAACTTACAGCCCTTCTAGTGATGATATTGTCCAAATCAGCATATTTGACAGAAGTTCTTTCACATTTCTTAGAAATTTGAAAATGTCAAGGCAAAAACTGCAGAAGATATGGCTAAAGTACTAGATTGTTCCTCCTTCAAAATATACTTATCTTGCAGTGGCAGTCTACAGGAAGGTCAAGGTAAGTTTCCAGCTATTACACTTTATTTCCAAATGAAATTATTACATATGAGTTATGATCATGGGTACCGGTAAACCACAATAATTTTTTTCCAAAACAGATTCTCCAGTCCAGCACATTTCTGGAGAAAGAGACTCTCTGTAAGTTGATATTTCAGTCTAAGTTGTGTTTTCTTAATAATTTACAATAAATAATGATAATAATGATAATAATATAATACATAGAAATGATTATTTAAAAAAAGATCAAGGTGGACAATAAATTGGCATCCTATTCCTTGCAGTGTGAATTCTTGCCATACATTGACATATATTCACATTATTATAATAGTATTTTCTTTTTAATTTTTAGAATACAGAGCTCTGCTGGTAGCAGTAAAACTCAGAGGTATTAAATTTACCTTTTTATTACATAAGAATAAGTAATAAAGTGTCTTAAGAAATTTCTCTATCTGCCAGAGTGCTTGGCCTTTGGTTCAATCATGGTTATTGGCAGAACATGTAACTGTTCATAGTTATTTCCACTTGGAGAGTTTTAAGACAAAGTTAGAGAACCCAGATGACTAGGATTCCTATAAAGAGGATCAGTGGCACTCTCTGTCCACTCTCTGTGGGCATTTTTTTCCATCCTTGTATTTGATATGTGAATACCTTACTGATAGCTCTTGCAGTTCCACTGGTAGATACAGCAACCCTGACAAAAGTAGAATTACCCCAGTGCGAAGGATTACTCCTCGACAGATTACACCTCAAAGTGAATCTATGCTAGCATTTAAGGTGTGTCTGTTGTATGTTTTTTTTTCCTTTAATCAATATTGCACCATGGAAGGTTTGCTTATATACATGGTCTTGCTTCAAAAGTGGTAATTTGTAGGCCTAAATTACTACTAATTATCAATGCAAATGGTATGAAATATATATATTATTAATAATAAAGACAGTGAAATTATTTCTATTATGAGACAAAAACTGTTCTCACACCTCTTTTAGACACCACTACAAGAAATATCAGAAAATTTAACTGAATCCTTGAGACCCTTGGAGACATTTCATGGAAGAAGTAAGAAAACATATTTTCTGAAGATTATAACTCTTGATATGAGAAGGTCGCTAACATGTCTATGTCTTACTGATCCATGCATGTACTTACAAGTCTAGTTGATCATATATTCTGATTGTGCAGGTGGGAGTGGTCAACTACCACAGGGTTCCAATCATTTGTTGGTATACTTTTAAGCTATTGCTGAAATGTTAGTCCCTTCGTCTAAGAATTTACATGCTACAGTTTAAACAAAAGTCCTTACTATTTTAACCAAAAGCCTTTGTATGAATTGACAATTTTTTTTTGTTTAGAATATAGTTTTCCGTTTCCACTTTTTTTCCCTGTAGATTACTTGGTTGAAGTCCGGGAACAACTGAGAAAAATGATTAAACAAAGGTAAATAGATGCAGATTTTATTTTAAAGAAATAATCAACATGTTTGACCCAAAAACTATATTTGATCCAGATTGCTATTTCCATTTACTGAAGAAGATGAGAGAATTGTTATAATAATGATAACTAAGGATATTTTGGTCAAGATACCAGGACCAACCTTGAAAAGATTACCACAGGGAATTTTCTAATGAATACATTTTTCAAGTTCTGTTAATAGCCAAACACAAAGTAGTGCAAAAAATGTTGGGGTAACCTCTCAAGTCCAAAAGCGATGTCTTAAAAGAAAATCAAAAGGTACGTGCAAATAACAAACTTAGATTGTGTGATATTCAGCACCACAAAATAGCTATCTACCTGGCATCACATTTCCTTTGTATTGGGAAACAGAGCCTATTGTATTTACCTTGTTTTGTCTTAACCTCAGATGAAATTGCAGCTTCAACTGGGTACATAGGAAATGAAAGTACAGCTCAGGGTAATGAGAAACATCACTGTGATGACTGCCTACTTCAAAATGAACAGCACAAGAATTTGGCTGCCATGGAGAGTCAGTCACTGAAGACAAAAGCACAGCAAGTCAAAGTGACTCAAGTAGTTTCTACCAATGCTTCAAGAGTTTATTCCTGTACAGAAACAGTTCAACCAAAAGAATACCAGGTATTGAAGAGTTAGCAGTAAGGATTTAACATGATAATCTCCTTACATATATGTAAGAGCTCTGGAAGGATGGAAAGTTGAGAAATCATAAGAGTGAGGAAATTAATGGTGTATGAATTTTTTTGCCAACTATTATTTTGTTTGAAAAGTTATCACAAGGATCAACCAGTAGAGAACTTGTTTTTGGTAACTCTAGTGTAAATTTCCTATGCAGGATCCATGCCCTAGTGCTGTGGAGAAAGAGGCAAGACATAAGGAGGAAAAAGACCATAACTACTTGTATGTCAGTGATGTTCGCAGATGTTTGTTTGAGCAAAGAAACTGTCAGTTTCCAACTACTGATACAAAAGTGTACACTTCTTCAAACAACAGTTCCTCATTGGACATTCTAGACTTTCTTGATGGAGTTGAACAGGAATCAAATGTTGTGAACAGTCAACGACACAAAGGTTATGAGACCCCTAACCCACAACTTGTTTCTCCTCCAAAAAAGCCAAATCTAAAATCACCAACTCCTGAGAAGAGATTCTATCCCCACAAGCTATACTAATTGGATAAATTAATTAAAATAATCATTGCAAGCACAGAGACAAGTGAGGAAGTACTTAAGTTTTGTCCAGTTTCATCTAAAGGAAGATTGGATTTCATGATTTTACTGGATATCAAAAAGGTTTCAGATTGGTCGGTGTAATTGACACCCTAACAGTTAAATGGATTCTCTCCTCTTGGGAGAAGTATGGATGACCATAGAAGTGTGTTGTATCAGCAACCACAAGCAAAAGGAGATGTGAGGGATCACAGTATTTTGTGGTTTCTTATAAATAAATGTAACTCCTGAAGTCATCAAATTGATGGAAAATGACAATTTCAAAACTGACCTCTTAAGCTGTATTGTGTATATTGTGTCATTTAAAAGTTGTTTTAAAGACTTTTTTTGTACATATTTTACATGGTATTACTGGAAATTAAATACAGTTTTAGTGACTCTTCAATCAGGCAATTAACAATTGAAACTTATCTGTTGGACCCCTAAATCACTGAGTACACTGAATTTTAATAATGAAATCATAAATTTTAATTCACTAAAATTCTTTTCCTACAATATAGTAAATACTTAATTAAAATTAAAATCTGTCATAGGTCTTATTTCACATAGTTATTTCATTTTAATGATTACAATCTGTTACTTCCTAATCCTATCCTTAACTATTTCCAAGTTCAACTTAGCTCAAGGGAAATATCATGGAAAATTTTATTTGAAGATGAAAGTACACAGAATACATTTAAATACATTTACGCCTAGAATTTTAATAGTGTTACAAAGATTTGGCAAATCAGGATGTGGCCCCTCCCAAAGAGATCTACTATTTCCTAAAGCTAATGCTTTGGTTCTTTCATTATTTATTTTTAAACCAGAATATTCACTAAAAGTCTTAAGCATAACGAATAGGTTTGCTATCTTTGATAAAGCAGGTCATATCATCAGTGAAAAGGGAAAGTTTAACAGGTTCATCTTGTATTGTAATACCCTTAATGCCATCATCTTCTCTTATCTTTATAGCTGAGGTCTCCAAAGCTATCATAAACAGGTAGGGAGAGAGGGCCTCCCTCTCCTTACTCCCCTACTTAGCACAAAAGGTCTTGTTGTAAAACCATTGTTCATCACACAGCTAGAGGCATTGTTATATAAGACCCATATCCACTGAATAAAAAAAGGACCAAAGTTAAATGCATGTAGTACTCTGAAAAGAAAATTTAAATTGAGCAAGTCAAAAGCTTTTTCAAAGTCTAGAGCTACTAGAATCCCAGGTATATCTTTATACCTAGCATATTCAATCACATCATCGATCGTTCTGATGGCATCAAAATTGTTCTCCCCTTTACAAATGCGTTTTGATTAAAATGAATTACTTCAGGAAGTACCTTTTCCAAACAGTTTGCCAAAGTTTTAGATGCCAATTTAGCATCAACATTTACAAGAGATATTGGACGCCAATTCTTCACCAACCTTTTGTCTTTTCCTTTCTTTTCAATTAAGGTGATAACTGCCTGTTTCTGTTTATTTATTAATAAGTGATTGTGTTTATTTATTAATAAGAGATCATTTTGACTCAAGCTGTAGTGACAAAATAAGGTATTAGTCAGATCTAAGAATATTATATATTCTTAAGATATTTGACAAAAGTTAACAATTATATGACTTAATTGTTATAATAATTGCACTTTTTTGTAATAAAATCTGTACCTATTGGATAAAAACCATAGAGGAATAGAAATGGAAAACTTCAAGCCCCCTCAAACACTTGCTTGAGTGTAATTATATACCCATGATACTTTACCTAAAAAAAAGTTATTGTTTTGGATAACAATGTGACCTTTCTGTCAAACTGTCATTAAATTATGCTTTCACACACATCTCTGGCATCACAAAATTCCTCTTTTCTCTTAATAAGATAAAAAAAAACTGGAAAACTTCAAGCCTCTTTAAATTAAACACCAACTTGTTCTTAGGTGCAATAGTTCCATGATATATAACCAAGAAAAGTTACTGTTAAGGGAAATTATACAACATCTGTCAAACTATTATGCTCTCACTCACATCCAGTTCAGAAAAATCTTTCTTTTTCTCTCAATAAGATAAAAAGAGTTAAGTGTCTTAATAAATATTTGGTATTTTCATGTTAATCAGTTTTAGTGGTACATTGTCTGTCAACAGTGACTTGTTGACTGTGGATATTTAGACTTGAGTTCCTTTTTAAATGTCCTAAAAAGATCTCTGTTACGGTTATTTTCCTCATCCTTGGCAGAGTGAAATCCATCCCTTGTTTTGAAACCATGATGAATAAGAAAAGCATTGTTGAGGACCACAAAGTCATAGCCAGCAGTGTGAGTCTCACAGACTTGACTGATCCTATTAAACCCATACTGAAAATAAATAATCCAAAAAAGTTAACAATAATTATTAAATAAAGAATAATACATGGGCATACATTCTCTTCAAATGTTTAACTTGATATATCACAATTGATAGCAAGTATCTTTCTTGTTTGCAGTTGTGTTGCTTTAGAAATTTGAAGATCAATTTTCCCTTTGACATCTTCAGGTGAAATATGAAATACCTAAAAGGGTTAGGTTATTTTTCTCTGTTCTGAGGAAGTAGGAAACTCTAATTGACAAATACCTCACTAAAGGTGGAAATACCACATTCTTTGGTAGGCTGGTTAGGTTTTATCCTAACGATAAAAATTGCAGATTCCCTGTTAGAAAGTTCATACCTGCTTGAATCTCTCATCATATAGAGGAACATGATTGGGTGCAATGTAAAATGGTTCCCATGGATCCTTCCAATCAACAGAATAAGCTATCTGCAAATTGTTGTCTGAAGAGATATAGCTAAAAATTGAGATGAGATGTTACTAATTATGACACTGAACACTAGATAATAACCAAGAACAATTACTGTATGTCAAGAGTAAACATCATGTTTTGCATTTTTGTATCCATTCTGTTACTACGGTATGATAAATAGGCTATTACCAATGATTCCAAGAGTGCTTGTTGAATATGAGATGATAGCCAACAAGGCACATAGGGCTGAGTTGGCTATCATCTCATTGTTATCCATAAGTGCAAGAGGAATAATTGTTTATTAAAAATGCCCAGAAATATATACAAATCTTCCCAACTTTACTTTGTAAGTACAGATGGAATGTTACAATGGTTGACTTCGTCATCATGCTTGTGCATTGTACAGTCATGTATAATGGCTCATAACCCATGTTGCTAAGCCAATGAAAATTTTTTATTTGCATTATCCAATGATCCAGTATTTAATAATAAGGATATCATAGCATGCCACAGAAGATAAGTCACATTCTTTTCCTTTGACACTATGATACATGAACTCTTGAAATATTTCAAGCTTTAATGTCTTTGTAAAAAACATTTCAATTAAGTGTGATGAAAGTAACACATCACAAGAGATATATGTTTTGGTTTTGTCGCTTTCCTGGGAATTGTGTGGTCCAGGGTTCAGTAGTGTCCAAGGAATGGTGTAGAATTCTTGGGAGGAATGCATGTTATGCACCTTTCCTGCCATAAATTGTCAGACTAGCCTCCAATTCAAGGAGAGCAACAGTCTATTGATGCTATGGAGAATGGTATGAACTATGGTGCTGTGAGCTGCATGGACAGAGTGGTTGTTCACAACACAGTGAAACATCACCAAAATACTATAACTCCCTACACCCTAACACCAGTGTACATGTTCTCCATACTGCTCTTTATACATTTTCTTAAGAACTGACAATCCAAGCATCTTAGGTTGGCAATCATTTCCTTTATTCTCATGATCTTAATGAATGATTCAGTAGTATTACTGTGGGGAGAAATAAGATGCTGATCACAAATTGGGATTTAATCCTTTCACTCCCAAGATCTCATCAGAGACTTTCCTTACTGTTTGTCACACAATTCTTATCAAGTTAGTTTGGGGAATTTGAAATTGAACCAACTAGTAATCCCTTAATTGATATTTCTCTCTACTATTATCACTGGTGTGCTTGGAGAAATTCTGGCTTGGTACACTCATGGGGGTGAAAGGGTTAAGACTTCATGTTTTCTGGGTCCAACGAAAAGATTCTTTAATGTTTTCCCCTGACTTGCCTTTTCCATGCATCATAATCTAAATGCTTCTGGCACTTCCAACATGTTTGATAATAAAACGGCTGCACACTACCAGAATCCCACAGGCCTAATAACTCTTTCTTTGTCAGTGATGGTGAAAGCTTTTTAACACTTTCAAAAGCAGCTACCACAAACACCCTTTTAGCTGAAGAAGAGAAAACAAAATCATTACTGGGCAAAAAATGTTTTCTCCAATATAAATGCTCCACTTAGGAGTACCAGTTAAATGAAACAGGACTGATTTGTTTGCAAGGGGAGAGTTTATCTATGTAGTGTTATAGACTACAAAGGCATACCAAAAAGGCTTCAAAGAAGAGCTATGATTTAAAACACACAAACTACAATTAATGCTGCTTTCCAGCTCTCTTCCACTAGTAAATTTCCTAATTATGTGCATTTGATCATATGCACATGTAAAATGTGCTTTACAAATAATAAATATTATTATTATTATAATAATTTTATTATATACCTGCCCTCAATGAGATACTGCTGGCCAACTATACTACACTCTACTGACTCACTTCATGCTTAGAAAGCTGAGATAAATTCAAGCCTTTATGAGGCAATAAGTTTGTTTGCATTGGCTGGTTGTATGGAGTTTTAAAATAATATTAATAATAACTTAGGAAAATATTATCACTTCCCTACAATTTGTGGAATACTTCATAAATGATTTATCATCTTTGTTGATGTGTTTTCACACTTTTCCTCTAATCTAAACAGAATGCAAAGCATTCATTACAACTGAACCTAGTAAATGGCCAAGCTCACAAATGCACTCACTGAAGATCTGTGATAGAGCATTGGACAGTGTCAATGGTCTGAAGTGCAAGTCCTAGGATTTTTCTTTTTTACATTCTCATGACAAATAAATAACACCTTTTTTCAATACCTTTGTTCGCCATAAGGTTTATATGTTGAGCATATTCAAGGAAACTGGAATAAAGATCACCATTACACATCATGTCCACATCAACCACCAGTATGTAGGCCTCTGGAGGTAAGATTGAGCGTCCGACATTTCTCAACAGATTGTTTGGATAGGGCACCTGTAAAAGATAATTAAAACAAAGCATTAAAGCACTAAGACCTGTTGTGGTAAAGACTAACTGATACACATATAAAAACACCCATGGACAGCATTTCAGCAGGAAAAACAAGTGTGGCTGGAAGGAAGTACTCTATAGCACAAAACAAAAATAATCCCTTGGACACAAAGATTCCATAGCAGGGGTGTAGCCAGACTATGGCCCCATAGGCATAGGCCTTCAATTTTTTTTTTGTTCCTGCTTGACTTTTATAAGATGACTCTTGCAAAGGTTGAAACAAAACAACTGAACATTCTTTAGGACATACTTTCAAGTTCTTAAATAACAAAGAAGCAGCAAGAATAAATCTCCTCATGTTAAAAGCACTGGGTTAGCACACCTCTAGATCTATGGAAATGGCTACAGCAAGTCAAAAAGCTGGCTTAACACTCCTGCATAGTTTTTGTTGTTGGCAGTTTGTATTTAAGGAAGTTTTGCATAAGTTTCTCAAGCCTACAGCTGTATGCAGATAAAAAAAGGGGGGCACTTATTAGAGAGGGGGCTTTAATGGAAGGAGGGCAGTAAATCCAATAAGATTTCTAAATAATTTGAAAAACTGTTAGCCCCCCTAAAAAGTTAATCAACAAATCAAGGAACATCAGAATATGTTATACTTTGACATTGGCATAATTCCTGCTATGTTCTCCTCCAATCACATTGCTCTTGAGTTTTGCTAAAAACTTGTTGCAGTTTCCTTGCTGACTCAGTGCTTGTTTCCAATGCAGGTGAAGTACATTTTCTGCAGGAGGATGTGACAATGGGTACACCAAATGTACTGTCACACGATCTCTGAATGCTTCATGACACTGATAGAGGCCAAGTAGAGAGGTAAATGATGTTACTGCATCATATCCTGGTATAAATACAGCTGTTGAACAATAGAAAAAAATCGAGGTAAACAGTTGTTAAGTTTTTAGATCTCAACTACCAGGTGTGGTGTAAATGGTCAATTTCTCTGGACCTGACACTAAATTTAAAGCTGCTTTTGCTGCCACAATCTTGTTTACCACTCATTGTTTTTAACCTTTCATGGGAAAATGAAAGCTAAAATAACAAATTGTCTCATAGGGCTTGACTCTTTGAATGGGTGGTATGTTCCTGCTGACACATTTTTCATCTCACCAAGAGCATATTTTTCTCCCTCACAAACAGCTTTAGGTTGTTTTTATAAAGTTTAAAGTTGTAGTAGGAGTTGTAAAACTTTCAACATTTTTTTTCAAGTGAATGTAAAACTATCAACATGTATCAACCCAAAAACTTAACATTATAACACTGGCTGGGCAATCTAAATTGTGAACAATAACAAGCCCTTTTTATTAATACCTCCCTGTTAGTATGAGGGCTATGCTTGCTCAATTTGACAGATCATCTTTCATTGTATGACCTGTTAAATCAAAAGTTTAACAGAATTGAAATCTTCTCCCCTCTATTTGATCCCAGACTACAGGGATATAAATTAGTTATAAACCTTGTTTTCTTGGTACATACTGTATGTTAAAGAACTTCTGTTTTTTCCACCCCAATTTATGACCAGTATGCTTCACACTTGGGCCATAAATGCAAGCTAAAATAACTTGGTGTATAACTTACAGTATAAACCTTAAACTTGGTTAACATACAGTTACACACCTAATGATATTGGGCCTTTCCAGTGCTCAGTGAGTTCAAGTAGATAATGAAGGTGATTGGAAGTACAATGAGTTACTAATGTTACATCCAGTTCCTCTTTCAATACATGAGTCTTTGCCAAAAGAAAGTTAACATCTACTTTGTACTGGCTGGAGGAATCTGTTGGAAGTTGTTTGAAATCCAGCTGTTTTTCGAGAAGATTCTTTGATAAAAAATTGAGAAAGGAGGGAAGTCAACTGGGAAGCAACTGTTTACTTAAATCTGTACCTAAGAAGAATCTATACAGGGTGAGTTTCTTGCACTGTGCTCTCTGGTGCATGATCATGTAACAGTAGCTGGCAATGATATTGTGTGAACAAAGCAGTTTATTGAATCTGTAATGAGTCACAGCACTTTGAAACATTTCCCTGTTACCTCATACTATTATAAAACAAAGTCGGGTAATTTAAAGAACAACTGCCTGAAAAAACTTGATGCTGACTGTCAGCCAACAGACAACCAACAGGTCACCTACAGGCCACTGAAATGGGGTTTAGGTAACCTTTCCAGAATGGCAGTCCAATTGCAAGACTGGAATTTCAGCAACTCTTGTCTTTTCTCTTAATTTGGCCAAAACCTTCAGCAAGTACATCTTTCCATACAATGTAGCATTTATGTGCACTGACGTTTGAACGATAAAAGCAGTACAGGGCGTGAAATTAATTTTTTTTTCTGATAACCACTTGGCTCCTAAATTATTCAAAGTGGTAGCCAATTCAAAAAAGTTGGTCGCCACCTACAGACAAAACCTTTTTTTAATGCTGTCAACGTTCTGGATAGACCCTTCAAAATTAAATCAGAAAAAAGTTCTTCAACATGCTACAGCGTAGACACTAAAATGGATGATATACTACGTTCAAGCTCACCTAAATCCAAGATGGCGTCTAGTTATCGATCAAGATGCATGTGCTGCGTTTTGGAAACAAACTTAATGAGGAAGTTTGTCGCGGCTTTATCTCTGCTGATCTTTTAAATTCTCTATATCTCTAAGTAAGGATGTGATGAAGCATTCTAGTCGCCAATTTGGCGCCTAATTTTCAGGATTTGGTCGCCAAAGTGAAAATTTAGTCGCATTGGCGCCTGTAGTAGGCGTAATTTCACGCCCAGCAGTAATGTGATAATATTGTTACCATCAACTTAGTGACATATCACCAACCGTCAGCTGTCTTTTGGCCAACTGTCAGCCAACAGGTGAGCTTAAAACTGTCGGTCGACAGACAACTAACAGGATTTTTTTAGGGAGTTGTCGTAGTCGTAGTAGTTCGTAGTAGGTAATCTTTCATTATGCCATTTGTGTATCTTTCATCCACGTGCTGTGCGCATAACACGTATGTAGCTGTACGGTTATCTTCCCCTGAGTAACTTCAGTGATACTGCTTCAAAAAATTGCTCCCACTGTTTAAAAGTTGGGTTCAGAAGGGAACTAAAAGAAATGGTCTAACATACATGTCACGAAGAGATCCGAACTTCTCATCATCTGGCCGCGATTTCCTTTCTAAAAAAAATACCATCAGTGATCAGCCCAACTGGCTTACCTTGAATCTAATGAGGTATCCCTCCCCACTGACGCTGTTTAGCTTACTCAACAGGAAAACGTTAAAAGATACTAACAATATGACAAGAAAACCTAAAAACGAAATTAACCTAATTTTGTTGCACCGCATTAGCAATCATGAGCTCTCTGTACAGATGCAGCAAGGACTTGGCCACGATAGTTAACGGTATTGACAATGTGTCGCGTCGGCAAATTGATTTTGTGATTCAAAATGTCTTAAATGTTATTGTACCTCTAGGAGACGAAAATTGCCGCCATTTTGAAAATTTTACCACAATACACCGGGCACTTGCCGAGATACACCGCTGACAACATATGTTACTTTGTAACGTGAGTAATAGATTGGCTGAATAGAATAAGTTAATTATCCTTTCACAGTTTTACTGCAAATTTCGACGAGAGAAATTGAAATTGTGATCTTGAATCTTCCCTTTACGAAAACAAATTATGTAGTATTTTTGAAGCATATTTCGCCTGAGAAAATAAATTGTATGGTGGTACTCAGTCTACACGCGCCATACCGGAAATTCATTCATCGTTGAGTAGTTGACGGTCGTCCACGGTCTTTTGGAGCGGAACTCTCTAGAGAAGAAATATCTGCGGTGCTTATGAATTAGGGGCGGTCTAACGAACGACTTATCGACAAAGATATTCTGAGAAGCTTTCGTGGGAGCTCTTTAATCCAGGTAAGAGAACAAGTCATTCTTATGTGAAAACTTTGATGTTGTCAACTCTGTGAAAGGAACGAAGCAAGGTGGTCTTGAGTTTCGCTTGTTATTTGTTGTCATAGCGCTGGAAAGTTCTTTAGACGTATTCAGAGTAAATTTGTATATCTGTCGAAAAGGCTGGCTTGTTCAAAATATGTCTTACGGGCCCTGTTTCAAAACCTCATCCTTCGAGAGGAAACGGTTTCCGCTGACTGCAATGTTACCGTTAATTTTAGAATTCTACTGGTAGATTTGTCATTTTGACTGGGTTTTGCTTGTCTTTTGGTGATTGGAATGAACGTTTTATGATGTTAGATACCTTTTTTAACGAACAAAATTACGCCAACTCTAAGGTTGAGTTGGCGTATTATTCTTGTTTCTCCATTTCTTCCTCGTGTACACCTGGCCAGCCAGCTAGTTAGCCACGGCCGATATTTATAGACATCGACTTGTTTATATCAGAAGAGATTAGTTTATTTCATTCTACAGTTGATATTGATCCACGAAAGAAACCACAGCAGCAGTTCTGAGTACTTGGTGAGCGCAATTAGTACGTGGAACCAATACGTAAATTTTATTCTGGGCTGATAATTTATCGCCGCGGAATGTAACCAAACATGTCAAATGATTGCGGCGTGATTTGTTTCGAATCTTCCTTTTTGTCCACGAACTAATGACGTTTTGTAAGCTAAAGAATTTCATCGTCACAATTGTTTCGGGTGATAATCCGATAATGTTATTTTTTTTCACGCAGATAAGTACTAGAGCAATTCGGAGTTAATTTTTCATGAAGTGAGCTATGTTTTGTGTACGATTACAAACCACCGTTCTTGATTACTGAGGTTTTAGTTTTCTTTGTAATCAAATCTTTTTGTGTGTATTTTTTTAACATTAGCACACTTGGGGATCGTGTCTGATTACTTGCGATCGACTCTAATTTGTCTTCCCGAATCACACTTTTCGCACGACAACTTTCTGTCCTTGTTTGAAGTTTGTTTTAATAAGAACAAGGTCGACCTCTCCGTCTGTGCGAATAGTTTTGTTTCAGGTTGTTTGCATTCTTTTCATTCGTGTAATAACCTATTTATAGTTTCTGCGTGTTGCAGGGACCACAAAGTCGTGTTGTTCAGGAACAAAAACATTACTAACGTCAATCGCATATTTGCGATCCATAAACAACCCTGTATCGTAAGTAAGAGGTTGTTTCGAAAATGGCAGCATTTCCATGGCAATTTTCCTTTGAAAAGATTAGGTTATGAACTGTATGCAAAGTTTCTTTGATTGTGCACTCAAACATTAATACTTTCGTACTACTCTTCAACCTCGTAGTAAAATTTAACCTCTACTTGTTAGTTCTGATTGGATTGTATATTAGCAATATGCATGATAAACAAATATTTAACATTTCAAATGTCTAGAAATTCTTTTATTTTGACTGGATCTAGCATTGCAATCAGTTGATGTTGATAATTGTTTTTTTTTTTTTAACAAATCTGTTCTCATTTGTCTTTGTCCTTTAACATCTCTAAATATGTAATGCAATTAAATACAATGACAGTAGAAAGAGGAGAAAATCAATGTTTTTCTGTGTCAGTATTTTAAGGGCAGGTTATGTGGCTCTGTTGCTACTGTATACATTTGTAACTAGGCTCTCTAATTCACAACACAAACATGTTGAAGAAATATGTTAGGAATAAAAAATATTGATCTTTGGATCAAGGACGCTTAACAGATATTGCACTCAAAGTTTATCCATGGTAACATTGCATACCATTAACAACAGTTTTTTAAATGAATTTGCTGAGGAAAATGGCTAAATAGCAAAATAATTACAACATCGTGGATAAACTTTTCACAAAGACTGTTGTGCACTAGTTAACATTATTACCTTCAAGCCATATGATCGTTAATTCTACTGACTGAGCATTCATGGTGGCCATGCAATTTGCTACTTGATATGTTTAATTTCTTGATGGCACTGTTGGTGGTGTGGAGCACTTTGCTCCAGAGCAGAATATCTCTTTAGCTCTTTGACCTCTAAGAGTGACCAGCATCTGATTTCTCCTCACAGTATCACCCCTTAATCTGACATACTTAAGTCACAGGAATAAAGGAAATGATCACATACTTAAGAATTTCGTGATTGTCTTAAAGAAATTCTCCTCTTCTTTACCATAGGAAATGTATAGAGAACAGTATGGAGAATATACTTAATGATCTGGATATAATATAGAGGTTGCTGATTTATAAAATAGCTATGGCAATACTATTTAAGGACCTGAGAGTGTAAATAATATATTTTAGACTTTTTACCCTTCTGATATCAATGATTTGTTAAATATCGTCTCTTAGGTATAATAAGTGATCAATGAATGGTGATATTGGGCGAAGAGGTGACTCCAGTCCCACTGACAGTGGAGTAGACACACGTGAGTGGGAGGAAACACACAGAGGTGTGTATTATATTGAAAATTATAACTACTGAAGATTATTGTCTTTATTCTTGTCATAATACCATCATAATCAACGTCATCATGATAGTCAACAATTGTTTTATCCAAGAGTAACAACACTATTATCATCATTATTGTTATAAACAAAAACAACAACAGCAACATTATCATTATCTTCATCATTATTAATCATCATTGCACAAATTTTACCTTTACAAAAATAATTGATTTTAACCCTTAGCCACTTATGTCGAGATATAACAATTCTCCTTTCTAGCTGCAATGTAGCTTTCCTTGTAACTTTTTATAATTAGATGAGATGATGCCTTATCAAGGTAACAATCCTCTATACCTTTCTATGCCTTTACCTTTGCTGGTAGAGATCTTGCAACTTAAAAAAGGTGTTGTGGGATTTAGTGTGTTGAACGTGTTGCTAAACTTCAATAAGAATCATTGTTGAAATTTTTGAACAAGGTTAAGATTTTTCTACAAAGTTGTCTCATATCAATTTGTACATTGGAAACTTAAAGGTGTAGTTTAATTTCTTACAACTACTTAGGGTTGATACCTAGCAGTAAGAACTTGTGTTGAGAAGAATTTGACCAATTGAAAAGGCTTCCCTGCATAATAATCTGTTATATGTTTTTTTTTTATCTAGAATGATTATTGAAAATAAGTAGCATGCTTGGCTTAGGATATTTGTCATGAGTGTTTCTTTTTGGGAATTAGAATTTCAAAGGAATGGGAAAATGTAAGAGCATAATTTCCTTGGAATGAAATAAAGTAGAGTAGAAAGGTCATAAAAAATGCTAATCAAGGTTATTTCATGTATCATATGAACAATTTACTGAGGAACATTGAAAAATGAACTTTGCAAATTATTAGGCATTAACAAATATGATGGAAAATTTTAGTAAATATTTGTGGACACCTGCTGTTGCCAAATGTATTGAGCAACTTTATAGTTATGGGAAAAAACCTTCCTTGCTCCAAAGGTAATTAATGTTTGCTTGTCACTTAAGTTTAAGTGGATAAGCACTGTTCTGAACTTTGGTTTTCTGGTATGTTCTGTCATTTTTAAGACATAATCTATGCATTGATTGCACTTTCCTTGCTGGATTCTTTGCAATTTTTCTTTTCATGCTTTGGAGAAAAGTGACAAAAAGCCTTTGTTTCTTAGGACAATTAAACTACTGAAGCGATGAGTATTCTTTTAAGGAAAGTCAATTAAATAATGGTAGTCTATGTAGATGGAACTCACATGCAAAAGTTCTTTGGCTTTTGAGCATAAGTATGGGGACATTTTTGTCCCAAACTTTTCTGCTAATCACTGCCAATTAGGTATATTTTGAAGTATTGAAATTACACCTTCTCTGTAGCTGTTTATAGGGTGTATTGTAGCTTTGAATTATATGGTTAAAGCTATCAGCATAATTGTGGTTGATTTAAGTAAATTGTGGTCAGGTTTTTTCAAAGTTATTTTAATTTACTTATTGAAATTCTTTTCTTTTTTTCCTTTTTCTCTTGAACAGGACCAAGGATGGTATGTTCACTTGTTTTTCTTGAAGTTGTAGTTACACCTAATTGCAATAACATTATCAGAGAAAGAATCAAATTTACAATAATGAAAGATTCATGTTAAGTAGGAATTTATTACGCTGAGCCATTGGCTTGAAGTGACTCCCCTGCAGTGACACTTTCTTTTAAATTTCCATAACCTTAAATTCAATTTTTGCAAGTATGGCTGTTCACAACTGTATTCAACACCATTCTGCTCAGTGTGTTTTGCAAGATCTTTCTGTTTTTTTTTTCTGCTAGATTGGCATGCCCTATCTTGTAGAGATCCATATCAGTTTAAAAATTTAATTACATCCTTGATTAGACACCACAGATCAAAGCAAAATTATAAATGAATGCCGCCATCAAATAAATGTTGGACCCAGTGAGAAGAAAAGTGCTGCAATCAGTTAGAAGTATGCAGAATTTATTTTGGGACTTTTAGGAAAAATAGCAAGATGGTGCAGTGCTACTTAAAAATCAACAAAATTTCCGGATATTGTACACCTTCCAAGCCAGACAAATACAACACTATCTCAGCCAAACATGGAATACATAATGAACTGAAATATGTTTTGTCTTAGTTGATATTCCTTATGTCGATTCTACCATAATTGTCATCAGTGATTTGAAATGAATACTCTCTTGTGTTGAAAGACCATTAAGTTAAGCATTCTATATTTTTTTTAGTCATTAGAACCCTACAGTTTTGGAAGTGACTCTTCCTGGTCAAATCTAAATGGGGTTGATGCAAAGAAAAAGTAAGTTATGGGCTTCCATTGATATTTGTAATCATTAATGTCTTAGTTCTTCTTTCTAAAATCAATTACACAATTTGTAAAGGCTTTAACATGAACACAGCATCACTCAAGTGTAGTGATGAATTAAAAATTTTGACAGTGTGCAAAGCACAGAAATTGACAGAAATTATGATTTCGCTTCACAATCCTCCATAATTTTATTTATTTTTTCCTACTAATTTAAACCATTTTGAAGTCATTTAGAGGCTTTAGAGCTTCATTCCCAAGCTCTCTCCTTTCATTAAGCCCTCCAAAATTGGTGAGCATTAAGAAGCAGAACAAAAAGAGTTGAATGAGCCCAAACTCAGAGATGTCAAGCACAGATTCTTTCATCATTTGGACTTAAACCACCTAGCAATTGTGCAAGGCAATGATAAGTTCTATGACTTTTTAGACTCAAGAAAGAAAACTCTCACAAAGCAAGAAAATCTGTCACATTTGATTTATCACCAATTCATCTGTAAGCCAAACTATTTGAGATTTAGTTACTTATTGTCAATTTGGAGAAATCATGATTTCTTGTTGTTAATTTTTATTAGGTAATCTGTCAGACAAAAAAACCTAAAAAACCTAAAATAAGTTCTGGCAAGTTTGATGGCTGTTGATTTTCACCATGAACATGAACAGTGTTTATCTGGTTGCTAATATGTTCATGCAGCTTTAAATTTCCTGGAAGAAAACAGGGAAGTCTGAGTTGTAAAATCAAAACCAACAGAATCCCAAATAGCCTATCAGAACTTAAAAGATTATACATAAGCCTAGGGTTCTAAGAAGAATTTGTGTTATGATCAAGAGCTTCTAGTTGGTGATCATTTCCTGTATTCTCCTGACCTTGACGTGTGATTCAGGGGTGATAATGAGAGGAGAAATAAGATGCTAATTGCTGGTAGGAGACAAAGGTTTTTGGTAAAACCAAATAAACCTCCTGATGAACATGATTGAACATGTGGCAAGTTTAAACTATTGGGAAATTAAGAAGAGTCCTATATGGGACGCTCATGAAAATCTGAAAATGATTGTATATTATTTATAAATTTTACAAAAAATCAACCATTTAATTGATATGGGGAGAATTATTTGACTCCAAAGCTGTTTATCTGTGAATTGCAATGAGGTGAATTTAAAAATTGTACTTGCCTGATTTCATTTATAGTGGTTCATACAAGGGAAAGCCTCAAACTTTAGTAAGTACTGAATTAATTCTGATGAAAGTGAGCTGGCTCTTGTAACACTTCAATGTCAACAGTCTTAAACACTTTTTCTAGAAAATTCAGTAATCCTTCATGTAGGGCAGAACTTAGCTCTGAAACAGGCTCAAATGATTTTGTTGTGGTTGTTTTCTTTTAGAACAATAATGTTGATCCAGGAAGATCTCCCAAGAACTCCCCTAAACTGGGGTCACATGATGGTAAGGATTTACACATTTGCACAACTGGTGTCCTGAGAGTTGGACAGAACGGATCACTTACCTGCTGCTTGTGAGAGGATATCATCTCAAATAGTAACTCACTACTTTCCAACGTGGAACTTCTAAAAAATCATTTGTATTGAAATATAATCATCTGCTTTCACCATCAGATCAAAAGAAGCCTGTTCAAGCTGCAAGTCAGTTTCTTGCAAGAACAAATTTCCTTCTGGAGGCATGTGCTTTTAGATCTCTCTTCTTTCTTCTTGTTTCTTCATTTCTTTCCCTTGTTCCTCATGTAGTATTAATATTTTTAAGGCAAAGTCTGCATGGAGAGGTATTAAAAAAATGAACTTGATAAATGGGGACATAAAGTGTTGTAGACAATTGTAATTAGTTTTGAGTCAAGAGTGTTGATCTGTTGGTACATATGCTTCCTTTAGAATTAGCTTAAGAGGGCCCAATGGGCTCCAAGCTTTATTTTTTTTCCCTTTGGAGGAGGAGGGGGGGGGAGCTTTTTAAGGAAGGGAGTACAAGAAAAGGTAACCCCCAAAGGTATTAGAACTTTTTTAAAAGTCCAATCAGCAAGAAAATGAAGATGAGAAGGCAATTTAGAAGGTCGGAGGCTATGAAGTTGGAAGTGTGTTTCATGTAGCAACTGCTAAATCAATCTACAGGCAGTTGTAAGTTATACTTTCAAATACCTTACATCAAAGGAATAGAACTAAAAAATAGTACTTATCCTAAGGCACAATTTTTGGCCCCCATTCGATAAGTTTTAAGCATCATTTTTCTCAGATTGAGGGGAATTTTGCAAAGCTACCCTCTGGAATAAACTCAGAGAATAAGCTCTTACTAAATCTTTGTAAAGAATGGGGTGAGGTTGAAATGATCTGGGTTTTGTACTGCTGTTTGATAAATAAAACAATTCTGCATATTTTTCTGCAGCATCTTTCATCCTTCACCCTAAAGACAGCACAAGAAGCACAAGTTCCAGCAAAGGAGAGACTTAGGCAAACTAAGGTTTAGTTTACATCGAATTTTTGCCTTTAATATATGTACTGATTTTCACCTAGTTTCCAAGGAAGTTAAGAATCAAAGGAAATTTTCCTAAGAAAGAAAATATTAATGTCAGCTCTTAGCACTATTGGGAAAATTTAGAAATAAGAGTGAAAAAATTCACAATTGACACATGTAAGTTGAATGACGACCAAGTTGAATTGGGAGTGAAAATTAAATTTGTTAGGATTTTATGATTACTTAATGTTGACCCTTTACGCACTTTAAACATCAGTATGGACATTTTGCATACTGTTCTCTATAGATTTCTTGAGGTATCCACCGAAAGAATTTTTTTTAAGTAGTCAGTAGCTTCTCTAGTTGATGATAATTTCCTTTGTTCTTGTGACCTGAATTCTTGATTCAGGAATGATACTGTAAGGAAAATTTAGATGGATCAGGAGTTGAAGGGTTCATTTTCTATTAGTATATGAGAACGGCTCTATCAGGATGTTCAGGATCCTTTTTCTTGCAGGAATTGTTAGCAAAAGGGAACCAGTGGACAAAAGAGATGGAGATGAGATTGACAGACACTGATGTGGTGCTTTTAGATGGGGAGACTCAGGTCAAGATGCAAATTACCATAACTTGTTTTGATATGTAATATGTTAGAGATCGTTAAGAATTCTGTATTCAGCATTACTTCATTTCATTCGAGTGAACTTGAATAGAAGACAGATATTCTTTCAGTATTTGCTCATTTTTTTTCCCCCTGAAGATTTTAACTGTACACATGCATTTCTCTGAGATGCATTGCATTCAGGATGCATTTAAAATAAAGAAATGTTCTGGAATGACTCAGTTGAAAATTCCATGAATTTGACTTCCACATGTATTCCCCCTTGAAAAGTTTTTCCTTGTTGGCCATGAAGATACTGCAAGGTAGCACTTTGTTGCGGTACTGTGCCTAAGCATTTTCTTAATATGCCTTTCTAATTTTGACCATGTTAAACACATGGACAAAATAGATCATGTTGGATTTCATAAAACACATAAAAGTTGCTGTCATTTCTTCTTGTGATACAGGAAGGGTTGTATAAGGAGGTGGAAGTGTACAACTTAGTTGGATATTGAACCTTGCTTGAGATAATCTCTTCTGAAATGTTGTTTTTCTTCTTCTTTCATGCAGGATGTAGTAGAAGTGTTTTCATTGAACACTGTAGGCCATGTACATCATTTTAGCGATGACCCTGACCTAAACAGTGTGTTAGTATTTAACACTCTGCAAACGGAGAATAAGTTTGCTGCTATGCATCTGTTTCAGTCAGACAGGGTTCCGGTATGTAATTTGTAACTCAATTCTGTACTAAAATTAATGGTAAAGTCTGTAATTGAATTATTGGACTTAAGTTCTCTGTAGCTCATTTTTTTTTTTGCTTTTGAATAGGCTGCTGTTGTTGCAACTGAAATTATGAAAGCATCGAGCAGCAAAGCCGTAAGTAGTCTTTTTGCATTTATTTTTCAAATCGTTAAAAAGAGAGAGCGTATTTAACGTGTCTATTGAGGATAATTATAAGGAAAATCGACTCGGCGATTTCTCTCACTCGTAAATCTAGGCTACAGGTGGGAAACGTTTTTGGGTTTTTCTTGAGAGCCCTATAATTGCAGACAATGTTATTCTTTTAAAAAAAAGGGTATTTCAAGTGAGTGAATAATAATTATCACGAGATGGCAAATGAATCAGGTTTTTTAAATCTCTTAAGATCACAAGTCACTATTCTTTTTTTGTTAAACTATTACATGTAATTAATTTAATTTCTTAGAAATAACAAAAATCATTTTTTTTGTAGGCAATGCCAAACAAATTTGCAGCAAAAGGAGGCGCCATACTACCCCCACCCCCTACACACCCAGCGCCCCCTCCCCCCACGGTAAAGATTTCTTCATTGTTCTATCAGTCAGAATCTTGTAAAAAATTATTTTCATGTTTTTTGTCTGAAAATATTATTTATAAATGGAGTGAAGCTAAGGCCTTTCCTTATTATTCACGGTTTTAGGGGGTTGACCAGGAGAGATTAGATTTGTATGGAAAATCACTTGTGGCACAAACGATTGCAGCCTTCTCAGCCGTGTCTGATACCAGTCCGAAGAAAACTGGAAAACCACAAGTGTCATCAAGATACCAAGCTGGAGAAACATCCTCCGATGTTCCAGACGAAACACTGTCTGCGGAACTGTTGGAGGCGAGGACAAACAGAGATGTGGTAAGAGACAACGATTCATGTCAGTAGCTAAGAAACTGCTCATCTACCCCTCCCCTAACCCAACATTACCTAACTTTTTATCATTTGGCTGTTGTTGGGCTAGGGGAGGGGTAGGTGCGTAGTTACTGAGATGGTGACATTGATCCCATTTCATCAAGGATACAAGGTTTGAAGGAGAATTATTTCAAAACTCGAGAAAGCATCTCAGAGTTAGTAACATTTAAAATTTGAAGCTTATCGTGTCTAAATCTCACTGAAACATTCGCTATTGCAAAACGGCCAACTTCCTAAGTGGCGAAATTGCTAATGTACCCGTACTTTCTTTTCAAAATTTCTAACTTTTAACATCGTGTGGCCGAGAGAATTTAAAATGTATTGGGCTGAAAAGTTCAGAGACGGGTAGATATGTTCTATATTTCGATTATGTAATACCATTTGTAGCTTGATAGGAAATGAAGAGCAAGAGCTAATGAGCAAAAAACGTAAACAAAGACTTCCTTACAGCCACAGGTTTGATGCCTTAGGAGATTTAAAACCCTCCCTCCTTTTTCCCCTCTCCCCCTCTCCCCCCGTCTCTCCTCTCCCTTCCCCCCCCGCTTACTGAGGTTGCAGATCAGTAAACAGGTAAACAGATGTAACCTGGATGATATTGTGCTCTGTAAAAGAGCATGGAAAAATAAAATGTATTTTATAACGCTTGATCAGTAACTTCGCAAAGTGGCAAACCTCTCCAGTTTAGTTGCTAATTTCAGAAAAGCAAAGAGCCTAATATTAAATTTGCTTATTTTAATTCTAGCAAATCTTGAACCACTGTATAGATGATATCGAGAACTTAGTTATGAGAACAAAGAGATCGGCTGAGGCCTGGAAAAAGCTGCAGAAAAAGAAAGGAAAAGTTAAACGTAAGTTTAAATCCTAGATCTGTGCACCTCGATCTCAAATGTTGTTCTTATGTCAGTGACATCTTTTTTATGATTACCTTTTGTTATTGTGATGCCAACAGAAAGTTCTTTGTCACTTGAAGCGCGCCCGCCGCCTGAGGCTGAATTCTTCGATGCATTTCAGAAATTAAAACATGCCTTGAATTTGTTGGTGAGTCGTCTTCAACATTGTCTTAACTTGTTAGTTGTTTGTGTTCTTTTTAGTATATTGTGGACACCATGTCACGTTGCCTTGTTTACGTGGCGTGACAAAGTTAGTTCTTGTGACTAAGCGGACCATGGATCGTCAGATCTTTGTTCTGACGAAGGGTTATTGCTCAAAACGTCAGCTTTAGAAACTCCCTACGGTGACTAATTTTAAACTACACTCACCCGGACGATCACACTATACGAATCAGATGATAAAAGAAAATTATCTCGCAGTACCCCCACCAACGCAGCAACACACTTTCTTTAGAAACTTACCCCTTCCCCCTCCTTCATCATGGATGTTGTAGGCAATTGTAAACTGAGTAATGAAAATACTCTTAGATTAGATTGGTTTTCTACACTTCGCCTTGTGTCTGTTCTACGAAACTCGCACTACCATTTCAACCAATTAGATGTAAAGCTTAAACACAGTGGTGAATTTCATTGGCTCTCTTTTTGCGGTTTCCTTTTTGCTGATTGGCCCTCGTGATTAGTCTGGCTTAGGTCATTCAATTCTCAATCAGAATGCGCAATAAAAATACTTTAATTTTCTCTTACACAGGGCAAGCTGAGGCAACACATTCACAATCCTAACGCAGCTGAATTGGTTCACTATTTATTTGTTCCCCTTTCCTTGTTGATTCGCTGTACAGGAGGGTAAGTGGTATCTTTCATTTTCTTCGCTTAATTATCGCGCAGGCACTTGTGCTAGATAAACGGTCAACAAACACAGTAGGTTTTATTTTGATTTCGAAGATATCTACTCCGATGATCAATTTTTCCTTAGACATGATTTCTGTTGTAAGGCCCACTTTATCTTCCTAAATTCTCTCGTGGACAATTCCTCTCGTGCGGAGGTCGCCAGCTACTTATTTCAATTGGTATTCACCGTCTGACTCTCTTCTCTTCTGCCAGATAACGTGAATTGATCACGATATCTTGGGTTTCGGGATACAAATTAGTGTGATAGTTTATGATTATGAATTGTTTTTTTTCCAGCCCCGAGAAGGCCAGAGCAGTTGTTGTGCCTCTGCTTACAGCTCAAACAATAGACTTGCTACAGAACTGTCTCTCCTCAAAGGAAACCGAATTATGGATGTCTCTAGGACCCAACTGGACGATGCCAAAGTATGTGAAGCTGTATTCCTAAGTAACTTCTTAAAATAAATAAAAATTAAGGAGGAATGTTGTGATGAAAACATTTTCGGTGATATCCTGTAGAGGAATTCCTATTTAGAGCTGTTACTACCGTACTGTTGTGAGTGATTGCAAGTTGACCCAGATATCACTCGAGCAATGATTGGTCAAAAACCAGGAAAACTTGAAAATATTCGATTAATTGATTGAATGATTGGTTGGTTGACAGATTGATTACGAGGAAGTAGCTTAGGGAACTACGGGGCACGTGACCCCTCCTCTCTGTTCGTTATGAACTAATAATGAATAGCAATTTTCGAGATGCGCAAAGCCTTGAAAATGATTTAGCTTTCTTTATTTACAAGAAAGGTTTTGCATGTGGCCTCGTTTTGAAAGTGAGGGTATTTAGAACTTAGCAGTGGCCTTTTGCAACACCAAAGGATCTTGCAATGCTCCTTTTCCCCCCTTCCCCCCACCATCCACAAAATAAACCCTATACCTTCCCCTGTTGAAAAATCTTGCCTACGCCCCTGGGTAGGTGGATAGATTGATTTGTTTTTCCCATTTTCCTAATTTGTCAGGTCAAGCAAACAGTTCAAGGATCAGTTTATCGCCCCATACAATCCTGTGTTCAAGGACGGTTGGGTTCCACCTGAAGTGATCGCTGGTAAAGATGTGTCCAACCTTAGTGCCGCTATTGCTGCTAATGCTGCTAATGCTGCCGCTGTGGCCCAACTCAATGATGGATCCAGAAAGGTACGTCAAGTGATTGAAGAAACGTCTCAACGCAGAAACTTTTTATCATGATTTGTTACCATTTTGGTACCATTTTGTTGTTGAAACAAACTGTGCCTTTTACTGAGAGAGTCAAGATTCTGTCTTGTTATAAGGGATCTCTTAAAATTTCAGAGAGCTTATGGTGAATGCTTTGTTGCTTAATCATAGGGAAGTTAGTTCCCTTGATAGCTCCTCTGGAAAAGTGATTGCTTCGATTTCCCTGAGTCGGGTACTACTTTCTATGCCTATTGCACAGAAGATGGATGAAAATCATTTTTGCGGGGTGATTTGTTTTGTCTGTTTTTTTCTAGGGAGATGATTCTGCTGCAAACCTGGCCAATCCAGCGGTGCTATCAGCAGCAGCCAAGTTCAGAAGACTAGCAAGTGTGAAAGGATCTTCAGAATCACCGCCATCAAGGTAAACAACTGTGACTGTTCCATTGATGTAACAGCGAACTCTGCTGAAACTGATAGCGTGCGTTGATAGGAAAGTTTCTCTATTTTTTTACTTGAGTTCCCTATCGGCTCTTTAAAATTACTTTTGGCTGCTCTAACAACTTTGGTTTTCAAGTCACTCTTAAAGCGCTCTAAAAAAAAATTGTCTTACTTTGTAAAGGCAAAACCTAAACACGATAGTCTGCTTGTTGGCTGATAATCAGCTTTTAATGAAACTCTTGTTATCTTTGTTGTAGTCCGCCCAAGAAAGGCCTGAGAAGAGTGCGAGTCCTTTACGAGTTTCAAGCAAGAAACAGCAAAGAACTGACGGTTCGCCAGGGAGAAGAAGTTTCGGTAAGTTCCTCTTTGCATACATTTAATGGCGCCTAGGAGATTCTATGAAACACCTTGGAAAACTAGTGTACTCATTGAACAGACTGCTCCTAAGTTATGTCAACAATACCTACGCCCTACAAACGACTTACTCACTTAAAAAACATAACCAACAAACGTAACACACCCAACAGAACGATCTAATTATAACAAAGGATAACTTGTGCAAGTCATTCTTTCCGTTAACGGGACGGGACACTTGTGCTGAGGTGACCCGTCCCAAGCCTTGTTAACTTCCTGCAGACTCGGAAACTTTGAAAAGCTGATCATCAGATCTAAAGTAACGTATCACAGCTTCACTTGCGTCGTATAGCCAATAATGTCGGCGCAAAACTGATCAATCGGTTTTCACAAACTAGACCTGAAACGTTTGAGTGACAGATAAACAACTCCTCCTTTATCTCTGATGATGACTTCCGCTCAGGTCGCCGTGGGAAAATAAGCCGTTCTCAAGGACGACAGTCCTTTTAAGAACTACCCTCCCCTGGATGATCACTTATCACGATCAAATGTCCAACGAGTTTTGATTGTCAAGTATAATTGGAAAGTTTAACTGCTTTTAAGTAAAAAGAGTAGTAAGCCATGAATTGAAGCGGGATTTTAATGTTTGGGTTTGGTATAAATACAGGTTCTTCTTGATAGCCGCCAGTGGTGGTGCGTCAGAAACTCTGAGGGCTCCATAGGCTTTGTACCGAGTACAATTGTGGAAGAAACAGGTGAAGTATTTTATGTTGTGACCCCTCAGTGTCGAAGTGGTAGTGACCGAACGGGTAATAAATATGCGTTATTGACCAAGCGTGAGGTCAAGATGGTTGGATATTGGCCGAGTTCTTATTTGTCTATCTGACCTTTTGAGCATTTTTTTTTTCTTTTTCGGTTTAATTTTGAATACTGAAAAATTTCCTACGTTAAGTTCAGCTCAAGACCAGATACGTCACAAAGTATTGCATTATCAGTTACTTTACCTACAGTTTTCAAGGTCGAACGGGTACAATCCATCTTACGGGTTCTTCTTTCCTTTTCCTTTTCCTTCGTAAAATCCCCGCTTGATTTCACCATTCTCTCCCTTTCGCTATCCCCGTGTGACGAATTCCAGCAATAGTTTGAACACTGGAATACTTGGCTGTAGTTCGCTTTTCTCTGTAATTAGCCTAGAAAACTCGCGCCTCCCTCTTAATACTAAATCAGTGAATACTTGCGCTGTAGTTTTGCTTCCCAGTCCTCCGACAACGGCTCCTCCACCCATACCAACAGCGCTGGTTTCGTCATCGCAGACACTGGTAAGTTGCCTTTAAGTTACTTGGACCTAAGATACTTGGAAACACACACAAAATCATTCAACAAATGAAACCTTTTTTTTTTATATCAGATCGGTAGACGCTAGGAAAAACCTGTTCTTCGTTCGCGTACTGACGATAAGAATTTTGTCTTTTTTTTTTTTTTTTTTGGACATTTTAAGGTACAAAAACCTGAGACAGCAACTGGCACAGTGTCAGAGAGTCCAAAGATTCCTCATGTGGAGCTACGACCTGTGGGAATATCCAAGCAGAACAGGCCCGTATCTGCACCTCCCTCGCATCTGGTGATAAACCCAACGGTGCCCACAAGCCAACCCCCTTCCACCCCTCCCTCAACTACCTCACCCCCTCCAACAGTAATCTTGAAGACGGTGAAAGAGAAAGAGAAAGAGAAAGGTTTGTGAAAAGTTTCTTGATGCCTTCCGTCGGAGAGGAGTAATGTAATGGTGTGCGCGCCCTGGGAAATATAATAAACCCTGAAATTTTCCAATGTTTGCTTCGCAGTCCGTTTTAATGTTGTCCGTTTTAATGTTCTCCATTTCCGACCATCCTTGTTTCCTCTTAGTTCGCAGCCGACTCTTCGGCGTATATCTCTGTTCCCATGCTAATTTGTACCTTTCCTTAATTGAAGACATTTTTTGCTCAAAAATGATTTAAAATACGTAGCTTGCGACCAGGCTCTTACTACACAGTGGTGCAAGCGTCGAAGCAACGAGGGATGAGCTGGCCCATTTCTCGCGGCTTTACCGCTTGTTCTGCCGCGCGGTGCCAATGAAAACTCGCTCGTTATCTACTCGTTGCTTCTTATTGTATCATCTTACTTTTCAAACTGAAATTTTTACTTGGGTGGAGAACTGTGTCAAACACATGCATGTTTTGGTTTTCAGAAGCCACGCCTGTGGCTACAGACTTTACCAAGGCCATCCAAGCAAGAAATCTGAAAAAAGTTGACCCAGAAGAGGAAAAGAAAAGACGCGAACAGGCTCAACAGAACAGAAGTGAGTGTTAAGTTTTGTTTTCCTTTTAACCCTTTAACTCCTGCAGTGACCGAAAAAGTGAGTCTTGCATAACACTTTAACATCTGTATACATATTTTTCATACTACTCTCGACATATCCTAAGTTACCGACCAGGAAAATTTGGTGACCAATCATGAGCTCCTTTAGTAGCAGTGATGATCAATTCCTTTATTCTCGTCAATTTGATGTTTGATAGGGGGGAAATTAGATATTAGTCACTCTCAGGGGTTAAAAGTATAATGATGGCAAGATATTTTCAAGATATATGTGACATGAAATGTATATCAGACAGTGAAAAGTGATACGTAGTTCTTGGGAGTGAAAGGGCTCTGAGCAAGTGTAGCAACACGAACACAAGAATCTTCCATAAGGAGGACACGCAGCTCGCACGTGCATGAGGTGTGACTTCTGCGCGGAGGTACGAATTGCGTGTGAGGCTCTATTGACTAGCCGCTGTATGCGGCCGGATGAGAGTAAAAGTCGGAAATCGAGCCTTATGTTGGGAACGAGGATCATAGGTTTGGTTCCTTTGTGTCCCGTGAGGCGATCTGGTTACTGATGAAATGTGAAATTGATATATTTTGACTCGTGGAATGTTAGTCATTAAAGAAATTGAGCGTTAAAATAAATTAGGGGATGAAATTATTGTCCTGTTGTTTTCTACACAGTATTTTATGCAATGAAATTCTTTCTCAAGTGAGCAAAAACCGTTTTCTTCCTTCGACAGTGAGCTCAGCAGACATGTTAAACGATGAACTCAAGCGAAGAATGACTCACAGTCAGGGGGGACTCACACCAACAGCCCAACGGAAAGGTGAGGGGTTTTCTTTTTGCCATCGTTCATCTTATTTTTCGTTCTTTCCGCCTTTTTTCGTTGTTCCTGTTCTGTCTTGGGTAAAGTGTCGCGACATTACATTAGTTGTCCCTTCCCAGTCCTTCAGCCGTCCTACATTACACTGACCTGCTTTCTTTCGAGTGTTCTACTGGAAGTCTTTGTTTAGTTCACGTCTTGACCACCAATCCCTCCCCCTTGCCTCTCTCCTCCCCTAGAGGGAGAGGGTGGCGTGCATTTCGTAGTCCACCGCTTTAGTAGCTTATAGGTAAACTACGTCGTTCAGAGATAATGATTCACTTGCAATATGTTTGGTAACATACTTTTCAAACTGGATAGAGGATTGGTGATAAATTTCCTGGAGAAAGGCATTCATATAACGGAAACAAAGTTTTCGGGTGTCACTTGTGTTTTTCGGTTTTCCTTTTCTTCTATGAGTTCCTGCTCGGAATATTTTGTAGTTGGAGAGTCTTTTTAGATTGCTCTTCTTGAGCAGATCGCAGTGAAGCATCTCATTTTTATTGGCCCGCGTCTAAACATTAAATCAGCTTTCTCTTTTCCCCTTTTTCTTTCTTCCTCTTTCCCTTCCTTTTCCTTTCTTTTTTCCCCTTTCCTCTTTCCTCTCCCTTAAATAATTTATTTTTCCCATTCTACTGTGACAGACACACCGACCGTTAATCTGACAGCTGATTCAAACGCAAAGCAGGTCAAAGAGTGGTTGAAAAGTAAAGGTTTTAGTGACAGGTTTGTTGCTGAAAATTAAAAGAATAGATATTTTAGAGGCATGCTCCTATCAAGCCACTTATAGAATGAAACTGCTGGGAACGGACATAGGTTCCTTTTTAATTTTTGTTTTAGCGTTTATTCCCAGTATGATCCATGAAAGACCTCGGTGTGCTGTGGCATTGAAGACATTTCTCCCGTCTACGAGATTACGTCACCCTTTCTTCACGACAATTTTGGACGATAGAAATCCTACATTACTAACATCTGAAAATAGTTCTCGACATTCAAAACAGAATCATTTTTTCAGAATCAGCGACATTTATGCATAATAATGAACAACCATGGCGGGCCATTCAAGCAATGATTGCTATGAATGGCGCTGCATTTAGAAAGAGAAGAGAAAATTTGAGGAAGTTTAGGCAACGTCTTGTTCAAGATGTATTACGAAACAAGAGGAGATAGATAGAAATGTTGCCCAATCTGGTGGTCTGATCATCACCACTGTGGGATGGCTTTAGTTCTAATCCAAGACTTCACAGTTTACAATAAGCCTGTTTAATTTGTGTTTTTGTGTGTGTGTTGTTGTTGTTGTCAGCTGTGTGGCGGCATTGTCTGGCAAGTCCGCTAAAGACATTGAATCTATGACAAAGGATCAGCTGAGACTAGCTTGTGGTGACGCAGATGGATCAAGGGTGTTTAGTCAGTTTTCAGTGCAGAAAGCCAATTGGAAGGTATTTTAAAGATTTTAATGGTAAAAGACGTTTTGCGGTTGGTTCAGACTTGTTTTTCATTTAAGTAAGCAAGTCAATTGCTGAATTACTTTCCCTTTTTCCAACCTTGCAGGTAACAACTAAAGGTTCTGAATTGGCGGTAAGTGTCAGGGGAGCCTTTTGTAGTTATTTTTTTTTTCAACCAATATAAATGCCCCAAATACAACTTGAAGGTCCACAGAGTAAAACAAAAGAGAGACCTTCCTCTGGAGGTTCAACTGCCTTACAAAGCTGTAACAGAAAAATTCTTCCGTACGTGCGTGATAACATTTGAAAGTGAGATTGTTTTATCTGGAATTCTGCTTAGAAGAAACGGTGCAAACTGAAATTAGGATTCGTCTGCGTTGGTTCGCACTACGATAATTGATTCAACTCACTTTTCATTTTCAGTGTCTCCTTGGCATCCCTTCCTGACGTCTCTTGTGTTCGTGTTTCCTCTTGCTACTTGTATCTTTCATTCCTTTCAGCTTTGAGCTGCTCGTGTTCAAAACGGGATCTTTTCCCTAACCAAGCCTTTTTTTTTGCTTTTGGGCAGTTTATTATGCAAAAACGAAAGGAACGATCAGAAGAAAAAGAGGTACCAGAGAATGATGGCGAGCTCCGCGTTATCGTTGCCGATGCCAAGGCAGCGGCAGCCAAAGAGGAGACCGAGATCAGGCAAAGAACGTCCAGCACTGGACAGAAATCAAAGAAACCAGGTGCCCCTCCACCGAAACCTCGACCTAAGAGCTTTGCAGAGCCTGAAGTTAAGCCGCGTACAAATAGCCAGACGGACCAGAGTTCACCGCAAGAGATGTCCTTTGACACTGAGTTTATCCCACCCCCACCAGTGCTAGATGCCGAAGATCAGCCGACAAATGACGAAGAAGGTCCGAGGGTAAGTGACCGTTGTTTTGGATTCAGTGCGGGTGACTTTTTTCCTTTCTTGGTTTGTTTTGAATTTTTTCTGTTTAGTTAGTTGTTTCGTTTTTATTTGTGTGCTATATTTTATTCTTCTTCGGGTACTGAATATCTGAGTAAGTTTCAATTATAGCGACCTTTGCTTTAACTCTTTGTCTTTTGTAACGACTTTTTTTTTACAGGAGAGAAAGATTTCCGTCGAAGATGTCAAAAGTATTATGCAAGAACAGAAGAAACAGCAGGAACTTTTGTTGGTGGGTTACTGAGATTGCTAGCTTTTTAAAACCAAATATTGTGCATTTGGAAGAAGCAGTGGCTGTGATGTGTTTGTGGCCGTTAATCAAAAACAGCCATCGCGTAACCTGGAAGCTTAAGGCACAGCCGTTACAGCCAAACCAACATTGTTTGTAAATGTATTGTTTTAAAAGATCTTTCCTCATGCATGAAATATTTCAGCGCCTTTCAATAGAATGTGAACTGTTCAGCTCTGAATATATCGTGGCAAAACGTGCCTTACGCCATAGTTGTTCATAACGTGGACCTCTCATTAAACTAGGCTAATATTTCGGACTTCAAAAGAACATGATTAGCCCCTGTTTGTCAAAGGCGAAGGAATGAAAGTGTCTTGCCTTTAAATTAACCACTTTGGCCAAAATGGAGAGAGGGAGAGTGGGGAGAGATAGTTGAGGGTTTTGAAGTGAGGTTGAGTAGAAGTCGCCCTTCTAGACATGGCGTTGATGATTTTATTTTGTTCGGAGCAAGAAGTTTGCAAAATTTTCTTTTTATTAAAGGAGTTAACCGTTGTGTCTCTCTCCTCACCAGGAACACGACAAAACGCTTTTCCTGCTGGAGCAGCTTCAGAGACAAAAATTCGAGCTGGAACAACAGAAAAGGGAGTTTGAAGAACAACAGCAGAAGTTGAAGCAAGCCGAGTTACAGGTGTGTTGCGGGACTCCCGTGTCACTCAATGGTTTCATTAAAGAACGGAATTCTTGTCACACAACGGTGCACACATTTCTATTCTGTAAAGTTATTTAACAGATGTCACGCAGTGGGCAAAACTATCCATTCGATTGAGTGATGATTTTATGCAATAGCAAGAAATTCGCATAAGAGATTACACCCCAAGATATTCTCACTTGCATTTCCTATCAAGTGCGTGCTCTCCAAAATTCGAAAGTGTTTTTCGTTTTTCTTTTTGAAGACGGTGTAAGATATTTATGCTTCGATGCGTGTATCCAGTGTTGGTTTCCTTCGAAGTTTCTGAAACCAGCCAGCAATACATATCTGGATAAAATGTTGTAGTAAATATCCAGTCGTTCATAGAAAAGTTTAAGTGAATGCCAAAAACCCTTTTGATTGCCTTAGAAACAACACTTCCGTGCGATTTCATTTTAGGAACAGCAGAAAGAGCTGCATCGTCAAATACAAGCGCAGCAAGATCAACTGAAGGTGAACGAGGACAAATTAGTGCAGCAACAACGCCTGCTTTCCAACTACGAAAACGTGCCCCCGCAATACACTTACGCCCAGATGCCCCCTGTTATGCCCCAGATGCCTGTAATGCCCCTTGCGGGGGTTACAACAGGGGCTTCGGCGTACCTCCCCATGGGGGGCCTTCAACCCGTGTACTCAGCGTACCCTGGTGCGATGGCTCAACCGGGCGTCACACATATGGTGCCTTCCATGGGTCTTCCCTCAGTAGCTCCTACACAGCCGCCTACTCAGGGATGATGTGGCCGTGAGATGATTTTGTAGGAATGTATTGTATAATCTGGAGAACCGAAATGTTTTTTATTATTTGCTAGACAAAGTGTGAGATTTGTAAAGAGTTTTCTCTCACACTACCTTAGAGAAAGCCGCAGTTCTGATGACCAACGCCATAGGAATAAACAGGCTTTTTCGGTCTAGTAATAATTTCAAGATTTTGTTTGTTATACCAGCCAATTAGACATGTCGAATAATCTGATTCGCCCTGATACGCAGGATTGTGCCTTGAAATTAGTTGAAAAGGTGCTACCTGTGTATGAAAATCTTCCTAGGTAGCACTTATGAGGGGAGGGGGTTGGGAAGACAGCGTGGGGTGATGGGATGAGATGGGATGAGATATTTCTCCTCTGGGTTCTAGTTAGTAGACGCGGACATATTTCCATTCGTTACATACTTTCATGCAGTTTTCATTCGTCTTCTCCAGATTTCATTCCGTAATTAAAGTACAAATTAGCCCTCCTAATGTGACAACTGCATTGTGTCTTGCTTAAAGAGCTGTTGTGTGTATGACACTTTGCAATCGTTAGCAATGTCACGCAAGGACTACATTCTATGCTGAGGGCTTTGGTCACGCAACTGTTCCGTGACGCATGTTCATCTTCAAGAATTGTGTACAGCTCACCTCTGTACATTCATTCACATTGCCTTGTGGTTTAACATCTTTCACCTCTTTAAGAGTCATAGCAACTCGTGTCTCTTTTAGAAGGAATCAAAAGTTTTATTCACTGTATACATCGTTCCCCTCTTTCAGCTCAAAACTGAAGATAAATAGCGCGTTATATTTTTGTATTGCCCTTAATGGAGTAGATATCTCTGCCTTTTGTATAATGCGATAGTCTGAAGTCGTTTTGTCTAGCTTTGGATAGATGGTCGAATGCAAATTAAGTCAAAGTATGGTTTTTGTAGCTGTATAGACGTTTTCGGATCAATTCAATTGAAAGAAAAAATATTTCTGAAAAACCTGCTCACCAGAGTTTTTTAATTTTTTTCGTTGTCCTTGTAAAATAGAGGTCGTTTTAAAATAATTGGTACAAGAATGATTTTTCCGAGGAGAGCCAAGCTTGTTGATTTTGCTGTGTGCCCCATGTTCAGCTTATTTGCTGTAGCGAGATTCGTTTGTGAAAAAGTAGCAAATAAGTTAAGAAAAAATGGCAGGAAAAAAGAGACTGCCGGATTTGGAAAGAAAGAGACATTTAGTCACTGTTACAAAAGTATCTTGTGAACCACTTTTTAGATTCGTAAGCCCTGGCCTTTAGAACGAGACCAAACACAAAACCTACTTTAGGAAGATGAGTGTTATTTGTTTAAGTTTGAAAATCATTAGGTGTGTTGGCCTCGTTCGTCCGTGGTAAAAGATGTCCTGACAATCAGCGACTGAAGTACAAATGTTGCTCGTATTTAAGTAAACATGCAGATGCATGGATATTTGTGATTATTTACAAAATTAGTGTGATGTACAGAGTGAAGAGCTTTTTGCTTTGTATGACAATTCTCGCTGTATTTACCACTGATCACCATGTAAACTCTCCCGGCTATATTGGGTTTTCTTTATCATTGTAGTTAATTCAAATGAAGAAATGTAGGTTAAACGCAATTTTTTATGTATTAAATGAATATACTTCTTTCTTGTAGCTACACGTGTGATGTTGTGTTCACTTTATGATGAGCTGCCCATAGGGCTCACGAGGGACTGGGTCCAAGTGAACGTCAGACCCTTGCGTCGCCCTGACTAGGATCAGTCTCTGTCAGGTAGAGGTTATAACTTTTGAATGATAAATCATTCGGTTTTGCGACCAAATGCCCGACAGACGCACGTGTAGCCAAATCTTCCTCCCCTTTTTACTTGAGATCCTTCCTTAACTCTTGTTCTATGTCTCCCCCTTGCCCCCCCTCCCCTCCCCCTATCATTGTGTTTGCTCATCTTCCGGCGTGGGTTATTATCAAACTTAAAAGTTGGCAGAATTTAATTTTAAAGATCCCATCTCAGGGGTGAAGCGTTCCGTCAGAGAAACGATTCAAAGTTCGATCGCTTTAAGGGTTATATCGACATCTTAATTATCCTGCACCCAAATAAATTGATTTCACATTTTTAAGCACTCAGAACTCAACAGCCCCTTTAGGTCCCTCCAAAGTATCGAGCGGTTTATGATGTCACAGTAGTTGAGGACAAACGTTAAAAGACTCTAAATAACTAAAGAAATTACTACTAAAATAAAGATCTCTTATAGACGTGTTACCTGCTTGTTTGTTGTCAAGTCATGAGATATGAGTCGCCGCAATTGGCGATTATCTAATGCCACCAGTCAACTCATTAGCATTTCCTGTATGAAGCGGCATACAAAATTGTCGAGTCATTTGCGCATTGCGAGAATGACACGAACGAATTCGTGTTCTTTTTTCAATCAGTGAGAATTTCTTTGCAAACACACCATACCTGGCATTTATAGTGCTCCCGTGAAGACAATGGTCCAAGATCCTAATCCCATTTTGTGGTACGTTACGATAAATGGGAAACTGTTTAAGGAAAGATGAAAACGCAAGTGAAACAAGACCCGACTTAAGGACTTCGCAAATAGACATGTCATGGCCAGATGACTTCAAAGACGTATCACCTATAAATTTGCCCGATGTCGTGGTAGAGAATGGTAAACTAACTCTAGACTTGAGCTTTTTGAAGTTAAAATCGCTGCCGGAACAGGTTTGCGAAAGAGGAACTATTGAGGTTCTAAATCTGAACTGCAACAAGATATCTACTTTTCCATATAAATTCGCAACCCTTCGCAATCTCAAAGAGCTTCATCTTAATAATAATTATCTGGAATTTCTTCCAGCGCAAATATGTACCTCGGTTAAGTTAGAAGTCTTGGAACTGAATCGCAATCTTATCGAAACTCTGCCCTATTGCATCAGCCATTTATGTCACCTTCGGAAACTAAATCTCGCCTTCAACAACATCAGGGATCTTCCTCCAAGCATCCGCTATTTAACACAACTGCATTATTTAAACATGGAAGGTAATAGCCTTCAAAGCATTCCCGAAGCTGTGTTTTCGCTAACCAGCATGGAGGTTCTGGTTTTAAGCGATAATGAAATTGAGCATCTTCCTCACAATTTATATCAACTAGTTCACCTCAAAGAGCTTTACCTGGATGATAACAAACTGGCCGAGCTTCCGGAAGCGTTACATCGGTTTCTTTCCGAACTCGACAGCCTGAATGTAAGCAACAATGCTAAAGCACTGACATTATGTAAGCACCATGAGCCCCGCACGAAACAAGTCAGTAAGCGGAAACTAAATGATGTTGATCCCAATCCGGCGGCAGGAGAACCACTTGAAGAACTCGAAAAGTTTAACCGCAGTGTAGTTGCCGAAGATCGCTCCATGGTCTTTTCGGAAATAAATCTTAATCATCCCGAGGAGAAAAGAGACATCTTTGAAGGAGGTCATGCTTTTTTCAATTTGAAATCTGAAGACGCCAAACCGAGTGCTGCGGAGACAGCAAGGCGAAAAGCTCGGGCAACTAAAGCAAATATTCGTGAAGCAATCCGTCCTTCCCCAAAGTGGCGCATTTTGTACCGTGAAATGAAGAAAGCAGGATTTTTGCCAAATGTTAACGTGAAGCTGCCGAAGCGCCAAAAGCAGGAAAAGCCGCCCAAGATTGCGAAACAAGGGTCTCGTTACACTTGGAGAGGCTGGCGAGTCGATTCTGATTTTGAATCTGCGGTTTCGCAGCCTGGAGTGTCACTAAGTTCCAGTTTTGAAGATGTAATGGATGACTTCGGACATCCTTTGAGCGTCACTCGACTTTTCCCCGAAGTGAAAAGAATTGGCGGACGAATTACACTCGACCTTAGTTGGCAAGAGCTCAAGTTTGTATCCCCAACAGTGTGCGAGCTCGTAAATCTAAACTCACTCATTCTTGATTTCAACCAAATTGAAGAGTTACCTCTCTCCATAGGAAACCTTTCCAGATGCCGCATGATAAGTCTTAACTGCAACAAACTCGTTTCGCTTCCGGAAAACCTGCGATTCCTTTCCAATCTCAGGCGCTTGTATTTAAACGGAAATTATCTTCGCGCGTTTCCTGACTGGCTTGAAAACTTCCAGCAGCTCACATGTCTTTCCGTAGAAAATAACGGAATGTCATTCTTTCCGGGGGAAATCTTTTACCTGGAAAATCTGGAAAATCTTTCACTCGCGGGAAACAAGATTAAAGAATTGCCGGAGAAGATCAAACAGCTTAAACGTCTAAGAGAATTATTTCTGGGACGTAATGTGATTGATACCATTCCTTACTCAATTGCCGAAATGGAATGTCTGCGAGTACTGTTTCTGGACAACAATGAGCTGAACACGATCCCTTACCCAGTCTTGAGTTTAGTAGAGTTACAAAAATTAAATCTCAATGGCAACTCCTTGAAGTCAGTTCCAGATAATATCACTAATCTTCGAAACTTGGAGGAGTTGAACCTGGGTAAGAACAGCATCAAATGCTTACCATATTGGTTTCATCGCTTGGAGAACCTCACAGTTTTATTTCTAAATTGTAACGGCATCACAATTTTTCCTGAGGTGCTTTGCAAGTTACCCAGCCTCATTTCGCTTGATTTTTCTCAAAACGAGATCACAGAGCTGCCAGATTTTGTACGAAGTAGTATTGGGGAAATGACGAACTTAGAACAACTGGAATTATCCAACAATCAACTCAAAAGACTTCCGGATAGTTTCAGGAATCTAGTCCATCTAGAAGTTCTTCATCTAGAAGGAAACCCTTTGATGGAGCTTCCCATGAGTCTGAACGAGCTCGTCAACCTCCGAAAGCTGTACATCGATAGAACAATCAAAATACCAGAAAACATTTTTCAACTCCCCAAACTGGAAATTTTTTGATTTTTTTTTTCAGGGAATTGTGGGTTGTATGTGTGTTTATATGCAGAAATGGAGTTACGCTATTGATGGGAAAATGGTGACAAGAAAAACAAGAACAAACCAATTGAATGAAAAGCGTTTGTTGATATGGAGCATGAGCTCGGTTTAATGGATGATTTTAATCGCGTTTTCAAATGTAACTCTTCCTTAATCTTTTCGCTAGTTCCTTGCCCTCCTTTCCTGCCTGTAGGGTGTTAGAGGAGCGTGACCATGGAGAACAAGAGGGGATGATCTAGGTGTGTTCATGTTATGCCATGGCACGCCTTATTGTTTCATTCGCAAATTACACCACATAGTTCACTGATTACAATTATTTCATTTGGGCAGAGAAGTTGTCAGCTAGTCAAGAAACTAGTTAGGCAACGGAGGGGGGGGGGATAAACTTCTGAAGAAACTGTGGTACGCTCGAAACGTCAGCTTTAGAAACTCTTTACGGTGGCCATTTTTACATTATCGTGCCACGGCAAGAGCGGCCAAACCGCGGCAAACCTATCCCCACCCCTCTCAAATCATCCCGCGGGCAAAGAAACGCGCGTCCCTGCATCGCAAATAGAGAGGGCCTGGTCGAAAGTTACTCGATAAAAGGTTTGACCATTTGCACTTCTGAATTGGGATTAAATGATCCTGTGTGTGTGTGTGTGTATTATTCAAACTGATTTCCACTCATTTTCTTTTAAAGAAGCATATATTAAAAAAAAATTATTGAATAGGAATTAATTCATTCTTGTTTGGCTTTTTCCCTCTTTTCCTCTTTTATTACCATTTTCAAATGTTTTTTTACCATTTTTTTATGAAAACGTCAAATGTATCTCTCTGAAAGAACTGAGATTTCAGAATACCGCCCAGAAAAGTCTTTGGCAGTCAAATACTCGTTCCTGTAAAGGAGCACACGAACCTCGGTATATGAATCGTCAAACAAACAGGCCGCGTCGAAAGAACTGTAGAACAAAGAATTTCAAGTAAGGAGAATGTACGACTCCATCCCGCACATCCCATATGTAGTCTAAACAGGACAAAACTGATGAGAGGTGACATCGATCACATTACTTATGTTTCTTTTTACGCCAGGATCAGACTTAATCTGGTCTCAAACAGTCTCGGAATTTCTTCCTTTTCAGCAGCTGTTTGATTGAACAATGTGACTGCTGACCACTATTTTGCAGGTTTTGAATCGAGAATAAAAAGGAATACTATATAAGCAATTCTTTTCGAACCAATCTGGGGGAAAACTGCACCCTCCTTGTCAATTAGATAAAGCTCGCTAGGAAGAATTAACTGTAAATCTCGACAAAAAAAGGAAGATCAAAGGTTAGCTGCAGTTATTCACCACAAAGTTCGATTTGGAAAACATATCGTTTAGTTAATAATAGGTGAGTGGGAGGGATGCTGCATCTTAAATCAACACCTTTGCCTAACCCGCTTAACTCTATGAAATGCCAAAAGGGAATTTTTAAACAATTCTTAGCGCTTGGCTTTAGTTGAATTTTTTTCCCCGTAAGGTCTTCCTCAATTTATCTTTTAGAAAACAAGAAAAAAAAAGCGTTCGTTTTAGAACTCGGACTTTTAAAGGAGGCTAATTAAGCCAGCTGGTTTATTATGATCTCGTTGCATAAAATCTACATAATTTTAAAGAGAGTTGATTTAACAAATGTCACTAAGGCAACTTGGATCCATGTTTATTTTCTTTTCACTGCTGTTATCAGATAACAATAGCGCGCATTTTTTCGGTTTGTAAAGACAAGAATACTCGAATATAAACAATACTTATGGAAATTACCTGTCTTCCGGCGAGTAGATCGCTTGCGAACTTTACTGTTGCGCTGTCTGTTGGCACTACAAACAAGACAGTTGACCTCCGTAAAATATAAGATCTCTATTCCAATTTGTGTGCTCTAAGACAAAACTCGCATTGACAATATGAAGTATTAAACATATTTCATTTTTCAAGTTCATATGGGAGCGAACCTGAAAAAGCTTTTTTTTTTTCGGAAACATGTCTAGGCAAAAGCGAAAGATGTCACACGTGGCTACAGAGGAATGTTTATGTTCCGACACGATAAGGGTTCCTACATTTAAATCGCCCAAAAATAGGAGCATCTGTATAGTGCCATGGTTGAAGAGGAACACTCTTAGCATGTCCAAATTTAGGCAATTTGTACGAAGTTAATATTTAATGCCCCTCTCTGGTAAAGCGCAATATTCAACGTAACTGGAAACGCTGAAACAATCGGGAAAACACCTTCAGGGATACAATTCGTTGCCCAAATTTGGTTGGGGATAAGTATCATGTTGATTTTCATCCAATAGCAGTGTTTCTTATCAAAAGGGAAGAGTGCTGTGGTCTATAACACGGCACGGCCCACTCTCTATCAGTTTCGTCCTCTTCCGATTGAGAGTCGTAGTTGTTCCTTGTTCTACATTTTTTAAATTAAAATTCTTGAACTGTGCTCCACTTCACAATGACAGAACCTCATCTTTCTCCAGAAGAACTTGCTGAGATTCGCGAGTCTTTCGACCAGGTGAGCTTTATTCTCTCATTAATACGACGTCCAAGTCGTGCTCTTGGTTCTCCGTAATTTTTTACCAATGGCTGGTTAACCCTTGGACATTACTTCATAATTTGCCTGAAAATCGAATTTTTTATTGAATAAATCGCGCATTATACTTTATGGAAGAAAATTGCACGAGAATGGGATCTGTAAATGCCGATTTTTGGTTCCGCAAATTTCTTCTACCATAATATTGTGTGTAACTTTCGAAGCTTTGCCTGAGATTAGTGTCGGTGACAGCAATATTAACTTCGACTTCTGTCTTCTTCATCAAAGTTCGATTTAGATAAAAATGGCCATATCACGACTTCTGAAATTGGAGAAGTGATGAAAGCTCTTGGCGAAAGTATACCCGGCTACAAGATACGAGACATCATTAAAGAAGTGGATATAAACGAAAACGGGACTGTCGAATTTACAGAATTCTTGGAGGTAAGCGATCAATTTTTTTTGTTGAATATCGGAAGTGGAAGCTCGAGTATGTGCATTTGGTCGCCATGAAATACCAAAGTTTGTTTTACCTTCCGAAGTGTTACACTTCTAATCAACGTTCTAATGGTTGGGAGTAATTACTTCTGCAACATATTTCGCATGTAAATTTACAAGTTATAGATAATTAACTGCATTTTAGAGAAGATTACGTTTGTATTCAGTAATCTTCATTCGAAGGCATGAATTACTCTCGGTGAAAACGAAATTGTTGTGGGTTTTGCTTCATCGCACATGACTGGCAGACTTCAAATTCTGATTCCTTAATGGTCAACCCTCAGAAATGCAATTAATCGCCAGATCCGTGTCAAAAGCTAACAATGATGTTAATTTGCTTTGGTTTTTTTTTCGTTCGTGGAAAGCCCATATTCATTCTGAATTCAAAATAGAGTCAAACTTTTAAGAAAACATTCTTTACATTGATCTTCTGGAAAAGTTTTGTCTTTACACCTGTCATGGGAGTCCAGGTGTGACCTCTGTTCTCTTCAAGTGAAGTTTCAGATCCGTCTTCTCCTTACATCACTAGTCAGGATATAAGTCAATTGTAGTGACAATAAACGCAATTAAAAAAAAAAGGGTTGAGAGTCAACTCCAATTTTCTGCCAAATATTCTCATGTAGTATAAAGCACACAGGTGAATGGTGCTTTTTGTGCATGCTGATTGGCTATGTTGGAGGTGATTAGCAGAGAAGAGTCAAAATTGTACCTCAAAACTTCAATTTCTGACCATTTTGTGATATATACAGACAGAAGAAAATTGATTTTTTCAGTTTCAGTGTAGTTCATATATATACCAAAACAGTTATTCACTTTGGTGTTGGTGAAAGTCATGGAAATTTACCTTTACATTTGGTGGATAACTGTTAATGATTGAGTAGATCACAGATTTGTCAGTTACCTGAAGTCCATTCTTTGCAAGGCTTTTGAGACAGGAATTTTCAATTGAATGTCCAAAGAAATCAAATATTGAACCAGATTGGTATGTTTTGTTTCTATTGGCTGATGTAATAGTTTTTATTATTGGGGTTTGAAACAATCAACTGAAGAGTGCCCAGTTAGAATGGAGGATTACTGATCAACTTTTGGGAATTGTAGGGTAACTAACTTAACTGTTTAATTCCCAAGATCACATTAGTAATTCTCCTTACTGTCTGCCAAATGATTATCATTATGTTAGTTTGGAGAATTTGATATTGGATCGATTAGTAATACCACAATTGACAGTTTACTTTATTCTCATCACTTGTCTGAATAATATTGTATAGATATAGTAAGGAGAAATTCTTTCTTGGTCACTCACGGGAGTTAAAGGGTTAATAATAACCACTTCACCCTTTAAACCCCCCAAGAGTGATTAGCATCTAATTTCTCCTTAGAATATTGCCCTGAATCAAACATTTAGGTCATGAGTATCAATGAAATGATCACTAGAAAAGAAGCCCTTGATTGTTTGACAAATTCTCCTTATCAGAACCTTAGGAAATGTATAGAGAACAGTATGGAGAATGTGCATGCTGATGTTATGGTGTAAAGAGTTAAACAAAAAATTTTCATGGCCTCTGCTTTGAAATTTTTACCTGTAATAGTACTGCAAGGGTGTAAAAATTCCACCTATTTTTTCACCCAGATTTACAAGAAAAACAGCAAGAAATTTTCAGCAGGCACAGAATTCAAGAAACTTATAAAGAAAACAGAGAAAGTAGAGATTTCAGGAGGGACATCTGAAAGTTCTGCTGAAGGCACCAAGCATACATTAGCAGAGGCTGAAAAGGTAGCATTTGTCGACTGGATCAACACTGCCCTGCAAGATGATGCAGAGGCAAAGGCTTACTTGCCAATGGATCCTGCAACCCAAGACTTGTTTGTTAAGATCAATGATGGAATCATTCTTTGGTGAGTAATGTTGTTAAGTACATTAACTCTCCTGTGACATGCTGCTTCACCTTGTAAGATGCTCTCCTTGATAAGGGAGGAAAATGTTGTGTTACAAACTGGTATGACTACTGAAATGAGACTAGTTATGTCATTCAGGTTTTTTTTTCAATCTCTCCAGTGTATGATCCACTAAAGAACAAGGTATCAATACAATGAAGCAATCATTTATTAACCCTTTATGTCCCACTAGTGACCCAGACAGAATTTCTCCTTACATTATCAGTATGATATCAAGCAAACAAGTAATGAGAGTAAAGAAAAATATCAATTAGGGGATTATTGGTTGATCCAATTCCATATTCTCCAAACTATCATCACATAAATTGTATGGCAGACAGTAAGGAGAATTACTCATGAAATCTTGGGAGTTAAAGGGTTAAAGTGATAATCTTTTGATGAAATTTTGGTTGATTTGAATTCGAAGAACTTAGTCATTAAAAGGCTAATTTGTTGGTTGGAGTTCTTAGTTTCTTTCTCGTGTAAAACTGTGAGCAGTAATCTTAGAAATGATGAAAGCAAGCCATCTCTATTAGGGCTACTGAGTAATTATTGTAAGCAACAATCTAGCTAAATATCAATTTAGTACCAAAATGAGTTTTAAAGAAAATGAAGAAAACATAATCTGTTGAAAATTTTTTTATATGAGGGTTTAAATGAAATGCATGGTGAAGGTGGTACCTTCTATACTAATAACACCTTGAAGAAAAATGAAACCAATGCAGTCTTTAATCCTAAAATCAATATGCATCTTCTTCATACTGTTCACCATGTACTTTCTAAGGTTCTGACAAGGATAATTTTTTAAATGATCCACAGCTTTATTGGTTGGTTATCAGTTCCCTCACTCTGATGACCTCGAAGGTGTTAATGTGATTAGGGGTGATATTGTAAGTAGGAATTAGACTCCAGTCACTCTTTGGGGTCAATTGGTTGAGTATTCTAAACACTTGGTTGAACATTGTTCCAATGGAAGCTCTTTTTATTTTCAGTAAAATGATCAATTTGTCCGTACCTGACACGGTTGATGAACGTGCCATTAACAAACCAAAGGGAGGAAAATTGACCATTTTTAAGATTCATGAAAATATGACGCTGGCTCTGAATTCTGCGCGATCCATTGGTTGCAACATTGTTAACATTGGAGCAGAAGATCTTGAGAAAGGAAAGCCTCATCTTGTACTGGGTTTGCTGTGGCAGATCATTAGAGTAAGTGTGTGGGTTTGCTGTGTAGTGTCTGTAATTTATATTTCTATTGTGCAAAGCTAAGCATTCTTGTTTTTCATTATTAAGCGCCTGTTACTGGAATGTAATAATGTTCTTGAGCTGATCTCTTAACTCTTTAATCCCAAGATACAATTGTTAATTCTCCCCTTAAGCTGCTACACATTTGTAAAATTAAATTATTCATGAGAATTTAGTGTAAGATCACAACCTCTACCTGATAAGTTTGAGTATTCTCATTACCTGGAAGTTAAAGGGTTAAAACTATCACCTGGGCTAGTTTTGTTGTACAATTTACATGCTTTTTTGTAACATGTATCAAGAAGTAACATTCGTGGATAAAGGGGACTTTGACTCATAAAATGACTTAAGGTCACCAAATGTCAGCTTTGAAAAAGTTGAGCTTGAAGCTTGGGGTAATTCATTGTGCTTTGCAAGGTTATTAACAGGAGAATCTGTTCTGATATTGATACAATGAGTTCAGCTTACAGCCCAAGTTGCAAGTCCCTTCTTCTTGAATCTATCAATAACAATGACTTTATTGATTCAAAAAATTAGATTGGTTTGTTTGCAAACATCACACTGACAAATGTACCTGGCTTGGCCCGTCTGCTAAAGGAGGGAGAGACACTGAAAGACCTGATGGCTCTCTCGCCTGAAGAAATCTTGTTAAGATGGTTTAACTACCATTTGGAAAAAGCAGGCCACCATAGACGAGTGAAAAACTTTAGTGAGGACATCAAGGTAATGCCATATGAAATTTATTGATCTCATTTATTGCAAGTGTTGACCTTTACATGAGAGCCATTTTTGATGTTTTCAACACATAAATGAGTGTTTGACTTTCTCTTACTTCTGTAACTTCCTTTCTTTGCTTTGTAGGACTCTGAATGTTACTCAGTCTTACTGAAACAGATCACTCCTTCCGAGGTTTTTGTTGACAATAGACCAATGAGTGTAAGTTATTTACTGATAAAATGTAGAATGAGTTTACTTGTCAATAAAAGAGTGCTAGTGAAGCTTAAATTTTTATTAAGCTTTTTTCTGACTTAATTGTAGGAAAAAGATCATAACAAGAGAGCTGAAAAAATGCTGCAAATGGCGGATCGAATCGGCTGTCGAAAGTTTGTGCGAGCAAAGGTAAGATGTTTGATTATGTTGAAAGTTTAATTTACTTTAATTCAAATGGGGAAAGATGGCAGACCAGGCACAGGTTTGGCTAGGTGTTGGCCCTTATTGACAGCTCTGAGTTCTGTAAGGAAAATTATTCAAGGTCATTTATTCAGTTATTAATTTCATTTCAAACTGATACTGATGTAAAGGTGTGATCTGAAAGCTGGTAATGACCCTTGGATACTGTAGGTACATTTACATTTTGGTCACCATCTGCATTGGGTTGGAGATGTGTGTGCAGGTGTACTGAAAGCCTAAATTTAAAGTGCTTAATTTAAAGCTAAATTTGAATCTTTGGAGGGGCAGCTTTGGGGTCAGATGGCAATCCCTGTCAAAGATACTGACCCATATCAACATGTCATTCCCTTAGGATGTTGTAGCAGGTAACTCCAAGTTGAACATGGCCTTTGTTGCAAACTTGTTTAACTGTTACCCTGCCCTGCCTCCAATGGATGCTGAGGAGACTGAGGAACTTGAAGAACTACGTGAGGAAACAAGAGAAGAAAGAAGTATGTGAAATTTATTTTAAGTGTCTGTAGTGTGTTATGGCATTTTTGAGAGCTTTTGTGTCCTTCTGCTGATAGATGTACAATGTACAGGTGTACATACACATATACACCTGTATCTTCAGGGTGCACTGTAGGATAATGAAATTTATTTAATCATCTGAAATTAATTATAATTGTGATTTGATGTAAAAATGAAGTTATTAATTAACCCTTTAACTTCTAGAGGTGATTAACATGTCACTTCTCCCTACAATATACACAAACTATCCAGCACACAGGTAAAGAGAATACTCAAACTTATCAGGTATTGGTTATTATATTGATGTAGCACTAGGTTCTCTCAGCTAATGAGCATGGGAATGTGTTGCAGCTTGAGAGGAGAATTAACAATTAGATCTTGGGAGTTAAGAGGTTAAATGTGATGATCTATTTACAGCCTTCCGTAACTGGATGAACAGCATTGGTGTAAATCCCTATGTGAACAATCTTTACAGGGATCTTTGCAATGGATTAGTTTTGTTACAGGTTAGTTTTGAAGTTTGTATTTCTCTTAAATTTAGTGAAACATTCTGTCTTTGGCTGCCATTCTGGTGCACTTGTGATCCTACTTGCTTTTTACACAAGCATTGCTTTTGAAAAGATAATATTACGTTTAATGACCTGCACGAGAGCAATTAGGATAATAGTGCTTTTTGATTATGGGTTGTCAAAGCAAAACCAAAGTAATACCAACAGCTATTCAGAGAAAGAAAAATAACCTTGAGAACCAATTCAAACTCAGAGTAAAAACAAACCAACTGCCTTAAGTGCAGGAAAATGCAGGTGACCAAGTTGTGATTGGGTCAGTATGGCATCTGACTGGTTGAGATGGTGGTGCAAGTTGTGTGGACCAATCACAGAGCAAAGTAAAAAATACCAAAGCAATCCAAGATTACTTTTGACAATTAACTGAAAACTGCCCTGTGTTATGCGTGGATCTGCAGTCAGTTTACATTTTGTCACTTTTTCCAGCTGTATGATATCGTGAAGCCAGGAAGTGTCGATTGGGACAAAGTCAACCGTCCTCCATTCAAACAGATGGGTGGTAAAATGAAGCAATTAGAAAACTGTAACTATGCTGTTGAAGTTGGAAAGACATTTAAGTTTTCACTGGTTGGGATTGGGGGTCAAGATATTCATGACTGCAACGAGACCCTAACTCTTGGTAAGACTAAATTTAAGTCAAGAAATAACCATTCTTTTTTGAAGCCATACGTAGGCTAGCAGTGTTTCACTTAAAATAGGAAGCGAGTTGAAATAGATTTTATCTTAAGCTGTTGCAAAAATCTCCCAGATAAGTCCTCCTGATAAAAAGTTCGCATTTTAGCCCAGTTTTTGGACAGGGGGACTTTAAAAAAACCAACTTGTTTAATTTTTCCTCCTGCATTGCCCACACTGCCTGGTGATTTTTTTCTTTTCAAACATTACATTACTTTCCCCGTTTTGAATCAAGTCCTCTTTGCCAACCAATTTTTATTCACTCTTGTTTCTGTTATAAAAAGTTCTTCAATGTTTGATGGTATGTCAAGGGCCATTGTTGTTGTTCCCCAAGAAAAAATGATCGTATATCCTGATCACGATGAGAGTATTCTCGAGAAGAACTTCTCTCGCTTCCCGCCATGATCACTACAACTTTAGCAGAAGAAACAGAAGGACAAACAACTGTTCACTTGTCTCTGATGATGACTTCCGATATAGTTGTCGTAACGTCAGTTATTGCTACAGACATCAGTAAATTTCGGGACTTCTCCCACCCGGACCATCAAACAGCACGACCGAATGATACCCCAGGATTCAGACCATTTGCTTAATTAAGAAGAAAAGTGTTTTGCATTTAAATCGAAAAAAAAATCACATTACTTTGTTACTTCACTTTACACGGGAAGTCCGATCAGGCCAAAAAACCATCCCCACCCACCCACCCACTCCCCCTCGTAGATGCCAAAGAAATCACAACTCACCCACCCATTCTAGGTCAATTTCCTAGTCCCGTTACTCGTCTTGTTTTGCATTAATTGACGATAAGCCTTGTTTTGATAGCCGTTGTGTGGCAGCAGATGAGAGCGTACACCCTTGCCTTGCTCTCAAAGTTGACAGAAGACGGGAAAAAGATTGAGGATAAAGACATTGTTGACTGGGTGAATGAAAAAGTAAGTGAAAAAGACGGAACACTTCGACCGTGTGTCGTGCTTTAGAAGTGCGTCAATCATTTGAAGCTATTCCATACGAAAAGAAATTCCATCACAAATTAAAGATAATGATAATGATAATTCGTTTCTCCGTACTAATCGCGCTCGGGTCTTCATGTTAGCGCTGCAGGACGCACCTTTTTCCGCCCTCGGAAGATTTGAGACAAGTCTGTAAGAGGTTTCCCGAGGGCCTGGTACTCAGTGCTAAATCTCTTGCAAATCTCTTGCAAATCTCTTGCTGGCTCACGTTGCTCGAGGGCTCATACTTTCCCGCGGGCAAAGAAACGCTCATGCCTAAACACCAATGGTGAGGGCCTGGTGATGAGGGCCTGGTCGCAAGTTAGCTCGGGTCATAATTTGAAGGGAAAAAGGGATAGGCTGGCCGTACTTTATCCTACGGACCTCGAACTTGCTTAGAACTGAAGAGGTATTTACTTGTGATCTGTGAATTATGTTTAGTTAAAAGAAGCAAACAAAACAAGCAGCATCGCAAGCTTCCAGGATCCCAACATCAGCACCAGCCTGCCAGTTCTGGATCTTGTTGACGCCATCAAACCTGGAATGGTGGAATATGACATGGTATCTGCAGGAGGAACTGTCGAGGTGGGTAATTACTTGAAACATTCAAAACATGCTCCGTGAGAAATTGTTTAAGCTAAACACGAGTTAATGGGTAGTTGGGTCCTTGTGGGAGTAATGGTATTGTGATTCAGTGCCACCTTTTCTGGTGAATATTCTACAAGATGGTGAAATTTAAATGTTTTCCCTTTCTGTCATGTGTCTCAGGAGAAACAGGAGAATGCCAAATACGCTTTGAGCGTCGCCCGAAAGATTGGTGCCACGACCTACGCCCTTCCCGACGATCTGGTTGAAGTGAAACCCAAAATGGTGCTGACAGTTTTTGCTTGTCTCATGGCTACCTCGTTGGCGTTGAAATAGACTTAAACACAAACCCAAAGTCCTAATTATTCTTGTTTCCTAGCGCAATTGAAATTCAATAATTTCTTTTTTAATTTACAAAAAGATATGTGAGTGTAAGGTAAATACTGTTGAGTTGTAAAACATTGAGTTGAACACAAGGGATTACGGTGACCACACGCCAAGTAAACTTTCGAGATAATAAAAAAAAATTGTAGGCATATAAATGCGCAAAATTATTTAATTTAGACACGGTTATTTAGTTTGCAAGAAACTTTTTTAATAGAAAGCAGTCTAAGTATTGATAATTTTGTCCGCTCGGGGAGATCTTTTTCCGCCCCTTGGGTTCATTCAATGGAATCAAGTTGTTCAAACAAGTGTTTAAGTTGTGTTCGAGAGTAAAGTTTTCTTTACTTTCGCACCAATAATTTTGGGGGCCTGGTGAGATGAAATTCCTAGATCAGTGGTCGCTTTTTATATAATATTGGTGAGATGCGTAGAGGCGTATGATAAATTGAACAATATTGTTAACTTTACATAATTAAGACATTTTCTATCTAATAGGTAATTGAGTCTTCTCTTTGAATTTCTAAACTTTGTAAATCAATTTTTGTATTGTATAGCGTGTGGTTCTCGTCCCTTGATAGCCTAATAAAATGATTTAAACAAAAAATTGCCATCTCTATTTCTATCATCCTAGCGCAGAAGCATCACGTGCAGGAAGTTTGTCACTATGAACCCAGTTAAACAGCCCCAGGCTGCCACGAGTCTCCTTTTGTCTCAGAGGTAGAGCATCCTAACTACTCATCGAAAGGTCTTAGATTCGACCTCTATTGGCGGCACTCCGAGTTCTCTTTTGCAATGCATTCCTGTGTGATCATCTTTTAACTCAAACCATTGTTCAGTAGACAGAAAGCTTTTTTTTATTTTTACACGGGAAGTCTACCTCATCGTCCATCTTTTTTGGGGCGTGTTTATTTTTCGCAACAAGATTTGCTTATGAAGGTGAGACAAGAGAGACTGCACCCATCCGAGGTGCACTTCTGATTTGGCAACAGACAGTTTCTGATGCATTTTCGGCAATAATTCACTCGAATATTTCACGGTAGTGAGAATTAACTTCAGTAAATTCTAATACGAACCACTCTCAGTTAAATATTGAATTGACATGTAGAGGTTTCATAATGCACTTTGATTGGAAATCTTCGCTAGAATCAGTTTTCCCCATTTGGATGCAATTTCCAGTCAGCTCTGTGAATCAGCTATATTAAATGCGGCGTACAAATATGGTTAAAAGAGTTGCATCATTTTATTAGCTTTTGGAATTGTATTAGCTCCCAAACACGCTTCTTCGACAACTATACCAATGACTTTCCAGCATAAACTTCTCGGTAGTACATTGGTATATTACTCACAGTTGTGTCTGGATTGTAGACTAATAACCAAACGTCACGAGCAAATCAGAATAGAGTAGGTGAATAAGTGAAGTTTAGGTCCGTATCTAAACCTCAAATAAAACAAAAATTCGTACCATGCGGTAAAATGGGATGCGGCAAGTTGTCGAAAACATGAAAAAGCTGTACCACGCTTCATTATTAAGTCACGGTTTATTCACTTTAACGATTTAGCGATTTTAACTACAACGCTTCGGTTAACTCCGCTCACAACTCTCGGCTTATTCGAAAGGGGTACACACAAAACGTCCCGTGGTAAGTACGTGGAACAGTGCCATATATGGGGCGATAAAACACGTGCTGCATACATGTTTGTTTGGTTATGTATAGATAAACGAAATCACTTATAAATGTCAATCAAGTTAAGAACAATTAACGTATCGTGCAGTTTCCAACAAAGTCACAAAATGTCCTCTTTATTGATCGAAAAGCATCGTTGTTTAGAGAGCCTCTCGAAAAAGTGTCGTAAACCTAACCCAAATTTCCACAGCCAAGCAGGACTCCGTTTAACAATTCAAGAAAGCAATGAGAACTCAAAGTGATCACACTTGGGCAACCCAAAACGCGGGAAAACGCAGACAACTAGGTCGTGGTTAGTTCTGTTTGTATCTGATTGGTTGAGAGAGAGGGATTTCCTTGACCAATTACAGAGTGTAGTTTATTTAAATTTGGTCAGTTTCCCACGGTACCTTCAACACATGACCCAATTAAAAATTTCCCATCGAGAGGATGCGATTATATTTTTAACCGTACTTATAGGAAAACAGTCTAGTGTAAGTGCAGGCTTGAATATGTGCAGAATGTAAAGCACGCTCAAGCTGAACACCTACATTAATACAATTGACTTTGACAGCGTAATGAAAAGTAATTAAAGTTTTGGACTTTAACCGCAGACGAAATTTAAAAACTGAGATCCTGTTAATTCCAATGAAGATGAATTATATATTTCCAGAAAAAGAAAAAGACAATTCCGTTTTTCTTTTTTCCACTCTAGTCCAGGTGAAGTATCAACTTCAAATTTATCAATACTGCTTTCCGAAGAGCTCGTAGCTTCCAGCAATACAAAAATGGGTTTACGGCCGCATTCGCCAGAATAACAGTTGTGGTGATGTAATAAGCTCCTTCAACGGTTTCCGAGAAACCAAGAATGAGATAAGCCACAAGAACGCACACGAATGGTGCAAAAAACAACCAGTAAAAACAAACAATATACAGAACAGCCACAGTGATTTTCTTGTACTTGGCAATGTCAAAGCTGTGTACGTGTCGATTATTTGCCGGAGTCAGTTTTAGACTCTGTCTCTTTATATAATGATGGATTTGAAAGTAAGTCGCTGTGAGAGTCATGAGGCTTAGAAACATGAATGGAACATGGATGGCTGTAAATGTCTTGTTATTCAAAACAAGGAAGCGAAGAATTTCCAATATTACTAGCGACAACCAGAAAACAGTAACAGCCAGGAGGACACGTTTCACTGTGACAACTGATCGGTAGCGCGTTCCTAAATGAAGCACGAGATAGCGTTCAACGCTCAGCAAAGCTAAAATGCTAACGGATACTCCGCTAAACAACCAACCCATGATTTCCTTCACGACGTCCAACTGACAAGCAGTTAAAAATTTTCTTCGCAATTTAGCAGCGAACGACGCCATTGCTACCGGTTGAGCGAGAAATCCAGTGAGTGAATCTGCCATGGCTGCGCAACTCAGCAGCACAAAAGAGGGCTTGTGAAGCGAAGGTGTTTTTAATGTTGTCAGCGCCACAATACCATTACCAAGCGCCGCGGGCAGAAATGAAACAGAATGGAGAATAAGGCAGGCAAGACTTAAGGAATCGAAATGCTCCGAGGGCTCAGAAGTAGTGTCGAGGAAAAAACATGTCGTTAAAGTAACAGAGGTGTTATTCATCGTTTCTCTCGCAAGTGTACTGAGAAAATGATCAGTCTTGTTATTATTAAATTAAGTTGAAAATATATATTCAGGAAAACAAACAAGGCCAGTGGAATCTAATAGAGGCCTTTTCGTGATTGACACCACGGTTCGAGCAGGTGCAAGTCCGCATGAACAATTTAGGAGATGCACTTTGGGTGTCCAACTGTCGAAATTAATGTGACAACCAATGGATAAAACCAAATCATGAGAAAAAAAAAGGTTACCAAGAATCAAAAATTCAATTTACTCACCTCCGGCTTCCTAAAATCTATATCCCTTCCGTTGAATATTAATCTCGACAGATTACTTGAACTGACACTCGGCAGTAATTGTTGTTTGTCGATCAACATTGCGCCTTTCATGAAGCTGTTTTCGGCTTTTTTGGGGCTTCTAACTTCGTCCTGGGGTAAATTCATTAACGCGAAGTAACAGTTGCAGAATCATTTCTAATACGATCAAAGCCGGGACCGATTCCCTGAGAATCAACATCAGTATCCTTTGACTTAGAGGCAGTGCATTCGAAAGATAATCCTGTTTATTTGTTTGAAAATCGAAAAAAGTATTAGGCCCACGTATGTTAAAGCAATCTTCCGGAAAACCACCTGCTTCCATGTAGAGTTGTAAGAGGCGAAAGTATCTTTAAAAAAATATATTTTTTCTGCCTGTGTTTAAATTTTGGAATAGAAAAGCTATATTTCATAATCCTTGGATTCGTTTGAAACCCCTCTCTGAATAATCGTACATTTGCGTTTACGAAGCACTCATTGTGTTGAACAGCGAAATCTTATATTCATGAAAGCTATTTCAGAGCTCTGATATACCCATGATGTCAAGGGCCTTTTTGTTTGTGGGAAGTCATTTTGCAAACTCAATACTTTCCAATTCTATGACAGCTATGGTTCCGGAAAAAAAGAACACGAAAATTTCCTATGGGTCGATAAATGTCAAATCTTTTTCTGTTACGAACAAAAAACTGCAAGAAAGGCCTTGCACGTGTTATATACTTAGTAACGAGGTAGAAGGGTACGATCCTAATCTATGGATTGGTCATTATATAGCGCCTAAGGAAGTCCAAGGATTTTTGATTGTGTCACAACAAAACTTACCCTACCCCTATAAGACTCTGTAAAATTCTTGTGATCACCCTTCATTTGAAAATAATTAGCAGTCAGTTTTCTGTAAACCCTACTCTATACTCAGTTGGCCACGACTGATGCCCCATTCATTCTCCCAGAAAACTATGTGACTTCTCCAAATTCCTGCTTCCCCCGCCCCCCTTTCAGGAGATTAATAATGACTGATCTGAGTTCGCCCCCCTACTTTCAGAAGATAAATGTAAAACTTCAATGACGTGACGCGATTTTTTATGTTTTTGTAGCGGTAATTTTGTTCGCAGGGTTGTGATTTACTGTATGAATTGAATCAGGCAATTACGCTATGAAATGATTAACTTTGTTTATCTTTATTCAGAGAACGAAGAGTAACCCTATAAAGGCATGAAAATAGTGGCTAACTGACTCGATAGCTCAAGTAAGAAATTTACTGTTACTTCTATTGTTAAGGGTCCTAGTGAAGCATGATGCATCGCGTGCACGTATCAGAAAATCCACTGCGGCCTCTGTCTACTTTAAAATTTTGCGCGGGAAATCTGAGCAGGAGGCCAAAATTTAAAAGCCATTTGCGCATGCCTTACGTTTGACCGCTGTGTTGAGTAATGGTGGTAGTTTTAAGAGTATTACTCCCCTGAGGTTTGCTCTGACAGCTGACGAGTGTCATTTGCGTGCAATTTGCTCTCGTTGCCGCCGACTGGGAGTTTGGAACAGGTCAAGCATAATCATTTGCAGGGACTCTACAGCAAGGGGGTGCCTGCGAACCCGGAAGTGTTAGGCGTGTAGCACATAACTGTGGATCAAAAAGACGATTTTTCACTCATGATTCACAGTTCTGGACTACTTATCAAGTGCTTGCAAAGCACAAGAACATTATCGAGTATCTTCGTTAATATTCGGTATCAGTCTCGGTGACGCTCAGAAGTCGTCGGACTTTTTTCGGATTGGGAGTGGGGCTGATCAATATGCAAAAACATAGACGTCAGTTTTATGTAAAAACAGATATTTGACAGGCGTTGTTGAAATGATGCTACTTGACAATAATTTGCGCTTTCTCTGTTTTCTTGATTGGCTGAGAGGAAAAAATCACAGAGTAGAGAGGGGGGTGGGGGACGGGGTGGAGTGGAAATGGAAGTGGACTAATTCCTGCATAAGCTACCTGTACTTGTGGTTTTTTGTTGGTAACTTTCCAACAAACTGCAAACAAAGGCTACAAATAAATAAAAGCTCACTTAATTTTCTAACCGCTAAACCCAACAGTTAAATGTCGTTAAACAGACGCCATCATATCTTCCAATCAAAGAATACCTATGGCCAACTCGTACAGAAAGTACCTAATCTAGAGATGAAACATGGTTGTGAACTTGTAATTATTGGTCTTGCAGCAATGCAAAGTTACTCTTATCTCAAAAGCCAAGCTTCCGGGAAATCTCGGAGAGATCCACAATTATGGTACCCATCCAACTCCTTTCCAGTTTTCCATTCCTATGTCACGTTTCGGCTCACAGCTGTTCCATAAATATCTGCATTGTAAGGTAATGATCTTTGTTTACAGGGTTTTCTCCCGCTTGCATCTGATAAAAAAACCTTTAAGCTTTCTGCCGGCCTCGGCACGAAAATACCTCAGAACACATTTTGATTGAAATGAAAGATATGTGGTAATGAATTCTACAAGTTTCCACTCATTAGAAAAGCACAGGATTATTTTCGTCCGTTTCTGATCGATCCAGCCGCCAATGTTTGCATAAGATAATTGAATTTAATCATGGTTCTTGTGTTGTGTCAGATAATAAACAATCGAAGCGATTCACAGTTTTAAGTTCATGCCTAAACTCGAAAATTTTTGTTTTGTTCACTTGGAAGGTGATATTTAAAGCAACAATGCCTAATATGAACTGTAACAAAGTCTTCCTATCGTTTTATGCGCAGTTACTTCTCCAATTTGGTTTCGTGTTAGGGTGTGTTCGCGACGACTTATTACCTCAGTGTCTACATCTTATTAGTAGATGTCCCCATAAAAACTCGTTTACACGAGTTAAAACAGTCGCGGCAGTAAGCTCGTCAAATAGACTGGTACCCAGACCTCCGCAGCCCAGCCTGGGTTTATTTCCGTTCAAGTAGAGGTAATCCAACACTCAAGAAAATCAAGCTTCTTATAAGCTATGCGATTGGCAAACTTCGATCGCGATCCCAGCTCTCCCTGACAAAGTTTTCCTTTTTGCGCTAATTTAGATAAATAACGAAAAAAAAATCTGTTCGTTGACTGTCGTCGTTGGGTGTTTTTTTTTTTTTTTGATCAGATTAGGAAAAGGTAAGTAGATTAAATGGAATGACGGAATGGGACGGGGCAATGATTTTTTTTTCAATAAATATAAAAGAACATTCTCGTGATAAATAATGGTGCTTATGGTGGCATGTCAGGGAGGGGCAGTGAACCCTGTTTTAGGCGTTCAGTTCGTAAAACTTTGGCAAATAATAAACAGCGCGATTGGGGTCAGGTCCGGGTAGCGAAATTTCATTACGCAACTGGACCCAAAATCTCCCTCGATTTTTTCATTCCTCATCTACTGTCGCAGTATTTACTACAGCACCTCGTTTTAATAACTGAAGGCCCTGAGCAGGGCATAATACCCCTCCCTGACATGAAAAAAAAAACACACAACAACAACAAAAAACCGCAAATAAAGCCACGGCTTAAAGACTGGTCCTTTCGCAAGAATGAAAGACTCCCACCGTACCCCTCGCCGCCCTCCCTCCCTCGATCTATCATTCCATCATAAACTACCTCCCCTTTCCTGGGATCGCCGAAAGTTTGCCGCAGAAAAATATCAGGCGACAAAGTAGAGCATCCTTTGGAGGCTGTATTTTATATTCGCAGGTTTTAATCATGCGATTTTGACGGCTTACGATTCAATGTAGGTGTCAAATACTTTAAGAAGATTTAAGTAATCAGTATTTAATTTTATTGATTTATAGGAGAACGGATAATAAAGGTAATAATGTTTCCAAATCGAGGTTAGATCTGTCTCTAAGAATTTTTCATTTTAAACTGAACCCTGTTCTCTGTTTTGTTTTGCAAAAATAGTAGTCTCTGTTTGTTTTGAAAATATGCGGATATTTGTTCCCAGACATAATCTGCCCGTAAACGGATGTTGACTTACTGGGGCGTCTGACGAACAAACAAATTTTGTATCCTTCTATGTCAAAAGGAGAATTCTCGCCACTTGAACCAACTTAGGTGGCAGACTTTCATCTCATTGCAAGCAAGATTTGAAAATTAGGAAATACCTGGTCTTTGGCAAGGGGCCAAGAGAGGTTGATCTCGCACCACGTGACGCAAAGCAGCCGATAAAATCGTGCAAGAAATTAACGGATAACTTTAAAGATATACCCCGGATGAGCAGGGTATGTTCTGTCTCGAGACGCGTTTAAACTCATCGTGCGCGGAAAATATATTTGATGGATTATAGACCTGAACAATTTTCTTGTTGCCTATATCTGACAACGGTGCTTGACGCCCAAATATTGCCTTGATATGAGGTAAACTGAAAAGTTTGACAGCTTATTTTGCCTGATTGGTCGGTTAAAGATTAACTCAGCAGCCAAACCATGCGGAGGTTCCCTGATTAAATTCTGACGGTTTTCAAGCTTAAAAAGCCGCTAGACAAAACTTGGTCGAAAGTTCTTTTCATCTGGTGATGAGGGAAAACGAAATGTGGGCCGTTTTTTCAGACATAACATTCTTTGTCTTTAATTCAGGTGCCCCATGATGACCAAAACTTCTCAGACATTATTCATACTTATTATTTGGGAGGTTTGCGGCAATTTTAAGAGTTTTTTAATATTTAAGCAACTCTTTTTTAGTTTGTTGATCTTGATTTTAAACGAACGCAGTTGGAGGTGCTGAGAGAAATACGAGATTTCAAGTTTTCAAATAACCTGTGAATTTCATAATAATTATGTTGAATGGGTACAAACAGCAAGCCACTTTTGACAGCAAAGTCGTAAATTATTGAAGATGCGGTTAATATGATGTGCATGTTTCATTCCTGACGGTTCGTTTTCTTAAGTTTATCGCCATCGATAAGGGTTTATATCGGATAGAAAAGAATTACCATAGCAGAAAATTATGCCATATGCGACCACCGTAATTCCTTTTCATTAGTTTCTCCGAATGAATGTGGAAATTTCGATAGCATTGTGCTTTACTCTACCATAATAAGTGCTTCAATTTGCTCTTTGTGAGTGAATGAATGCAGATGGAATAGTCACATCACAATGAAAGCATGTACCATTCATTTGACCTATTTTCATTTTGGGAAAGAGTAAGGGCTCTCATCAAGGCAAATAAAGCTTAATTTAATTCAAATTCATTTGTCGTAATGTTTATTCAGGTTTTTTTTTTTTTGGACTTCGCCGACATAGGATCAACCTGCTACAGAAGATATGAGTAAACAATATCAGTTTTGAAGACTAATAAGTTAGTTCCGGTGTGATATTTTTTGCCCATATTTACTCTTATTTGTGTGGTGGTGTCCAGTCTGCAACGAGCTAACCCGGTCACCCCCGCTGCACAGAACTTCGATCAAAACACAGACATTCGCGGGCAGTCGAAAAGAAGCATGAGTTTCTGCCTTGTTGGTAATTAATATGGCAGATCCTTCTTTAGTCGATTCAAGTGAAGTCCAGTCCTCAGTTACGAATGGGGAAAGCTCGATTGAAGTGGAGAAAGAGTCCGCTGCGGAAGACGCGTCCGTAAGCATACCGCGAAAATCGAGCGTTCTTAAAAAAGATGGGAGACCCTCGAAGCGATCTCTCCAAAAGTCTGTGTCGTTTATTGCTCGTCCGGAGGATAAACGAATCATAAACGGTGAGATGCCAAATATATTTTGCAGGCATTTGTCAAGTTAGTTACGTGAAAGACGTAAATGATTAATTTGTCGATTTCTACTGTAGCCGAGGATTGTTTGACCTTCATGCAGAATGGTTCGGAGTTAATGAAAATTCGCTCGAATTCAAGACAATACCAGAGGTTCTTCTTTTTAGAGGAAGACTTAACGGGTTTACGATGGCGACCATCGTCCAAGAAGCCTGAAAAAGCGAGGAGTGAGTATTCTTATTTGCTCCTAATTTATATATTAATGTCCTATGTGACAATTTGTATTTTTGTGCATTTCCATTCCATTTCAGTCTCTTAGCTGTCATGTGTTTTGTAACTCTTAATGAATCTGCATTTAAGTTTGCGGGTAGTCCAGAGGGCAAAATTATTCGCTCTAAAGAACAGTAGGCGATAGGGTATTTTTGAGGTATTTACAAAACATTTCCGTCATCGATTATACAGCTAGACATAGAAATTTCTGAAACTTTCACATTGAAGTTGGAAATGCTGCTCGAATTTCCTTAAAAGGATTATCACAAGAACGATTCAGTATAGATATGAAATGAAAGGGTTCCGCGATTCGTATCCGGTCAATCCAAGAGGATGTGTTGAATATGAAACTTTTTTACTCTAACGACGCCACTTTAACATCTAAGCAATGAGTCTCGAGATGGTAAATGCTTCTGTTGCTAGATTCAATCACAAGGCAGTTAAACTTTTTCCGTCACCTTGATGGAGTCTGTGCAATACAATCACAGCTTGAATGTAGCTATCGCACCGGACGAAGTGCCATCATGAAAACAAATTCGGTGTAGCTTTTATTCCTGACGAGGAAGCTAGGTACTTTCAAAAGGAAGTATTTGAATCCTTTTCCACATAAGTATGAAGAGGGTAAACATATACCAGAATATGGTATTTCTGCTATTAGTTTTTCTATACTTGATATTTTTCCTCAGTGCCCGCGGGCACATGGAAATTTCCTGGCTCGATAAATATTATCGTTAAATCGAGAGCTTAGGCTCTCGAGAGTCGAAAGATTTTTCTTCCGGATCCTAAACGATTTACGAGAAACATGTAGCGAGTTAATAATTTTAGGAACAGTAGTTAATATTTAAACTGCATCCACGGTTTAAATCGAAGACATGATCGATTCGATGAGTCACAAGTTAGAGTTTTTATGCGAATATATCTCTTCTGTTGCCTTACATTTACGGATGTTTTGTTAATAGTAATGTAGAATTAGCTGCTTATCGCATTTGTTTGCGGGGATGGACGAATCTACGGCGAACGAAAATCAAGGTTATTCCGAAAAAACCTCCACCAGAACCTTACATTTTTATAATTTCTATTTTATGTGCTTGTGTACATACTAAATAACACATAAGCTCGTAAAAAAGTCAATCGTACAACAGTAACATGTAACTTATATGTGGTGTATTTTAAGGTCATAGGAAATTCAAGAAAGTCATAGACTATGAAGAAAATGAAACTTTAGAAGGTTTCATCGGCAATTCGTTTTCTTTCTCTAACTTTCTGACATCCATGCAAAACAAAACAAAAATTAGACAAAATATTGATTGGTTATCTTGAGGTGTTTTGTTGTGCCCATAAGATGACTATCTGTGCAACCAATTTCAAAAACATTAATTTGAACATCAGGAAATTGACCCCCAGCTGTTACATCTGAAAGAGAGTCCTCAACTCTTTGCTTGTTAGAATTTTCCACTGAATGGCAGTGGCAAGGAGTTACAGTAACAAGACCAGTCTTAATTGCTGTGGTTAGTTTCACACGGCACATAATGTAATGCATTTCCAGACTACTACCATACATTTAGTTGATAACAATTGATATCATTATCAGCTGCAGAAGAGAAACTAAAGAAAACAATGAAAACATTTTAATGAGTAATTTCATTGCATTAATGAGTCCAATTTTAAGAGGTTCATGTTTCAATTAAAATTTGTGTTTTCCCTTTTTGTTTTGTGTCTTTTCGAATACATTGGGTTTTGTTTAATACAGAAAAATTGCAAATTATAGAATATTCCTCAAAATTTGAAATACACTCAAAGTTATTCAGTGGTGATTTATTGAAAAATAAGTGAAATGATAAATCATACCAAATTTCCAGAACTTAACCCTTGAAACTCTAAGATCAGTAGATATATTCTTCATACTGTTCTCAATACATTCCCTAAGGTGCTGATAAGGAGAATTTGTGTAACAATCAAGAGCTTCTATTATTGGTGATCATTTCCTTTTTTCTCATGACCTTTAAGTGTGATTTAGGAGTGGTATTGTAAGGAGAAATTAGATCCTAGTCACTCTAGGGGGTCAAAGGGTTAACTTATTTCTGAGGGGGTAGGGGCATGAATTTAATTTTTCATCATGGCCTAAAAAATGGTCTGTCTGATGATTGAGTCTGCGAATAAGGCAAAAATAAATATTTTGTCGGCACAAGATATGACATGGCCTGGACCTTAGGGCTAAGCAACTTGGGTAATGATGCAGTAGTATATGAGGGGGAGTATTACTGTATAGCATGTGACATCCATCTAGGCTTCAGAACTAACCTTGCACCTTTGGCTGACACCAAAGTTATTTTAGTTTGAAACCTTATTTTGTTTAAGTCTGAAGCCTTGTAGGATGGGCTGCCAACTGCTCTGAGTTTGGGCTATGGTTCTTATTCAGATTTCCTGCTATATTGTTTGCCTAAAGGGGTTTTTTCTGGCCGCAGTATAACCATAGTAGTGTCCTTGTAAGCGGTTGCCCATCTCTGTTAATTGTGACATGGTGAAGTTAACGTGTTTAGTGATGTATACTTATTTTTGACTGGGAAAGAAATTGATTTTATATCAGGATTGTATGTGGTATATCAATTGCGAATGTACGCATGTATGTATGCCCTGGGCAATATATACCTTGGGCTGGTTCTTGACAGGCTTCCTTCAATTACCTTATTTGGTTTACACTACTGTGTTATTTGTTGTGTAGTGGAGACAAAATATAAATGTGGGGGTGGAATACTCTAGTGACCTCAACAGTTTTGTTATGGTTTGTGTGGTGTGATTAGTTGTTGTAAAAATTAAAACCAGTTCAAGCCTATGAGATAATCATAGAAAGAAAATTAGTGGCAGTGTTTGGAAGAAGCCTGCAATTTTTTTTTTTTGCATTAAATGGTAACCTAGTGGGTCCCTGTAAGCTTGCCAATAAACAACCAGTTGAATTTCAACAGTTTATATTGACAAAATTATGAATAACTATGCCAAAAAAAGTGATAATTCTTAATTTTTATACTATCTTGATGCCGTAGAAAGTCACATGAGTTGTGGTAGATAGCCTGTGAGAAAACATTTTATGTAGATGAACTTTACTAATGGCAGCTTTTCTCTGCATTGGTGCTTCTCTTGCACATCTCTGTGATTTAAGATTCTTACAACTGCAGCCGTAAACTATTCATGGCTGGTGTGAGGATGGACTAATATCTTTTTTCCAAAGAATTTTGGAATTATACATGTAAAATGAACTTCAAACTACCTTGTAAGAGGATCCTGTGACATATCCGTGACTAAATCAAAACAAATATTTTTGATGTTGCTGATCCTAGCTTTATTCTGGACACTTGTCACATTTCAAGCTAAAATAATGATCAACATAGCTCTCCAGTTAGTTTTGCTAATCCTTATACCCTGACATCAGTACGCATATTTTCTTTACTAATCTTTTTAGGTTTTCTAAGGTGCTGACAAGGAGAACGTGTGTAACAATCCAATACTTCTTTATTTAGTGATCATTTCCTTTCTCCTGACCCTAATGCTTGACTCAGGGGTGACATTGTCAGGAGAAATTAGATCCTGGTCACTCTCGGGGTAAAAGGGTTAAGCACAGACCATGAAAAGAAAAGTTCTGTTTGAATTCTGTAAGGATGCTTTTTAACCCATGCTTTCGTAAAAGTACTGCATTAAACTGTATTCTGTTAGTGTTGAAATTTATGAAACAATCAGTGTCTATTATGCTGCATTTGCTGACCAGGGTAACACATTCAAAACAATATTTTGTGTGGCACATCCTCTTACTCAAACCCCTGTCCCTCCAATATCAGTATGCATATTCTCCTTCCTGTTCTTTCTGCATTTCCAGTGGTGTTGATCAGGGTAATTTGTTTAAAAACCAAGATCATCTTTTTTGTTCTTGTGACCCTAAATGTTTTACTCAGGGATGATATTGTAAGGAGAAATTAGATGCCAGTAAATCACAGGGCGTACATGTAAGCCTTAAACCCATTTAGTAAAAGCTGTACTTAAAATATGGTTTTAATGAGCAAACCTGAGTAACAGAACTTTTTGTTGTACACATGTAATTTCTACAAAGATATTCCAGAACCGTCTTCTTATTAATACCTCTTTGTGATGGTTTGAAATTGAAGATATATATACAATACTGTCTTAAGTGATCCGTGTATTTGCATTTGTTTAATGTTTGTCTTTTCGTGCCCAAAAGTGTTTATACAATAATGAGTTTGCCTCATCTTTTAAATTGTGGCATTAACTGAGATCTCCATCAATGTGAAAGCTGTGTATTTGTCAATTAACAACACCTGCCAACTGCATGAAATAACCTGCAGAGTTTGGGTTCATCAATAAATTATTCATTGCATGCAAAAAACCTTCAGCCAATTTAGTGCTACTCTATATCATTGGGTGCAACATAATGTCATTCTTGACCCTATTAAGTACTTGGAAACTGCAGAAATTGTGGGAAATGTCGAGTTCTACATGGATCAAAGAAAAACACTTGTCTTTTATTTAGATTTTGTTTCTCACAAAAATATTACATGGGAAAAATTTTAAAAGTTGTAACCCTGTTAGGAATGATGCCAAGAATAGAAACACATGCACTGAAAAGCTATGCAGGTGAACTTATGGTATAATGGCATAAAGATCTTTGAATTCTGTATCAGGCAGCATTTCCATAATTTGAATATCATTGATCTTTGCTTTAAAGGATCAAAGATAACCATGGCAGGTGCTCTCATATTTTATGTCCTTTTTGTTGTCAGAAAAGTGCAATGTGAAGAAAAGTGTGCACATTTAGGAGCTTAAAATTTGCTTCACAGCTTGAATATTAGTAAATTCAAAAATTTTCAACAAGAAATGAATTTGAAACCTCTTAAAGTGTGGTGTGGGGTGTACCTCTGAAATATATCCTCCAGGGATAATCATTTGCCTGCACCCCCCTCTACTGTCAGCCAAAATTGATTGTAAGAAGTCCTCACTATGAATTTTTTTTCACAGAATCTGCATATATCTTTGAATTTACAACTTCCTAACTAAGGTTGTTTTCTTCAACAATAACCTTAAACTTGCCTTTTTTTCCTGAAAAATATTCTAAAGTAATACCCTAAGAGTCATAAAATACATTTCTTCTTTTCATTTCAATTGTACAAAAAATGATCTAAATTGTTTGGTGACATCATTGTCCACTCTATTTTGTGGCCGGTGACAAATTTTACATGGTATTCAAATTTCTTAATGAAGCTGTTAATTTCAAAAATGAAACTTTTGAAGGTAAGGTTGTCTGTCTCTGTGCAAAATTTTTCTGAGCATGGTATTACCTTTTTCAGTCTCTGACTGAACCAGATACCTCATTTATCAATCTCATTTGATTCTCCATTCTTGAAGACAGTAAGGCTCATAGGGCAGGTTTCAATCTGAAACCATCAACTACATTTGATGGATCAATTAAGCAATACCTGACACTCTTATTATTACCTTCAAGATTGTTGATGGGCTTTCTCTGACCCTTTGTTGACTCTGCTACAAGAACGGCATCCACTAAAAACTCTAAATTCATTCTCACATCTTACTATTCCTATTATAAACTCTGCAACATTTCGGTCAACTTGCATTTTCCTTCTCTGCCCCATCATTGTTCACTATTCTTCCCAATTGTCTTAAAAGTGCTGTATTGGTTTTGTCTTTCAGAGCTGCTTTAGAATAATTTATATTTCAGAATATTTTTCTCCAAACCATGCAAATTGTTTTATATGTGTTTAGTTATTTGGTATTTTGGTATTTGGTATGTGTTTAGTTATTTGGTATTATGTGTGACATGTAGGTGCGTTGAGACTTGAAATGCACATTTATTATTATTATTATTATTATTATTATTATTGTTAAAGATTCAATGTCCTTGAAAAGAGAAATGTTATCATTTGTCTCACAACGTGGTGACTTAAGATGTGGATTGTGACATTTTGACTGCATCCTGCTAGTCTTCTTCAGCTTAGCTGGGTGGACAGCATCCTGGGGTTGTACTAAATGTGATCGTAGCATAGTCCTTGTTTCTCTCTTTTAGAATTTTCCAAGTGAACATAGCAAGAATTTCTTTCATTGGTATTTAGTGAACATGTTGTAAGGCTCTTCATGTACAACTATGGCACTGCACTCTGAGCTACAGTTTTACGACCATTTTGGTCTCAAAGACATGACAAAAAAATTGTTGGAGACTTAATTAACAGTAAAAGTCACCAATTTTGCAAACTGTGCTTGTGTTTTCATAGTGTTTTGGGTAGATAGTTAAAATTAGAGAAACCATTTGTATACATTATTACTACAGTATTAATGCAGAATTAAATACTGCCCTTTCAATTTCTTTTGTATGTTTGGTAAAAATTCTTTGTTTGATGATTACTGTGTGCAAAAAATGTGAAATCTGTTTCTTTTTTTTCCAGTCTCAATTGACACTGTAAAAGAAATTCGCTGTGGAAAAAACACTGATGTATTCCGTGAAATGGACAGGGATGATTTTCAAGAGGACTGTGCATTCTCAATTATTTACAGTGACAATTTTGAGACTCTAAATCTTGTTGCATACTCTCCAGATGAAGCTAACATTTGGGTTACTGGCCTAAGGTGTCTCCTGGACTCAGACAAAGGTAAAAGAATTTTCTCAAAGTGCTTTGTTAGGCCTAAAGCAGGAGGGGTGTGGACTCCTTATGTTCACCTCATTGGAGAGGGGGTACTTCTCATATCCTCCTGGGTAAAGAGAGGTTCTAGGGAAGGAGCATGACTTGCCCAAGAACGCAACACTCTAATTGGGGGCTACGACCTCTGAAGCTAAGTGCACTTCCAGGCAACTTCATTGCACCCCATGGTCAGCACCTTTACCTGAACTCCAGATTGAATGATCCAGGTTTTAGATCCCAGATTACAACCCTTAGAGATCAAGAACGGTCTTTTACTGTTTTGTCTTTTTAAAGTCACTGGTGCCTCAAAAACAAGTAGCCACTGAATATGCCAATTATCAGTGCTCTATAGCTGGAGAAAATCAAGCTTAGCTGGTTTAAGTACATGCATGCATGAGCTTGCAGCAATTATGTGACAAATAACGTCAATATCACTGTTGAGATTTTTTTGTTTTTTTTGTTATATTGAACAGCCAGCAGCCCTGTGGAAAACAGGCAACAAATGCGGGACAGATATCCTTTTCAAGAGCAGTTTTGACACTTTGTAATATCACAATAATAAATTATTTATTGGATCTTTTTTTTTATCCTCCTCATTCTGTTTAATCCTAGCAAGTTCAGTGTTGGGAATCCAAGCTCTTTTTCAGTATGGTACAAAGATGTTGACTAGAATAATAGGGGTATCATTTGAAGGCCTCAAGAGGCCCTTAATCCTTGGAAAGTATGCATTCGATTGGGAAATGTTGCAGTTTTTGACTCATCTAGTTTCATTTATTGCATTTTGAGGTACATTTGCATTTATGTTGTTTTTTTTTTCCACAAAGTCAACTGTATTGAACTTAAGGTGAAATAAAGTTATGTTAGAATGATGATGATTTTGTGTTAAGGCCACAAACCAGTGGCCAGCACATCACAAGTGGGTGGATCTACTTGCTACTCATTTGCTATTGTAACACCTGAAAATTTTACCTAATGGCTACATATTGTGACATAGGAAATGGTGAGATTCTGAGGATAAGAGGAAGAAGAATTAGGAGTTTTATTTTGACACTTCCTCTGTGAAATTTCCTTAACATTTAATTACATGGTTGAAGGAACAGTTTGTAATGGCAGACAATGGAGGCAAAGGAAGGCTTAATGAGAAAGAGGTTCTTTCTGTGGTCAGACAGTTGAATGAGCAAATTCCTGAAAGTGTAATTAAACAGAGATTTAAGGTTGGTGGTTAATCTGTTACCATAACTTCTATAATTATTTCACTAAGGTTCAAGTGCCAAGTATGAAACTACCACTGTTAGTTAACCCTTTAACTCCCATGAGTGACCAAAGCAGAACTTCTCCTAACAGTATCAATACAATATCTAGCAGACAAGTGATGAGAATTGAGAAAAGTATCAATTAGGGGATTTCTAGATGATCCAATACCAGACTCCTTGAGCTATCATCTTAAGAATTGTATTACAGACAATAAGGGGAATTACTAGAGAGATCTTGGGAATGAAAGGCTAAAGGCCATAATTATTGTTGTGACAAGTACTTAAATCTGTTCTGGAGAGCAGGGGTTTCAGTAACTTTTTCTGGGAGTGGCTGCTGATTTGTGATAGATAGCTCTGTCCTAAGGTGATACCCAAACACAGGAGCCTGCTTCCAGGCTAAACAGGAGGCAATAGAGGATCTTTCAGGGGGTGGTAGACCACCAATAACTGGCTTTTATTGAATCTCCTGAAAAAGGGGTATTGGTCCTCCCATCCTACCCCTCTGAAACTCTTAAAACTCAACTGAAAGGTTTTGAAGCCTTGCCTTAGTACAACAGTCCATTTTACAGCTGCTTGTTTGGTTACCAAGCCTTTGAACAGGAGTAAGGCTAAGGGTGACCTTGTTATGATACAAACGTTGCTGCTTTTCAAATGTAAATTACTTTGTTATCATGCCAACTAGGTACTGGTCAGTCTCTCTCACAACAAGGTCACCTTCAGCCTCACTCTAAATCAAAGACTTAAGAACTAAGTACACAACTGTAAAATGGCCTATTCTCACAATGTTTTGAGGATTTAGGACAATTGAATTTGATATTGAGTTTTACGTACACCTGTTGACAATGACCTGACCTCACATCAGAGCATTACATAACTTTGCATATGATTATTTTATAGAATATGCACCATACAAATGATAAATGTTATTCAAATATTTAACATTATGGTGGACTCTTTTTTTATCTTTGATATGCACATCATTTGATTGGTGTTCTAACACTTTATTTATTTCTTACAGGAAGCAGTTGCTATTAGTTCAAATTCTCAAAAGAATAGTTTATCTAGGGAGGAGTTCCTTTCATTTTACAAAGAACTCACTACAAGACCAGAGGTTTATTTTCTGATGGCGAGGTTTGTTGTTCAACCGATAATCACACTGTTTTTAAATTTGACACCAAAATCATTTGTGAATTTAAAACACAAACTTCTGCCAATTAAGATAAACTTGGAGTTGCTCAACTTTGAATAGAAGCATTTAGCAGTAGTCTATTGTGCAGAGATTCTAGCAGGGAATTGGTCCCTGAATGATTGCACCTTGAGGTGCTTTCATGTAGACTTGATGTACAACCCCATCTTTTTCAACATTAGAGCCTCTTGAAGTCTTCGGAAGTCCTTCTGATGTACATTTATGTACTTAACCAATTTCAGGTCTTTGGCTATCTTTCTAAATGTGTTTCCTTCTTTTCCTCATGTCTTTTTAGCTAGGGTTATAAAAATTGATATCAACTAAATTAATTTTTCTCTTTTGTGCATTTAAATTATTTTTACCTTCACTGAATTATCTCTTTTGTAAAGCCATTCTTTGGAACAACTATTGATAATGATATTGAATAATTGATTACCAATTAATGTTATATGTTGTTTACATATTGCTGATTAGGCATTTTTTTTGGCAGGTATACAAGTAATGGTGACTATCTAACAACAGATGATCTACTACTCTTCCTGGAAGCTGAACAAGGGGTAATAAAATTTAAATTCTGTTTAAACATGCACATGTGTGTAATGAACTCTGCTCAGTGTGATTTATGTTGTGGTAGTTTTATCAATCATAACCTTTACAATTTCCTCAAAAGTGATTGGTGCAGTTGCTGCTTTATTTTTCACTAATCGTTCTGTAAAGTTGTAATTGGACAGTGTAATCAGACAGTTGCCTGTAATCAGACACCTGTTATTGGACAGTTGAAGCAGCCAATCATACTAAGTCATTTCAGTGAAATCCACCAATCACAGAATTGATCACAATAACCATGATAGCAACAACTACTTTTCCTGAAAAAAGTTGTGGAACTTCCAAAGTTAAGAAATTTTTTACTTAGAAATTGTCTCTACTGCACATATTTCTCCTAAATGTATTTGTTGTTTTCGGAAATTGTAACAGTTATGAGTAATCATACTCATGATTGACAAATTGGACTCCCCCTTCGTCCGGTCGTCCGATTTTGTTAATCACTCGTATAATTACAGACCGAATTGGACTCCACTCGGTCCTATTGGCATTATTAATTGTATGTACCGTAGAAAAGAGCAATATTTAATTGGGTGGCTCAAGTAATCCGAGATTGTATTAGTTTTGCTTTACCTTGGTCTGTGATTGGTGCAGAAAACTCTCACCGCTCTCTTAACCAATCAGATGCAAAACTTCAACCGTTCACGATTTGGTCGCCAGCGTTTTCCCGCGCTTTAAGCAGTTTGGTGGTTTTAAATACTCTGAGTGATCATTGGCTCTTATATTTGCTTAAGTTTCTTCTGAGTGACTGTTGTGATTACTTTGGTCTTGAGTTTACAATACTCAATCCAAAAGCGCTCTAATGCAATAAATGGTCCTTGTTTTTCCATCTCTGATTCCTTCAGCTCTCCAGAGTGGGAAAAGAACACTGTTTAGATATCATCAGAAGATGCGAGCCAACAGATGAAGGAAGAAGGTTAAAATGTTTAGGAATAGATGGTAAGTAGTAGAGAGTTCTGTGAATTTCTGTGATTCTACTCTAATTCGATTCCATAAAATTCATGAAAAGCGTGAACATTTTATGTTGGATTGCAAACGATTAACGTCTTGTTTTCACAATTTTTCGTTTCTTATTTTAATTTATCTTTGCAGGATTCACACAATATTTACTAGAAGATTGTCATATTTTTGACACTGATCGTGCAGTAATCTGTCAAGAAATGAACCATCCACTCTCTCATTACTTTATTGCATCTTCTCATAACACGTAAGTTAAATTTTTTCAGTTGTTAACCATCTTAAGTGAATAACTGAAGAATATTTGGTTTCGCATAAAGTTGAAATGGGTGCATGGAACATTTTCAATCAAAAGTAAACCCGCAATCACAATATATCGTGATTGGTTTAGAAAAGTCATGCCACCCTTCCAACCAATCAGATGCAAAATTGAAACCAACCGCGTCCTGGTAAAAAGCGTTTCCCGCGCTTCAAGTTTTAGTTCTCGTCAACGCCATGTTAATATGGCCTACATGGATATCTGCATGACTCGTTGATTGGACCGACAGGCTGTCTGTTTGTCTTTTTGTTTGACTGTCTGAGTCATCGTTTAACGAAAGGTGACTAACACTGTGACTGTCTCCTTGACCGGCGGCTGACCTGTTTTTCCTTCGATTCTCCCAGTATTTTAGAACTTTTTCTTCTCTCTCGATTTGGTTTGTAGGTACTTACAAGAAAATCAACTCAGTGGACCGTCAAGTGTAGAAGCTTATATCGATGCATTAAAAAAGGGCTGTAAATGTGTAGAATGTAAGTTTAAACTCTTAAGTTTCGTTCAGCGAAAAAAATCTCAAATTGTGAACAAAAATCGGTGGCTATGTTGTCACTGTGCTGGAGTCTGAAGTGAGAGGTCTGAGTTCAAGTCCTGGACGGATCTTGGGTGGGTGACACACTTAACTCTCACAGTGCCTCTCCCCAACCTGATGTGGCACCGACGAATTGTCAAGAAATCCTGAGAAAATTCAAGGGGGGGGAAGGGGTGGAATACCTGCGATTTATCAGCATCCAATTCAGAGGATTGGCGGAGGGGGGAGGGGGGTTGGGGAAGGGGGCTAAATAAGGGTTAAGCTCCGCCCTGATAGGCCTCGTGGCTTTTAAGTAGACTTCCATTAACCTGCTCCAATATTTTATAATTCGTTTTCATGTGATTTTGATTGATTACCTTTTAGTGGATTGTTGGGACGGGAGTGGTGATGATCCGGTCATTTATCATGGCCACACACTTACCTCAAAAATTCTCTTCCGCGATGTTTTAGAAGCCATAAACGAAAATGCATTCATAAGATCTCCGTAAGTAAATAAATTAATAAGTAAATGATAGTAATAAATTGCATTAGTAGCAGCCCACACACGAAGTAATTTTATGTCCTCGAATTTGAATTCGACGCTTTGTTTATTTTAAAGGTTAGAATCCTGAAGAACTTTGTTAAAGACCTCGAGTTTCCGAGTTTCCAGATTCCGGGAATGGAATCCAGGCTACGGCGGTTAAGAGGAGCGCTCCTCCCATCCTCCCTTCCCCTCCCCTCCCCCGCCCCCACTCCTGTTCCTCATCATTGCAAAGTACCTTCAAATTTTTTTGCAGGGATCGACTGCATCATTTGAATTACCCTCCCGAAGTATCACTTTCCTTTTTTTTCTGATTTTGACTCGTGTTTGCATCCTGGTGGCGTCTTACTTCACATCATGTTATGATTCCCGTGTAAAGCGTATGTTACATGCTACTGAGTTCACGGTAGTATAAAGAAAGATAACGGTTACAACCCGTCAGATAGATATGATATGAACTGGTCATCAAAATTTGTTCATGCTCACACAATCCAGAAAAGTAAACCAAATAATGAACAGTACTTGAAATAAATGCACAAGATACAATTCTTATGTTCTTAGATTCAAACCTTGGTATTTTGTTTTTCAGATTTCCACTTATATTATCCATAGAAAATCATTGTAGTGTGAAACAACAGCGAGTTATGGCAAAGTATTTCAAAGAGATTTTACAAGGTACGCTCCCAATTGTTTTGTTCCCGAGAATTCATTGGAAGGGTTTAATAATTTTGTCGTAGTTCTTCCCTCTGTGTGGTTATTTTTTGGGTGGTTTCAGCTAGTTTCACTAAATGCACTATGATCAATGTGATATCTTAAAAATGATAAGATACTTTGTTGTTTTTGTAGATAAACTTGATAGAATTCAACCCGGAGAAAATGAATCATACTTACCTTCTCCCGAAGCACTCAAAGAGAAAATCCTTATTAAGGTAACTGTCTCAAGCCCAACACAGTACAAAGTTGGCTGGTTCTTTAACGCGAATCACACTTTTTGTCTCTCATCCTTTGGTTCTAAACTTGTACACCCTGTTTAAGATTCAGGCTTTTTCAGGGAGTACCAGAAAACATGAGCTTATATTTAATAGGTTGTGTTAGTTTCAATTTTTTTCTAACGTGGAGAATTCAGTAAAACTCTTCCTCAGTTTCCAGTGTTTTTGTCTGGAATTTAGAACAAGAAGCTTCCGGCAGATGTGACGACCGACTCTGGTGAGGTCAGCGATGAAGGTGAAGACCAAGATGAAAATATTGAAATGAATGGCGAATGTAAACTGGAAAGACAAAATAGCAAAACAGGAAGCATTAAAAGACAAATAGTGAAGGTAAGTGTATGTTTTAAACATTTTCTTGGAAGCTGTTCAGTTTTAGGGTTGAGACTCGCGTAAACCTAAACGCAACTTACCAGGACCTCAAATTGCAACACAGATTGATATCATCAGGAGCCGATGAGAGCTCAAAGTTCATGTAATCACGAGTGCATGGCCATGTGCGCGGGAAAACATGAGTGACCAAGTCGCGTTTGGTCGTTAGTGTTGCATTTGATCGGTTGAAAAGGTGATGAGGTATTTCTAGACCCATCGATGAACAAAGAACAGTACTCTCTCTTTTACGCTAGTCCTGATTGATATGTTTAGTTCCGTGCAAGATTGTTAATAATAAGTCGCTGCTTTTACTACGAAATCAGGCATTCGCCTGTTGTTAATGGGAAACCAGTTAAAAAAGTGTTTTTATTTTTTTAGCGCTTCGGGAATCGTATAGTCATGATAATAATGATAAATTTTATTTGTCTTTTTACAGGATCCCAATAAAAAACCAAAGAAGACCACGAAGCTGATCCGGGAGTTATCTGACTTAGTCACCTACTGCAAATCTGTCGCTTTTCAAGACTTTCAGTATTCTTCTGAAAATCGTAAGCAGATTAATGCGAAAGGCAAATTGTTTATCTGAAATGAGCGAGTTTATTTGCTGATATCTGTAAAAAGATTACTCACTCACTAGCTCACCTTTTGTTTTTCCATAGAAAAATTCTGGGAGATGTGCTCTTTTAGTGAAAATGTAGCCAGACGCTTGGCGCAGACGTTTCCAGAAGAGTTTGTAAATTATAACAAGTCGTTTTTGAGCAGAATTTACCCTGCTGGCAAGAGACTGGACTCCAGTAATTTCAATCCTCAAGAGATGTGGGACTGTGGCTGCCAAATGGGTAAAAATATTTACATTGTGGAACGTGAATTTGTAGTTAACCTCTAGATATAAAGTTCAAATGGGTGTTGCGGTAGTTGAAGGGAAGAAACCATGGGGTTTTAACATTTTTGACAAAAACAGGAAATCTAGTTTCTACCAAACTTGGAAAAAGTTTAGAGGAGAGAAATATTATCGGAAAAGTGGAAAGAACTTAGGATATTCTCGTTATCTAAAAAACGCAGGACTAAGGGTGAAACATTTGCGAGGGAGTCCCTTCCTCCTAACTTTTAGAGAGGTGACTGCGTTGGAACTCGAAAAATGCCTTTGTACATGTTCTTGTTTGGGTTTTTCGGAGTTGGATGTACACAACGTGCAATAGCACTTTTATAATTTTGTACCTGATGGCAGAAGTAATTTCAACTGAGTTTCGAAAATAATCAAGGATTACATGAGTTTTACTCCACTTTGCCCTGTGATTGATCAGGAAAACTCGTGCCTTCCTTAACCAATCAGAAGTAAAACTAAAACTAATTGCGTCCTGGTCACTTCCTTTTCTCGCGCGTCAGGCAGTGGGCACTTTTTTCAGTTTGATTTTTCATTGGCTACTTTTTTCCGTTGTCTTGATTGGCTGGTGTGATTTCTTTCTTTACGACAGTTTACAACACTCAATCGGAAAGTGCTCCGATAGAAGTAGTCAGTCAAAGTGAGTGACAGGAAATGTTTACTTTGATTTGTCTTTTTGTCATAGTGGCGTTGAATTACCAGACGCCAGGGCTTATGATGGACCTGAACCAAGGAAAATTTCTGGAGAACGGTGGCTGTGGATATGTCCTGAAACCTGCTGTTATGAGAGAAGGTACAAACATATTAATGAATTTCATCACCTGTCAATGCTATCCATTACAGCGTTTGTGTATTTTACATTTTCCCGAAACTGAAATTTCCTTATTTATTTTGTTGCAGAAATAGCTTATTTCAATCCAAGTACTAAAGATGTTATTCCTGGCGTTTCGCCTCAGATATTACAAATCAAGGTTCAAACAAGCATTTTGTTAACTAGAATTTCATCATAGTATCGCTTTTTTCAAAAAATGTCAATTCCAGATATTGTAACATGAATTTGAGCCCTTTTTTCCTCTGTGCAGGTAATTAGCGGACAGCAGTTTCCCAAACCAAAAGGCTCGACAGCCAAGGGTGACGTAAGTAAAATGTCCTGGATATTGTATCCATGGTTTCTCTATAAATACTAAGGCGACTTTTAACTCTTCCCAGGTGATCGACCCGTTTGTCACAATCGAAGTGTTTGGTATCCCTGCTGACATTGCACAGGACAGAACGAGAACTGTTCCTCACAATGGTAGGTGATTTACCAATGTAAGTGGTGTCTTTGACTATCAACACCGAATGACAAAAAAGTTGACACTATTTACTTGTCACCAGACTTTCAAGTCAGTTTGCGGAAACTTGTAGCTGCTTGACATGCCTTGAATTATCCCACGCTTCTCATTAATGATTTCATTATTTATTTATTCATGCATTATTCGTTTCCATGCATACTCTCATTAAATAACTCCATAATCAACTATAAACAAACTCAAACACACCTAACTCGCAATCCGTCACTTGGTTGCGACCAAGACAATTTTTTTTGCCTCAATCAACCTCTTATTGACTATGTACTAGGTGTATGAGTTGTCCGCAGATGCAACAATTTTAAAGTCTTTGCCACTTGACATTTACGCGCTTTCAGTGCACCTCCAGTTAAAAAAAAAAAAAAAGACAGAAACAAGTTTTAATTTCTGACTTAAGCGGATATCTGTACAGTTCCTTTCAACTGTTGCTTTCTCATCCCGTGGTTCGGTGCAGTCCCATCCTCATCAGCTTGGCAGTGAGTAAACATTGGACCTGAACGGAGCATTCACGCAAAATTACAGTATGGCGGATTAAAATGGCAACCTATCAACAAATTTCAAGTCGTCTTTGACCGAACCCAAAGGACATTAACATCTCATGTACTATGGTGCACACCAACTGATTTTTGCACCAGGTTATGGATAACGAGTGTCAGGAAGAATGAGAGAAGAATTTTCTATTCCATTTATGCATAAACTGCATCATAACCTAGTGGCATGAAAAATAAATGAGTATTTATGTATTGAATTTTTTTGCAAGGTTTTAATCCTGTGTTCGATGAAACTTTCGAGTTCCACATCAACCTACCTGATCTGGCGTTGGTGCGGTTTGTGGTTCAAGATGATGATTTTATCGGTGATGGATTTATCGGCCAGTACACCATACCTCTCAATTGTATCCAACCAGGTAACCTCAATTTCAAAGACGCTTCATTTTTTTTACTCAAATTCGCTCCTAACTGCTTTGTGTCTCTACTGTAACAACCGTGAATCGTTCGCAAGGACTTGGAAGGGTTCTCTGTGAGTGTTGGAGCTAAGATAACGATGCTTATATTGGTCTCAACATGTAGCTCGTTTTATGTACCAATGCAGTCGAACGTTTTTGTGAAGAAGAATTTCTCTTGTTTCACGAAGAAGCTTTGATTCTCACCTTTTGCCTTACAAAGAAGAACTTAAATGTATCATAGACATTTATGTGCTGATTTACGTAACGATGTTGACTAGATTTGACTAATTTTGGGTTTCCACCATGAGTCATCTCGTTACACTGAAAAATAGTTGAAGAGTAGAAAAGCAATACTAAAGCTGATGAGGATTTACTTCCGTATTTCCAGGCTTCCGACACGTGCGCCTTTTGTCATCGCAAGGGGAAGAACTGGAATCAGCTACCCTATTTGTTCACGTGACCATCACAAACCTCAACGACGCTGTGGCAGTAAGTGTTGCAAGTTTTGTTGAGTGAAAGTCTAGATATATAACAATGTACATTGGTCACCGTACAGAATTTCTAAAGCAGCTTTACAGACACTGCGCTGGCCAATTTTCATAATCAACTCAGTTGATAGGACCAAATTGTTTTTGTATACAAATTAGTACCATTTGATGAGGATGAAGAACATCTCGCTCAAGTCAACGGTTCTCTTTTTTGGCCTTAGACTGTGTCGGCATTTATTCGTTCGCCTATCTTTAAGTTTTTGGGTCCATTTATTTATGTCGTTATTCATTTATTTATTGTCTATTTGGTTATTTGTTTCAGCAGAGACCAAGGAAAGCGTCTTTAAGAAAATCGAAAAAGGCGAGAGAGGTATGCCCTAAGATACATGTGCTCTATCATATTTCCTATTTCATCGTAAACAGTCTTAATCGATGCAGTGTGTATCGTATCTCAGTTATCAACTGGGTTGAAGCTCTGTTCAACAGGTTTTATTTTCTATTTTTTCTTTTTAGTATACAAGCATGAAGTCCATTGGTGTGAAAGCCGTGGATGATACGTTTAAGGTGAGGTAACAAGGGTTTCTTCTGTGCATAGACTTGTTTTCGTGATCTTCTGGTATCGGAGGGTCTTCAATCATTGTTGTAAATGAAGATAGCAAGTTGAATAAATAAAAAAGTGAAATTCCTATGCTGTGAACATGATCCGAAAGGGAAATCTGAGTGTGGAAAACGTTTCTGCGACACCAAATAACTCACCGCAAAAGGTTTCCTAAATTTAGGTTTTAATAACAAAAAACTTCTTTGCTCGCTACCTAAATCCGAAGACGTCCCCGAGACGTTTTAAACAAAAGTTAAATTAATTTGCTTTAGGCGAGGCTGCCAAGTTAACTTGTCACGAACTTGTCACGCAATATGAACGAAAATATTCCCGAACATGATCTTCCCTAACTAGTTCGGACTTCGCGATCAGACGACCTTGACCTATATTAAGTTCATCTGTTACAAGCAGTCTGTGTATGGCCATGATCATTTTATCATTTTTAATTACAACTGAGCGCCATTTTTATGATCCTTGGCTATTCTTTGACAGCTGAAGACGACTGCTTATTATTTAGTGATTTTTATTTATCGTACTAGTTTTACAGTGTTCTCCCTTATTTTAAGCATGACAGGTAAATAAATTTTCAAATCGGTAAAGCAATCCTTTTACTTGTTGAATTTTCAAGAATTCCAAGCAATTTTAGACGGTAATAAGAGGTACTACAGGCAGTAAATGTTACCGGTTACTGCCTGAAAAGGAGAACACTTGCTTTATGGAAGTAACAACCCATTGGCAAGCCCAAGATTTCGTTCTTGGTTAATCTATCTATTAAAATTTTGAAAAATAACGCAAAAGTGTCCAGAGAGTATTCAACATTGTCTACGAAAAGACAAATCATATCTCGTTTACCATGCTCATGTTTTTTTGTTACTGTTTTATTTAAGTTAGCAATTCAGCCCCTCAGAGACGGCACAGATCTTAGAGAAAATGTTCAGACGGCACTCGGAAACTTCAGGGTAATCTACTGTTATCTATGTTATCTCGTTCCCTGTTGAAAAGGCAAAAAAGACTTTCTGGTTTACAAAACTATTGAGTTTTTTTAAAACTTGCTCAACTTTGTGTGTCTTCAGAGTAAGTCAGGAAGAATTTCCTGTGAGTATTTCGTCGCTACTGATATTACTGTAACAACGATCTTTGAAAAAATGTTGTTCTTAAAGAAAATCTTTTTTTATCTGTCATCCACAACGAATATTTAAACGTGCAACTTATTTGGCTAATGTAACCCTTTTCCTATACAGGAGATCTGTGGCGTGGCCCCCCGGTCTAATCTGAAACAGTGCATAAGGCTATTGGCTTCCAGACTTGAGGGGAATGCAGAATCTATTGAGCTCAAACTGGTCATGAAGGATGAGGTATTGGGAATGAATTTTTGTTTCCATATTTTCCCTAGTAATATTTAGACCCACCACGTATCAGAGTTTTTATGATGTGAAGTAGAATTAAAGATCGCTGTTTGAATTTTGACTCACTTAACGTCTCGTCAAAGTATGGCATAACTCGTAAAAATATTCAGCGATAATACACACCAAAACGTCTAATAAGATATATGTAAGATACATCTAGTTACTCCTTTCAGTATTGCTACCGAGCCAAACATTTAGGTCACGCGAATATACGACATGATAGCTATGTGAAACTTGTTTGTTTGTTTGTTTTGCTTTTTGTAGTATCCTTACTTCGAAGCTCAAGGGAGTTTGCCAGAGATGTTGAAGAAAGCGCTGGCCGCTATAGAACAGGTAATATAATCGGGGAAAAATTTTTCCTCAACGGCTTCCTTACTTTTCAGCTGAGTGCGTGGGAGAATTACACTACATAATCATCCCTTCCATAATTTTATACGTCTAAACACTTAACTTAACGTTTGCAATTATTATTCACTCAAGTTATTGTTAGTTTGGTAGTGATAACTCGATCATTTTCCATTTTGCAGGTCGTCCAAGACTCCAAAACGTTAATCGAATCTTGTGACTCCGTTCACGAAAGAGTAAGTCATGTTGCTGAGTAATTTTTTAACCAACATTTACGATAAATGAATTCACCAAGCATCTTTTACGGAAAAGGTGTCTGAAAAAACTATACTTGCTTATCGTAGTTCAGAAAGAGGTTTTCAACTGGGTGTCGAGTCAAAACAGAATTTCTTCTGCTCTGCTTTGCTACTTTTCGTTGATTGTCTATGAACTTGAGTCAATCAGATTCAAAGCTGAACTAATCCCTTTTGGCTCCAAATGACGTCAAATTCAGTTTGGTTTCACGACGCTCAATCGAGAAGCACCGCCTCATCCACAGCTATCAGTTTAAAATTGCCGAGTATTTGTAAATATTTATCGCTCCAAATGGTGTTCTCTTTGTCGTAGATTATCCAGTGCGAGAGAGCGGGCTTGGAGTGGCACGTACGTAAATCAAATTTTGTGTTAAAATAATTATTTTATGTACTCTAAGATACAGGTGAAATATCGGGATTTCATGTGCACCGTAAAAAGGTTTCTATACATCATGTAGTAATAAAACTTTTTTCATCTTTCATTTGAAGTTATTTATGTGGCTATGGTTTATGGCAACATAACCATAGCGTTTTGTTTTATTTATGAAGATTTTATCACAAGCGGGGGGCTGGGGAGAGTAAATGCACTCTTCCGTTTAGAGTAGCTCTGAACTATTGCATCGCACAAATCATGAAAATATCAATTATCTATTTCAGGAAGAGCTTCATAATGCCTGTGTTAAAGAGGGAATAAAAGGGAAGCGACTGACAAAGGTACTCTGGTCTTCTCCTTACAACAATAAATCAGCAGCTAAAAAAATTGCTGCTGTGTTTTGGGTGTCTTCGTCGATTAGTCCAACGCTATTACGCCGATCTACGAGGATAAAAACTTATTTATTGACGTTTAATCGGACAAAAACTCTTCTGTAACCCAAGCAGTACATGTTCTGCAGAGTAACAAGAGTAATAATAATAATGATGACGACGATGATTATAAACACTTCGTTGCTCTCGACAAATTTCTATCAAAAAAACATCCTTTTGTAAAATTTTGACTTTGAAGGCGGGTTAGCTATTACGGTCACATGACGTGTTCACTTTGGGACTGTTCACATCCGGGTGTTTTCTCTTACAGGCGGTAGAAAGCTATTCATGGAATATTCGGGTCTTAAAGGGCCAGGCAGATTTACTTCTCAACGCAAAGAGCGAGTGTCAGGAATATCTTCGACAGGTAACTATGTCTGTTTAATCACAAACCTTATTTTCATCCTGAACGGTGCAGTAGGGTTCGATGAATAGTTATGGCTGGTTTGTATTAAATGAAACAAATGTTCAGAGAACTTCAACTTCATACTATGTCACTGAAAATCCAAGAATTTCAAAGCATGTTTTTAAAAGATATCGTAAAACAGGCCAAGATAAGCGTCGTCGACATCAAGGCAACCATTTTATAATAACTTGTTCCTCACGTCTGTGCTTTACTGTCAGAGCAGGGGTGCGCGGGAAGGGTAGGGGTGGGGGTGGTTTCGGGAGGTTTTGGTTGAGGTTGCAAGCGTCATATTAACATAGGCACGCAACGTCTACAAATAATAATGGCAAAATAAAAGTACGTAAGGGTTAACAAAAAGCTGGACTTTGTACCCTTTGTATCACTTGAATAGCTGTGTAGGGAGTAACATTTGTTGCCAAGAAAACCACTCAAAATTAACATTATAGCTTAATTCAAGAGCAGGGAATGTTCTTCATGTCAAACCGTTCGAATTAAAATGAAGTTTACCATAATATTGTTTTTTTCTTCCTTTTTTCAGATTCAAGAGGCGACGTTATCAACTGGTCTTGTCAAATCCGTTGGCTGTGACCTCTAACCGGATACTTCATTTATTTGTCACATTTCGTCTCACCAGATACGCACTTGTTGTACTAGCGTTGTAAATTCGAAAGCAGATAGTGTAATAATGAATACAAAGGAGTGGTTCTTCGTTTCAGATGTGAACTTATTTTTTACCCTTACTATATTTTTTCACGTACTACTCCTCGTAATGGTTTTCTCTAAAATATGGTTATTGTTTTTTTTTAAGTGCCATGTTTATTCTTCGTAGTTTCAGTATAAATACTATCAGAAATACGTTTTACTTTTATCCTTACGTTAGTCATTATGCGCGCAATCACAATCTTTTCTCTTCTTTCTTAATTTTTTTCGTGTTTTCCATGGATTCACACGAACACAGATGATTTTCGAGCATAAAACGAAGTTCCCACGTCTCAGAGTAGATTAAAATTGAAATACAACAGTGTTTTATTACGAAGATTGAGGAAGCGATTTTAAGTAGAAAATTGTAAATATTAATTCAAGAGGAATATTTAAATAATGCAATACAGAAAAAAAGTTTTTTGAAGACACGTGGACGTGTAGATGGTTGAATTAATGATTTAGTTCTTGAATTAGTTTTCGTTCTAACTGTCCGGCATTAAGTCACATACTACTAGATTTAATTTTCGTCATTGCAAATCTCGCGTCATAGTTTACCATGTGACTTGTTAAGCTGGTGACACTATGCGTATATGTTTTGGCAAATAGTATTCATGACATGTTTTAGCCTATCGTATTACGTGACATTTTATAAATATCGGCACCACGCAGATCTAAGACTCTTGGTGTTTTCAGATTGATTATTCCTTATGTTGAATTTTGGTACGTAGGTAACAATGTTTGTGCGATCCGGCCTCAGCGGATTTATCCTGGAAAAAGTATATTTTTAGCTTAACGTTTTTTGAGTGCGAGAAATAGTAGAGTGAAACGGCAAGTGCGTTACGATCCCAGATTTAAAAAAAACAACAACAACAGAGCAAAAATAATGTAAAATTTATGTTGTTGAGATGATCATTATTATTAGTATCACCATTGTCACTCATCTAGATTGCTTATTACGTTCTTCAACGCTCCAGGGAGGGGGTGTGAACCTGGAAACGAGAGTGCGCAGCCGGCGCTTGGTAACGACACGAGTAACACGCGCACGCGTGACAATTGAATCGAGAGAGCAAATTTTGAAGTTCAAAGGTCTTCTAATAGGCAAGACTGTTGATGGTTGTTTTTTGCCAATCATTTTTTAATTAACTGAATTAGTGATCGTAAGTGAAGGCCTGTGAGTGAAACATCGCATCTGAACAAAGAAGTCTTCCTAAGCAGATTCGTTCACGGTCGTGTCTCAAAGTATGTCCCAGCTATGGTTTATACTTGTTTATTTATTTGACATTGTACATATCAGAGATGAGTGACGCATATCTGTAAGTAGTTAAAATCGTGATAGAGCTAACTCGAGGTTGTCAGATCGACTGGGAAAAAAGTATTCATTTAAAAAATATTAATTTATGAAATAGTCATTTATAGGAGAGGACTCTTGTTTGCTACGCAATGAATGTGTGTTAGAGAATCTGGAACAGAAGTAGTGTTAAGAGAATAAACTACGAGAACTTCATTTCAAATGCAATCACAGAATTATCATGATTAAAGAAGAACTTTTTAGATTTAAGTTAATAGGTGACGGAAATTGTACCTACCGGCAGTGAAGCACACTTCGAATTCATGGATATTGTCTATTAATCATAACAATTACAATTTCCTCGATTGTGATTGGTCTAAAAACTCTTATTTCCTTCTAATTCACTTTCCAAGTTGTTATCAGAGTTTGTTATTGGACAGTTCAATAAGCCAATCACTTTCATAGTATTAATTTAACTCAACCAATCACAACCTTGGTTTTAATATGATTACTTGGTAATAAGACTTCGTATCGTCCAATAACCTTTACTCCTCAAAAGATGGTACATAGATTCAACACAATCAAGAATTTGGAATATTAACCTCATGCACGATTCTGTAGAAAAATATAAAATTTTTAAATATTTTAAATTCATTTTTAAATTTCAATCAAAATGATTATGCTTCAACTCGTGAGAGTAACTTGCATCTAATCTCTCCTTACAATATTACCCCCAATCACACATAAAGGTAACAAGAGTAAAAAGATATCACAACTTAAAGAGCTCATGACTGCGTAACGAATTCTCCGCGATTCTTTATTGAACTTAATTATCATGCCTAAACGAGCCCTAAGAGTGACTTGCATCTAATTTCTCCTTACAATATCAGCCCCAAATCACACATAATGGTAACGAGAATTTAAAAAATGATCACCGCTTTAAAAAGCTCTTGACTGCGTAACAAGTTCTCCTCGTCAGCACCTCAGGAAATACGCGGACAGTATGGAGAATATGCATGCTGATATTAGGTGTAAAGGGTCACCATATTTACTCCAGAAAATTCCTGAATGACTCATAATTACTTCCAAACTTTGTTGACGTCAGTTAATAAATTGAAAATTGAGAACTATCTCAATGAGAGTACATGTTTTAATTTCAAAATCTCTTTAAATTTAATATGTTTCTAAAAGACGTAATTGTATAATTAAATTTTCATCATCTTTACAAAAATCTCTAAGTAAATAAATAATTTTTAGAATATCTAAAAAATAAAGGATACTGTCGAGACTGGAAAAAACATGTAAAAAGCGTGAGCCATACTGAAGGATGGTGACACTATGCGTGTAAGTAAGATTTAAATACCTAGCATCGTTTGATCATTGGAATTATTATGTTCACCCAAAAAGATAAAATGTAAGGTGCCACAAGCGAGTAAGAGAAGTCGGACCAGTGTCCTAAAGAACGCATGCGCCAGTCGGTTAGCCCAGTGGGTTTGATGTTGTTGGTTCCATATCCCACATGCCTCGCTTGTGGTGAAAATGATGATAGAGGCCTGGGTACTTGAAGCGTTCTACCTCTAACTTTGCTCTAACAACACGATCCAGAAAATCCCAGTCCTCGCCGCCCCACTTATATTTAAACTTCTCGACGTCCATTCCTGGGGAACAAAGAGAATGGAAGAATGTGGAGCGGTTACATAGGGACAAGCACATGGCATATCGTAAGGGCATTAAAATTGCTTTCGAAAGCTGTATTAGAAACGACCAAACATTACGCTTTCTATTTATTTTGCCGGTGAGATTCGACTTACCACCAACTCGATTCCAGTCAGACTTGTACATGGCGAGCAGGCCGAAGCCGTCTTCTGCCCAGAAACCTTGATGATCCGTTAAACTTTTCCCACAATCTAATCGGCCAACAATGGGATAAAACACAATGCGTCCCTCTATGGTATTCTAAGAGATCAACAAGAAGAGCATGATAAACACGAAGTTAAGGTTCTTTATAAAACAAGGTGCCTGGAAGTGTTAACGTGGAATACGTTAGTCGTTACCTACAGTCCCTCTGGTTTTACATGGAAATGATAAATTTAATGCTGACTCTTAAAAATACAAAAGGAAAATCGAAAAATAAAGACAATAATATAAAACATTCAACTACGCGGGATATTAAGTGTGTTCATCCATTCAAGAAGTAACCCCAGCCGAGAAGCACAAGTACGTGGCTAACAAGCACATGACTAATCACCATATCTGACTACGACGACACTCACGTGTCGAAAGTGTCCAAAGAGAAAGGAAGTGGATGCGTAAAATGGAAGAAAGACCTCAAAAGAATGCTTGACATAGTAGACCTGCGACACATGACATTTAAGAATAGGAACAACGTGAAACGATATAAGAAATTGAGAGATAGTGAAGTGATAAAGGAGAAGGGAGATTGTGGAAATTTCTACAAAATCTTGTCATGCATTTCTGATACTGGAGTATTCTGATGCAGGGCTCTGGAACTTTCTAGAATGATGAGGGTTAGGGTACATCTGAGAAGAACTGTTTTGGGCAGTTGGGACTGACAACCCAACCGGCAGAGTGACTCTAAAGATGACATCCGCTAAGGTTGTCAAAACGGCAGTCACCACTGACGACAACAACCTTTCTCAGGACTACACCAACCCGGACGATCAGACAACACGATCAAATGGTACCCCCTAAAACCAAACTAAAACCAATCACGACTTAGTCGCCCGCACTTTAGGCAGTTTGGTTTTCTTTTTTACTTTGAGCTCTCATTGGCCTAGAAAAAATATTTTCCCTCCTTCGGATTGGCCATTGTGATTACTTCGCTTCTGATTTTAACGAAACTTAATCGAAAACCACTCTAAAGTCTTGGTCCCCGGAGGAAATCTGTTGTTTTCTTTTATCAACGCAAAACATGCATAATGAAGAACAGGGTTAAATGGAAATCTTCGTGAGGATACTGTTGGTCTTCTATCTTAGAAATTACAGTTATTTACCTTTCTCACGCTGTCGATGATGTCCACAGGCACGTCAATATGGAGATCAAAGAGAAACACTACGTCATGTTCACTTGGTACACGCGCGACGCCCTCGTTCAGCGCAAGTGTCTTATAAAATTTACCCGTCATTTTAACAAGGGTGTGTCTATCACGGAGGAGGGTGGTGTTGAAAGCTTTCTCCATGTCAATATCTCGACTTTCGAAGTCAATAACCATGACGTGAAAGTTCAAATCGTTCGTTAATGAGCTAGCTATTGTTAATTCATTGATAAAATGATAGACCCAGTTGCCTTGATTCTTGACTGGGAGTATAAAGTACACTGTGACGCTATTTTTCCAAATTATACCTTCTTGGAAACACAACTGGCCGCTTCCTGTTTTAACGAAGACGTGTTCTGACAAACGAAATGACCTCTTGCTGCGTTCCAAACTAACTTCTACATCGAGAGAGAAGCGATCACCATATACTGGATCTGGCTTATGAATAACTCTGTGGATCCTCTCCAGAACATAATTCCTTAAAAGGAAATGAAAACACAGTGTAAATAAATAAATATAAATCAACAAGTCAATCAATTAATCCATCAATGAATTAATCAATCGATTAATAACCAATTAATCAGTTTAGCCCTTCGACTGTGCATTGACCCTTTGATCCCTAGAGTGATTAGTATCTAATTTCTCAATACAATGTCAGCTCTGGATCAAACATTAAGGTTATGAGAATGAAGGAAATGATCACAAACCATAGAAGCCGTTGTTTGCTAAAACAAATTCTCCCTACCAGCATCTTCGAACATGTATGGAGAGAGCAGTATGAAGAATAAACATACCGATGTTGAGGTGTAAAAGATTTAAATAGTGTTCTGCAATGGGTATTTTTCAGTGTTAATAAACTCAAGTAGGACGGACCATTGAAAAGTAAACCCAATAGAGGTTTCAGTGAGGATAAATATGGTCTTCCAAAATTGTGTTTCTTCATGTTTTTTTTTTCCTGTTTTCGCAAATATTTACGCCTGTAAACTGATATTCTTTGTTTCCCTGCTTGGACAAAATGCCTTTCATACATTAAAGAAAATTAATTTTGTTAAACTCTGAACTCAACAATTCCTTCATCCGAATAAAACACAATACCCAGAAGTACTTTTTGACATGTCACTGCGATTTCCTAAGAGAAATTCTTACGAGATGCAATGCACGGGTGAAGATTAAGTTGTTTCAAAAGTGTTATATTGGCTTAGCAAAGACCTAACTGCAAACTTGGGAATCCTGGGAGAGATAAGTAATGAAACTTCTTTTAATTGCTTTTCATTTAACGAAGGGCTAACGCTCGAAACGTTAGCTTTAGAAAAATCAAATATCGATCAAGTAAATCTCTAAAAATAAGAACACAAAGCAAACTATTTGCGCAGCAACTAAATGTCTGCAAGTCTCCGGTATTCATAATATCGGTAAGCACCTCATTAACAATTTTCGCCCTCGGTAAGGATAGTCTTGTGCTCTGCCTTGCAACATAGTTATGAATATCAGAAAGTCTAACAAAATACGATAAGAAGTAGGCTGGAGCTATAAGGGAGTTTCGTGCTAGCCTGAGGATTACGAAATCTTCTACGTACCAGATACCAGTGTCAATTGTTTTCCGGAAAGCAAAAATTTGTAACTCGTTCCCCGTAGATTTAAGACGGGAAAAACCAAGTAAGCTTTCTGCTAGCCAGTGTCAATTGATTTCCGGAAAGCAAAAATTTGGAACTCGTTCCCCGTAGATTTAAGACGGAAAAGACTTTCACAAAAAGAAACCATGTGAAGTTCTTTTCAATTAACTTTCAGAGATATTGTAATAACTTTCCCTTTTAAAATATCCACCGTGATGTTTGATTAAGTGATATTTAATTAGGGTACTTATATTCTTAAGAACAATTATATAAACACAATAACCCTTTACTGACAAGAAAAGTCGAGTTTATCGACCCTTTTAACACCTAGATCAAATTTGTCTTTCTCCTTACTGTCAACCATACAATTCTTATAGTATTAGGTCAGAGAATTTAGTATTGGATCAACTAATTACCCCCAAATTGATATATTTCTTTATTCTCATCACTTATCTGGTTGATATTGTATTGATATTGTGGGGAGAACTTCTGTCTCGGTCACTTATGAGAGTTAAAGGGTTAACGAAGAAAAGGATCGACAACCCTCGAATAAAAATCGTTAAGTGCGTTGGCGCTAAGGCTCAAGACGAAAGAAAGGAATGAAAGCCTTATGGTTTGTGCACTTTCTGCGTTAAGTACTTGAAGATCAAATTAAAAAGGCTTAATCAAAGGCAGCCTTAGAATTTATCACACTCTTAAAATCTGTTCACATCCTCAGTTCTATTCAATGAGTATCTCGCTTATTAGTGTGTCTCAGTTTGACATAGTTTACTAAAGAGATTACCGTGACGCGTCACTAATCTGGAATGCTGCATAGTAAGATCTTATCTTTCGACAACCTAAATTTAGTTTTGCAATGATCCATTTACGGTGTTGCCGTCAGTCATACTTCAAACGATACAAAAGAATTAAAATCGCAAAGGACGACGGTAAAAGAACCTGCCATGTTGTTGTAGGCGAAGATTAAATAGGAAAGCCTTTTGCCGTGTCTTCCCGCGTTTTTAAAACATTTCAATTATCCTCATTTATTTTGTTTCTATTTTTTCCCACCCCTCCCCCGCGGGGCTCAAATTAGAACCATTTTTTTTGAGACAATGAGTAGGTAGAAATGGAACACTTGAGGAGCAATGCACAACCGCGTCTATGTCCATAGTTCCTGCCCAAATGCCCGTGATCTATTCTTCAAACAAGTTATCGCTTGACTTTTGGATTTCTTCATGTTTTTCATCGCTTATTTCATTCCCCTGAAGAGCATCATCTCAGTAGAAACAATTTCCATTTCCGCTGATAAATACTTCTCTCCTTTGAGGAAGTATATTTTTAAGACGCCGTAATTTTTTTTTCATCAAAAACGTTAATATAAATACAAGCTTTACGCACATACATACCACTATAAGACTTTACTGAGTTATTTCCTAGCGATTTATGGCTAATTTTATAAAACTTTGAAACCATTATGCGATGACGATATCACCATAAACCTCACATAAGGAGCCGAGGGGAGTTTATCGGTATAGTTTGTAACATATTTCGTGGTTATTCAAACAAAACTTCTCCCTTCCCTCGTATCAACATCATCTTTATCCATTTACGATAAAACAGTGGCTAAAGAGCGTTGATTTATCTTAAAAATTGTGGTTTTTTTTTTGGACGTCGGAGTCGATGTACTTTGGACTCGACCTGCAGGTACATTTGACACATTTCCGACAATTTGCTGGCACAGAGCGTTCCAACTCACAAACAGCAAATGGACGAGTGTTACTGTGTATTTCATGGTTCAGCAGTACGTGTAACGATCTTCGGGAGCCAAACAGATAATTCTCTGGTCGACCGTCCTCCGTCCATGTTTCTCAAAATTTACGTTATCCGTTTCACGCGCTACTTAGCGCCTTGAAGGAAAATAAAATCCCTATACTTCACTACACAGCGTCTTAATGTAAACGATACATACCTGGATGTGTAACGGCGAAGAGAACCAATCGTTTTGTTTACAACTGACTCTACAATCTCTTTGTCAGCAACACGGTTAGGCCATCCCATTACGATTCCGCTGTCCCCCATACTAGTATCATCTGGCGGGTAAACATTGGATAAATAAAGCAGTTTTAAACTTTCATACTGACTGATCACGCTCGCATTCCACACCAAGTTCCAAACAGCACTAGATTTGTACTCACAAAGAGGTAAATAATTGGCCTTTGGAACTAACGATAATGAATAAAACTTGAGCGTCCTACGGCTTTCCATGTTTACTTTCATTTCGAATTGACTTTGGTATTTGTTTGAAAACGCCATGTGATAGGCATCCTTTTTCGCCAAAACCACTGAATTGTTTGAGTACTGACGAAAATGCTCAAAAGAGATAAGTCGAAATTCTGCTTCTGAAGGCGTGCTCCAAAAAACTTGTGCAAATCCGTCACCAACACCTTGTTTATGGATGACTTCAATGTAGTATCGATTCCCTCGTTGAAGGCTCACGAATCGAGACATTTGCGTGGGGTATTTATTCAGTTCATCCTTCTTTGTCCAGCCACAACACGCTTTCTCGTCAAATACCCGAGAAATTAAGCGTTTCCCTTTGGGATCTTCGCTTTCACTAAGCCACAATTCCGACGAATCGTCGGAGGCAATCGCAAAACGATAAGGTCCACTTGTTGGTGGTTGTAGAAAGCCGAATATACGCTGTCCGTAGTATTCTGTGTTATCGGAAACTTCGAATACATCGTTTAAAAACTCCTTTTGATCGGGGTAATATGGAAATGTCGGTGTTTGTTTCATGTCTTGAACGTTCATACCGCACAATTCACGCCAAACGTACACATTCAGCGAAAGGTTCGCGGTAGATTTCTCATCAGCGAAGGGTTGAACAAGGTTTGTCACGACATTCTCGATGACAACGCTCGCGTTTCTATTACGTTCAGAATACTTGATGAAGAGAAATGAGATTGAACAAGCTGCTACCACAAAAATTAAAAGCTTACCAGCTCGCTGAGGTCTCCGTAATCGAAGTAAACTTCGAAAACCCATTCCAATCAGCACGTTTCCCTAGCACACACAAAACGTTTCGTAATTTAAACTGACATGTACTTTCACATCGTCATAACATTCAAGACAGACAATGCACAGCGTGTCTTCACGGAGAAATCTGTCGCAAACCTCCACCAATCAACATTACTCGAAACGATGACTCGATTCAATGACGTGACAAAACCGAGTCGATGGTACGCTGCAATTTTGGAAACCGCCGGTTGTTACGTTTGCAAGAGGAATGTCGGAATACCCACAGTCGCTTGAAGTACTGGAGAAATATTGTCGCGACAGCTAGATTTGGATGACTGACTTACTTTTTTTTTTTGTAAATTTTTTTTTGATTTATCGCTCAGGGAATGGCCTCCGGAAATTTAGAGCAGACATTCGCTGTTTCTGCTAACCTTGTGACGCGTTGAACGTTCCCAATCGAATCACGGTGAGCTCAATTTATTAAAGCGAGTTAGCAATTACTTTCCACCAATCAGGTGGAATCTTGTTAATTATCTAACAAATTACTGTTATAGCGGAAATGTAACTCACGTGCTGTTTTTGGATCCACAAAAATAATCCCTTTCATCAGGATCACAGAAATTTTCCTTAGAAGGCAATAATTAGGTTTACTTTCCTTTAAAATTTGGATTTTCAAAACATTTAGCAACACAAGAATAGCATTAGCTGCTCCTGTCATATGTAAAACCATATTGACTTTTTCGCCCGTGAAAACCCCTTAATAGGTCTCAATTACCATAGCTAGGGTTGTGGTCACGAAAACATGCATCGATTTGTTTGTAAAATGTCACACAGCTGTGACGGTTTATGTCCACGTTTTTACGGCTTACCTAAAATTCATAAACCGGGGATTCCACTTCTCTTTCGTTAATTCCCCGACTTATGCAATTTCTAGCTATCTTTTCGCCTGTTGCTGGGAATACCGATTTCCTGCGAATTTGCGGATTTCATAAAAGATAAAATTCTTAACGCTGGTGAAGAATTGGTATTTTTCGACGTTGTTTCGCTCTTCACTAAAACCCCGATAAAGTTTCCGCACAGCCCTATACTATTGTAAAACAAATCTGTTTTCCCAAGGGCAATGTATTGCTTTTGTCATTGTTTTCTCTGTTCAAGAACTGAATGTATTATTTAGGATAGCAGGTAATTTAGTGTTAACAACTGGGTTGAAAACGTAAATTAGCCACCGTAAAGGGTAAAAAAGCTGACGTTTCGAGCGTTAGCCCTTAGTCAGAGCGATTGACGTCAGAGCGATTGACGAAGGGCTAACGCTCGAAACGTCAGCTTTTTTACCCTTTACGGTGGCTAATTTACGTTTTCAACCCAGTTGTTAACACTAAATTACCTGCTATACTCTCCCACCGACGCAGCACCACAGTTTCTTTAGAAACTCACCCCTTTATTTAATGTAGGATAGGGCTGTGCGGAAATTTTACCGAAATCCCAGTTGATATTGCCGTTACGCTTCTCTCTGCGGACAAAGAACTTCTTTGCCTGTTGTCTTTTTCCTCTAGACCACGTAATTTGCAGACAACGGCACCAACCATCGACAGGTTTTTGGTACAGCTATGGGTCCGCCTGTCTGCTGTCATTGTCAAGATGGTAATGAAGACAAGGAACAAAGGGCTTTAACCACTTCGCCGGTTTACCCTTTGTTCTGGAAAGAATAGGTCGATGATGTCATTGCAGCGGTATCCGGAAATGAAGCGGAACGCCTCCTATCGCATTTGAGAAGCCAGTAATCGGATCCTTTTTTTAACCTTAGAAAAGAAATATTTGGCGAAAGGTTGTTTCGACGTCCAAAATAACGATTTTGGAGAGAGATCAACGATTTTTCGTCGCTTTTTTATCACAATTAAATTTAGATACTGTTGATACAAAGGCAGAGTAAGTTTTTGTTTAAACAACCATGAAATAAGTAATAAAATCTACCGAATAACCTTTCTCCATGCGCAAGGTTTTTTGTGAAATTGGCATCGTGTGGTCTCGAAATTTAAAAACATGAGCCATAAATCGCCAACAAATAACTCAATAAAGCCTTTTAAGTTTTTTTTTACGTGTGTTTAGTCTACTTCTAGCTTTTTTCTTGGCTTGGTAATACAGAAAGAGTGTAACAACAGCTACCTCTAGGCAGCAGGTGATCGAAATGGTGTGCTTGAACATTAAATATTAATGAATTAAACCAGAGTAGCATGAAACCATGTCTGAAAGCTGTTCTATTAACACTGTATGTTTAATATTCCAATTATTATTTATTTCTTAATTCATAATTGCAATTTCAGTAAAAAGAAAACAGCTAGGAGCTGTCGAAACTCTGGCTTTAACCAGGTAATTGCTATGGGGAAATATTTCTAGGATCTCGAGAAATGAATATGTAGAACTGTATGGCGATTACAGATAGAGCATCGAACGATAAATATTTTCATCATATTGCGTTGTTAAAATCGCAGGAGAATCAAATAAAACGTTATTTCGTCGAAGTGTGACAGGTTTTTGCCTTTCTGAGCCGTTCAAAAACGTCCTCTTCTTGAATCACTCTCGACCGTTGGAGTCATGCGATCTTGTCCGACGCTTGTGTGACAATTTTCTAAAGAAAAGCGGCTGCTAAGGCGCTAATAAAGACACGATGGGGTGTGATCAAGTAGCAGGAACAACAATACGGACGCCATGTTGCTGGTTGCATATGTGGCTCTCATTTTTTTTTTTCTTGTTCTTTTATTTGTATTAGTTATTAAATCACTTTTGTTTAATACTTATGTTCGCATTTTGTGCTATAATGTTTGTGCCGTGTCAAATAGCATGAGATAAGAGGAAGCAGCAGATGTCTTACTCAAATTATGTATGCGGCGCCACGTGTACAAGAAAACAACTGATCACAGCCGAACATCATGCTTTATAAGATCACGCATGACCAGTCGACCTCATCGCCTGAAGAAGACTTGCAGTATGCAGTCGAAACGTCGCGATCTACATCAAACGTGACTACATCGTGAGACAAACGAAAAAAACTTAGCTTTTAAAGAAAATGATGTTTCAAAGGAAATAGGATATTAGGCGTGCAAATTCTTTAAATTTAATGCAAATTTGTGGGTGCGAGATAAGGGTCTAATTAAAAACCTCCAAACAATATCCTCAGGTGTTTGCCTTTCTTATTCCGCTCGGTGTTTCACTTCAGTATTAACCCGAGGTAAATTTGCGGCTATCATGTTCAACTTAACCTATGTCGGGCTTCTTGTTAGCTGACAAGGGATGCTTAAAAAAATTTAGTTTTGCTGTGACGTCTTTTTATTCTCTGTCTGGTTCATTCAAAATTTCCAATTGCGATCGAAGCAATGATTGCTGTGTGCTTTTTGAGGTTAAACTGCACAATACCCTGCCACTTATTTACATGTCATTGAATAGGAAGAGCGTCTATTGTGTCATGCCTCGTTCTTGAAAGCCTCACGACACGTGTAAATGAGGTGGACCAAAGTGGTAGGGCATTCCGCAGTTACTCCCTTTTTGAGGCTATCATTCGAAGAAACGTTCGAGGGCGGCTTTTATTAATACATCTGCTCTAAAATGTGGCGTTTATTCGAGGGCGGCATTTAATCGAATTAATACGGTAGTTCTTTTAGGGGCGGTACTTTGAGTAGCCCTTTCTTCTCCAAATTCTCTGATTTTTCTGTTGTTATGTACCAGTTTTTAAAGGCTATTTTCTGTAGATCTCTTTTTAGATTCTAATTTCGTCAGTTTGTTCCCTATAAAAATCACATTATCAATCTTGCTTTTTTTTGCCCGATCTTATTGCAAGAGTATAAAATTTTCTAGGTAGAAAGTCGTTTTGAAAAGAGTCAACATCTCAAAGGTACATACCAGTGGCGGCGGATCCAGACCTTAAGCTAAAGGAGGGGGGGGGGGCGGTTTTTTGTCGCTTGCCCTGCTGGCTTTTCTTCCCTCCGCGATTCTTTTTTTAACCCAGAATAAGAGGGACCCGGGCCACTGCATACTTAGTGTGCAGGATTTTTTTTTACGTATCTATACCAAGAGAATATCAACTGGCTAAACACGATTCGTTTGCCGGTAAGGTGTGAGATGGTGACGATGGTGAAGGACTGACAGCTCAGTGAGCGTCACCTATATAGGCCGGAGACTAACAATTTCCTTTCGAGTAGAGTTAGACTCCGAGGTAGTAAGTTGTGTTAAGTTATCAGAAAAAGAAGTAAAGAAAGCATCCACGACACAAGAGTGTTAGACATTGATCTAACAACACTGTATCGGAAGAAAGTTACCAGCTGGAATACGGTGCAAAGTATATTGGTAATAGGAAGTTCAAAAAACCACGACGGCGACGCCGTGGCCGACGTCGGTTAAAAAATGAACTTACATTTTACCAACGAATCTTGCCATACTCTAAAGTCATTTAGTTTGTTTCTCGCTGTCAAAAATATCCCAGAACTGAATATGGAACACAGCGTTAAATTAGAAATAGAATTCCGAAAAATTAGCCGTCGTCATTCACGTTCTCCAGACAACGCAAAGTCATTTCATGTTGTTGTTTTGCAGAGGACGCAAAGAAATTTACTAAAGAAATAAAAAACGCTCTGGGTGCATTGCTGAGTTCTATAGGCACTTGAGAATTTTTAAGAACACGGGAGAAGTGCGGAAAAGCATTCGCCTTCGGCTCGTGCTTCTGGCTCTTCTCGAGTGTTCTTAAAATTCCCGCGTACTTTTATAAAATAATTCAAATAGTACGCGCGCTCTGATTGGCCATAAAACCATTTTACATGAGCGTATGTAAACACGGTTTTCGTTCCTCTTTCATTAGTTATTTTATAAAAGAAATGTAAAATGCTTTCCGTGTTTACATAGCCTAATGTAAACGCGCGAAAGGTTGGGAGAACACGAGATAAGCGTAGGAAACCACGACGCGAAGCGGAGTGGTTTCCAGTTTATCGATACGGAAACCATTTTACATTTCTTCAATATTTAATGCTCAAGCACACCATTGCGATCACCTGCTGCCTCGAGGTAGCTGTTGTTGCACTCTTTCTGTATTACCAAGCCAAGAAAAAAGCTAGAAGTAGACTAAACACACGTCAAAAAAACTTAAAAGGCTTTATTGAGTTATTTGTTGGCGATTTATGGCTCATGTTTCTAAATTTCGAGACCACACGATGTCAATTTCACAAAAAACCTTGCGCATGGAGAAAGGTTATTCGGTAGATTTTATTAATTATTTCATGGTTGTTCAAACAAAAACTTACCCTGCTTTGTATCAACAACATCTAAATCTATTTGTGATTGATCTCTCTCCA